TTCCTAATTAGTTACAATATTTTTATAAAAATATAAAAAAATTTGATTTTTTACAAAAGCTATAGTATGAAAAATATAGTATTAAATATAATTTAAACTGTATTTTATTTCAAATAATAGTATCATTTTTATGTATTTTATGTGTTTTTTATATTCTTTAATTTCAATTATTCTATTTTTCGTTTATCGTTTTAGCAAAATTGTTAATTTAATTTATCTTTAAATTCTTATAAATAGTTATATTTATAGAGAATTACTCTTTTATTTTTGTTTATTCTTTAGATTTGTTGTTTTATATTGCATTATTTCATTTTATCTTAAATATGATATTAAAAGAATTACTAAAAGTGAAAAAATTGTAATCTCTTACGAGTATGAGGGTGTCCAATATATACTTTTTAATTGCGTCTGAGTAAGCCCCGCAATAATATAGGGTAACTGTGGAGTAAATAAATTTATTAGTGGATTATAAAAGTAGCGATAAATAACTGATAAAGAAACCATGAATTATAGAGAAATCTATTGTAAATCAATGAAAAGATACTACTCTTTATTTTATTTTCTAGTCTTTTCTGCTATTCTGCTTGCTTGTTTCTTTTAAATATACGTACCCTTTTTTATCCTTTTTCATCCATTCATCTTTTTAGATCATAACTGAAATAACTGCTACTATTACTACTTCTTTTGTTGGATTTCATTCATCCATTTCCAATTTTCTATTTTGCTTCATATCATTTGATTATCCTCTTATATGTATATCTTGCGTAGATTTAGAGCCTTGTTAACATTACAGTTAATGTAATTGCATATTTATTGCAAAAATGTTGATACATATTGATCTATATGTAACTCATGTGTTTGTTGTGTAAATTGTCGTGCATTTTCCCTTCTCCTTTCGTATTTCTTGCTTTATCTATCTTTATTATTGTCGTTTTTCTTTGTTAGTATTTTCTTAAGGATTTATTTCTAACAACTTCAGTATTATGCATAGATAGTTCAATATTTTGCACATTTTTTAGCTAAATATTCTTTTTTGAAGCCAATTTTCTTTTGTAAATGTTATTTCTTTTAAAATGCAGAGAAGAATAAAATAATTATTCCTTTTAGGCAATTTCTATTTTTTATTCAAATATATAGCACAGTTTTTTAAAAAACTAAATAGTATTTATGTAATTTTAAAACATGTTTCAGTTTATTGGAATTTAAAATAAAGGTTGCTTTGTTTGGTTATATTACATAATTATTATATAGTTCCAAAAACTTATATTATATTTTCTTAAGTCTTATATTTTGTTTGTAATTTTAGATTTTTCTAAAAAATGTATAGTTTAAAACACACTATATTTTATTCAACCAAATATTGTTTTTGAATATACCATATAGTTATTTTTAGTAAATATATAAAACGAATAGTTCATTGTATTTACTCTTTGATTATTTGCACTTTTTTACTAATTTTTAGTATTTCTAGGTTTGTTTTAAATGATATTAGAAAATAAAACAAACAATATAAATCACTTTGTGGTAATTATTAGTTAATGTACTAAGTTTTTAGTATAATATATTATTTCTAAATCTCTTATTATTTTTTTGAAATTTTTTGAATTATTTTTTTCCAAATAAAATTAATTCCAGTTATTGCTTTTATTACTTGTTTTTTATAATTTGTTTAGGTGTTAATGGTTTTTATTTATCTTTTAATTAAACGTATTTTCGATATCTTTTTTTGCAAAGTAATGCTCTTTTATATTCAAATGTCTAATACCACATGTTCTTATTCTTTTATTATTATGTTAATATTTTATAGATTTTTTAAATTTTTTAGGCTTGAGAGTATGATTATAATTTAGTATATAAAAGTAATATTTTTAGGAAAATTGTTGAGCTTTATTTAAAAGAAATATATTTTGTATAATTAATTTATCGTTTAGCTTTTAGAAAATTATCTTTAGTTTAAATTTGTATTTATTTTGATTTCTTAAATTTTCTAAAGTATTTTTAAATTATTTTGATTAGATTTCTATAATATTTATTTTTTAAAATAATTTAGTTTTTTAGTATTGTTTTTTTATATTTTCTTGGATTTCAGGTTTATCTTAGATTTCGAACTATCCTTTTATATTTTCTGGAAGCGTTTTTTGCTTTTTTAATATTTTTATTTTTTAAATCCTTTATTAGAATTAAAGTTTTGTTTTATGATTATATTTTTATTATTTTCTTTAATTTCTGATTTTGTAGTTAATTTAAAATTTTAAATAACCTTTTAATTATTTTTTTGTAATCTGAAGAAAAATTTTAATACTATATTTTTTAAGGCATGTTTTTGTTATAAATTGTGTTTAAAAGTGTTAAGTATATCTTTTTTTAGCTATTTAATAATTTTTAAAATATAAAAAATAGAAAGCTTATGCATATATTAAAAATGAAATTTAGATGTTTTTTTATTTAATTATAATAGTCTATAAAATTTTTGAAAAGATAAAAAAAGATGATTTTTTAGTATTTGATTGAGGATATTTTATTATTAGATTAAAATGATTTTAACTTTGATTTTATATACGTTTCTGAAAATGATGCTCATTAATTTTTTAAAAGCTGTAAATACTAGAAAATATTTTTTTAGAAGAAACTATTTAAAAAGAATAATTTTTAAAAAAAAATTATAAAAATAAATTTGATTTTAAAAAATGCATTAAATTTTTTAAAATAATTAAATGAGTATATTTTTTTGAAATTATTTTTATATTTTTATATTTTGGTTAATGTAAAAATAAAAAATTTATTGTAAAATCCATAATTTGTTACTAAATCAGATGGGTAGAAAACTATAGTCTATTGATTTAATCTATTATTAGAAATTATTATAAGTTAATAATTCCACGAATTCATTGTTAATTATTTTTATACAAATTTATTACTTTTATAGATTATATTTTTATAAATGAGAATTATTTTTAGAAACACTAATATTAAGATTTATTATAGCAAAATATATACAAACAAATGCTTTTCATATCTTAAACAATTATCCAAACACCTGCTGTTATCCCCATGATAAGACAAATGATTCCTACTCTGTGAAATCCTCCAACTCGAAGCCCATAACCTTTATCCTCTACTTCAGAATCATCTGTATTAGTAGGTTCTGATGTTACTGTTACAATTTCTGTATATGAACAACCCGAATCGTCTGTAGTTGGTTCATCCTCTGAAGGTACAGTTGTTGGTTGAGGTTCTGGCTCTGGCTCTGGCTCTGGCTCTGGCTCTGGCTCTGGCTCTGGCTCTGGCTCTGGCTCTGGCTCTGGCTCTGGCTCTGGCTCTGGCTCTGGCTCTGGTTCTGGTTCTGGTTCTGGTTCTGGTTCTGGTTCTGGTTCTGGTTCTGGTTTCGGTTCTGGTTCTGGTTCCTCTGTTTCCTCTACTTCCTCTGTTTCCTCTACTTCCTCTGTTCCCTCTGTTTCCTCTGTTTCCTCTGGCACCTCTGGTGTCTCTGGCTCATCAGGTTCTGGTTCGTCAGGCTCAGGTTCAGGCTCCGTTGTAGCAGGTAGAGTATCTGTACAACACACTTCTGCCACTGTTTCTGTTATTACATAAGTTGATGTTTCAGGTGCCACTTCTGTTGTTACAGTTGTTGATATAATAAGTACAGTATGAGTTACAACAAATGCATCTCCCGTAGGAACATGATCTTTACACTTATCCCTTACAGTATTACATGAATTTTTTAGAGTATCATTACAACTTTCCTCTAGATCCTTACATTTTGAAAGTTCAGTACGACAAATATCTTTTGTGAAATTTTTAATTGCAAGTTGTTCATTTTTAACACTAATACATAATTTATCTAAATGTTTTAATACCTTATCGCACAGATCTTTATTTGAAAGCAATGAATCCAGTTTAGCTACTTCTTCATTCCTATTTTTAAAAGTTGCAAGAATAGATCGATAAGCTTCTACTGTTTGCAGACATTTATCTGTATTATGGTAACTCATAAGATAATTTTCTAGTATATTTTTTAACACTGTATCTTGTTTCTTCGTATTATCGTATCCCTCCGTCTTTGAAGAGCTATCATCCGAAAAATCATATCTTTTCCAGTAGATTTTATTATCTAAAACAAGACTGACTTTATCCAATATCTCATTAAGTTCTTTCGTAAGTTTATTAACCGAGTTCACTCCATTTTCCGGATCATCATATGCATAGTCCATAAGAACACGATCATGATTTAGTTGAGTCTTTTTGAGAGTAGAAAATTTATCTTGGTGTTCTAAAAAAAAGTTAAAAAATAAAAAGAAAAGATAAAATTACTTGGTGTGACAATCCCCTTTGATAAAACACATGCTGTTCCAATAAAAACTAAAAATACAGAAGTTTTCATCGGTAACAGTATGAAAGAAAAAGAGTTGTTATTTTTTATGAAATTCGTTAATTTTTCAGAAAAAGTTCAACGAAAAAAATAAAGTCACGTGAAATAAAATAATATTAAATAATAAATTATTGTTATTATTTCTTTATTGAGTATTTTGATCATCTTAATTGAATTGTTTGGATTTTTATATAAATTCTAAAGAATTTTAAGATAAAATTTATATTTAAAAATAGTTTTCTAAAAAGTTTTGAATGGTATTATTTTATTTTAAATTATTATATTTTAATATTGTTGTAATAATGTTTATATTTAATTTTCTATATTTTTTAAAGTTGGTTTTTTTTTTTTGTGAAGGTTTACATATAAAAATTGTTAAAAAATTATAGATTTGAGGTTAAGTTTAATTTTAACTTAGTTTTTAATAGGAATTATTTGTTTTAAATATAAATCTTTAAAAAAATATTAATACTTATCTTTAAACTGTTTGTTTTGAAACATATTTATTTATACTTTCTTAAACTTTTTTTAAAATTTTGATATAGCAAAATATTCTTGATTTGATAAAAAGGGCTTGGCCGGGATTTGAACCCGGGACCTCGCGCAAACATGCTTAGGCTATAACCCTAAGCGCGAATCATACCACTAGACCACCAAGCCACAAGGGCCTTAAAATCCCTTTTATTATAAAATATTTGTGTTCAACTAGAATCTGAAGATTAAAGTTTATAATTTTTTGACATAATATTAATACCACATCTTTTAATTAAATAAAATAAGTTAAATTACGATTTAAATTTTTTATCCAATACAAAATTAGGTTGAATTGGAAAATAATTTTAAAACTTTTTAAAATTTGTAAAGTAATTAAAAAATTATAATTAAATAAATAAAAAATACATTCATATTTTTTATAAAATGAGTTATTTTTAGTTTATATTTTTCTGTTTTTATGAGTTTTTAGAATATTTAAACGAAAATTGTTTAGTTCATAAAATATCAAATAATTAAAAATTAATCTATTTTATATAAAAATTATAAATATATGTAATTTTAAATTTTTTAAAAATAAATTATTAACTTTTTAGCTGTGTTTTACAATATATAAATAAATATAATAAAAAGTAAATATTGTAAAATAAAATTGTTTTTAAGAGTAAATTATAGATTTTAGTTAATATCCTTTTAATTAAATCTTATTATTGTAAGTTATGTTCGTAAGAATATATTTTTTAATTAATATTATAAATTTTTTGAATAAAATATTTAATAATTTTTTTAAGTAGTATATAAAAATTTAATAGAATTTATAAAATTATTAGTTTTTTTACTATATCTTTAAAATATTAAAAAATAAGACTTTTAGTTATTAAAATTGTTATATATATACTTTTTTTATTATATATATTTTTAAACATATTAGAAATTATAAATAAATTTGAATTTTATGTTTATTAATATTTATAAATAAATATCATTTTAATATTCTTGAAAAAAACTTATTTAATTTTTTTAATCTATTATATTTAAAATAATTATTTCTCAAGTTTAATAATTTAAAATAATATAATCAAATAATTTCAATAAAAAATTTGGATTAAGCAATTAAAACGATTTTTAAATTAAAATTTTTTATGAATTTCAATATAAAGCATGTTATAAAAATAGTATTATTTAAATATAGTTTTGTAAATATATAAATATGTAAATTTTTTGAAAAATTTATTAATTTTTTAATTTATAGATTCACAAACTTAAAAATTGATTTAAGAATACATATGTATTTATTTTATTTATTTTCATATATACATATTTATCTATAATTTATTTTGGTGATTTTGAATTTCTTTTTCTAAAAGAAGATTTGCAACTTCCACATCAAATATACGTCTAATAAAATGATAAAATTCATTTTCTAATCTCTGCAATTCAAGACCTATACCTTCTGTTTGAAATCTTTTTCTTTCTTTGTTTAATATAGATATTTCATCTTGCAAAGTCAAAAGATATGTTTCTAATTGTCGCAAATAATGTTCAAGTTGTTCAAGATATAATAACCAAGATTTTTTTCCAAATTCATGTAAAAGATGAAGATTTTCAATTCTTCCTTTTAAAAATTCAAATGAAATTAAGCTTCTATTTATTGCATGAATCCACGATTCTTTGTTTGATGTTGTAGGTTCTTTAAATGATGTATAACGTGATAAATCAATAGCATCAAGTTTACGGCCATTTTTTATACGTTCTAACTCTAACTTAATCAATTCAGATGAAGGATTCCATTCCGTATATTTGTGAACTAATGGATGAAGAGGTTGATCATTTGGAATTTCTTTAGCAATAAGCATATCTACTTTGGTTTTTTCTTTTTTAGATAAATTTCCATCATGATCTATATAACTTATTTAGAATTCATATAGATTTATACAAAACTTGTAAATTTCTTACATGGTAAAGAATCATGAAAAGATAATTTTATCATTTTTTTTAAAAATAAATTATTGGATATCGCTTAAAATATTTTAAATCTTGAAAGTATGCAATTAATAGATTTATTGATTTTAACAATAAGTTTTTTAGTATATAAAGTAATTTTTATCCTCATACCTGTTTTATCGTCTTTTTTAAATGTTTATGATACGTCAACTTTACTTATTTTAGAAAAACCAAAGAATATTTTACAAAAAATTATAGTATCATTGGTACGTTGGGATAGTGTATATTTTATAATTTTAGCTCGCCGTGGACGGCTTTTTGAACAAGAATGGGCTTTTGGTCCTGTATTTCCTCATACTGTACGTTTATTTACAGGTTTACACTTTAATAAACTATATTTCTATATTTTCTTACATAAATATAGATCATATTTTTTTAAGTAAATCTCTTTATAATTATGCTTTTCTTTCAATTGTTATTTCTCATTTATTTCATCTTTTTTCCATTTTCTCTCTTTATTACCTTACTTTTAAAATCTATCAGTCTCGAAATATGGCAATAATTACATCATTTCTTTATCTTGTATCTCCATCTGGAATATTTCTATCGGCTGGATATACAGAAAGCTTTTTTTCATTTTTTATATTTACTGGCTTTATTTTTTTTGAAAAAGATTATAATTTTTTAGCATCATTAGCATGGTGCGTAGCATCAACAATCAGAAGCAATGGTCTTCTTTGGTCTATTTTTTTCTTGCACTCAGCATTTATATGGGTATGCCGTTTTTTTAAATACCCTGGGTTTATATTATTTTTTAGAATAATAAAATTTGGGATTTGTAGTTTAATAGTTGGCATTGGTTTTTTTTGGATTCAATACCGTGCTTATGTTGAATTTTGTCACCCAGAAAAAAAACGTAGTTGGTGTTTTGAAAGTTTTCCTTTAATATACTCATTTGTTCAAAGCTATTACTGGTAAATTCTTTATTTTATTATAGAGAATATTTTAATATAATAGGAATGTCGGGTTTTTCAAATATTTTACACTACCACAAATTCCAAACTTTATATTGGTATCACCTGCTATATATATTTCTATGAAATCAGTAATATATTATTTTTTTAAAAATAAAGATCAATTTAAAAAAACTTCTCAGAAATTAAATTCTTATTATATTATACAGCTATTAATGACTATAATATGCATATTTACTACGCATATTCAAATATTTACTAGAATGATTTCTTGTTTACCAGGTATATACTGGTGGTTAGCTAATTGTTTGTTAAATGATTGGTTAAATTTTAATAAAACTTTAAATGAAAAAAAAGAATCATTATATTGGACGCGAATCTGGATTTTATATGGAATGGTTCAAGCTGTTTTATTTGGTGCATTTCTACCTCCAGCATAAATTAAAAAGTTAATAATGTTAAATATACAAAGTTTAATATTAAAAAAATTAATATTATAATATTACTGAAATAATAAATAATATTAAAAAATAATTATTATTTGTGTTTTTATAAAAAATTTATATTAAAACATATACATATTGATAATATTTCTAAATTTCTAATCAAAGACAACATGGTTCTTCATCATTGGCCATACCTCGGCCTAAATACCAACCTTCATCAATTAGTTGTTGTTCTATTTTATCCCAATATTCAACTTTGGTTTGCGATTTGCAATCTAAATCTAGTATTTTAATATCAAAAATTTCTTCATGAAGAAAAGTAATATATATAGTACAATCAAAAAAAACCATACTTAATGTTCTGGGAGAACTACTTTGCAAGTATTTTAGATGATTAATTAGCTGAGATCGCTGAAGATATGTGCTTAAATTTATTTCTATATTCTAATTTTTAAGCCTTTTTAATAATATCGCATTTCTAACCTGATTATATATTTGATTTTTTATTAAAATAGCCTTTATAGATTTCTGAATTCTTGTTTGATTTTCCGATGCTAAATCTAAAGGACAATATCTTGTTCCATTTCCTGAAATATCTCCACGAAGCCTTCTAAGAGCACATGTTCTGCAAGATTTCCAACCAATAGGTGCTGAAACTGATTGAATTAACCATTTTGGCTAATATTTTAAGTATGAATTTAAAATATAAAATAAGACAAACTTTAAATTCGATGGTATGTTTAGGAAAACTTGATGATAAATCTTTCAATAAAAATGCATGATTTTCGCTAATGTCTAATAGTGTATTGCTAAACTTTTTTTTTCTTTCATATTTTTGTATAAGATCAATATTAAATTTTTTTAAAACTGCAATTTCCACCATAATAAGCTCAATAGATAAAATATAACGATCAAAAGGTTCGTAAAACAAGGGTATTATGATACTCTGTATAAATTTTAAATTTTCTAATGTAGAAATAGGATGTTGTGTTTTTTTTATTCTTAAAACTTTATTTATCTTTGAAAATTAATGATTCATAATATTTTTTCAAACTTACAAAAAAAGAATCACTTCCTTTGTATTTAAATATAACATTACGATTTCCTTCTGAAAAATATATCCAATCACTAGGATCAATTTTTGCTAGTTGATCAATATCCATAGATATAAAATTACAAAGATGGTCGACAAAATAAATATTAAATAAAATATAATATATAATTAAAATTTATATAATTAGAATTTTTTGGGCAAAATTACATACAATTATTATATAACTAACTTTCCAATCTTTTTTTTACAACTTTTTCATATTTATCAATATCAATATTTCCAGCATTCCAGAAAATAATTGCTCTTAAAATATAGCCTTCTATTATACGAAAATATCTTGAACAAGAAAAATCTTTCCATGACATATTAATAGATACTTGATCAATTATTCCTATAACAAAAACCCAGTCTCCAATATTAAATCGTAAATTAGAAATAAGAAGCGAAATATCAACTTCAATTGCACATGCTGAATGAAAAATAAGAATCCTTGCTGATGCTGGGTCATAATTTGAAATACTACAATAATTTAATCAAAAATCAAAACTAATATTTTTTAACTATACCATCCTAAAAGTCGTACTTTTTTTCCACAAAAAAAAGACGCATCTGAGTATATATCAGAAAGAAGAGCAATTGTGGAAGCAATAGGCCCATGGTAAACATCTTCCTGCATAACACGCAACTATAAAGGTGTCTATGAATATTAGCAAGCTCATCTACTCATAAAATAATTAAGACGTCGTTTATATCTTATTTAAAATAAATTCCATTTTGCCTTAGAAAATATATAAAACCTTAATATAATTAGTTAAACGCATTTTTTACAATTTTTACAATTTTAAATTGATTACAATCGATTCGTTAAACTTTCTCGATTTTTTTGATAAAAGTGTTCTAAATATAAAAAAGATATGACGATTTTAAAGCTTCATAAATATTTTATTTCATGATTTTGCTTTTTTATTTTTGGATATAAAAGCAAATATAAGTTTTTGAAGTAATAGGGAAAATGGCTATAAGCGCTTTCGAAGTTCAAAATGAAAGTGTACCAGATATTGTAACAAATGTTTATACTTATCTTAAATACACGATTTGTTCTAAAAAAGTTCGTTTAGAATCAGGATAATGCCGTTGTTCAATCCCGACCATTACGGAGTGTTCAAGCATATGCAAAACTAGAATTTAATGCATTTAGTTTTTATGTCCAGACATTACAGGTTATTATAGGACGTAAGGCAAGTAAATCGGACCAAGTAGATGTACATATTGGATCCACAAAGGCTATCTCTCGTCAGCATGCAAAATTATTTTATGATTTTACTTCTCAGCATTTTAAAATTTTTGTAATGGGTAAAAATGGAGCTTTTGTAGATGAACAATTTGTGGAATGTGGAAAAACTATTCCTCTTTATGACAAGTATTTTTATCTGTATATTACGTAATTCTTTTTATAATGGATATATAGGACAAAAATTCAAATTGGTAAAGTATTTTTTACATTTTTACTTCCAAATTCTACTGGAAAGGAAAATAATGAAAATAAAAAAAGTATTAATACAGATCAAATAAAGATTGAAAAATCTGAGTTTCCTGAGGGTAATTCTGAATCTTCAGTTAATGATTTAACTAAGTCGTCTTGCATAATATGCCCTGCTATAGAATTAGATCAAGAATTCGCCAAGGCTCATAAATTAGATATCTCATCAGAATCATTAAATGTTATGAATGACAAAATATCTGAGTTCGATAATGTTGATATTAATTTTCATAATGAACCTATATCTTTTCATGACAAGTCATGTAATATATCGACAAAAGAACATATTAAACCAGATTTATCTTATGCATCATTGATTGCACAAGCTATTTTGTCATCACCTACTAAAAAAATGACACTTTCTGATATTTATGAATGGATTACTCAGACATATAAATATTATAAATATGCTCAAAATGGTTGGCAAAATTCTATTCGACATAGCTTATCACTTAACAAAGTATTTAAGAAAATATTTAGGAAAGATGGTGAACCTGGGAAAGGTTCTTTTTGGACAATAAACTCTGAATATCAGGATCAGTTCAAAAGTGGTATTTATAAACGAAATCGGAAAAATATTATTTCTTTATCACCACAACATTTAATACCACAGTCTTCTTCCATAATTGATGACATTTCTTTAAAACCTCTAGGTGATTCTGTTCCAATTGCTATTATGCAAGATGGTCAATTGTCATTAAATCCTGAGTATTTTAATAGTGCGAATAACAACAATGACTTTAGTAAAGTACAAAGTAAGTAAAAATATGTATACTGAAAGCATTATATTTATATATAAAAATAGTTGTTCAAGCAATTGTTCTTTTACAGAAATATGTAATAACACAACTTGGACCTCATGCTAAAAATCCTCAGAATGCAGCAGCTATCGCAAATGCATTAATTGTTGCGTTGGATCAACAACTACAGAAACACAAATGCCATAAAGATTTTATTTCTACTACTTTCAAAAATCTAATTTCTTTACCTAGCATTATTGAAAAAGAGTCTACATCAAATGAATTTTCTAAAAACGAAAAACCTGCATTTAAACCACTCATGCCTTTAACATTTATGACACAAACGCCTCAAAATACAGATCTTTCTAAAACTGCATCTAATCTATCTATCAGTCAGTCATGCTCAATAAATGATGAACTAACGTCAAAACAATTATATCCTGTACAGATTCCACCGCCTCCTCCATATTATTCGAAACCGCAAACACCTAATGTTATAAATCATATATCATTGGATTCAACAGAAAAAAAAGAGCATATTCAAATTTCATCTTTAGAAAATTATTCAACGGATTCATCATTAAATTATAAACAAGGACGTAAACGGCCACATGAAAGCAGTGAAAAGGCTCTATGTTTTACAAATACAACAGATGCATTATTAGGGAATGATAATAAAAGCAAAAAAAATTAAATTAATAGTATAAAAATATTTATAACTTTCGTAAGATAAATTAGTTCAATAAATATCATTTGTATAAGAATTTTTTATACAAATAATTAAATTTACATTAACAATTAAACTTAAATCAATAATGTATACACCGAATTTACCACTTTTGAATATTGAACCTATGGACTATGAAATATTGAGTAATGTACATATATTTAAATATAGATTACAGGATTTAGGAAATGATTTGATACGGCTTAATAAGCATTTCTGAAAACTTTTTAAGAGCTTCAACACCTCTGACTTCTGTAGATACTTGAGGAAGTTTGATTATATGGAAATCCTCATAAAGCTCTACAATTTGATCCAGATATTTTTGCTGCATTCTGTGGCGTGAAAGGCATTGCTGACAGTCAGAACCTAATTTAATTTAAAAAAATTAAAAACTTCTCAGCAAAAGCTGACCTTTGACATTTAACAAAAGCTGGTTCACAACAATATTATGTGTATCAATCTCGTATGCTGTTAATTCTTGAATCATACGTTCCATTTCTATATTTTTAGACAATGCAAAGTCTTTTTCATTGTTTTACCATATAAACTTAGAAACTCACTTATACACACAGAAACAAATGTAGTAAGTTCTGCATCCTTAAACTGATTGTTCACTTCTGTAATCGTTGCTCTCATCTGATCAAGCTTCTTAAACATTTCATCCTGGTTAGTATTAAGCCCTATAATACTGCTCATCTGGCTAAACATAGGCCCAAATCGTGAACCAAGACCCGAAATCTTCGTAAGTGCTTTCTCAAGAACCGTAGGAAATGACAGGAAACGTAACGTATGCCCTGTAGGCGCCGTATCGAAAACACATACAGAATACTCCATCGACTTCACCTGTTTCATAATCTCCGCAAACCCCATTGCCTCATCCACCCCCGGAATAGAAAACGCCAGATCTTGCATCATCCCTGACATCGGTCCGTTTGTCTGTATCTCTGCTAAACCATCTAAGCTTCTCCCACTAGACTTTTCCATTCATACATTGCTCAATCATCTCCTGGATCGATGACGTCGGATCAATTTCCTAACTGTTTCATTTTCCCCCCAAAAAACACTCTAAAAACACACCATTGCAAAAAGATTCTCAAATCCATTCACTTTACATGCTTCTTTTCCAAATTTTTGTCCAAATGCATCTGACAAATTATGTGCCGGGTCCGTTGAGATCAAAAGAACCGATTCACGTACTCTTGATAACTGAATAGCAAGTGAACATGATGTTGTCGTTTTTCCTACGCCTCCTTTTCCCCCTACATCTCAGCAATCCTCTTTTTTTCCCTCTCACTCACCAACAAAGATCCATTTCAGCGACCGCTGCTCAATTATATTTTCTAACGTCGGTTCAAGTATTTCTTCCTCAAAACTCATCTATTTTTCTTCTTTCTTCTCTTTTTCTTCTTTTTTTCTTCTTATTTGTTCTTATTTATCCTTATTTCTACTTATTTTTCGCTTATTTTCGATTCTTCGATTTTCCGACTTTTGAGTTGCACTTCTATAGGGTTATATTGAGAGATCTTTGAGGGTTACAGTTACCGTACGATAACTGTATGTTCTCCGCCGATTTCAATAAACCCAAAAACAATGTTTTGCATAAACCCTATTTTTCCGACAATTGCTGTATCTGTTTTTTCCTTGTTTTCTTTTTTGCATTTCTCTGTTTTGCCTCTTTTTTCCCTGTTTTCTTGTGTTTTCTTGTATTTTTGCTTTCTTTGCTGTCTTTCTCTTCTTTTTCTCTGCTTTATCTTCTATATTTCATATATACCATATATAATTTACTTATTTCCGTGTTTTCTAGTTGCCGCTCTTGGTCTAGTTGGTTATGGCCCTCGGCTGTAAAGGAAGATCACTTTGCGGTGGCTACCGAGTGGTCCCCGGTTCGATTCCGGGAGAGCGGATGGGTTTTTGCAGTGCTTTTCTCGTTTCCATGACTACTCTTTTCGATCTCTGGCAGTTAAACTGTTTAATACTTCGTAAGCGGGTTAATATACTGAGGCGGTCTTAAGACCTAAATCTTAAGGCTAAGAAACTCTTAAGAGAAACTCTTAAAAGATTGACTCAAAGTTTGGTGCCAATTAGACATTTTAGCCTTACTTTAGGCTGATTCAGTCTAAGGTCTTAGTCTGTTTAGTCCATGTTAGTTTGTAAGCTGCTTAAGTTCAAGCTTGAGCTAAGTCTAGCTGTTATTTGAGGTCGTCTTGTGTTAATGTGCGGTGCTTAGCTACCTGTACTATCTATGTCCTTAGTATGTGTGTTCTTATACTGTGTATACTTGTGCTCGACCAAGGCAGTCTGCTATTATATATAAGACTATAAGACAAGCGTTTCTAATTCTAAGGTTAAGCCTAGCTAAGTACAGTCTGCCTTTACTAAGCCTTAAGTTAACTTAAGGTTAAGTTAAGGTTGGTTTACTTAGAGTGAGGGTTAAGCTAATTTTAACCTAAGATTAATCAAAGTTAAATTTAAGGTTAAGCCGGCTCTGTAACAGACAGTCTGCCAATGGAGGCACCACGACTTGCACTAGCAAAACTACCAAGTGGGCCTGCGCCTATTACAGCAGAACAACGCTATTGGCGTGGATTCAAGGTAGACAAAGAGTAGTACAAAGCAGTGCTGACGGGAACAGTCGTACATAACACACAAGGAAATTGCGTCTGTTTCACATATCCACTTTTGTGCCAAAGACCCCCACGACTTTGCAGTAACAAGCTCAGCACGCGTCCAAATATATTCTTCACAGACATGTAGAGTTAAAAAGAGCATTGCTCGGTTTAAAGACACTGCATATTGTGGTGAAATTCGTCAAGACGGAAGAATATTGATTGCAGGAGACGCAGGAGGAACTGTTCAGCTGTTTGATACAGCAACACGGTCGATTCTAAAGAGCCTTTACTCACATAAACTTGCAGTACATGTAACAAAGTTCTCGCCTTGCAGACAAACAGTGTTTCTCTCGGGATCAGATGATAAGACAATCCGAATATGGGATTTAACAGAGTGTATAGAAACATGTGTATTAGAAGGAAATGAAGATTATATAAGAGCAGCGGAATTCCTATATACATCAGATGTGGTTCTAAGTGGAGGATATGACGGGACAGTTCGTCTATGGGATACACGAATTGGAGGAGATAAAAGAGAAATAAAAAGGTTTCAACATGGAGACAGTGTGGACGCAGTTGTCTCACTTAAAGAGGGATCAATTATTTTAAGTGCAGGAGGGCCGGTAATTAAAATATGGGATGTAGTAGGAGGAAGAGAACGAGCACTTAAAATAATACAGAAGCATCAAAAGAACGTAATGTGTCTTATAAGAAATAAAGAGGGCTCAAGAGTTCTTAGTGGAGGACTGGATAGACATGTAAAGATATATGACGTCAAAGATTGGAAAACAGTGCACAGTATAAAGTATGCAGGAGCAGTGGTATCACTAGGAATATCGGTATTAAATGGAATGTTTATTGTAAGAGAGTCTAAAGTGTGATTTAGCCGGATAATAAGCATCTTGCAGTGGGGATGGTATCAGGAGTACTTTCTATTCGGTCAAGAGAGACAGGGAAAAGGGTGCCGGAGAGGACAGAGAGGATAGGAGAGAGAAAAGGGAGGGAAAAAGTTGATAAAGCGGAAGGGATTGAAGAAATAGATCTATTTGGGGTGCTAGATGGGACGGGAAGTGTTTTGTATAGAGAGAGGGGAGATAAAAAGGAAAAAAAAGGTGGAGAGATGTTAGTAATAGAAGAGGAAAAAAGAAAAAAACTTCGGGAATATGATAAGGCATTGAAGTCGTTTCGGTATGGAGATGCACTGGACATGGTGGTGGAAAAAGTAAGTATAGAGGAGAGAAGGTGTTTTTGTTGATGTAAAGTAGGAAAAAGCGGCTATAGTTATATATACGATGATTAATGAATTGAAGCATCGACAGGGATTGCGGCAGGCGCTGGAGAATCGGGATGATATATCGTTGGAGCCGATTTTGCGGTGGCTTATTCGTTATTTGGGGAATCCTCGTTATGTGTTTACGATTATTGATGTTTTTATGATGATTATTGGTATTTTAGAGAGAGGTTGACTGGAAACTGACGTTTATAGATTTATATGGAGCAGCGCTAGGACATTCGGTTCTGATTCAAAATCTTTTAATGCGTTTATCAAAACGAGTTTCTCAGGAAATCGAGTACTGTAAAGAGGCATATTCATGTAGCGGAATGCTTGAGATGCTTTTTCGGGAAAACCAAGGGATATGAATTTATGTTAATTATTTATTAAAAAGATAAATAATGCGATATATCCAAATTAGTATATGTGTATACAAGAGATGTTTATGCAGATTTGAAAATCGGATAGATTAAGTTTCTATTTTCGAAAAGAATTATCGGATTATGTATGACAAACGCTATATAGGGAAGGAGATGGTTAAAAGAAACGTTTGATTATTTTTTTGGATAGATATGCTTAAAAAAGAAAAATTGGGTTGAAAAATTAGTATAAATTAGATGTAGAGAATCATTTTATTTACAAAAACAAAATATTGGACAAAATTAAGCAATATAAATTTTGAAGGGAATGTCAACATTATTATATAAATACCCTAACAAGAGATTATTGTCTATGTTGCTTATCAGTGCTGGGTCTGCGAGTGTTGTTTATTATATTTATCGTAGTAAGTATTTTATTTTTTATAGAGATATTTAACGATACTTTGTAGATAAAAGTTATACAAATATTCCAGAGGGAAAGATTCGTAGATTAGAAAAAAAAGCGGAGCACATTTATGATAATGTTTCATCTCATATGAAAGATGCGTATCATAATGGGAAAAAACAAATCAATGATATTGAAAAAAGTTGTGAAAAAAAGGTTCACGATTGGATTGATCAGGTTGATACGAAAGTGGATAAAATCAAAGATACATTAAAAAATAAATAATTTTTATGTAAATTATAATAGTTTTAAGTATTATATTTTGTATTGAGTTTCTTAATAGAAATTAATAACTAAAAATAATATTAATACACTACACAATAAAAAATAGTATGTGCGTGATATAGTCTAATAAAAGTTATGTTTGAAACTCTGTTTGTTTTAATTCGAGGTTTTTTTTCAACTCTGCAAATTTATAGTTACGATGAAATTTTATAGCAGAAAGTGTATTACTAATTTTAATAATCTGACAGAATTCAGGAAAAGTATTTGCTAAAACAGTAAGAGAATGCTGTATTTCGCCTATATTTTGTTAGTTATAAAAAATAGAATTATACTTTATACTATTAGACAATGGTTGTTTAAGAGACGATGTTAATGCAGTAACTACTTCTGATATAGAAAAAGCAGATTTAGAGGGATAAGTTGCTAACAGACTTAAGATGTAAGATGTTTTGAAAAAAATATGTAAACATACATAAATAGACAATCGATAATATTTGATAATTTTTGGAGAGCGGCAAGATGTGTAAAATTAGATGATATTTGCATATTTTGAGTATGCTTGAACCGAATCTTTATATTAACTAGAGTTAGAAATACTCTTAAAAATATGTACTTTTACCCTTTCCAATAAAGAAGCCTGGCGATATTTCAAACCCTTATGATCTATAGGACTAGAAGAAATTGTAGATATAGTTTTTTTTTGAAGTCCTTGAATAGCTTGTTTTTTTTTTTCTGAAAAATAAATATTATCCTTAGAAGGATTTTTTGGAATAAGTTCTTTAAGATTTATATTATTAAAAGGTGGTGATTCAAGATAAGAACGAAATTGTTTCAGTCGAGTTGTTAAATTAAATTTTTTAGAAGGAAAATCAATAGAAAGACTCCCTATTCGTGTGCCATTAAACAAGATAATCACTGGAGATATCTTGAACGAGTCTGGCCATATATTTATTATTGTTTCAAGAGATTCCAGTGTAAAAGATTTCTTAGCCTGCATTTCAACAGATTGTTGAAGATGATGAAAAGATGCAGAACCTTCTCCATTATTTATTGCACGATAATATACAAGTGCATTGTCAAGTGCTGAAAAAATACTAACAATTGATGTATTTAATTGATGTGTATTTGGGTTTTCTTTTTCTTTTGAAACTTGATTTCTATAATTCTCCTCAACATTTATTCGTTTATTAGGCAATTCAGGCCCCAATGGCTTTTTTCGTTTAATTGATGTAGGTTTTCCTGGTGGAAGAAATGTGTATATGGGTTTAGACATTTTTTTGACGTTTTTGTTTCATCAAAGGGCTGGGCATTTAAGATCCCAGCCCTCGGTTAGACGTCATTATTACGTATCCATAAAAATGTTAAGAGGTAATAGAAGAAAATTAATTAATATTAACTGAAATGTATAGGATCAAATGCTGGTTATGATAGACATATTACTATTTTCTCTCCAGAAGGTGAGTTGTTTTTTTTCAAGACAAATCTAACAATATATAGGCCGACTGTACCAAGTGGGTAAGTTTAGTGCTTTTAATATAATGTTTTAATACCTGTGTATTAGAATACGCTTTCAAATCAGTCAACTTAGCAGGTATTACGTCTGTTGCAATAAAAAGCAAAGATTGTGCTGTTTTTATTTCACAGAAAAAAATTCCAGTATGTTAATTTTTTAAATTATTCTTTTATTTTATATATCTAGGACAAACTTGTTGATCCTGAAAGTGTTACGTATATTTTTCGTATTACTGAAAATATTGGATGCCTTGTAACAGGCCAAATATGTAATTTTTTTTTTCTCAACCATAACTAACATCCTTAGCTGATGCACGTGCGTCTGTTAATAGGGCTCGTAGTGAAGCAGCTGATTTTAGATATAAATATGGATATGAGATTCCGGTTGACGTTTTAGCAAAGCGTATTGCAAATATTAATCAAGTTTGTACTCAAAGAGCTGCAATGCGACCACTTGGAATTTGTAGGTGTTTTTTTTATTTAAATATTTGGCCTTACTTTTCAATTTAGCTTCAATATTTATTGGAATAGATGATGAAAAAGGACCTCAAGTATTTAAATGTGATCTTGCTGGTTACTATGCAGGATATAAAGCAACTGCATCTGGTCCAAAAAAACAAGAAGCTATTAATTATCTTGAAAAGAAATTTAAGTCAAGCAATTTTGAGGGGTCGTGGAAAGATATAGTTGAGGTAATAATTTTTAAATACTTATTATCATGTTTACTTTCATTTTTAGTTGGCTATTAATACTCTATCTTCAGTTTTAAATATAGACTTTAAAGCTACCGAAATTGAAATAGGAGTTGTTGGTGCTCCCCTTAAAGAAGGTGCACCTCCTTCAAATATTTTTAGAGTTTTGAGTGTAGATGAAATTGATGAACGATTGCAATCTATTGCTGATAAAGATTGATAATACTGTTATTTTATGGTCCTTATTTTCGTCTTTTGAATATAGGATAATGATTATTTTAGAAATATAAAAATATTTAATATTTTATTATAAAAATGTTATAATTATAAAATATTATTTAAATCTTGAATCTTTTGATATTTCAATTTTTAATTGATTTTTTAAAATCTGATATTTGTCTTGATATGATAATTGTATTTCAGTGTTTCTATGTAATAAGATTTAATAATAAAATGCGTAATTTATATACTTTTTTAAACATGATTGCTTTTGAAAATAAGATATATTATGTTTATTAAAAATCATTGTTATGATTTAAAATAACTCAAAAAAATATTAAAATAATAAAAAGTTATATAATATTTAAAAAAAAATATATTTTTATTGATATTTTTACTGGTTATTTTCTTTTTCAGTATTAAAAATTATTTTTATTATCGAAATCATAAATCTAACAATTAAGTTTTTTATTAACAAAATTAAATTGTAATTTTGCAATTGTGTAATTGTATTTCGAAATAATTGGTTTTTTCTAGCTATTCGTGGCTTGGTTAATGATTTTTTGTGATTTTTATGTCAAATACCAGGAAAGCAAATGCATTATATCGATTAGTTTCCAATTATGTTGTTAAACAACCTGATAATCCACAATCTTCAGAGAAGTTTGAAAATACTTTATTATTATGTGAAAAAATTTTAGATGCGTTTGTTTACTATTTTTATGTTTTTATTTTTAGTAATTTTCTGTATAGTTCTTTTTATGCTTCTAAAAGTTATGATATTGTTATTGTTTCAGATGCTATAAAAAAGAAATGTAAAATTATATTAATACTACAGTTTTTATTTTAATAGGACTATAGTACTTCGAGAAAATTCTACTCCTGAAAATGCAATTAGATTTATCAATTTACTTTCTCGTTTACAAACTCAAGTAAAAATTTAAATCTTTACATTTAAATTCTTATTTTATTTTAGGACATACTGGAGAAAAAGGCTGAAATTTTACAGTTTTTATATAGTCTTAGTGATTTAGCTTATATGCCTACCAAAATAGAGGTCTGATGATTTATTAATTTTATTATTGAATTAATTTTATAAAGAGTGTTAAAAGCTCGTTTTCTCATATGAATTATTATGAAGATACTGCTGATTCAGATGTATTTTTCTCTGCTATATCTTCTGGTTTTACATCAGCTTTAGATGTTTCAAAATCTAAGAATTTTACACCAAAATCTCTTCTTTTAAAAGCACCATTAGTTATATCTCAAAATTATGGTATGTTTTTGAATGTATTAGTAGGTTTTTAAAAAAGATGTTTTAGATATATCTGAATCTTTACTTTTGAAAGATATCTGTTTTATTTTGCAAGGAATAAGTTCTGCGAGCGTAATATTTTCTGGTAATGGCTCAGCAGTTATATCTTCAAAATTTCCTCCCACTATTGCTTCCTTGTTAAGTTATATTGTTGAGCCAGGTTTACTTTATAAACAGCTTTCTATTGTTATTTCATCTTCTCAAGATATAAAAAATACTAACGGACTTATTAAACAAAGTTTTTTTTCATATTTGGATCAGGAATTATCTGCATATTTAAGTTTAGTATCTGCATTGGAAGTAGAAATTCGAAAAGATCTATTATTATCTGATGATCATTCAGAAAAACGTTCTGTTACTTTAAAAAGAATTATTATATGGACAAGAGAAGCTTCTATGGGCCTTCGATTAATGACATTGATGGTAGAAAATTGCAAAAGTATTATATTTAGGTTAATATAAATGATATACTAAATTATTTAGATTTAAAAGGGGGTCAACTTATTAATTGTATTCTTGAGTTTTCTTCTCATGGAGATCCTTTTGTTCACGAGTTTGCAGAAAAACTTATAGAATCTTTAACAAAGCCATTTTATAACATGCTTAAGAAATGGATTTATGATGGTGAACTTTTAGATCCTTTTCAAGAGTTTTTTGTTGTTGATAAAGGAATCGATACTAAATTAAAATTAGAAAACTCTATTAATATTGTTTGGGAAGGAAAATATGCATTAGATTTAAATATGTTACCAAACTTTATATCTGAAAGTTTAGCTAAAAAAGTTTTTTTAATTGGAAAAAGTTTAAATTTTATACGTTATGGATGTGGTGATGATGAATGGGTACAAAAACATAGTAAAGATTCAATGAAAGGTAATACTTTTTTTGCTAATACATTTTTAGTAATAATAAAAATTAGATTTGATTTATGATGACATAGATCTTCTTGAACGTTCCATTGATGCTGCATATTTAACCACTTCTTCTCGGTTGATAGGATTAATGTCTACAAGATTTTCTTTTTTTGATCATTTATATGCTTTAAAAAAATATCTTTTATTAGGACAAGGAGATTTTATAGCTTTTCTTATGGAATCTTTAAGGTAATATTTTTTTTATTGAAAACAATAGTCTTTAATTTAATGATAGTTCAAGTTTAGATAAACCTGCAAATATGTTATATAGGCATAATCTTACTGCCACTCTAGAATCTGCAATAAGAGAGTCTAATGCTCAGTTTGATTCTCCAGATGTAATTAAACGATTAGATGCACGTATGCTTGAAAGGTCTCATGGTGAAATTGGATGGGATATATTTACTTTAGAATATAAAGTTGATTCTCCTGTCGATGTAATCGTTACACCGTATTGCAGTAGGCAGTATCTCAAAGTTTTTAATTTTCTTTGGAGATTAAAAAGAGTTGAGTTCGCGCTTAGTAATTCATGGAAAAAAAGTACAACAGGTGAACGAGAGATTTTGAGGGCTATGAAAGGACCTGTATATAAACAATGGCAGTTGGCTAGGTGCACAAATGCAGAAATGATTCATTTCGTATGTCAATTACAATATTATATTTTATTTGAGGTATTTATTTCTTTTTTTTCTAATTAACTAGTAAAGGTTATCGAATCATCATGGGATGTGTTTTATTCTTCTATTTCAAAGTCTGACTGTACTCTCGATACATTGATTGAAGCACATGCTCAGTATACAACAAATATAACACATAAAGGATTATTAGGATCTGGAAAAGTAAGGAAAGATGATTCACTTTTATCACAATTGCATGAAATTCTTAAAGTTATATTATTTTTTAAAGAGACTTTGGTTTGAGGATAATATTTTTAGGAATTTTATTTAAGTATTTATAGGATCATTTTTATGGATATTCTTTAACAGAATATATTCAACAATGTCAAGCGTTCAAAATAAAAGCTAAAACAATTAAAGTATACATATATGATTATGTAAAAATATAATTAATGTTTGTAGAGTGATATAGAAGTTAGTGATTATTCTAAAACAGAATCGTTAGATGTTAAAACGGATAATCCAGAATTTATTATTGGAAAATTAAATAGTCTTGCAAAGGAATTTCGGGCTTTGGTTATTATACTTTTAGGAGACCTTGCATATCAATCAGATAGTGAAATGAGATTTCTTGGTGTTCGTTTAAACTACAATGAACATTATCACACATCAAAAAGGACATATTAGGAATTTAGAGTAAAATAGAAATAGATAGAACATAGGTTAGCATGTTGATAATAGATATTTAAACATTTTGATGAAGTTTGTTATTTTAAAATAATTAAAAAAATTAGAAAAACAAAAATCATGTATTGTAATTTTTGTTAAAATTATTAAAGTGTATATACTTAGCTTATTTATGCGTATTTATGTATTTTATAATTATATAAATTGTATTAATTTTTAGTAATTTTTTTTTTCTAAAATATTTCATTATAATTAAGTTGAATTAAAAATAATTAATAATTAGTATAAATATTGATATAAGATTTTTTTAAGTAGAAGTATAATTATTTAATATATTAGTATAATTTTTTTTGAAATGTTATTTATTTTAGTATATATTAATTTTGATAAATAATATTATTATTAAATATTTTTATATTTTAATAAATTCAAGTATTTGGTTTTGGTTATATATATAAATATATATTATAATTTATAAATTAATTTATTATTTGATAAATAAAAAATTGTTGTTTTGGAATTTTTTGAATTTTAATAAAATTAAAAAAAGTAATAATGAAAAATATAATGTTAATTATATATATAAACCATATATTTATTTATTAATTAATTTTTATTTTAAATTATAAGAATTATAATATAATATTGATATAATTTAAAATTAAAAAATTTGATTTTATTTTGTTAAAATGTTTTAAATATTATATTATTTGAATTTAAAAATTTTCACATAATTATTTGATTAAAAGTATTTAAATAGAATATTTTTGAATAGGGATTGATGTTAATATATAAACTTAAAGATTTTTTATCTATGTTTTATTTAGTTTAAATCTCAAATATTAAAATACAAAAATTCTAATTTAAATGCAATTTGGTTATGTAAAAAATATAAGTTAGAAAACTCTACAATATTTTATACTTAATTTTAAGATAAATTTTGATTTTTTTTAACTCTAGATAAACTCTTAAAAATCGCTATTTTACAATCAGGTATATTGGATTAAAAATAAATTTGTTGCAAGCATATGTTAATGTTATTGTTTGTATTATACAGCAGAAAGGTAAATGTTATTTTTAATATATAAAAGCATATAAAATACGATTATATATTAAGTGAGAGCTTAATTTATAATATTATAAATATTATTAGTTGTTATTTAAATTTATTAGGATATTTGCCGTTTTTGAAAAAAATGTTTGGATGTGTACACGTTCCTAAAGCACGCACCATGTGTGTATCACAATAGGTTAATCCAATACTGAAACTAGCATTTACCCAACCGAATCCCTCCCTAGCTACACCCTTAATATCAACTCCTTGATTACCATATTCTGCGTTAACTCTATGAGGATCAATTTCATTGGTAATATTGTATTTTTCGACAACTACACCATTAAAATCAACAAATGATTTAGTGACAGTATAAAGCCAACGATAAATTAACCTCTTTGCTTCATTTTCATATCCGTATCTCATTAACCCTTTCCATGCAAGTATTTGCTGAGGTGCCCATCTAAAAATATTAGAAAGAAAAATTATCAACTACTTTATACCCATATGGATAATCCCATTGACGGTTTGCTTTCTTTGAATTGATACGTTCTTTTGATTGCTTTGTACCTGCAACTAATCCTCCTAAACATTCGAATTTTTTAAAATTTTTTTCAATTAAAGTAGCAGCTTGTCTAGGACTAGCACAACCTGCCCATAAAGCCCAAAACGTTGTAGCACTTTCATATGTGCCTTGAAACTTATTTACAGTTTCATAATCAAAATAAAGGCCTTTCTCTTCGTTCCATAAATATTTATCGATTGCTGCTCGTCTTTTTATAGCTCGTCTTACCCAGATAGCACTTGATTCAATACTTCCATCTGGCATAATAAATTTATCATCAAAGTATTTTTTTATAACATCGGCAATATCTGTTTCATATTTATATAAAAGAGAATTTAAATCAATAGTAGCTAAATTAGCACAATTTTTTTCTAGTCTAGACGATGTATCATGACCGCTTTCACGTACTGCCCTATCATGTAAAAAATATTCATCTAATTCTGGCTCATAAATTTTTTGATAATTATATGCATGTTGAAATTCCTCAAATGTCATGTTATATTTTTTTATATAAGGTTCTAAGATATACATAAAGTGAGTTGTTTCTGTCTCCGGAGGGATCCCTAAACCAGTGGGTCTATATCTTGAAAGACCTGTTATAGGATCAATTCTTGGAGCCGAAGTCCAAACAGTATAATATTCTTTAATAGCAGACTGAAATGCACTTTTAAGAAAATCTAACGATTCTGGTTTATGTTTTATTTTATCATATACATTTAACGCCATATCTGTAAGAAACGGTGGTTGTGATCGACAAAGATAATAAGTTCTATTTGCGTTTAAAATCATACCATAATGCTATATTATGTTAATTTAAAAATTTAAAATAAAATTTACGTAAACTAACATTAATCTCAAAAGACAAATTTTCAACCATCCCTTTTGCAATATCAACTTTACCATCAACAATAAGTCCTAATGCTTCAAAATATGAATCCCATCCTAAAATACAGATAAGCTTAAAATAACAAAGTTTTATTTACATACCGTACATCTCGTTAAACCGTCCTCCTGGTACTACAAATGGAACTCCTCTTAAATCTTCCACACCATTATTATTAATATATTTTTCCATAGCTAAAGCTAAAAGACCAGGCTTTTCGTTAATATCTCTAACCCATTCTTCTGTAATAATTGGGGGTAAATACTCTACTATTAACCCAATATGTGGCTTCGTTTTAGCTGCAGAAACATAATATTCATAAATTTCTTTCTCTGTGTGAGGAACATATATTCGTGGGGCGTTATGTCCACTTTTTGTATCTGCACAAACAATTTCTAACATACTAGAGTCAATTCTACGGGTTAAATCATCCCAGAAAGCTTCACGAATGAGTCTAGAAAGACGGGATACAGGATTTTCATTTAATCTTCTTTCATCTAACAATACATAAGATCGGCCATAGTCTTTTGCTAAAGTAAGTTCTTGGAGTAAATTTGAAAGCATATATGTTCCTCGGATATCAAAGTGATTAATCCCCGTTGAATTCACTGTTCCAAGAGTTAAAACCTTTGGTCCTGAATCTTCTATAGTTATTTGCATGTTTCCATCAGTATCTAATTTAATCAGTATAAATATTATAAATGCTTTATATTATAAATATTACCTTCATTCCTTAATAGAACCTCCATTGTGTTTTCAACATCTACAAGAAACCTTCTAGGAACAGTATGATTTTCATCTATAATATGTTGGTTTTGTTCTAATTAGTAAAAAAATCTGTAAACAAACCATGAGATGCTCGTCGTCGAATTGAATGATTATTAGTTGATGGTAATATATTTAGATACGTTTGAGCCTAAAACACCATGAATATCTTCTCGTGCTCTCAAATTATATAATACTGTAGAAAGTGTTCTGTTTCTTCTGATAGCAGCTTTTACTGTTTCATCTGTTTCTTGTGTATAATACGTATATGCAGGTAAAAAAGGATTGGTATTTTCTAACGGATCATCCCCGCTATTTCCCATAAAAGTTTTGATTTCTTTATGAATATGATGCGTTTATTAATATTTTATTAATATATTCTTTATGTATAATCACTTTTTAATAAGATCCGTTATTTTAGATAATATAAAAATGATAAAAAAAAAACAAAATATATAAATAAATGAAGAATCTATATAAAAAAACGCATGTGTTTTAAAAAATCTTTTAAATGGAATTTTTAATCTAATATTTGAAAAATAAATGAAAAAATAGAAATAGATGAAAGAATAAAAATACATGAAAAATCATTATAGAGTTTTAAAAGAGCAAAAAGTCATGTCTTTATGATTGCGTATCATAATCTATTGTAACAGGACCCTATTTATGAGGTTATTGACTATTTTTTTATATGTGAATCTTACATCATTTATTAGTTGAACTTCCATCATAGCACCAAAAATACCCTCTTTAATTTTGTCATCACCTAAATTTTGTCGTAGTTTTTCTAATATACGTATGTACAATTCTTTGGCTTCTTCGCCTAAACAACCATTTAGAAAGCTATTTTTGTAAGTAATTTATAATAAAATACTATACTTTTTGCTGCCATATGAAAATCTGGTTTAGATTTTTTTATTCTAGCTTGTAATGTAAACTGAGATACTGGTGAAGTATTAATATTACATCTAATTGTTAAAAAAGATACTTGCCACATAAAATTTCACCTCCAATATCTTTAATATTTTGGTTCCATTTTTTCCTAGTTTTAAATAAATTATGTAAAAAAGTATAATTTATGTAAAATACCGCTCACCGTCTTTGATACTATCAAATAGCCGTAGTTTCAAGATTGTTTGAGTAAGATTCTCTACATCTGAAATGGTATCGTCTTTCTTTTTTAAATCACTTAAGTTGTATTAAAATTTATATTTACATTTACTTATACCAACAAATACAACTAGACTATGCTAATCAGTTATTACAAATTCAAGTCTTCTTGATGCATCATTAATAAAATACCCTTGTGATATAGATGAAATTTTTTGATGATTTACTAATTATAAGTATTCATTTAATATTTACGAAGAAACTAAAAAATAAAACTACCTTTAACATTTGCGCTAATAACTCTTTGTATTACTGCATGCATTTTAGTTGTTTAATTTTTTTATTATTTCCCCTATAAAACTTGGTTAATATTATAAGTTATGAATATATTTTTAATCTGCGGATTTAAAAAGTTGAAAATATATATATATTTATTGAAATTATTTAAATAATCTTTTATGTTTAATAATCTTATATGAATATTCAAATTTTTGATGTATTAAATATCAGTTTTTATAAAGTAAATTGAAATAGGATTAAAAATTATTTTATAAAAGAAATGATAAAAATTTTAGCTCGACCGTATTTTGAAGATAGTTTATTTTTTCTTGTTCTTTAGTACTTTCAAGATTTTTTTTCAAAACCATTGAATTGTTTTTTTAAAAATATTGCTAAACAGAATTGATTCATACTAAGGTGAAAAAAGGCTTAATCTGTAAACTCTTTTATAATGTTTAATATTTATAATTAGAGCTAGTATTTTACATGTAAATATTAATTATTTGTATAAAATTGATTATTTAAAGAAAATTTTTTACATTGAGTTTTTATGTTTTTTATTTTGAATGTTTAATCGAAGTTTATTTTAACCGTTAACCTAATGAAATATTTTAAAAATTAACTGTAGGAAAACAGCGCATATATATTCTAATATTTTCTATACAGCAGGAATTTATAATAGGAATACTATATTATATCTTTTAAAATGAAAAAAAAAATCAAGAAAGTATCAGAATCAAAATCAGATAGTACGTTGTATAAATAATATTTAAGTATAACTAACTGAAGAATTAGGTAGTGCCGCAAAGAATTTTGAAAAATTTACAGGAAAAACAGATAAACATCCAAATGAATCAAAAATATGTGTGTTAGAAACACCGAAATCTTTATGTTCTCATGAAACAAAAAAGAGGTTTTCGTTTTTTGGACGTATTTGTCGTAATAAGACAGGAAAATCATTGGAACCGCATGTTTCGAGAGAAGGCTTTTCAAGTGAATCTGTTTCAAAAATCAATGCGGATGCATCTACCTTTTGTTATTCAACATCAACAATTTCATTTTCCCCGAAAATTTATAACGATACTCAATATGTATCACCTAGTAATTCTATTTTTGACAAATCTCATGTTTTTGAACGTTCAGTTGACTATTCATCTTTAACTTTTTCTTCTCCATCAACATCTGTTTCAATTACACCGTCTGTTTATAAAATGTGTTCAGCTGATTCTATTCACCAACAGAGAATAGGTATAAAATTTTTATTGTTTTTTTTTCTTATTTTTTATAGTTGACAATCATGTGCCTACTGTTTTAGATGCAAGTATGGAAATTTTGAATGATTCTACTAATATGGACAACATTGAAATTGTTAGTATTAAACGTCTTTATTCACCAATAGAATCTTTTGATCCCTTTCAACTCAAAGATTCTTGGACATCATATGCATCTTCTTTATATACTAGAGAAACGTCACTTAGTTTTGTTTCTTATGCTGATCTTGTTAATGTCGATCATTGTGAAACTTTTTCTCCCATTCTGACAGTTACTAATGGTTCAAAACTGGTAACATTGTCTTCAGATCCTGAACATATCTCTTTAGAACAGACATTATTAGGGGAAGGAGTTAAACGTTTGCTTTTTAATTCAGAACGTATCTCTAATGGGTAATATGATCTGGTATTTACTTTAAATCGTTGGTTTGGTTTTTGTAATGAAAAACGATTGAATAGTTAATATTTATTACTCCTTTTACATATTGTTTTTATTCGATATAAATTAAAGTTCTAGTTATGATATTATGGATAATACCATGCTTTTATAAATTGAATGTTTTTAACTTTGTATATTAGAATGAAAGCTTTATTTTGAAGTTTTTGGACCTTAATTATTTTAGTTTCAACATGTATTTTTATTTTTCAGGATATCTTTTTGTATTAATAATAATTTTTAATAATTTAGTATTTTTTGTTTCTTTATATTCTTAGCACTACTATATATGGTATTATAAGTTTAAAATATTTATAGTTTAAAATAATTTTTATAATTTTTATTATAATTTAAATGATTGAAAATGATTAAGTCAAGCAATAAAAAAGTGTTTTTATTTAATAAATATGTCTAAGAAAGCATTTCAATCCACTACTAGGGGTTTTTTGGCTACATCTATAGCTAATGTATCATATCTCATTACCTTACAATTTTTTTCTAGATTGATTACATTTATTTTGAATCAAATGATTTTAAGATTTACTATTCCTGAAATTTTTGGATTTGCAATGGTTCAAGTGGAATTATTAATTTCTATTATCCTTTTTTTGTCTAGAGAAGGGTTTAGAGTAGCTCTTCAACGTCATGACATTTTTAAAGAAACTAAACAAGAAAAAAATACAAGTAGTAAAGAAACATTAGTATATGATAAACCAGAAGACGAAGTAATCCAGAGATTAGTTAACTTGGCTTATGTCCCAATTCCTATTAGTATTGTACTTTCTATCTTGGTTTTCTTTTTTTATATACTGATTGCTAGTAACTCTACAAAAAAGCAACCTGTCTTTAAAGAAACTATTATTTTATATGTTTTTTCTACTGTGATTGAAATTTTTACTGAGCCTTTGTTTATTCTTACACAGCAGTATTTTTTATATAAAATTAGAGCTATTTCTGAAGCTTCTGCAATATTTTTAAAGTGTTGCATAACATTTTTATTGACATATTGGTTTAATTTAAATGGAAATATTAGAAAATATGGAGCTCTCCCGTTTGCTTTTGGGCAATTAGGATATAGTGTAATACTATTTTTAAGTTATTTTATTTTATTATCAAATAGTTTGCAGGATAAGTTATGTTTTTTTCCAAGAAAAATATATTCTTCGTCTAATAAAAGGTTTATTTTATGAAACTAGTATTTTTGTCTAATATTTTTATTAGTTTATATCTTTTCCATCAACCCACTTTAATGTTAGCAATAACTATAACTTCTCAATCACTGTTTAAATATATTTTGACAGAAGGTGATCGGTTTCTTATAACATGGTTTATGACAGATTTTGAACAGGGAATTTATGCATTAGTTGTGAATTATGGTTTTTAGTTTTTGTTTTTTAAATTACTTTTGATATTCTTAGGATCTCTTATTGCAAGATTAATATTTAATCCAATTGAAGAATTATCAAGAAATGTTTTTTCAAAACTTTGTTTGAAAAGAAATAATGATAAATGTTTACTAGCTCGGAATATTTTGCTTGTTATTATAAAATTATATATAATTTTTGGGATATTTGTTATAACTTTTGGACCATTGTATTGTTCAGTTTTTATAAAAATTGTAGCAGGTTCAAAATGGAGTAAAACATATGCACCTTCAGTTTTAAAGTTATATCTTTTTTATATTCCTATTATGGCTATAAATGGAATAACAGAAGCGTTTGTACAAGCTGTTGCTACACCAAATGATATTAAAAAGCAAAGTTGTTGGATGTTTTTTTTTTCTGGATTATTTATGTTTATGGGATTTATTTTTTTAAATTATTTTAAACTGGGAATAAATGGTATAGTTTTTATTAATATGATTAATCTTAGTGCAAGAGCTATTTGGTCTCTTGTTTATATTCGTAATTATTTTGGCAATTTAGTAATTGAATTATTTTTTCCTTCAAAAATGTTTTCTTTTCTTGTTATTCTTATTGGTTATTTAATGCAATTGAAGATGCAATCTATTGCTACAATATCAGATATATTAACTGGAATCATGATTGCTGGCTTTTTATTTTGCATATGGTAAAAATTATATTTTAATTTAAAATATATTAAAATTAAAATAGTATATTTAAAGAAAGAAATATGTTGAAAATGTTATATATTGAGATATTATCTTTAAAAGCATGATTTCGGAAATATTATCATTTCATATAATTAAATGAACATAAATATTAATAAAATTAATATATAAAAGGTTTATATATTGTAAATAATAGTATAAAGGATGTTAATATAAATAAGTAATAAAATATCATTATATTATTTATATTAATATATTTGAGTTTTTAAAAATGTATGTATTTGATATTTTTATATTATTTTTGCTTTAAAAGTAAAATTTTATTTTTAAGTTTTAAAAGAATTAATGTTTACAAAAATTATAATTTTATGAAAATTGATATTTATGAAAATTTTGAAATTTTAATTTTTATTTTGTATGGAAATTAAAAATATACTAATGAAGTAAGACGTATTATCTATTTTAAAAATGTTTTGTAAATTTATAAAAAATATGTATTATTTCAACTTTTACTATAAGTTTGATAAATATTTAATGACATTCGATATGAAATTTAGTTCAAAAGGGGGTTAAGAATTTAAGAAGCATATTTATTATAAAAAGAATATAAATATAACTTAAGAAACAATTAAAACAAGAAATATTCATGTAATTGTTAATTTGAGTCAGTATTAGTAGCAAAAATGAGTAAGCATACATTTTTATGGAAAGGAGGTGGTAAACAAGTTTTTGTAACAGGTATTGAAGAAAATAGAAATTAATTCTCTATGTCTTAAAGCAATAGGAACGTTTTGGAATTGGGAGAAATTTGATGAATTATTATATGATTCAGACACTGGTATTTTTCAAGTAACGGTTCAGATTCCTATGGAGTATGACAATTCTAAAATATATTATAAATATATTGTTGATTCACAATGGCTTGTTGATCCAGAAATGCCTCAAGAGGCAGATGATAGGTTTTTATATGTCTTTTTTTAGCATATTTATTTATGATTTAGCGGAAATATAAATAATGTGTTTTTTTATACTATAAATAAAGATGCTTTATCTTATTATGATGATTCTCAAAAACTTAATACCCAAGGAAGTCTTTTAACGATATTTCAACATGGTAGTAATGCAGAATAAAGATAGTTATATATTTGAAAATGCTGATTTTTCTAAAGATTCCTCTGATACTATTATTTCCACTTCAGATATGGTTAAAACTATCTATTCTGAATCTCAGGAAAAAATGGATATAGAAAAGCAAGAAAATAATGAAGAAGAAATTACAGATAATTCTAAGAAAACTTTGTTCGAAACTTGTAGTATTTTAAAGTCTGATATGTTTTCTTTTAAACAAGCTTTTCAAGATGTAGCGTCTGATGAAAAATATTTTGGGAAAAGTATAGAAAATATAATAAATATGGAAAACACAAATTTTAGTTCAGAGGTTTCTGAAAATATTGCAAAATGTGTTGAAAATACTTTATTTTCATCTATTAAAAAAAGTTCTACTTCTGTTTCGAGTGTTTCAGAAAATATCTCATTTTTTTCTCATAGTTCTAACTGTGGAATATCAGATTTAATAGATACTGATAATGTATCACTTTTTTCAAAACAACCTAATCAGGAATTTTTAAAAAATATTACTCAAAAATCTCCAACTATCCAAAATACTCTCGATAACGTAAAAACTTCAGAAATAGAAATTAGTAATGAGTCCCAATTGTTATTTAACAATGAAAATCAGAGCAGATTGTTTTCAAATAATGATACTGTGCAAAAATTGTTCTCTACGAATCATGATATGTTTTTAAGTAATTTTGAGAAAGATTCTCAAGATATACTTAAAAAAGGATATCAGGTTTTTCAGTCTTTGGATAATGATAAAAATAATAAGACTGATTTATTTGTGGAAAGAGTAGATAATGAATTTCTTAATAATATTGATTTTAAATCTGCTTCATTAAATAATACAGACCAAAAAGTGTATGATGAGTCAAGTCTCATTACTAATAAGATTGATTTTTCTTTTTTAAATATTGTAAGTACTGCTCATGAAACTATAAAAGGATTAATTGCATCATCTGGTATTTGTGGTGATATTTGTGCTTTAACTGACGATGCTCATGTTGATCAAGATAGAAATTCTAGTATTTTTAATTTAAATTCTGAAGAATTTCTAGATAATAATCAAACTAATATTATAAGTGATACAAAAAGGGCTTTAATACATCAGAGTGGATCTTTACAAGCTTCTGATATATTGGGGAAAAGGAAACGTTTTTTTTCGAGACTTAGACGATTTTTTTTCTAGTTATTACAAGAGTATTATTGCCTTTGTATATTTTTCATTATGTTTCATTTATAAAATATAGATTCTATGAATTAATATTTTAAACTATTTTGAAAATAGTATATAATAAATTACATACTATTTACAGAATCTTAAAAGAATAGAATAATAGTTACAAATAAATGCAGATAATTTTTATTATTTGCTTTTTGAATTGATAAATTTTAATACAAATATGACAAAGCTGTTATGTAGTATTGTAGTAAGAAATGTTTTGAATGAAAAAGATAGGAATGCTTATATATAATACATATAATTAAAACATACGTTTTTGTATCTTTTTAGACGTTATATATATAAATTATATAATTATTTATTTTATCAAAATCGGATCTTATAATTAATCTTTTATAAATATTTTTGAAAAAGTAGATGTTGTATTATGTTATAGGATCTTATATAGATACATAATTAAACAGTTTTTATTACTAGATGTTTAAGAAATATGGTTTTATTTTTTAGTTAGAATATTTTAAGCTCCGAACATTTTCGTTAGTATAAAAGGTCGAGAAATGTTGAGAAAATTTAACGACCGTAAGATGCCTTTAAATAATATACTTTGATTAGCTTTACTAATTATATTTCAGAACTCTACAGGATCATGTAAATAGTGCGTATCTAGTTTAGAGTTTCCAATCGTGCCATAAAGCTTAACGTGGATGATGAGCTGTAGTACCTCTGCTTTTTATTTGGAGGATTGGTTTCTTTTTTTAAATTTTGTTTTCCTTTTTTTAAAAAAGAAAATAGAAAGAAAAAAGAGATCTCGATGAGCTCTAGCTTTTTCGATTATATGTCGTTAAAGCAAGCAGTTGGTATATTCTGACACGTTTTTACTTTAGTTTTATAGCATTGGTAATTATGTTATACAGAAATATATTAAGATTTTTTTTATAACAAGAGTGTTGTGTAATTAATGTATATTGTTTAAATATTATACAAGTACTTAAATATAAAATGTTAATCTTCATCTTCAAGGTACATATATTGAAATTTGAAGTCCGGCTGTATGGTAATTAGTAATATACCTATTAGAGGTAGTATTACCTTTTTTCGTTGTACCCATGCGCCCTATTGTTTTTATATTAGCTATTTTAATGTATTATCGTTTGAATTTACCTCGAAATCGAAATACCTGTAGGTTCCTGATTCATATTCATCTGTAATTATTTTCGGCTCTTCATGTCTTTGAAACCATGTAAGATATTTTTTGTGAAATCTCCATGCTTGTCTTTTTAATTCCTTTGCAGCTAAATACCTTAAATACTGTAAGCACACTGTATTTACTAAATAATTGTATTAAGATGGTCTTACTGTTGATATGTTCCTTGTTGATAATAGAACACAAAAAATAGTGCATCAATATCGATTTTCTCAAATAATTCTGGTGAATCAAATATTGCAGGAGGCACTTGTGGATAATATGATGGAACTGGATATGGTTCGGATGGAATATAATATTTCGGAGTTTCTGAATTTACAAGTTCTGGCGCAGTAGTAAAAGATATTTCCAAAAGACGATGTATAATGGATATTGGTGGAGGATTCAAGATTCTTTGTTTAACTGTTTTTAATGACGAAAGTAAGTCTTTAAGACTTTGTGGAAGCCGCGATAAATCTAACGAATTCGAAGAATATGCCTGAGACTCAATAGGTAGCTTTTCTATTAGTGGCATATCATAGGTTACTTCTTGTGGTAATGCTTCTAATGAACCATCGGTATTTTCTAATGGTTCTAGTACTGGTTTTTCTTGGTATTCATCTACAGTTTCTTGGATATCTGGTGGTTTTATTAATTCATTCTGATGATTAGAAAATGAAGAGATCAAAGGAGATGTTTCTTGTGGTGTTGATGATGTTGTTTGTACTTTTGTATTTGATAATTGTAAAGGAAATATTCCATTAGCATTTGGAGAATTAGGCGCTGTAGATGAGTATTTTAAAGGTTCGATTTGTGTTTTAATTTGAGATGCTTTTGTTGCTCCATTAGTAGCTTGATATAGATTTGTATCTATTAATGTAGGTGATTTGGATTTTATTTTAGGCGTTACTATTGTATTCAGAGACTCTGTTGATCTTGTTTTGGATGAAATTGTTGCATTCAAAGATTCTGTAGATTTCGTTTTATCCTAAAATCTATGAGTTATATTTTTTTTGTGCTTAAAATTTACATCTTTATCTTTTTGAGGTGATGTTTCATCTGCTAAAGATTGCGTATCTAAAGACGAATCTACTTCATTATCTAGACCTCGCCCAAATATTTCTTCGTTTAAATTCAAGTTTTCGTAAATATTTTCGTTTTCTGTAAAATTTGCATCTTGATTTGATTCAACATAATACTTAATATCTTCTTGAACTTCGAATACCTAAAAAATTAGAATATGTTATCTATATTTAATATGCATACTTTTTCTACTTGTATATTCCCATTTTCAAGGAGCCTTAAAATTAATTCGAGTTTATCTTGATGCCATTTATGTCGTTCTAGTAAATGCTCAACTTGTTCTAATCTTTCGGATTTTATACATTCTTTGTTTTTTTTTTTCAAAGATCCTTGCAATATCTCGGATTCTGTCTCTAGCTGCTCAATTTGTCTTTCTAATTCATCAACCATAGAAGATAACCAATGACTCATTTCTAATCTTTCTTTTTCTTTAGGATCCAATTTTACAGCTGAAAGAAGACCTTCTTTGCTAAAGGCTTTTGTTTTTATCTCTTTTTCACATGCTTTAAATCGTTCCATTTGCTACGTGTATTAGCTGGGTTTAAATATGAAAGTATAGTATAAAAACCATTTCTATAAGTTTCCTGTTTTCCTGAAGAGGCTTTTTATCTTTAATATCATTACTTGCTGCCCATGTTTTAATATGATCTCTCATTCTTTGAAGTTTTTTAATTTCTTTTTTTAAATCTCCTTCAAGTTTATCTTTCTGAGATTGATTGCTTGTTGATTGCATTTTTTCATAAATACTTTCAAATGCTGCAACCCCTTCTGTAACCTATGTATTTTAAATATATAAGAATATTTCAACTTCTTTACATCAACATTATTTACCTTTTTTAATGTTTTATCCACTTCAGCTTGTAATTTGCGAGAAGTCATTTTAAAATATGTTTTTTCATATGTTTTTTCCAAAAATACTTATAAAGTCTTTGTCCCTTGATGATTATACCTTTAAATTCCTTAGAATTTTATAATAATTTCTTAAAATTTTAAGAACGGGAAGTTTATTTTTCATAAGAGGTTAACGATTATACGTTAACTGAAATTTATGAAAAGATTTGTAATTAATCTAAAATGCAGAATTAATAAGCAATATATATATACTTCAAATTTCAAGAATATAGAAAAATGTTATGTTTTAAATAGTTTGTTAAGAATATATTTTAAAGCAATATTTAAGAGATAGATCGAAGCGTAGTATTTAATGTTCAAAGACATCAAGATGTAATGAGAAATATAGAAGTAGTGGACTTATCAAAGTATTTGGATATGTTTATGTTTTATTTTTGGTTAATTTATTTTTAGAATACGGAATTGGGCAATTATTGCACATATAAATCATGGAAAATCAACATGTAATTAGTTTTTATTATATAATGAAGTCTGGTAAGAAAGGAATAGTAAGCGATAGATTATTAGAAATTACTGGAACAATATCTAAATCGTCGGAAAATTGTCAGGTTTTGGATAAATTAAAAGTGGAACAAAAGAGAGGTATTTAATATATTATAATATGCATATAATTAATATTAGTAGGTATTACTGTTAAGGCACAAGCCTGCAGTATGTTTTATAATTATAAATCTGAAACATACCTTCTTAATTTAATTGATACTCCTGGTCATGTTGATTTTAGAGCAGAAGTTAATCACAGTTTGGCAGTATGTGATGGTTGTTTATTACTTGTGGACGCTTCTCAAGGGATCCAGTCACAAACGGTTTTATTTTTGGATCTTATTTGATATATATAATGGTTTATTTAGGTTGCTAATTTTCATCTTGCATTATCTAAAGGATTAATGATTTTACCTATAATAAATAAAATTGATTTACCTAATTCAGGTAAATGTTATTTATAATTACGTTTTTTTTGAACTTTTAGAGCCATTAAAGGTTTTAGACCAGTTAAAGCAGATATTTAATATAATTCAAGAAGATGTTATTTTTGTTTCTGCAAAAAATGGAGTTGGCATAGAAAAAATTATTCCTGCTATTATTGATAAAATACCGCCGTATTTTTCTTTATATTTTTTTATTTTATTTAATTTCTTAAAGACCTAAAGGATCTTTAATTGATAATTTAAAATGTTTTCTTATAGACAGCTGGTAATTTTTATAATATAAATATTGTTTAAATTTATTTATAAATTGTAGGTATGATCATTTTAATGGAATTATTCTTTTGGTGAAAATTTATGATGGTTTTTTACGTAAGGGTGATAAAATTCAAAGTATTTATACGGGTTTAAAATATGACGTTGCAGAAGTTGGAATAATGTATCCTGATAGAATTTCAACAGAACTTCTTAAAGCTGGACAAGTTGGTTATATTATATTAGGTATGAAAAATGACAATGAATCTTATATAGGAGATACATTTTGTCATGTGGGTAAAGAAGTTATACCTTTGCCTAAGTTTGAAGAATCTAAACCTACTGTATGGTTTTGTTTTAAAATGTACAAAAGTATTAATTTTAAAAAATAGGTATTTGTTAGTGCTTTTCCTTTAGATGGAAATAGTTTTCAAAAACTTAATGAAAGTATTTCTCATTTGGTATTAAATGATAGATCTATATATGTAGAAAAAGAAACATCTATTGCATTAGGTCAAGGTGTTTTTTGTTTTAAATTTGTAGAAATTATTTTCTAATTTCATATTAGGATGGCGTATCGGATTTATTGGATCTCTTCATTTATCTGTATTTATAGATAGATTAAAAGATGAATATGATGAAGAGGTAAGATAATTTAGTAGACAAAGTTTTTGGTATAATATTTAGATAATAATTACATCACCTACTGTGCCTTTTAAAATAACATATAAAGATGGAAGAGAAAAAATGATTTCAAATCCAACATTATTCCCTGATTTTGTAAATATACGGCAAAATATTTTGAAATTAGAAGAACCTATAACAGAAGTTATTATGGTATTTCCAATAGAATACTTAGGGGTTGTTATTGAATTATGTGAAGTATATTTTTTAATATTTATTACTAGATTTTAATATGCTTAGATTTATAGAGGTGTTCAGAAAGAAATATTATTTCCTTCTGAAGAAAAATGCATTCTTAAATATGAAATTCCTATGGTTTTGTTAATTGATGATTTTTATGGGAAACTTAAAGGTCTTACAAAAGGGTATTCTTATTTATTATTTTAAACAGTACTCATTTTATTTAGATATATTAGTTTGGATTATAGAGTTATTGGTTATAAAGTGTCTGACTTAGTTAAAATGAAGGTTTGTTTTCTGTTATTTTTAGATTATTATTTAGTATTTATAGCTTTTAATTAACGGTAAAACTATTGACGCTCTTTCCACTGTGCTCCATAGAAGTCAGGTTCATAAAAAAGGAAAAGAGTCAGTAAGGCATCTAAAGTCTTTAATCAAACAACAGTTATATGAGGTTGTAATATGTATTAATTGTTAAAGAAAAAATAATACATTTAGGTGGTGATACAGGCAGCTGTAGAAAATAGAATTGTAGCCCGTGAAACATTAAGTCCATTAAAAAAAGATGTGACAGCTAAATGGTTTGTAATAATGTTTATTTTGTTTTTTAGTTAATTATTTTAAAGTTACGGAGGAGACGTTACGTATTTAAAACCATAAATTATATTTAATAATGATTTTAATTTTTGATTAGTCGTAAAATGAAGCTTTTGTCTAAACAAAAGAAAGGTAAAAAAAAGTTAAAAAAAAACAGTAATGTTAATATCGATCATACTGTATATGTTTACCTTAGTTTTATTTTGGTACTAAATTTCTAAGGTATTTTATAAATTTTTGCAAAAATAACACAGTATTAAGAAATATTGAATTCTATATTTACTGGGAATTTATGCTAAAATATATATTACAAAATCAAAAAAGTATAAATTTAATCATCTGCTAGTTTATATGCCACTTGTAAATCTACTTTATGTAGATCAGTGCTGAAACTTCGTAATTTTATCTGTTCTGCATTATCAACTTCGTGTGCATCACTATCGCCCCATTCTTCAGGAACCTCTGAACTGTAATCAGTGTATACTAAAACATTAAATGTGCATTGTCCTTCGAGTTGTGGAAGAAATGTTACTGATGCTGTAATTTGTCGAATAATTGCTTGAATTTCTGTATGAATTTCTTTTTCTGATTTTTCTGTAGCAATGTTATTTTTTTCATTTCTAGAAATATTAGCGCTTTATTTCATATGGTTTTTTTAATACGCTAGTTTATTTTCCTTATTTTCGTTGTTATCATTCTTGAATATTTGAACGTCAAATTGCCATCGCTCTAAAACTTCTAGAGTGTCTTTTGAAACAATAGCAATTACTAGTTTTGATATTCTTCCTTCTTCTATCCATTCTATGAAATTATTATGTGTTTTTTTGTAAAAAATGACTATTACTATGAAGTTGTTCCATGATTTTTCGTATATATGCCTTTACTTCAGTATCTGCAGTAACTAGCATATTAAGGCCATATTTTTTAACAATTTTAAAATCATCTGCTGGATATACTCCTCTTTGAAAAAGTATACTTGTTTTTCTTAATTATTAAAATTATTAGGATAAACTCATACCTGTTGATGCTATATTCTAAATTTAAGATTAGAAATATATTTAATACAAAGAAGAAATACGAACCAAAGAATTCACTGACAATTTTAGAAGATCCTTTAAGGGATAATTTAGATCGTGTAGGTGCTACGTTAGTCTCGGTCATAAAAGGTTGATCTTTTTATTAAGTTACTCGTGTCGAGTTTATAGTTAAAGTTAAATAGAATTAATATAATTTAAATTTTTTTCTCCATTTGTGTTTTGAAAGGCATTTTTCGTGTTTTATTAATGAACGATATAAATATAGATATTTATATAGATATTTATATAGATATTTATTGAATATGGTTTTTTGTTTTTAACGACAAATGAGTCAATGACTTAATGGTTTATTTATATTAAATCTAAAAATGAATGCTTTGATTTAATTTAATTTTTTAATTGTTGAAAAAGGTAAAAGATAATTATGTCTTTAAATACTTTTAAAAAGATATATACTTCTAAATTTAATTAATGATTATAATAAAAATGTTTTTATGAATAAATAAATATATGTTTTTTATATATTTTAAATCTTATAATATTTGATATTATATTTATTTTTGAATAATTGTGATTTAGAATGTTTTTAATTATTATATTAAAAGTAATTGTTAATGGTATAAAATTAATACTCTATAAAAAATTTATATTCTGTATATTTTTAAGTGTATATTTTGAAATATATTGTTTATATATTTTTTTATATTTTTTTATATTATATATTATTTATATTATTAAAATCTAATGCGTATGGACATTAAATTTTCAATTTATAATTTTAAAATATTGAAAAGATTTTGTGAATAATTGATAAATATAAGTATTAAATGAAATATAATATTTATATATAATTAACTTTTTGAGATTTATTTTATTTTAAAATAATTGATTTTAATATAATTAGAAAAAATCAAAGTTTAGGACTATTTTTTATAATAGGTTTATGTAAATTTAAATGGAAAAAGAAATTTAAAAATCTGGATGCTATTTTTTCTATATATTAGTTAAAAATTTTAAAAGCAATAATCTGAATTATAATAAAAAATTAATGATTTTTAAGATCCTAAATGTAATAATAAATAATACTAAGCAATTTAAAAAATGAAAAAAATAATTGGAAATATACTATTCAAAAAATATGTCAATTTGGTTTTTAAAGGGTTATTTTAGAGTGCAATATTTTGAAAGTTATTTTGAAAATATATATCTTTGATATGATAGGGGATTTTTAAAATTAATTATTGGGACATGCTTTTATATTAATATTTATTTATCTTATAGAGAATATTTGATTTATTTGAATATTATAGAAAGAAATAAAAATCGAATAGATATTTAGAATTTTAATATTGTTTTTAAATAAGGATAGAAAAAATATAAAAAAGTATGTGTAAATTAAATGGGTATTGCGAAATCATTCAATGTTTATTTTGTGAGAAATATGTAAAATATGATTTATAGAATTCTAAATTCATTATGAAATATGATAGTTTAATATTTTTTAATATGAATTCTCGTTCTATGTTTTAAACTTTATAGATTATAATAAATCAGTTCTATTGAATGTTTTTACTGGATTTTTTTAATTTTTTCAAATATTTTTTTTATTTTTTAAATTTAAGGATTAAATTAGAATGTTTTTTAATATTTATTATACGAAGCTATAATATAATTTAATTTTATTGTCTTATTAAATTTCGATAATAGAAAATATTGTTTTTTCTTTTAGGAGTTCTAAAATTTTATTAAAATGGCATTTTTAGATCGTTTTTATGATGCGTATATATATATATATATATATATATATATTAATAATTAAATAGCGTTGATGTTTTATCAGAAAAATTTATTGAAAGACTTTCAGAAGCTGTATCTATTCCTTCTATAAGTTGTAGTGCTTTGCATAGGAAATACGTTATTGAAATGGCGGATTTTTTATATAAAGAAATGAAAAATCTTAATATTGATGTTGAAAAGCGATTTTTGGGGACTCAAGTTTTAGATAATCAAGAAATTGAACTCCCACCTCTTGTTATTGGAAAATATGGTAATGATAAGAATAAGAAAAATGTTCTTATTTACGGGCATGTTTTTCTTTTTTTCTGATTAAATCTTATGAATTAGTCATTTTGATGTTCAACCTGCTTTAATAAGTGATGGTTGGATTACGGATCCATGGGAATTTAAATATGACGAGGAAACTGGTCGCATGTATGGTAGAGGTATTTCAGATGATAAAGGTCCAGTTCTTGGATGGCTTAATACTGTTGAGGCATTTCAAAATGCAGGTATTGATCTTCCTGTAAATCTCGTTTTCTGTTTTGAGGGTATTTTATAAATTATATTATGGCTTTTTGACTTTTTTAGGCATGGAAGAGAATGGATCAGTTGGACTGGATGAATTTGTTAAAGCAGAAGCTCAAAAATATTTTGCTGATGTAGATTATGTTTGCATTAGTGATAATTATTGGCTTGGAACTAAAAAGCCATGTTTAACATATGGACTTAGAGGTATATCATGTTATAGTGTAACTATAAAAGGTATACCTTTTTTATTATTATTTTTATTCTTATTTTTAGGTCCTAATGCGGATCTTCATTCTGGAGTTTTTGGTGGTATTATTCACGAACCTATGACAGATCTTATCCATGTATGTTTATATATTTATGTTTTTGTTATTTAATATTTTTAGCTATTTTCATCTCTTGTAAAGCCTGATGGAACTATACTAATTCCTGGAATTATGGATCAGGTAGAACTTTTGTCGGGTATTTTTTTTATTTATAATTATTTTTATTTAATTTTGTTAGAGAAAGAGAATGCTTTATATGATGGTATATCAATTACTATGGAAGATATATATCATTCGGCTGGGTCTAAAACAACAATTTATGATAAAGAAAAATGTATTTTAATGCATAGGTATTATTTCAAGTATTTTTTGATTATATTAATAAATAAGATGGAGGTATCCTTCACTTTCTTTGCATGGAATAGAAGGAGCATTTTCATTACCTGGTATTAAAACAGTGATTCCTTCTAAAGTATCAGGTATAAATGATAAATTATTTGAATTCTTGATTTAGTTCAAAAGGGAAATTTTCTATTCGTTTAGTGCCCAATATGAACCCTGAAGATGTTTGTATTTTAGTCAAAAAACATCTTGAATCTGTATTTTTATCCTTAGGTTCAAAAAATACACTCATTGTTGACTACCTTCATGGATCTAAAGCATGGGTTTCTTCTCCAGATCACCCGAATTATAAAGCTGCAGAAAAAGCTACTAAAAAAATATATGGTGTAGTACCTGATTTCACTCGTGAAGGTGGTAGTATTCCTGTTGCATTGACATTTGAAGATTGTCTCAATAAAAATGTTCTCTTGCTGCCTATGGGACGAGGAGATGGTATAAAATTAGTTATTAGATTAAATAATTACTGAATTTTGTTATAGATGGTGCTCATTCTATAAATGAGAAGCTAGATAAATCCAATTTTATTCAAGGCACGAAACTTTTTGGTACTTATTTGTATGAAATATCTATATCTTAGAGTTTTAAAATTATTTTTTAAATTATTTTTATATGCGATATATTTTCATTTTTTTTTAATAACATTTATTTGATAAATTTATCTTTTAACTTTATTTACGTTTCTTTAAAATAGCTTTTTTATAATTATCTCATTGTATGTAAAGAAGAAAATAATCAAATCTTGATTGTTGAAATGAATATTATAATTATTTTAACTTGTTTTGAATAAATATTATATATATATATATTAAATAATATGTCATTTAAAAAAAAAAAAAAAAAAAAAACTACATTTTATATGTATAATTTTTCAATCGAGTAATTATTTTGCGTCAAGTTTTTAATATTAAATTTATAATGTATTCATAAATAACATTAAACAGTATTGTTTGATTATTATGTAATTACATATCATTATTCTCTACTTTTGAAGTTGTTTTTAGATTTCATTTTTTTATTCGTTTTCCAAATGATTGTTCAATATCTGAATTATCAAAAATATAATTATTATATTTAGAAGAAATTGTTTTATTTTGTCTGGATATTAAAGCAATTAGTTGCACGTTACACTATAAAATAAAAATTCACCTTTTATGATCATTTTTTTGTTGATTTCTTATTTCGGGGAATGTTGGTAAAAGAGAAGGATCTTGGGCTTGAAATAATTAGATAATGAGATATACTTAAAAGTAGTACTTTGAGGGGATTCTTTAAAATATTCATGATTCAATGCAATCTTTGCTGAAATTCGTTTTTCTGGATCATAAGTAAGAAGTCGATTTAATAAATCTTTTGTTGCTGTTGTCTGATTAGAAAATTTATGTTTTATCATATTACTTTTGCTTGAAAAGAAATGAAAGTGTTTAGAAAGTGGTAGTTTTCGGAATTCTGGCCAAATAGCTTCATTAGGTGTACCAAGTAAATTAGCGATCAATTGAACTTGTTCGGTTTCATTTTGACCAGGCAAAAGAGGTACCGATGTTATTAATTCTCCTAAAATGCATCCAACAGACCAAAGGTCAACACTACTAGTGTAATTTTTTTTCCCAAAAAGTAATTCTGGAGATCTATACCAAATAGTTACAACGTGAGGTGTCATGCCATTTTCTCTATATTCTCGAGCCATACCAAAATCAGCTACAGTGATTAGATACAGATATTCTTATATTTTAAAACTTATACCAATTTTCAAAATACCTTTTGCATTTAAAAGTAAGTTAGACATTTTTAAGTCTCTAAAATACAATTAAAACCTTAATGAATATACTTTCCAAATACCTATGAATAATATTTTGTTTGTGTAAATACTCTACACCCTCCAATAATTGTTTTGTTAAACATTTTACTAACAATAAATACTATATATAAAAACATATAATATCAAATACCCTCTGATTGTGTATATTTAATGGAAACGGCATCCATTATGCTTGCCATATCCTTTGTAAATTAGAAAAATTTCGTTTTTTATTTATAATTGAATAGACTTGTTCACAATATTCTTCTACCATATAAATATCATCAAGTGCTTTTCCTACTGCTACTTCTAGAACGCTTATAATATTTTTGTGTTTTAAAGATCTTAAAATAGATATTTCTCTTAGCGTTGTAATAGGAATACCCGAATATCGGTCATTATCAAATATGCGTACTGCTTTAAGTGCAACAACAGTATTGTTTCTTTTATCTTTTGCACGACTAAAAAAATAAGATTCTTTTAGAGATCAATATATTTGCTTTACTATACAACTCCATATGCTAATTCTTTTATCAAATATATTTATTTATTTATTTAAATATTCACTTACTTCCTTCCCCAATTCTGTTAAGTTTCTCAAAATCATGAATAGATGTGCATGTACCAAGGTATAAGTCTTTATAATCAATATCCACTTCTAACTTTTCTCCTGTAACTGAATGAATATTGAGGTAAGACGGACTCATAATATAAAAATATGTTTCTTTTGACCGAAACGAAATGGTTTGAATTTAATTATAAAAAAATGAAATTGTAAAAAGCAAGTATAAAGGGTTTGTTTTTTATGGTGCAGATTTTTTATATGTAAATTTGATATTATTTACATTTTGTTTTTTACATAAAAAATAATATTTCTTTATAGATGTGTAATTTTTACAATTAATTGTTTTTAAAAAAGTATTATTTTTTTAAAAAGATGTTTTTATTATCAATATCTTTTAAGAAGAATCTTTATGTTTTTTTGTTTAAATATATTATATAAATTTAAAGAAATAGTGTAAAATATTATGCTTTCTTCAATGAACATCTATATATTTTTGCATTTATAAAATTTATAGATATAAGTATAAATAATAGTAGTATTAGAATTTTATTTTATAGAAATATGATTGGTATAATGTTATAATTTTTTTATATTATTACATATCTTTGATAATTGAGACTTTGAAGTAGATATTTTTAAAATGTGTTATGTTTTATTTATGTTACTTTTAATAATATAATTTTGTATTATTTTTTTGATATATTCTTTAAAATAATCATATTTTTTAATAGATTAAATATTAGTAGATTGAATATTTTAATATTATTTATATTATAATATTTGATTTTTAGAATTTTCTATATATATATATCTAGAGTAAAAATATTTGATTTAAATGAACTTTAATAAAGAATAGTTCTGAAAATTATTTTTGGTATAAATATTTTTTAAGTGATGGAATTGTATGTTTTTTTAAAAGTTATAAATATTGATTTCAAACAATGTATTAAAAGTTATTAATATTTGATATATTTTGAAGATTTCTATCTCAAAAAAAAATAAATTAAAAAAATTATATAAATATAGAAAATCAAAAATATGTAAAATATATATTAGGCAAATAAATGAAGGATAGTAAGAATATAAAGTAATAATAATAAATATCTAGTGTCAAATAAAACTTGTAATTTCACTCTTTTCAGTTTCTTGTTTATCTTCCCAAAAATCATATTTATATTTTTCTTTTTTTATAAAATTTATGGTCTTTTGAAGATCGTTTGAAATGCTTTGGTTTTGTGTTTGGATATTTTTAATTATTTTAATTAGAAAAGTAAGAAATTGTCGCCGAGATTCTTGAAAAATAAAGCAGTCAAGTATATCTTTTATCTAAATCTTAGAGACACTTTTATTAAATGAAATACATACTGAATCATTTAGTAAAATAATATTTTGGTTATTTGATAAAATAAAATTCTCTAAAACATTAAGTCGTTCTCTGTCAATCCGATACTCTTTTAATTTTTTAAGCAAGTCTTGAATGTCTGTTTCTGTTTTAAGATTTTTTGATGTGGAAATTATGCTTTCATTTAGACTTGATGTACTTGTAGGTGATCTGGCGAATTTATATGAAGAATTAACTGTAAAATAGTTATCATTATCTATAATATCTGGATCGTCAGTGCATTTCTGATAAGTTAATTATGCGTAAAAAAATGCAAAATGCTACCCATTGTCGTTCTCTTATCCATTTTCGTCTTCTTACGAAACTATGGAACCAAATACATGTCCCATACCATTTTTTTGACCAAAAAGAAAATGAGTATGACCATCCTTCTGCATCTACATTTCCATCCATATCGATTTTCCATTTATCCCATGTCTAAATAGTTTAAGTTAATAAAAAGATAAATATAAAATTACCCATCTCCAAGAAGGACCAGGGCATGTTGCAGTTGATGTATTAACAAGAGAACTACTAAAAAAATGTTATTCTATTTTAAAGAATTACGAATAGTATTAATACCGGAAATTTTTATCTGTCCATGGAGATGGGTCAAAAAATAACAATGAGTTTGATGAGAACATCATAGTTCCACAAAAAGATCCTCTAGACATCTTAAGAAAAAGTGACAATTAACGGTATATTTATATACCCTCTTTGGTTTTCATATAGTATATCAATTACTGTGTTTTTACTATTTTGTTCGTCTTTAAAATATTTATTTTCTTTTTTTAATTTAGATCTATTTAGAGATTTTTTTGTGAAAAAATAATATGGTTCGTATTCTATACATGTTTCTGTTCTGTTTTCTGTCTCATTATCATTGCGTTGATCTTTTATTTCTATTTGGTGCAAGTCTTCGCTTGCAGAATTTCGTTCTTGAGATATCCTCATAGAAATTATGTTCTTTTTTTTATTTAAAGAGATAACGTTTTAGAACTACAAGTTTATATTAAACAATTGTTTTATGCATTTTTTCTGTATTTTCATGTTTTAATTGTCTAGTAATGAATTTTGAAAAGATTAACGATAAAATTACTTTTTAGATTTTATGAAAGATTTGTATTATGTAGAAGTTGTCTTTTTATTTTTTTGAACAGTTTCGTAGTTAATAAAAAATGAATGGTTATTTATATTATATATGATATCGATATTGAGATATGTTTCTTTTTGTTTTTATAATGTTATGTATTATTTTAACATGATTCTTATAAAAAGTATATGTTTTCGGGAGTTTATGATTATTTTTTTTAAATGTTTTAAGAATCGTTTTTTAAGCAATTTATAAATAGTTTGGAAACTTGCTTTTTATGTAGAATATAATGAAATAAGATAAAGGATTTTTTATCCGTTTAATGTTTTTATATAGCAAAGTTCATAATTATTTAAAATATGGATAAATAATTTTTATTATTTAAGGATAAAAATGTATTAATTTAAAAATAATATGCATACTTATAATCATTATGGAATAAATAGAGTATATAAAATAAACAGTTTTAAATATTGAATAGTAAAAAAAAATTAAAAATTAACTTATAATTTTAATTAATGGTGTTTATAAAAATATAAATTATATAGTTTATTTATAATATTAATTTTAGGGAAAACAAATTATGAATTTGCAAATTAGTATATATAGTCTTTTGTTTTCATATATCAAAAGAATTTAATATATTATTTTTTTTAAAAATATGTTATTTATTAACAATGAAATATATGTTGTGGAATTTTAGCTTATTGTTTTTAAGAATTGTTAATTAAATTATTGAATCTAATAAAAAGAATGTTTTTGTTTCAGATTTGTGATTATTTTTATTTGATCTATGTGAATTTGTGAATGTTTTAAAAAAGACGTTCAATATTTTTAAAACATGTGTATATATTAAAATTTAGTATGAAAAAGTAATTTAAGATTTCTAACGTATTTCAAAAATGTTTTTATAAAATAATAAAATAATATATTTGTTTATTTATTTATTATTTATTTATTTTATTTAATTTTTTGAAAAAATATTTTTTATTTTAAATTGTTAAATTGTGTTTTATTTGAAAGAATTTTTTTTTGGTTTAAAATTAAATATTTTTTTAGTAATTCTATTATTTTGTTTAATGCGAAAGATTATAGATATAATAAATTATTTATCATAGTTTTTTTAAAAAATAAAACTTGTTTTGAGATAATTTAGAGTTAATAGATAATATTTACTAATGATAAAATATTTATAAGTTTTTTTTTTGTATTTTTATGATATTATTTGTTATCAATTGATTTATTATTATAGTAAATTAATTGTTAAATGTTGTCTTTATGATATGAAATTTATGAAAATATATCTGTATATAATTTTTAATTTTTATAAATTTTTAATAAGATTTTATCTTATTTTGAAAAATATACGAATATATTATCTATTAATATTATGTTTTATTATATTTTATTATTATTTTAGAAAATATATATTGATTATAACTTTTGATAATTAAATATATAATTTAATTATAATTTTAAGTTGAAATTTTTTATTTAATATTTTTAAATGTTACAATATAATGTGTATTTTTAATAAAATGATAAATGGAATAATATATTTGTTTAAAAGAAAAAATATTATTTTGGATACAATCTTTATTATTTTTATATAAATGAGATATTAGGAATTTTATTAAATTTAAAATAATTTAAAACTATATCATTTTTGGTATAGTTCATAGAATAGTTTATAATGTTACTTTGTTGTGATATTTAAAATATTCTTTGTAGTTATTATTTTAACTACAATAATATTGTCATTAATAATTAAAATAACAATGACTAAAAATTTTTATATACCTCAAAATATGTATAATATAGTTTTTGAATTAATAAAAGGTAATATTGTTAGGATTACTAATTAAGACTGTTATTATTTATTAATTATTATCCATATTTACTTTAAAATAATTGATCAGTATTATTCTTTATATAGATTAACTTTGTTTTATTAAAAATAATAATTATTATATTAATTTTTACCTACAGAATATAATATTACAAAAAAGGGATTAAAGCTTTTAATTTAAATATTATTTTTCCTTTAAGTAGGTATTATTTATGAAAAGTTTTAATAAATTAATCTATATGATTTATTTTATTTTAGAGGTAATATTTTCATTTATCATATATTTTTAATTAGATTTATTTTTATTTATAATATAAATTTTATGTTATTTTATACATTTTAAGATTAACGGTTTTGATTTATTTTGCTTATCTTTTCTTACTATTAACTGATAAAAGTGTTTGATGTTTTGGTTAATGAATGGAATAATAATAGTATAATTGAAGAATTGTAAGGTTGGGAGCAATATTTTTATTTGAAGTATCAAAAATTTTGAAAAAATGAATGAAACAGATTGGGATTCTGTTACAAAAATTGGTAGAGGTGTACACTCAAGAACTACAATAACAAGAGCACACGCAGGAGTTAATGAAGCCAGAAGGACAGGTGCTGTAGTAGGTGTTGAAAAGAGATTTTCTGCTGGATCTAATAAGGTTTTTTTAAAAAAAATTAGTTATGTGTATTCATACAAAAATTAGGCACATAAAACGACTGAAGGACAAAAGATGGCTAAGATAGATCGCGAGAATGATATTATTCCTTTAAAAACTACTGGACGTGATATTGGAATGATTATTTCAAAAGTTCGACAAGAAAAAAATATTAAACAGTCTGAGCTTGCACAAAAAATTAATGAAAAAGTAAGCGTCATAAATGAATATGAGACTGGAAAGGCTATTCCTAATCAAGCTATTCTATCTAAACTTGAGAAAGTAGAGTTTTTGTATTTATTTGTTACGATATTAATTTAGTAAAGGTTTTAGGTATTAAATTGCGTGGAACTGGTATTGGGCAGACTCTAACTGGGCCTAAGAAGTAATTAAGTGTCTTTTTTATTTGAACATTATTCTGTTTAATATTATTAAGCAATGATATGAAAAATTATAGGTATATAAAAAAATAAAATTGAACATAGATAGTTTAATTTTGATTATTGTAATATATTTTTAAAACAAGCATATTTAATGATGGTTACTTGTATTTTCTACACCAATAAAATCTAATTTATAGACATTACCGCATTCTGGACATCGTGAATTTTGTCGGTCCTTAGATAATTCAAACCAAAGTACATTATGGGAATCTGCAGGGAATCCTGTACATCCTATTAAGCGTGTTTTTTCGAAGCTTTTAACAATAATGGGGTCTTTAAGTGTTCCCATACGGCTTGCATCAAGAGGCTCAAGATCAAATGCCTCCTCTCCTGCTATTTTCTTTAAAAGTTCAAATTTTTCAATTCCTGTTGCTTGTTCTAAAATTGTAGGGATTCTTCCTTCTACCGGTTTTGAAGGAAGAGTGTCTTTTTTTGTGTAACTTTTTGATACAAAATTTCGTTCTACTTTAGTTAGTAGTGGTAAATAGGAAAAAAAAGACAAAAAAATATATTCATTTTTTGGTTTATACATCGTTCTGATGCCAATAGTATTAGTATATATTCTTTTTTACAATTACCTGTCTTATAAATGGTTATATTTGTTTTTGAAAATAATATGCTTATTTTTGGCTGAAAAAAAACACATAGATTTTTCCTTGTATGGATTCTTAGTATTTTAAGTGTTATCATTACAATTTTTTAGAATTAGTTTTGTTTTTTTCTTATAAATTTTTTAGAAAATGGTAGAATAATCGTAGATTTTTTTATACTATTAATTTATATATTTATCTATATAAGAATTATATATGATACTTGAATTATATGTTCTTATTAAACTATATCTTTTTTTTGTGTATTTTCTTGAGTGTAAATACTGAGTTGGGAGAGATCGTTACACAAAAACTTAAATTTTTGTATTAAAAGAACTTATTTGCAATATTTAAAATTCTGTCTTTAAGGTTATTTTTTAATAATACAGTTAATTTTTCATTAATTTTCCCGCGTTCTCTTCAAAACAAACGAATGTTTTCTTTTGTTAATAATCTTGAAAAGGGATTTGCAAAAAGAATTGATGGTACTGCTATTGCTCGGTAATTTTTTCCTGTTTATTGAAGGTTATTTTTATTGATGAAGGCAAATTTATTGTGAAATCCGCAATGAAATTGTTAAAAAACAAGAAAAATGTTCAAAGTTTCAACCTACATTAGTGATCATCCAAGTGGGTACAAAGGAAGAATCGAATACATATATTTCTATGAAAAGAAAGTTTGCAAAAGAGGTTATATACTTTTTATGTTTGTATATCAATTAATATTGTATCTAGGTAAATATTTGTGTTAAACATATAATGCTTCCTGAATCGATTCAACAAAATGATCTTTTACAAAGAATTTCAGACTTTAATAATGATTATAGTGTCCATGGAATTATTGTTCAACTTCCCATACCTCCACATTTATCAGAATCAGCTGTTACTGGCGCAGTATCTCCTTTAAAGGATGTAGATGGACTTAGTTTATTAAATATTGGTGAGCTTTCTAAACGTGATGGTAATCCTCTTTTTATTCCTTGTACTCCAAAAGGTGTTATGACTATTCTTCGTTCAGTTGATATTCAGCTTGAAGGTAAAAATGCTGTTGTTCTTGGACGTAGTAATATCGTTGGGAATCCTATGAGTTATCTTCTTCGTAATGCTAATGCTACTGTTACTCTTTGTCATTCAAAATCACGGGACATTAAAGAAATTACTAGGCAGGCAGACATTCTTGTTGTTGCTATTGGGCGTCCTGAACTTGTTCGTGGAGACTGGATTAAGCCAGGAGCTGTCGTAATTGATGTTGGTATTAATTACAAGGAAGATTCTTCAAAGAAATCAGGGCGTCGTCTTGTTGGTGATGTACATTATGAATCAGCCTCAGAGATTGCATCTTATATAACACCTGTTCCTGGAGGAGTCGGTCCTCTTACTGTTTGTATGCTTCTTCAAAATGTTTTGGAATCTGCCAAGCGTATCGAATCTTCTACGCGTTTTAGACAGTTTTCTCCTCTTTCGCTTAAACCTCTTGATCCTGTTCCTAGTGATTTTATTATTTCTAAGAATCAAACTCCTAAAAATATTCAAGTATTGGCAAAAGAAGTTGGTATTTTTGATAATGAGCTTGAACTTTATGGAAATTATAAAGCTAAAGTTGATTTAAGTATTTTAAAACGTTTAAGTCATCGAAAAGATGGATATTATGTTTGTGTAACCGGTATTACTCCTACACCTTTTGGTAATTTTTTTATTCTTATTAATAAAAATGGTAATGAATTTTAGGTGAAGGGAAGACTACTACCGTGATGGGTCTCGTCCAAGCGCTGGGAGCCCATTGTGGTAAATTAGCTTTTGCCTGTATCCGTCAACCATCTCAAGGGCCTACTTTTGGTATATAATAATTTAAATCTATTAAGGTTTAATATGTCCAAGGCATTAAGGGTGGTGCATCAGGGGGCGGTTATTCTCAAGTTATTCCAATGGATGAACTTAATCTTCATTTAACTGGAGATATTCATGCTGTTACAGCTTCCAATAATTTATTGGGTATTTTTTTTAGATTATGTATTTTTTTTAATATTTTTGGTAGCCGCTGCTATTGATACTCGTATTTTTCATGAATCAACTCAGAAGACTGAAGCTCTTTATTCCAGACTTGTGTCTACTAAAAAAGGCAAAAAGTTTTCAACAATAATGAAAAAACGATTGGAAAAATTGGGAATAAATAAGACTGATCCTAATGATTTAAGCTTTGAAGAAATTGAAAAGTTTTCTAGATTAGACATTGACCCGAATACTATTACGTGGCAACGTGTACTTGATGTAAATGATAGATTTTTACGCAAAATTACTATTGGGCAAAGCTCTACAGAAAAGGGACTTGAAAGAATTTCTGGGTTTGATATTTCTGTTGCAAGTGAATGCATGGCTGTCTTGGCACTTGCGAATGATATGAAAGATTTAAGAGAAAGGTATAATTTAAACTTTTTAGTTTTTTTTTTTTAAAAATTTTTAAAGGCTTGGTAATATGATTGTGGCTAGTTCTCGTTCTGGGAGTTTTGTTACTGTTGATGATATTGGTGTTAGTGGTGCTCTTGCTGTTCTTATGAAAGACGCTTTAAAGCCCAATTTAATGCAAAGTATTGAAGGAACTCCTGTCTTTGTTCATGCTGGCCCTTTTGCGAATATTGCTCATGTAGTTATTTGTTTAAAATATTAAATTATGCTTATAGTTTTAGGGAAATTCTTCCATTCTTGCTGACAGAATCGCTTTGAAACTTGCTGGTATTGAAGATGATGAAACACGTGAAAAAGATGCTGGATATGTAGTAACTGAAGCTGGTTTCGGAGCAGATGCTGGACTAGAAAAGTTCTTTGATATAAAAACTAGAGTATCTGGTTTATCTCCTGATGCTGTTGTTTTAGTAGCTACTGTTAAAGCATTAAAACTTCATGGTGGTGGTCCTGAAGTATGCTTTTTAATTTTTTTTTCTAGTATTTAACGAATTACTTAGATTGCTTCTGGAAAGTCTTATGATAATGTTTACCTTACTGAAAATCTCGAATTAGTTAGAAAAGGATGCTCTAATATGATAAAACATATTCAAAATATTAAAAAATACGGTATACCCGTTGTAGTTGCTATTAATAGATTCAGGTAAGTGTATTTTATTTTAAATGGATATAAATAATTAAGTAGTATGGATACTGATGCAGAAATTGATATTGTCCGGGAAGAAGCTATAAAGGCTGGTGCAGTCGATGCTGTTACTTCTAATCATTGGGCATTGGGAGGTTTTGGTTCAATAGAACTTGCGAATTCTGTTCAATATGCATGTGAAAAAGTTTCTAAAAATTTCAAGTTTTTATATGATTTAAAGGCCTCTATTATAGAAAAGATTGAAATAATTGCCAAAGAAATATATGGTGCAGATGGTATTGAACTAAGCGAATTAGCAAGTAAAAAGATTGCTCGGTATACAGAACTGGTAAGTCATTTCCCTGTATTTAATTTTTATTTAAGCATTAGGGATTTGGAAATCTTCCTATTTGTATTGCTAAAACTCAATATTCATTTTCACATGATCCAAAACTAAAAGGTGCACCCACGGGCTTTTCTATTCCTATAAGAGATGCCCGGTTAAATGCTGGTGCGGGTTTTATAACCCTATTAGTTGCTGAAATTATGACAATTCCAGGACTTCCAACGCGGCCTGCATATTATGATATAGATATTGATCCTGAAACTTGTGAAGTAGAAGGATTGTTTTAGTAGTAGACATTTTTGATATTTTTGTCAATTTTTTATATTTTTTAATATATTTTGGAAAAATATTTTTATATTTTTTTCATACATACTGCTCATTTTTTTTACGAATGAATAATAATCATAGTAAAATAAATGTGCTCTTCACGTGTCTTGGAAATATATGTCGTAGCCCAATGGCCCAAGGTTCAAAAAGCTTTTTATGTTTTAAAAATTTATTTTTATTAGGTGTTTTCAGTGATTATGTTTTAAAAAATAAGTTACATGATAAATTTGGTATCATTGATAGTTGTGGTACTTCAGGTTATATATATAAGCTCTTTATATGAATTTTCTGATCTTTTATAGCATATCATATTGGTTCAAAACCAGATTATAGAACACTTTCTGTACTAAAGAAACATGGAATAACTTTTAATCATCAAGCTAGACAGTTATGTAATGATGATTTTTTTATATTTGATTATATCCTTGTGATGGATCTCTCAAATTTGGAAGATGTTAATGATAAGCGTCCCAAAAATAGCCATGCAAAAGGTATATTTTTATTTTTTGTCTTTATTAAATTAATATATAGTACAATTATTTGGGGATTATGGTCTGGAACATGAAAGTAAGATTGTACAAGATCCTTATTATGTAAAATTAGAATTTTACAAAGTATATATTAAATTTAGTTATAGGGAGGAATAGATGGATTTGAAAAGAATTTTATGCAGTTGAATTCATTTAGTAAAGGTTTTTGTTCTAAGGTTTTAAAAAAATAGTTCCAAATAGGTATAGTCACTTAATGATTACATAAATATACTTTATTAACATGTAAATCCAATAGCTTTATTATAGATTGGTTTGTTTGGAATTTGTACCCATACTGCTTTGCGTTTTTGTCGAATTTGTGTTTCTTTTTTTCGTTGTTCTAATATAGTGATATCCCTGATAATCATTTTTATATGTGCTCGTGGTCTTCTTCGTATTGACATTCTTCCTTTTCCTCTAAACCATGGTTGTTTAATATATATGCCTTTCCCAACTAATGCTTGATCAACGAATAATGTATTTTTGTCTAGCTTGTTATTGACAGCTTTTACACGTGCGTTTCTAAGAAATTCTGCTACGCTTCTTGCTGCTTTTTTTTTACTAAAATCCATCTGTAGAATGGCATCTTCTAGTTTTTTACCAGCAATTTGTTTAGCAATTTTTGTAAGTTTTTTTGGAGAAGTTTTCATGTTTGGAGATTTGTAAATAACCTAGGATGTATCTTTAGCATTTGAGGCTTATATTTTTAGATTAAACTAACCATGGTTTCTTTAATTGTAGGTGGTTTGTAAAGTTTTTGATCAAAGATGTCTGAAACAACGGACAAATGATGATTATTTTTTTTGTATATAACATTTCGAGTGAGATTGTTGAAGTATCTGCTATTTTTTTATTTTAGCTACTTTTTTCTTTTTGAGTATACCTTGGAAAAAAATTGGATTGAATCGTTGAAAAACAAAATGAAAAGAATGGATTAAATACTTTAATCATATGATTTTTTGAATCTTTGGTTAAACCATTTTTTTTTGTTTAACAGATTTTGAATTCTTAAAATTGGTGATTTATCGATGTTTTACGTTTTTTGATATTTAGTTTTTTCTTACACATTTAGAAATATATTTTGATTTTAAATTTTGAATGTTTACTGTTTAAAAAGTGTTATTTAATTGTTTTTTTTTGTAAAATTATTTTAGAATATTTTGTTACGTATTTATCTACCTGAATATGTTTTATTTTTTAAATTTATACGAATTTGTGGATTGTTCCAATGATATTTAAATTTATTTTTTATAGATTTTAGTATTTTATAAAATTTGTTATTTCTGAATACCATATTTCATTGGTTTGTATTTAAATTGTTTCTGCAATATTTTTACATATAATGAGTTATTTTAAAACAGATGAATATATATACACACATGCATATAAATATCTTCTAAATAAGGGTATATTTGCAAATTATTATAATAAGTTGTTTTACTTTTTTTGTTATATTTAATAAATATTACTTTTTGACAAGTTTCTAACATGTTTAATAAATATTTTAAAATTAATTTGGCTTAAAAATTAAAGATATACTGCATTTACTCCAATAACTCAAACTAATTGACTGTGTTTTTCAAATCCCGTTTTTTTCAAGGTTGCGAACGATAGATTTTAATTAGAAACACTTTAAAAAACGAAAATTGCCCAAAAATACCAGAGCTTATAAGTCTCCATTTCCCGATATCTTGTATTCTTTTTTGCAAAACGTGTCTTGGTACTTTTCATTATGGGTTATTACACCCGAGGCTCAAATAATTCATGAGCGCCTTTTAGTGATACATTTATGATCTTCGATCTCCAATCTGCTAATGGCCGGACTTTTCCCGGCAACCCCGGTAGTCCCGGTAATCAAAATAATAGTATTGTGGCTAAAAACACTTTGGAAACAAAACTATGCATCCACCGATGTCCAAAGCCGATAAAACATGCCCCGAGTCCTTTCTAGAGCAACATGAGGACTGAGTTCTGTGTGCCAGCTTCACTGAAGACTTGTCTCTGTTTTGCAAAACAATTTAAGAGTTTTCCTAGAAAATATAACAAAATTCTGCAGACTACATGACTACATGCTATTCGGACTCTTAGTCCCCAAAGTTAACAAAACACAAGGCTATTTCCTCCTGAATCCTCCAGAAACAGGTACTGACCCGCCCATAAGGCACCACTTGTCTTGGCAAGCATTCCCGCCCCTAGCAGACTCCAGCTTATCCATCGAAGAAAATTTTCAAAACACATCGAAGCGGGCGTGCAAACCGCTCCTTAAGTGCCCTACCATGCGGCGAATCGCCGAAATTTAAAAATACTCGTGCATGCACTTGAACAAAGCCCAACTCCTCCCATCAAACAGATCTCTGCCCGAACACACTACAGGCTTCTAGACCTGCTCACTACACTTTGCCTTTGCCCTGCCTTTGCCCTGCCCTCGCTCAGTCCCCCCCTCCCCCCATCCCCCCACTCAGCCCCACTCAGTCTCCGTCCTCTGTTGCCAAGGCACTGCCCCGGCATTGCCTTTCCCGGCAGCGCCCCAGACAGACTCAGCGCCCCGTGCTTCCCTACCCTGCCTAGACGCCCCCTACACCCCCTTCTAACCCCTCCAAATACCCCTCCACCTCCTCCACCTCAACCGGCGTCCGCCTCTCCCGCTCCTCCTCCTTCCTTTCCCTCTCTTCTATATAGAACGACTTGAGACTCGCCGCCACATACACCATGTCCTCTTCCTCCACATCGAAAACTTCCCACCACTCCTCCGGCAGCCTGATCCCTGCCTCGTTTGCCGCCATATAGATGCACCCCACTGCAATGCATGCTGCCGGCTCGATACACGGGATCGTCGTGCACATTGCATCGTTGATATACGACCATGTCCTCTGTGCAACGCCCTTCTCCCCCGCCTGCCCCAGTATCTGCAGATACTGCATTGCCTGCCCATACGGCAGTTCCACGTACGTGTCAAACCCTAGCGATGACAGCAGCCTTATCTCTGCCACGAGAACCCTTTCTCTCTCTCTGTATTGCCCCTGCTCCGTCAGCCCTCTCCTGCCCACTCTCCTGCCCTACCTTTTCACCCCATCGCTCTCCCTCCTCTCCCTCTCTCAGCCCCCTTAGCCCTCTCAGCCTCCTAAACACGCCCACGATGTCCGCGATCTTTGCCGGCCGCTCTGTGATTTTCGAGGCAAGGAAGACCGCCCCCATCGCGGTCTCGGCCACTGAGAACTCCCTCACGGACTCCACATAGTAGAATCGCTGCAGCAGCACCTGTGCCGTTCCCGTGCATGTGATGTGCCTGCGTCCTTAGCCTGGCCCCCCCTGGCAGCCCTTACAGCCCGAGAGCGGCGCCCGCCTGCCGTATTAGCTCTGCCCCTGCGCGCCGTATCCTGCTTTCCAGCGCCCGCGGGACGCCTGACGCGCCCGACGGCGTCTCTGTCGCCTGTTGCACTGTGATCCGCGCATTGTTCCGCCGCATCCGCGCCGCCTCACTCGTGCCTTATCGCACCACTGTGCACACTGTAGGAGTGCACCCGGCGTGCACATATAGTGCATGCGGCGCAGCCGCCTGTCGGCCCTTATAGTTTAGTGGCTATAACGTCTCACTCGTACGTGGGGATGAGAAGGTCCTGCGTTCGACTCGCAGTGGGGGCATTTTTTGTTGCCGCGCGTCACGCGCACATAAGCAGCATGCGTCGTGTGGCGCCACGTGACGCGGCGTGTCTGGCGCGTGCTGCCTATGTGCGCGTGACCGCGTGCACGTGGCGGGCGGAGTATGGCGCGACGGCTGTGGGTGGTCTTTGGGAGCGAGGCGGGGACGGCGGAGGACGCGGCAGAGAGCCTCGCGCGCTGCGCGCGGAGGCGGCGCTTCGAGACGCGCGTCTGCGCGGGCGAGGCGGTCGCGCCTGATGGTGAGCAGGAGCGCGCCGGCAATGCTGACAGCGTAGAGCTGCTGGAGATGCAGACGGTGGTCTTTGTGTGCTCGACGGCGGGCGACGGCGAAATGCCGGAGAACATGCGCACGTTATGGCGGTTCCTTCTGCGCGCAGATTTGTCTGCGAACCTGCTGACCGCAATGCGGTTCGGCGTTTTTGGCATTGGGAGTACACAGTATCCGAGGTGCGGCTGGGCATGTATGCGTGCTGGCTCACGTGCGCAGGTACAACTGGTCGGCGAAGAAGCTGGAGCGGCGGCTGGCGCAACTCGGTGCACGTGCACTCTGTGCCCGCGGAGAGGCGGACGAGCAGAGCGCAGAGGGGTAGGGTCATAGAGCGCAGAGCGGCTGCGCGGCGCTGACCGAGCAGGGTCTGGGCGGCACTCGAACGGTGGTCGGAGGGGCTCTGGGCAGCACTCGAGGCAGCGCATCCGCTGCCACCCGGGCTGGAGAGGCTCTCGGAGGACGAGCTCCTGCCAGCGTCGTTCTCGGTGGCCGTATCGGTGGCCGCAGGCGGGCCAGGCGTCGAGGTGCCGATAAGGGTTAGGGGGAGGGTTAGGGCCAGGGTGTTGAGAAACGCGCGCATTACAGCAGAGGAGCACTGGCAGGAGGTGCGGCACGTGGTGCTGGGCGTCGACGGGGCGGTCGAGTACCGCCCGGGGGATCGGGTGGTGCTGTACCCAAAGAACCCGGAAAGGGAAGTGAGTGTGCTACTGGAGTGTATGGGGTGGGCGGGGATAGCGGACGCGCCGCTCAGCATAATCAGCAGGGAGCGGCAGGGGGAGTGGGGAGTGTGGGGAGAAGGGGGAGAGGGGAGGACGACGTTACGGCACCTTTTCACGGAAGTGCTGGACTTTATGTCAGTGCCGCGGCGGACGTTTTTCGAGTTTTTAGCGCACTTCACGGAGAATCGGGCGTTTGCAGAGAAGATGCGGCACTTCTGCACGCAGGAGGGGCAGGAGGATATGTACAGCTATGCAGGATGGCCAAGGAGGACGATTCTGGAGGTGATTCAGGACTTTTGGCCGGTAAATGTTCCTCTGGACTATATATTTGATGTGTTTCCGGTGATGCGTGGGCGAAAATTTTCGATTGCAAGCAGTTGGAGGGTAGGCAGGCAAATGTGTGGACAGGCGTTGTATATTTTAGGTGAACTAGGTGAATCCGGGGCGGATCGACCTGTGTGTAGCAATTGTTAAATACAAGACGGTTTTGAGGGGATTTAGATATGGGGTCTGCACAAGATGGGTATCTGTTCTTTCGGAGGGTATGTTGTGTCTATGCAGTGGTGGAAGGGTATGCTGAGGCCTAGGCATGGAAATAGGGATAGATGTTTTACCAGGTGTGTTAAGAAAGACGGGGTCGCCGATGGTTCCGATTGTCCTGGTGGGGCCGGGGACGGGTGTTTCACCGCTACGCTCCTTGATCCAGGAGCGTATTTTTGAAGGAAGTAAAGGTTGGGGTTTTATCTATCGGTATTTGCAGTATTGATGTTGTAAAGATAATGTATTGTTTTTTGGGTGTCGATCGAAGGACAAGGATTTCTTGTTTAGAGATGAATGGATGGGGTATTGCAGTAGCGGGAATCTGATTTTGTTGACAGCGTTTTCAAGAGACCAGGTATTTGTATTTGATGAAGCGGCAAAAAGTAATCTATAGGACGAGAAAAAATATGTTCAGCACATTATGGAAGAGCATTCGAAGATTGTATATGACTATTTATATAATAAACAGGGTATTTTGTATTTGTCAGGGTATTTTTTGGAAAAAGGTGGGGATAATAGCTGATTTTGTATTTAGAAACTCCCGTTTTATGCCGGAGGTCGTTAAACAAGCATTTCTTAATATTTTGATGAAAGAAGGGAATTTTACTTTTGAGCAATCTAAGGCATGTCTTTTGGCAATGGAGAAAGGGGGTCGATATATGCAAGAAACATGGTCATAGAATTTTGTATTGGTGTTAGAGTATTAGAAAACTATGCATGGATATTTTGTTTATACTTTGAATATATGGGGAGTTTTCATTTGGCTGCAAAGGGTTTAGAATATTAATTGAATGAAAAGAGGCATTGTCGCTTTAGCAATGTCTTTATGTAATAATAATGAAATACTGTTTATTAGTGTTGGCATTTATTCAAAAATTTAAAAATTGATTGATTGTATTATTTCATACAAAATGTACGCGATTAAGGATGGTATTTAAGGCTGTAATTGTTTTTTTATAAAAAATTATTGGCTTGTGTTTAAACCCTTTATATGAGCACTGTATATAGTGCTTGAAAATTTGTATGAGGAAATGGCGCGAAAACGATTTATATTTATAAACATTTCTAGTTTATAGCTTTTAAATGTATGAATTTTATATAAATATGGTAATTCTGAAATGAAGGCTAAGAATATAATGTGTAAGACGGTATATATTCTGATATTATAAATATTGTGCAGTATTTCTAGTATATTTATACAATTTATGATTTTATAAAGAAATATAAATTTAATTAATTTTTGTACCAAGAATTGCAAAAGCGCTACGTGCGTCCAAAACATCTTCATTTCTTTTGAGAAATTCAAAATCTGATTCTTTATTTATATGATTCTTTTGTCTTTGAATACCGGACCATGCATCGCCTTGAGCAGTTTGACTCGAATTAATATCATTTTTGTTTTTTGTTCGTGTAAATTCTCTTCCTAATCTCGAAAGACCACCTGTATGATCTATATTTCTTATGTCTGGCCTTGCTGACTCTAAGATAGTTAACAATCGTCTTTCGTATTCGATTTGATGTTTTGTATATTCTTTTAAAGCTGATTTAATGCTATCTGATGATCTTTTAATCCATTGGCGTCCTTCTTGGAGCAGATTCGTAGTAACGCGAGTAAGCTTTATATTAAGATTTTGCTCGTATGAACGAGTTTCTTCAAGAGATGCTAAAACTTCGTCAACTTTTTCTGATTTTATTGAGGCTGATGATTTTAAGCGTGTAATAATAGATAGTTTCGAACGAGAGGATGCCTGCGCAGATAATAATTCTTTGATGAGAATTTGGCGATTTGTTAAAGTTTCCTTATGTGATTAAAAATTAATATGAACAATGATAGATACTATACTTTTACAGCATATGCGTCTAAGGAAATATATGAAAAAGTATCTATGAGAAGTACTGCCTTTGTATTTGCTTGAGTTAAATACGAATGACTGATAGTTTGGATAGTTTTTCCAAGTTTTCGGAAAGCATTGGCCATTCCAGAATGATGTTCCATATCGGCTATCGCTGCAAACTTAAGGCCCAATTCATCTTCAGAAACACTTATGTCTACAAAATGTTATGATTTATGTAAATATATGACTTGAAAAGTTACTTCGAAGAGCTTTAATTACTTTTTCAAGTTTTGCAGATGATTCGCTTGTTTGCTGATGGAATTTTTTAACAATAGGTCTTAGACTAGAGAGCTCTGGAGTATCGTCTGGAGGAGGACCTTGCATCTTTATTGCTTTTCTTTTTAATCCTGACGCGGGTTTATCTTTTTGTACAACGGGTGAATACTATATGTTAAAAAATTATAATAGACCTAGTGAAAATATTATAATCAAACCCCAAAATGACTTTCTATAAAATAAACAAGTTCCTCATCATGAATGAGAATAGGATTTTCACTGATTATATCTAGCCACTTTTGCATGCGAATATGGAGATGTTTTGCTTCTTCTTCTAATGCTAGTCCTGCTGATGTGGTATTAGGAGGAACTGGGGGAACAAGACATTCTGGATTTGAGACTGAAAGGTGTTTCCCAAGTTTAACAAATTCATCATACGTTCGTCGCACATCAATAAACTGTGGGGCGCGAAAGCCTTGGATATTCGTCTATATTCCATAAGTTTAATGTGTATTTAGTTATTTTTATACATTAACATTAAACCGAATAATTGGAATTTTCCCAGAACGCTCAATTGCTTTGATTATTGGACAGAAATAAGACTTTGTTGACTCGGCAACAGTAGCCGAGCCGTTTTGTCTTGACTCGTCTTTGTCCGTCGTGGTGTTAGAAATATTGCTTCAAAAAAGAATATCTTTATCTTTCAAGAAATTTCTTATTTTTTAGAAAAATTACGATGGGAAACTAACAAAAGGTTTTATATTTTGCGGTTTTTAGACCATAAACTTTTTTTGACGTTGACTTGTCTTCGATTTTCTCAACGATATACATCAGACACCCTGTGCTTATTGGGATTATTTTGTTATTTATTTTACTATCAAATATTTTTCTTTTTGGAGTCATTTTTTATATTTAATATTATTTTTTAAGTTTCTTTATTTTTGTGTTAAGTTTTGCTAAAGTTTAGAAATTACTTGAAATGACTTTTTTCTTGGTAACTATTGGCTCAAATATTTGGAGACGTATGCAATGGCAGTTATGTAAATATCGGGAAATATTAAGCGTATATATGTATTCTTCTTCATCTTCTATTCGTAACGTTGGTATTTTGGCTCATGTAGATGCAGTAATTTTCTTGTTGGGCCTATTTGTTGAGATTGAGGCAATTTAGGGGAAGACAACAGTGGTAGAAAGAATGCTTTTTTATAGTGGGTGTACGCGTCATCTTGGTTGTATGTAAAACTGTTCTAGTGGTCTTTTTTTAATTCAGTGATAGCGGTGGATAAGGGGTCAACGGTTATGGATTGTCTTCCTATGGAAAGACAAAGAGGAATTACAATTAAATCAGGTGCAATATGGTTTTTATGGAATGGTCATCGTATTAATCTTATTGATACTCCTGGTCATGCGGATTTTGTGTTCGAAGTAGAACGGGTACTTTCTGTTATGGATGGAGCGGTTGTTTTACTGGATGCAGTTGCTGGTGTAGAGGCTCAGACTGTTCATGTATGGCAACGGACTTCTGTTTGGAAACTTCCTAAGCTTATTTTTATTAACAAAATGGATCGGCTGGGTGCTGATTTTACACGAGTTCTTGTACAGCTTCAGCATCAGCTGGGTGCTCGACCAGTTCCGATGCAAGTGCCTATTTTTGATAATAAATCAGGGAGGAATGATTCTTTTTGTGGAATTGTTGATATTGTACGTATGGAATCTCTTTCTTGGTCGTCTGGAGATGGTACTATGTTTACACGAGAGCCATTAGCCATTATTTCTGATCAAGACTTTATGAGTCAAGTGGCTTCTGCACGTACTTTATTAATAGAAACATTGGCTGATGTTGATGAAAATTTAATTGATGCATTTCTTGTTTCTGGTTGCGATCCATTACAACTTGATTCGAATTCTTTACAACAAGCAGTTCGTCGAGCAACTCTGTCAAATTATCTGGTCCCTGTTTTTTATGGTTCTGCACTTAAGAATATTGGTATTCAGCCACTGTTAGATGCAATGGTAGCCTATTTGCCGTCAATTAGAGAACGTCAAGATATCTTGAGATTATGCGTTTCTGGTGATCTTTCTATTGGTTCTGTTTCTAATTCTGTTTGCATAAATAATGCTAGTTCTCTTGATTTAAATATTCTTTCTGTAACCTGAGACTAATTATATATTATAAAGTCTTATAATGTATAGGAAAATGATTCCGTATTAAAAAAGACTGTATCTACTACTGAAGATATCTCAAAGTCTTGTTTTCAAAAACAGACTCAATTTCGAGATACCTTTCATGCAGAGACAAATGTTTTGCCAATACCAATTTTATCTTTGGTTGATATCTGTCGAGGGAGTACCAATGTTTTTGCTATTGTTTTTAAGGTTAATATTGAGCGAGAAATCAAGTACGTTTATGTTTCTGTACGTCAAGGTAAGGGTTATTTGTTTTTTAGTGAATTATTTTGAATCTTTTGTATTCGGATGGTTTTGTTTTATAGAATTAGTTTAATTTTTAGTGTTTTAAGTAGTATATGTTAATAAGTATTTAGGCTGTTTTAGGAAAGGTCAATGGTTACGTGTTACGCGAGGTAATCGTATACGTGTTGGACCGTTGTTTGAGGGTTTTGGCGGAACTACTGTTTTATCTTCAAATTTTTCTGTTTTTTCTCAATCGACTGATGGTGTTAATAAAATTAATACTGGTCCACCAATTGATAAAATTGAGGAAGGGAATTGGGGTATAATGGCGTGTGATGGTGAAGTGCGTACTGGAGATATATTTCTAGATGATATGAATGTTAAGACTGATTCAATAATTAATCATACCACAAATTTGAAAAATCATGGTACATTAGATGCTTTAACGAGCAGTAAATTGGATATAGGGTATTTTTTAGGTTTAGGATTACCTGCTCCTGTCCTTACAGTATCTCTTGAGCCTGTTGGTATTTCAACAATGTACTCTTTATCACGGGCTCTTATATGGCTTTTGGATGAAGATCCGAGTTTGCGAGTTGATGATAATGATGGTCAAGTATTGTTAAGTGGGATTGGCGAGTTGCATATTCAAGCAGCATGTGATCGTTTGCGTAATCATTTTTGTATAGATTTTCAAGTAGGTAATGTTCGGCTTCGCCGTTGGGAAAAGGTTTTAGCCGGATCAGTGGTCCAAAAAATATACAAAACTAGCATTCAAGGACGTGAATTATTTTTGGATGTAAAGGTTCGTTTAGAGCCTATAAATAGTCAGAAAAAAATTCAAGACAATGCAGATAATGAAATTATTATATGTGATTCAGTTATAGCTTCGTATTCATATTTGGGTTCCAAGAAGGTTAAAAATGCATGTATTGCCGGTATTTCTGCAGGTTTACTGTCTGGTCCTATTGAAGGATTTCCTGTAACTGGCGCCAAAGTAATTTTAGAGTCTGTTGATGCCTATGGAACTGTTATTACAGCATCCATTTTAGGATCTGCTGTACGTTTTGCTGTTGCTTATTTGGTCTCAGTTTTTCCAAAACATTCTATTTCTGTTATTGAACCAATAATGCATGTAATAATTACTCTTCCTCATGAAAAGGATATAGGGAATGTAGTAAAGGATCTTATGGGTTTGCGTCAAGGAAAATTGGTTTCTATGGAGGGAAATCCTACTGGACAGCACGTTCTTATTGCACTAGTATCGCTTAGATATATGTTGGAATATACAACGTAAGATTCTAGAATAGTATTTTTTGATTCTAAGTGGTTTTAGTGTTCTTAGGGGTCTTACAAGTGGTACTGGTTCTTTCGTAATGGTAAAATACATTTTTAATTTATTTTTCGACTGATAAAATAGTCATTGGATCATTTTGGGACGTGTTATTGAATTATTAGATATTGTTGAGACTTTTTACATATTTAGATGATTTTATTTAGTATTGAATTATCTTTTTGGTATTTATAATATTTTTAATGGTTCTATGTGAATAGAAGTATTATTTAAATAACTGTTTTTTTGGTAGGATTTTTTGTTTGATGGAAGTATTGCAGAAATATTATATTGTTTAAATTATAAGTTATTAGTAACATTTATTATGTTAAGTTTCCATTGCTATTTTTATTGAATCTTGTTAATTCTTGCATAAATTTATGGATTTTATGTTACAACGTATTTGAGGTAATTATGTTTTGTAAACAGGCTTAGTATATGTATGTAGTAGGTCTTTTGTTTTTGAATCATGTTATATTTGTATGTATTAATAGAATGTTTATGTTTTCAAATGCTTAGGACTTATGCATTTTTATTTATTACTTTATTATTTGTTTTTTATAGTTTTTAGTAAATATAGTTTTTAGTAAAAATTATATTTTCTATTTTGAAGCTAGAAAATACCTTTTTTTAAGTATATATGATAGAGAATATGATTTATAATTTTTTTTATTTATCATTTTTTAATTACTTTTTTTCGTTCCCATCGTAATTTCTATTCGTTTTTCTCCTGAAACCTTTTTATTACTAGAAAAAAGGAAAAAGAGGAATTCAGACAAGATCAGGCCCTAAATTGTTTTTTTGAGGATTATAACTTTAAGAAAGGTCATTAGTATTAAGTGAGTCTTTTATGTTTGTTATTTAGAATTTTTTTTGATAATTAAAGGATAAAATGTCACTTCAAGAAAACTCTCAAGAATCCACTAACAATATAAATGAACATAAAGTCGATGATAATACTACATTAGTTTCGACTTTTTGTTCATCTGGGGCTTTGGATGCTACTAATAAGATCTTTATTGGGAATCTTAGTTATAAGGCCGATGAAGCTCTTATTCGGGACTTATTTAAAGATATTGGTAATATGTAAGTGTTTTAGGGCACGTGGACTGAATTGCTCTTTTATAACTATTCCCAGTACTTGTGTTAATATTCCTATGCGTCGTTTATACAAAACTGGTGGGCTTCGCCCTCAGGGAATTGCTTTTGTGACTTTCACTTCAAAAGAGGATGCTCAAAAAGCTATTAGCTTATATGACCGGAAAGAATTTTTAAATAGAATGCTTATTGTTACTTACGCGAATCCTCAACCAAAAATATCGACCCGGCGGCATAAAGGCATGCGGTCTGGATCAAAGGTAATCTGTTTTTTGTTTTTAAGAAATATCTTATATTGTTGTTTAAAAAGCCTTTAAAGAAAAATAATGAGACTCAGGGTTCTAAAGAGACTACTGATTTAAAGTCTAAGAAAGCAAATTCTGTAACAGGTATATTAATTTTTTTATTAAAAAACATTTAGAAGATCTTTGTATAGGTGTTAATTCTGATGGGGGTGCTTCTGGTACACAAAAGCAGGCGGATCAGGTTAATTCTTCTGGAACAGGTGGTGCTGAGAGTGATAACAAGCATAATCGGTCACGTTTTACTCGACCTGGATTTAAACGTGGTCCAAAGGGCCCTCCTGCTAATGGTGTTGATAGTAAAACAACAGTTTTTGTTGCGGGGCTTTCATATGATACCAGGATTGAACATGTTTATTTTTCTATTTTTTAAGTTGCATATTAATTTTTGTAGCTTATAGAATGGTTTTCAGCATATAATCCTTTAAGTGCTCATGTTGCTCTTCGCCCAATACCTCGTTATATGATTCAAAAGCTAGCAGCAAGAGGAGAACAACGGAAAGGGCGTGGTTTTGGTTTTGTCACGTTTGAAAATGAAGATATGCAGACTAGGGCGGTGGCAGAAATGAATGACAAGGAGATTGATGGGAAGACGTTGATTGTAAAGGTTGCTGTTGATAAACCTCAAAATCTAGCGGTCGCCAATGGTTCTCAGGAACCTGGTTGCAACAATGCCGTCACAGATTAATGAATATAGACTATATATATGTAGTATAGAGGGTATAGATGGTATAAATATTATCAAAAGTGAATAATTTTTGATCTTTATAATCTGTCTATTCTTTTGTTATTATTTCTTGAAAATTTATTGAATTTTCTTGTATCGAAAAGATTACGCTTTTATCTGTTTGATAAGTTTAAAGTTGTTTGAAATTTTAAAGAATTCTTTTGTTTATTTTTTAGCTAGTAGATAGTACTTTCAAAAAGTATGTTTTTTAAATGCATCGAGCGAATAAAACAAGATATTTTTTAAAATTTATATAAAAAATGGTATCAGGTTGTTATGCAAAAATAAAAACTCTTGAATCTTTAGGAGGGGAGATTCTACAACCTAGAAAACACCTTTCTCCTAAATCAATGAATCAAGATTATTATTCTGAAGATATTGATTCTAGATTAGTTTTACGTCAAGAGTATAGAAAATTAATTAAAACAACTGATGGTGTGTTTATATTTGTTTTTACTGTTTTAAATATTGTTTTAGTTATTAAATGTATTTAGAAAACAAATTGGATTATATTAAAGCTGGGAATTATGGTTTAGTAAAAACTATTAAGACTGCTGACATGCTTTTTCAAAAGGGTATTTAATAGTATATTTGGTGTTTTTATGTTTATGTTTTTATTAGTCAAACGTCCTCAGGAAGCTACGTTGGATTCTCGACTTCTTGTTCAGACAGTTGGTCTTGCAAGTATGAGAGCAAAGCGTCTAAAGTTAGGAGATATATTATTTGATATGGATATATATATTGGGAGTTTGTTTTCATTTATGGGATGTACTAGGGATTGTCATACAGATGGTAACTCTGAACTGAATTGGATAAGAATTGGACAATTAGCATTACTATGTAGTAAAAGACCGCCAACCATGAGTTTTATGCTAGGATCTTTATCTGTTGAAAGAAAAGAGCGCAGAATTATACGTCAAGAAAGATTTCAAAAAAATAACGATGATCTTGTGAAACCTGATGAAGTATTTATTTTTGTTTTGTTTTGTTTTTTAATTTTTAGATAAAAGGAAAAGAAATGTTACCTCAAGATAATACAACCCCTAAGAACGTTATAAAGATTGATAATCTTCTGAAATGTCATTCGCCTATAGGACTGTTTGAATTTATTATAAATCCTGGAAGTTTTTGTCAAACAATAGAAAATATGTTTTATTTAAGTTTTTTAATGAGGGAAGGTAAAGCTAATTTGATAAAAGCAAACAACGATATGCTTGTTCTTAGTAAGATCTTTTTTTTTATTTTATTTTTCTATTAATTTGAAAAGAAAGCAAAGATTCTTCTGAAGAATTATATCAAGGAAATAAAAAACAAATTGTTATGTATATTGATATGGAAATGTGGAGAGTATTTTTATCTTTTATTATATGTTCTTAAAAATAATTACTTTTAGGATGTTATTGAAGCATTAGATATAACAGAATCTATTATTCCAACACGTTAGTCTTGCTTATATTCGTATATCTATAATATTTTGATTGCATTATTGAAAGATATATAGATCCCTTTAGGTTAATAAAAACTACAGTCAATAAGCAAGTTAGATATATTTGTAATTATTTGGATTTAATAAATTTAATTTCTATATTGATATTTGGTATTATATTGTGAATATTTTGTTTATTTCTATTAATTAAGGACTTTGTGTATTGTTACCAACAATAATGATTATTTCTATAAAAAAACTATTTTATAAAAGTGTTGACTCTGTAGAAATTGGAATTATCAAAAAGAAGAGATTTTGGTTTAGGGTATTCTTCTATATTAATTCTTCTAACTAAACGGAAAAGACCAGTACCAATTGGAGCTGGTTTTCCGAGAATAATACATTCTGAAACTCCTTCTATTGAATCTTTTGTTAGTCGAGCTGCTGCATCAAAAAGATGATCTGTTGTTTTTTCAAATGATGCAAGCATTAATACACTGTTTTTCTTAACAATAATTAAAGAAACGTACATAAAAAAAGTGTTTATACCATTTTTGCTACTCCAAAACGTGTAATTCCTAAAATTTCCCCTCTGTATGTCATAACGTCACCTAATAACATAACATGTCGAGGATCAATATTCATTCCATGTGAACTCATTGTTATATCAATCTCTTTAATAATAGATGCCCTAGCTGCTTCTATTCCAAGAACTTGTTTCATTTCCATAACATGATTTGTAGACGTTTTTGTTCCAACAACTCCATCAGTATTAATCACATCCCGAAGACCATAGCCTTCTACAAGAAGTGTATTTTTTCCTTTTTCGTCTATATTTATAACAGCTCTTGAAGTTGATGGAATTCCCTAAAAATTATATTAATTTGGATTATATTTTAAAAAAAAATAACCTTAACAATAACGTGAGGTAATGTTCGTTTATAGTGTTGTAGTTTATAGTAAACTTCATCAAATTCTTTATCTTTATCATCATTTGATACATATACTTTTATTTTATCTTCACTACTAATGCTAACTTTCTAAATAAATATTAGTAGAGTTAATGTAAATATAGCGGTTACTGTGTTTGAAATTTTTAATTTTGGTGCTTGCCAAATTGACGCTGCAATTTCATCGATTGTTATTTCTAGCTATTTTTATTTAAATTAAAGTTAAAATAAAAATATTAATACTTGTAATCTATTTACAGTATTCCAGTCTATTTTTATACCAATATATGAAGAAGTAGGCCCATATACTTCTTCTATAAATGTGGTTATCTGTTTTAAATTAATTATACATTCAAATAAGCTAACTTTATATACATCTTTCATATATGTTTTTTCGACGCGGCCTTTTACTACACGAGCCGATCGTGTATCATCCTCTGCTACAAGTTTGCATGTTACAATAGGTGTACTAATAATTTTGGCTGCATTAATAATTTCTTTAATTCTAGGAACGCCTAATGTAACATTCATTGATGCAACACCTGCAAAATGGAAAGTTTTTAAAGTCATTTGAGTCCCAGGTTCCCCAATTGACTGTGCGCCTACTGCCCCAACAGCTGTTCCTAAAAAAATTAAACTATAGTAATATATAAAAGAAAATTAAATACCAGGTTCAACTTTTGATTTTATATATTTTTCTAAACATAGTTGTAAATATGTTAAAAGTTGATGTTTAGTAACTTTGAAAATGCTGTCTACTGTTTTTTTAGAATCAACTATAAAGCTTAATTGATTTTTAAAATAAAAGTTAACTAACTTTCTAATGATTCCTCATTGATAATATTTTTGTATTTAGAATCATTTGTATGTTCAAGAAAAGACGGAAGATTTCTTCTTTCTCGAATAGCTGCTAAATGTTCTGCTATATTTTTTTGAATAAAATTTAATATTGAATTTTTGAAATTTTCTGTACAGTTCTTGAATTTAGGATTTTCAAGATACTTGCGTGTAGTTTCTATGATTTCATAAGGAAGGAGTCCTTTCGATTGTATTTTAGATGTAATGTTCTTATTTAATTAGTTTTGTATCATATATTTGGCATATATTTACATGGCAATGGTTCCATGTTCTTGAAAATTCAACAGGACAATTATCTCCTTCTAAATAAGTTGGATCTAACCCATCATCACCATATATAAACTGTACAATTCCAGATGATGAATTACGAACGGTTCCATCATATTGTAAAGATAAATCTTCAAGAGATTTCATTAATCTTCTGGACATATATCCTGTTTCTGCTGTTTTTACTGCAGTATCAACGAGACCTTCTCTTCCTGATATGGCATGAAATAAAAATTCTGTAGGTGTTAAACCAGAATAAAATGAATTTTTTACAAATCCTTTTGCAGGAGGCTGTTTTGCTAATAATAAGATTAACACGCTTATTGAGTTATACTGAAACTTACAGTTTTTTTGAAAATGAGGCAAACTTCTGTCTTGAAACCCATTTGGAACTCTACTTCCACTAATAATTTGTTGTCCTACACATGATACCATTTGTGAAACATTGATTTTAGAGCCTAGAATGACGTTATTTATATATATAATTTAAGATAAATCTAACCTTTTGAACCACATGTAGCCATAATTAGAGATGCATTCGTTCTTGCTAGTTCACTCATACAAATTTGACCAACATCGTCTCGGACTTTCGAAAGTATTCCAGATACTTTTGCTTCTAATGTTTGTTCTGCATCACAACCTGGCTGATTTTCTAGTTTCCCTGATGATAATGCATATATTAGATCATCACAAGACTGATATGCTGCTTTTACTAAACTTTCTTTTTTTTTTTTTAGTAAAACTCCTGGTTGAACATCATTTATTCCAATAGAAAAACCATGGTTCCCTATCCATCTTGCACATAGTTTTGCAAGTCGATTCATAGCTTCTGCTGCTTCAGTAGGACCATAATTTTTTAAAATGACATAAAATATGGAATTTTTTTTACCATCGCCCACTGTTGATTTATCCATAACACCACACATAATCTCACTTCCACGTATGAGTAGATAACCATCATTAATACAAAGATCTGGTATGCCTTTTGGAGAACTAAATGACCTAGTTTTAGCATCTAAATTAACTATTACCGGCGAGTTTTTGTTAGGCCTCATAAGTACATTAAATATTTGCTTTCCTGTCCATAAGGTTACTGGTTTTATGATAACAGGAGATGGCAAGTCGATATGCATATTAGCATCTACCATAAAAGAACATATATGTGTAAATGTTTTTCTATCATAAAAATTATCTTTTTGACTAATTAAGTATGACGCTGTGACAAAATCTTGTATGGCTGCAATAATTGGATCCCCATTACGAGGAGTTACAAGGTTGTTTTTTACGCTCATTAATTCTATTGCTTCTGCGCGTGCTTCTTCTGTTTGTGGAACATGTAGGTTCATCTCATCTCCATCAAAGTCCGCATTGTATGGATTACAAACACATTCATTAAGTCTGAAAGTTTTCCATGGTCGAACCTTTACCTAAATTTTATAAGTTTTTTATTAAAAAACTAAAGCTATACTTTGTGACATAATATACTAAGCTTATGTAATGAAGGCTGACGGTTAAATAAAACAATATCATCATCACGAATATGACGTTCAACTACATCGCCAATTTTAAGTTCTAGAGCCATCTTTTGACGATCTCCAAATTTTAAAAATTTTTTAAATCCGTTCTCTTGATTCATAATATAATTTGCCCCTGGATGAATGTCTGGTCCATTTATAATAGCTTTTTTTAATTGTTCGATGTTATAGTATGTTACTTTTTCCGGATATGTTAGAATTTTAGCAATTCGCTCAGGAATAGCAATCTTTAATAATTAACCAATCAAGTAAAATAGTGCAATTTTATTAACCTGATCAATAGATAGATTAGGATCTGGTCCGATTACAGTTCTTGCAGAAAAATCAACTCTTTTTCCTGACAAATTTCCTCTAAAACGACCTTGTTTACCCTTCAATCTTTGACAAAATCCTCTCATAGGTTTTGTATTTGCTTGTGATGATATTCCAGGTAATTCGCTATTAATATACATAGCAACGCATAATTGTAAATAATCCCATTGCTCCTATATAATATAAGATTAAAATACCCCTTCCAATAAAATACCATTAAATTCTGAATAGGTGTTCCTTTTTCTAATGCGCTTTTAATTAAGGAGTTGGTCCATATGATTTCTGTTAATTTGACTGTTAGATCATCTTCTGTGCTAGCACCATCCTGGGAAATAGATGGTCTTATACAAACGGGTGGTGCTGGTATACATTGCCAAATAAACATTTCTGGACGACCTTTTAATGGATTTATACCTAAAAGCTCACAATCCTAAATCAATTAAAAAAATTAATAAATTTATTATGGTTAGTATTACCATAGGTGGAATTTGCTTAAATAGATTTAAAACTTTAAGAGGATTTAGGTCATCATGTGCTTTAGAGAGATGGGTTTTCATATCAGGCGTAGATTTTAAAATAGTTTCAAAGGTTTTTTGAAATTCTATTTCTTCTTGGTGATTTTTTTTACTATATTTAAACTTTTCGTGGATAATTTTTAATGCCCCAACTTTTTTAACAACACCCTGGGTACTCTGACAATTAGGACATATTCTTACTTTCTTACATGTGTCATTTATGCGTTTATATATTTGTGATTTTTTTAAATTATCTGTTTCTGCTTTTCTTAATTCTTTTAAAAAGCTATAGGTATCTTTTAGTTTTAATAATATTTTTGAACAATCCTATTATAATTAATTTCTTTTTTTTAATTTAATACTTACTTTGCATATATTTTGAAGTATTGTAATAATAGTTTTAAAATATCCTATATGAAAGACAGGAAGAATTAATTTTACGTATCCGAAGTGTCCTACACAGGTTACTATTTTTTCTCCACAGGTTTCGCATATTGCTTGTTTATCTGAAGTCCCCTGAGTGTAATTAGATATACTTGGTTTTCCTCTTATTTTTTTATGCTTTACCAATCTTTTTAATTTTTAGAAGTTTGTAAATATTACGTAAGAACTTGCCTTTTGTCAAGAGCACCATTGCGTACTGTGGATCTATCTATTATATTATATAGTTCTCTTGTTGAAACCTCTAAAACGCCTTGTTTTATTATATCTTTTGGCCCAAATACGCCAAATTCAATATTTCTAATTTGCTTTGGAGGTTGGTCTATAACTTGTTCCTTCATTATGTCTTTATATTCTTACGTTACAGTATATATCATTTTCTTCGTCTATTGATTATTATGGTATTTTGAATATTATGAAGTTTTATAATGTACTATTTAGCAATTATAATAAAAGGTTATGTTTTTCACATAAAACAATGAATATTTCATCCTTCTTGGAACTTTTTTCTTGCAAAAACTTATTCTTGTTTTTTTTTAGAATTTATTTCTTTCTTTGATTTAAGTTACGAAAATAATTAGTGTATTTGAATTAATAATATAAAATCGATATTAATAAAAATCCATTGTTCTTAAATGTCTATTTAATAGATAAAATGTGGTAATTAGCATTTAATATTTAGGATATCTGCAGGACAGATTATAACTTTTAGATAAAGTATTATAATAAATGTCTGACAAAAATGATGAGCTTCCATCTTACCAAGCTAGTATAAGCCCAGAGAATACAAAACAAATATTATTTGACTTATTAGATTCTAATGAATCTCAGTTGATAACTCTTACAGGTACAAAATGCAGAAAGGTTATATTTACGGGTTTAAACTAGTATATACTAAAAAATTTAGTTATTTTTTTTTGGAGTTTTATTTCCTTTTCCTATTCTTCTTATTGGAGTGTATATTGGATTAATACATTATCCGTTCTTTAAAAAAGCATCTTTTAAGGATGAGCAACAGCAAATGTATTTTGAATATATTAAAGAAGAAGAGATAAGATGGGGAAAAAGATGTCTGTATTTGTTCGGATTGATATTATTTGCAATAGGATCTATATTGTTTGCTGGATTCAAAAGTAATTGGACAACAAGATAGTTTTCAATATGCATAGAAATATAAAGTAATACTTTAGTCACTTAAGTTATTTGTATTTTATTTGTTTTAAATGTTTATGTATATAAAAGGAAATTTTAATACTAGATATCAAAATCTAAATTAAAGTCACTTTGAGCAATGATTTCATCTATATTATTAAGGGATTTTGCAGTTTTAGTTGCCGAATTTTCGAATACATGTATTCTGTTATTTTTAGTTTCTTCTGCATCTATTGGGTTTGTTTTTGTATGAGTTTCAGCTGTTTGTGTATTTTCATTTGCATTTCTGATTTGAGGCAAGAAAGGTTTTTGCACTTCTGATAACATATTGTCATAAAATATTCTTGGATTAGTTTTAAGACGTGAGAATGGATTTGCTATTATTGGAAAGATACCTACTAACATTAAGTTTACATATATATATTGCTATTATTACTTTGTTTCCTACGTTCCTCGTTGGCTTGGATTTCTGCTTGTCTAATTGTATCTAAATTAGCTTTTCTATTTTTTTCATTTAATTTAGCAAGTTTATCTAAATGGATTAAAACATGTCTTTTTCCTGCTGATAATTCCTCAAGAGTATTTAGTTTTTCTGTAAGTCTTTTTGCTTCTTTTTCGTCTCCATGGGCAATTGCAATGTCTCTGATTTTCTTTAGCTGTGTTTTTTCTATTGCTATATTTCCAGGAATTTTTTGTAATGCTTTTCGTCGCGCTATCATATCTGATATTTCTAACTTGAAAAAATTGTATATTTTGCAAAATTTAATAAGTTGAACTTACATCTGTTAGCTTGTGTTGTGTCATTAGACTTAATTCAGTTATTTTTTTTTCAATTAGTGATTTTTTGGGTGCAGCAATTTTGTCTTGCTTAAGTTGTTGTGTCCATCTATCAAATTCTTTCTAAGTTAGTTAATAAGATACTTTTTGAATATCCTTGAATATGTTACTTGAGTAATAGCAGAATTTGATACGAATGTTATTTCAAATGCTTTTATATTTGCACCATGTATACATTCTATTTTTTGATTGGAAAGTATTCCTTCAAAAGAATAAACTTTTGGACTAGTTTGTAAACCTTTTCAGTAATTATATATTTATAAATTTTTAGTGAAAAATATTATACCTTTGATTTGACAAACTCGATATACGCTTTTACCTTGAGAATTTTCGCCTATTTTTATCCTGGCAAAGCAACCTTAAAAATTAAATATTTCCATAACATATATTAATACAGTACCTATTATAGTTTCCTCAAATAAAGGATGAAATAGAAATTTTGCAAAATGTTTTCTCCCAAGTCTAGTATTATTTACATCGTTTAAATCAAGTATAGTAGTTTCATCTTTATCTTCTTTATTTTCTGAATCATGTTCATTTTTTTTGTTAAATTTTTGTTTGTTTCTTTTTCTGAATATTTTACTATCTTGCTACTTAAAGTTAATGGTATTTTCCGATATAACTGCATACTTCTGGATCTGTTCGGTTATACTTTTCTTCTCTTTTTCTTTTGAGTTCAGTTAATTTATCTTTTTTTGAAATAGCTTCACTGTTTTTTGTTCCTTGTGTTGATCCTATATATAATTAACAAATATTATTATAAATTATGTTTGCTAACGTCGTGTTTTTAATTGTTTTTTTATATCGAGTTTTTTTTGCTTCAGTCTTTCTGCTAATTCTTTTTTTTCTTGTAATTTTTGTGTCTAAATACACGTATAGTTTGTTTTTTATAAGTATGATGTATTTACTTCTTCTTCTCGTTCGTAAAGGATAGATTCTCTTTCCACTTCATTCATACTCATTATCCTTTTGAAACTTGTGAAACATATCTAAGACTTTTCTAAAATATACCTTTTACGGTCTTCTTCATCCTTGAATTTGCCTTCTAGTACATAAGGAATGGAATACTTTTCTATGTCATTATCGTCTTCATCTCTAGATACTATATTCTCGCTTTCTGTGCTACATTCACTTGAATACAATTCTTCACTTGAATCATCATTGCTTCCCAAAGATTCTCTATAATTTTCAGTGTATTTTCCACTTTGAAGTCGTTTGTGAGACATTATTTTTTTTTTACGAGGAAGTTCATTTTTTTGTGATGTATTTTCAATATCTTTGTGGCCTGCTAATGCCAAAAGTTCATCTGATAAATCATCCATAATTTTAAGTTAAAGTTGTTAAAATTTTTAAGTTGTATTTAAGCAAAAAGTATGATCTACGATATTTTACAAATATTACGAATCGTAAAAAATAAATTATAGAAAATATTTTAAAAAATAAATGTATCCGTTTAAAACCTATTTAGGTTTAAAATCTTACAACTATTTCATTTGCTATTGTCATGTATCTTAAAAGTATTAGAAAAAAATTGAATTTTGAGAAAATTACCTTATACCCTTATAATGTTTGTCATTAGAGTTAGTAGTTATTTTTAAGCTTTCTACATTCATATTACTAATAATCCATCCATTGCATGTAAATTTTGCTATGAGATAATTAGGAGAAATTTCCATTTCATTAAGAGTAAATTTCATAGAAGCAAAAGAACAAGCTTTAGGCACATCTAATGTCCAAACAATTAGTTTATTTTTTTCTTTATGTTTGTATTCAATTGTAATATTTCCATGTGTAGATTTTGAATTTCTTACTTGACATGATTCAGATATTGGAACAGTAATAGTTATATTGTCAATGAATTGATTAAAAATATTTAATTTTATTTCAAAGTCCTCAACATTTGGGTTTGATTTAGGTTCAATAGAGATTGGTAAAGATGAAGAAATTGTATCAGAAAGCTCAATTCCATAAGTCATTAAGGTGAATTTTCCATCTGGTGGTACAAAGCATAGATGTTTTAATGAGGGAACATGACTCGAACGTATACATGGATGAAATGATGAGTAAAAAAGATCATATTTGGATTTTATACTTAAGATTATGTTAGGGATACCTTAAATAATTAATTTTGTTTCTTTAGTATATTATTTACCTGAAATGTTTGAAAGACATTTTATTTTTCCTTTTGAAAATAGAGTTATAAATTTTCCATGTCTATTTTTGATAAGAAGAAAATGGATAATTCTCCTGTTAATACTTATCAATTATTCCTGTAAGTTCTTCGATAACATCAATAAAAAATTCATTTTTTATATGTTTTACATTTGCTCTTCTCCATGCAATTGGTGATAGAATGCCTGATGGTATATAAGATCTTTTATAAGTTTAGTTTAGATCTAAAAAAAATATTTGATACTTTTGTAGTCCTGTCATGTTTAATATTTGACTTATTGTATTTGGAGGAGAAATGATATCTTTTAAAACGTTAGATTCTGTAATCATGGGATATCCATAGTCCATCATTTCATTCAGTAGTTGAATAACAATTTCATTTTTTTTTTCTAAAACGGATTTTTTTATGGCATTTGGCCCCAAATAGTCTTTAAGAACATTTATAATATGATACAGGAATTCGATAACATATAGTGGATCTATTTCTGATGTTACCACGCAAAAAAAAATAATGTCACCACAATCGATATGAAATAAAAGACCTTCTTTACAGGATATAATAGGTGTAAGTATATCTTTATGATATACCGCTTTTTTATATTCTGATATAAATAGAGCAATAATATTTTTTGAAGTACGTCCATCCCAATGGTATTCAAAAATAATGTTTCTAAATAAATTAGATATTTAAAAAAAACGATTTTAAAACAAGATACTCTTTTCTATCAAGGATAAATAAAGTTTTTATAGAGTTCATCTTTTTTTTATTTGATATTTTTGAAAGAATATTCGACGTTATTTTGTGAACTGAAAGTTTAAAATTTACAATATGAATGTAAAAAATGCAGAAAAAATATTAGAAAATTATGAGTGTTTTGGGTGCAGAATCACAAGTACATTGACTTTTAGTGGTTTTGGAATATATATTTTGTATCAAGGGAGAAAAAAATACGGGCATTATACTTATAAAACAATTTTAAAATCAGGTTGTTTTCGAAATTTGAATCTATTATTAAAGAAATCCAGCTTCAACATAGTAGGTGCACTTTTTTGTATTGTTGGGTACTCGAGATTAATAAATTAAATTATAAATACTTGATTTAAGATATAAAATAGGTATTATGTATAGTATCTTATATAAAGATTTAGCACTATTTAAGTTGTACGTATAAAATCAATATATATTACATGATGTTTAAAATTGCGAAAATTTTGAGAATATGGTACCAGCCTTAAAATATATGTATAAATTACAATCTTTTGAATTAGGGACTTATATTTATGTTGTGTTTCTTTTGAGCATCTCTTTAGCCCATGTTTCTAAATCGACATCTTGCTTTCGTGAATTTATTATATAATAATGATCCTGATTATATGTTAAAATATTTTTTAATTAAAGATAAAAAAACCAGAAGTTCTTGAGGATTAGGCCTCATTTTTAGATCTTTATTGAGACATGTGCTAATAAAATTATCTAGATCTTTTGGAAACTTTCCTTTCGGTAAAGTTGGAGCAGATTCATGTACTATTCTTTGCAATAAGTCTAGAATTCCCATAGTTCCTGTTGCAGGAGTATCTGGATTTGATGTTAACGGGAAATGCCCAATAGCTAATTCTAGAAGAGTCATCCCAAGAGACCAGACGTCAGATTTAATACTATATTTTGCTCCTTGGATACGTTCAGGCTAGTTAATTAATAGAGATTTAGAAAGCAAAAAAAGAGTTTTTACCGACATATATGTAGATGTCCCTACAAATGTATCGGCTGTTGAATTTATAAGTTTTCCCGATACTCCAAAATCACAAAGCTTAATTTGTCCATGAGAGTTAACTAGAATATTACTTGGTTTAACATCTAATGCTTTTAATTAGTAGTAACTTTTTAAGGAAATCTACCTCTATGAATTATGCGATGAACATTATATAAATATGTTAATCCTTCTACAACCTAATTTAAATAAATATATTTATAATTATAATTATTGTGTACAAACTGCAATAGCTATTTTCCCTAAAATATTAACTTGTATGGCACCATATTTAGATATTCTATCTAAAGAACTAAATAGGATTAGTATAAAATGTTAAAAAAAATATTTACTTACCCGCAATCCATATATTCCATGCAAATATTAATATCATTCTCATTCATAAATGCACCATAAAATGAAACTATGTACGGACTATCACAGTCATGCATTATTTGTAGTTCTCTATGTATTTGTTTTCTGATAATTGGTTTAGCTTCAATATGTATGACCTTTAATAAGGTTAGAAACTTTTTGTATTATAAAATTTGATAAATACTTTTTTGGCCATAATAGTTTTTGTAGGAAGGTGAAGAACTTTAGTGACTGTACCACTATTACCTGCTCCAATATCCCCCAGTATTTTAAGATCTTCTTGACACAAATTAAGTTTGAATTCAACGCCAACTTCAAGAATTTCAAGTTGTTCAAGAAGACTATTATGGTATTTATGGGAATCATTTGCAATTCCGGATAAATGTGTATTTAATATTTCTGATGACTCTGTACGTGTTTGTGAAGGCAGTGTTAATTGTTTAAAATTCCGTTGTTTTTTTCTAGATAAAAGCTCATTTTTCATTTCCTTATACTACAGTATATATAAATATATGTTTTTTCGAATAATTATAATTATTTTTTTCGCCAGTTGTATTTATTTTAGTTCTTTGCTTTAAGAACTTGTTTTTAAAAGGTTTTCATTAGTAATTTAATGAATAAATTATCTTATGTCTACCGTTTTTTTACAGTTGCTTTCTTTTTTTATGTTTTTTTTTTTTGTATTTTAGTGTTATATTTTAAAAAGATTTATCCTTGTTTCTCGTGTTTCTTCGAAAATGAGTAACATTGTGCCCCCCTCCCCAATTATAACGAGAAAAAGTTTAATTACTTGAGAGAGTAAAATGGGGGATGTACTAGGTAAAAAACAAAAAAATGATGAATTTTTTGTTTGTATTAAAAATTTTTAAGGTGAAAATAATGAGAATGATGTATGGGATGAAAAAAGCGATGAAAATGAGGAAAATGATTTGGAGGATGATACTGTTATGGATTCTAGCGAAGAGGAAGAGGATGATGATGATGATGATGAAAGAAGAAAGGTTTTTTTGTATCCGTATTTTTTGTAATATATATAATTTTGATTGTTTCTGAAGGTTCATGAGGGATTTATTGTTGATGATGAGGAAGAAACAGATGATGATGTAGCAAATATAAGACGGCATAAAAGACGAAAACGGTTAAATGATGTGGATAGGGATATGGATGGTGACGAACTTGATGAAGAAGATCTAGATCTTGTTATGGAAAATACTGGAATTGTAATGGCACGAGATATACCAAAATTCAAAAGGTTAAAACGAAGAAAAGAAAAATCTGCTTCTAAGAATTTGGAAGATATTTTTTCAGATGAAGAGGATCAGAGTAATGCAGAAGAGAAAGCTTACGTTAAACAAGGAGTGTTTACTGATGAATTTGCTGATTTCATTGAGGAGGATGATCTTGATAATGATATTGATAATAGAAAAGAAATTCGACATGAAAAGTCATTTCGTATAGGGGCGTATTCCGAAAGTGTTGGAATAGATAGTGATGCGCATGCTGAAGTTTTTGAAATTTTTGGTGATGGTGGAGATTATGCTTATGCTCTTGAAAATGAAGATTCTGAGCAATATGAAAAAAAAGATGTCTCTTTGCATGATGTTTTTGAGCATAGTGAAATTGTTGAACGTATGCTTACAGATATGGATGAGATTATTCGGATTACTGATGTTCCTGAACGGATTCAGGTTTTACGGGCTCCGTATTATCATTTGCAGCTTTCCGATGAAGATATCTTAAAAGAGTATGATTGGGTTTCGAATCGTCTACTCTTTGTGCGTTCCGATATAGACAATATTTTGTTGAAACCTTTTAAGAAAGCTGTAAAAAATGTTATTGATTTTTACAATCGTGATTTTTTTGAACCATCGTTTATTTGGCAAAACAGAAAAGATTATTTACTTTTTTCTGAAAAAACTACTGATGAAAGGAAAGCAAATAAAGTTCATACTCTATTAAGGCAGAGTGATTTGTGGAAAATTCTTGATCTTGATCTTAAATTTCGTGCATTTATTGAAAAACGGAATTCTTTTTTTGAAACTTTTAAGAACTTAGATCTCGATGATAAATTGCTTAAAGAGTGTATTGGTAAAGTTGAATGTTTTGAAGAGATTATTGATCTCTATGATTATATATATTTTCGATATTCTGAAAATATAAAAGACATGAATATTTCACAAGGATCTACTTTTAAGAGACCTTCGAATAAATATTCTTTTTATGCTAAAATAAGGAAAGATAATTTTTATAATCTTGTCAGAGTAAGTGTTTTGATTTAAGGGAAAAACCTTGATTAATTTTTCAGGCTTTTGGGTTGCCTCCTGAACATATTGGAAAAAATTTTTTGGAAAATACTAAAAGATATTTTCCTGAAGATCCTGACAAATGGCCAGAAGTTCTGGCAGAAGAATATGTTATGGGTTCTAATTATTTATCTGTTTCTAATGCTTTGGCTGGTACGTGTTGTTTTTAATTACTATTTTTTTAACTTGAATGTTAGTTGCAAGAAAAGTTGTTGTTGATGAGTTATTGAACGATCCTCAAGTTAGAAAGTCCATAAGGACTATTTATCTTAAAAAGTGTTATATTAATGTTAATCCTACTGAAAAGGGTATTAGAAAAATAGATAATGATCACCCTTTTTATTTTTTTAAATATGCTCGTCGTGTTTCTACTGAGAATATGTTTCATGATCCTGATTTTTACCTTCAGATGATTAATGCTGAAGATCAAGATTTAGTTACAGTGAGTATTCATTTAGATGGATATGATAATATATTTTCTGAAATGTTTGAATTACTAATCTCCGATAATGTTAGTGAAATAGCATCTGCTTGGAATAATCAGAGAAAATTAATATTGATTGATTTGTTTGCTAGAATTAAACCAATTATGGAGAAAACTATTAAAGAAAATTTAAAGAGTGATTGTGAAGATGTTCTTTCTTTTTTTTGTAGAAAAAAATTTTTGGATAAACTTGATCGTACACCTTACATTTTGAAGTCTTTGGATAAAGGAGAAATACCGCGTGTATTAACAGTTTCTAATGGAAGAGGGGATCCTACAAAAGATGATACTTTATGTGTATTTGTTGATGAAAATGGAAAAGTATTAGAGCATATTAGAATTTCTGACATAAATGAAGAAAATTCTAAAAAAGAGTTATTTGATTTTATAGAACGTCGAAATCCTGATGTTATTGGCATATCTGGGTTTAGCGTTTCTGTTGACTTTCTTCGAAGATGTTTAAAAGATATAGTTGATAATATTAATGCAAAACAAAGTGATAATAATGACCACATAAGAGTTGTATATGTTAATGATGATGTTGCTAGGCTTTATCAAAATAGTGAAAGAGCTTCAAAAGAATTTCCTAATTTGCCTTCATTGGGTAAGTATTGTGTTTCTCTTGCTAGATATATGCAAAGTCCACTTATGGAATATGCGGCAATGGGGAATGACATTACATCAATATCTTTCCATCCATGGCAGCATCTTGTATGTAAATTATTTTAGGATTTTGAATATTATTAATATAAATAGATACCACGTGATAAATTACAAAGAGTTTTGGAAACAGCAATTGTAGATATTGTAAATTTAGTGGGTGTTAATATAAATGATGTTGTTAAGTCTTCTTATAAATCAAATCTTTTGCCATATGTATGTGGTTTAGGTCCCCGTAAAGCTCAGAGTCTGTGTAAGCGTATTTCTCTTGTAGGCGGATATATTTCAAATCGTGCTGAACTCATTACAAAATCTATTGTAACAAGGAATATTTTTATTAATTGCGCTAGTTTTTTGAAGATACCTTATGATGATAATTCTACATCTGATTCTAGTGAGATTTTGGATAGTACAAGGGTACATCCAGAAGATTACGAATTAGCCAGAAAAATGGCAGCAGATGCATTAGAATTAGATGAAGAAGATGTTGAGGAGTACGATTCTAGTGGGGGGATTGTGGCTCATCTCATGAATGATGATCCTGATAAACTTAGTGATCTTATATTAGAAGAATATGCTGAGCAATTGGAAAAGGTTTTTCAACAATTAAAAAGAAATACCCTTGAGACTATCAGAGATGAGCTTCAGAATCCTTATGAAGAACTTCGTAAAGACTATAAAGATATTACAGATCAGGAAATTTTTACTATGTTAACTGGAGAGACACCAGAATCATTGAAACCAGGGTCTGTTATTCCTGTCACTGTTAAAAAAATTAGTAATAGGCATGTTACTGTGAAATTAAATTGTGGAATAGATGGAAATATTGCTAGTTCTCAAATAAGTGATAATTATAATGTTTTACCTTCTCAAGTTTTACAATATGGACAGATTGTTCAAGCAGTTGTCTTAAGTTTGAATTTTCAAAAATTTACTGCAGAGCTATCAACAAAGGCATCTTCTATTAAAGAAGCATATAAAAACCAAAAAGATAGTTTTTTAAATAGAAAAATTGAATGGGACAGTATTGCTGAAGAAAAAGATAAGTCTAAAATTGCATTAAAGAAGGAAGCAGAACAACGAATAACTAGAGTTATCAAACATCCACTTTTTAGACCATTTAATGCTCGACAGGCTGAAGATTATTTGGCTGGTATGCAACGTGGTGATGTAGTAATTCGGCCATCATCAAGTGGACCTGATCATATTGCTATAACATGGAAAATTTCTGAAGGGATTTATCAGCATATTGGTATTATACGTTTAATATTTTTTATGCTTAAAATTGATTTTGAATAGATGTTCTTGAATTAGACAAAGAAAACGAATTTTCTGTTGGTCGTCAACTACGTGTACGAGGAAAAGAGCAGAATTATTCTTATAGTGATTTGGACGAACTTATAGTTTCACATATTAAATCAATTGCTCGAAAAGTCGATGAAATGACTACAAATGAAAAATTTCAAAAAGGTACTAGAGCTGAAACAGGTATGAGTATAAATTATATAATTGTGAGTTTTTTAATAGTAATCCTAGAACAATGGCTCAATAGGTATTCAGAAGCCAATCCAAGAAGGTCTTGTTATGCATTTTGTTTTAATCCTAAATATCCCGGGTTTTTTGATCTTTGTTTTAAGGCTAATTTGAAATCTAAAGTTGTTAGTTGGGTAAAATATAATAATTTTAGCTGAGTTTTGACTAATTTCCTATAGTCAGTGAAAGTTGTTCCTAATGCATTTTCTTTGAAAGGAAATCTTTATGGTGATATGAATACTTTATGTAATGGTTTTAAAATGATGTTTGCTGCTCAAACAAATAATAGATCTATTACAAATAGTCGTAGATTAAACATTTAGGGTTACTTTTTATTTATATTTATTTTTAGCATGTTAAATTGCATTTTTTGTTTTAGATTTATTTATTTGATATATTAAATTATTTTTATAATCTTTTCAATATTTTGTAAATTTGTTCAGATTATCACGTTTTTTCGTGTTTCGATTTTATGTTAAAATAATTATAAAGTAAATATTAAAGAAATTAAGGAATTAGATTTTTATTTGATAAATAGTATTTTATTGGATTTGCGATAAAAAGAGTGGATTGCTTTAAATTTCATAATATGCGTTCATTGAGAAAAACTTACGGAAGATTACAAATTTTAGATGAAACTGAAAGTATAAATTCTATAAAACAAACTGAAAATGAGATGTTCAGTTCATTAAGTACTTCTGTTTCTTTAACTTCAAGTCCTACTATTTATTCTAATTCTGAGCTGACTCCTCGATCTAAAGTGAAAGCTACCTTAGCGCGATTCGATATAGATGAATTTGAATTGTATGATGATAGTAAACATTCTAGTCTTTTGTTAGATGGAGCTGCTCAATTCTTTAATAATAAAAAGTCTTCTGGTTCTGTAAAAGACTGCAATACTTATTTAAATGAGGACTTATCACCAGAGATTATTTCTAAAGATAGTGCTTATGAAAGAGTTAAAAAAATGTTGATCAGGCAAACTGTGAATAAGGATAATGAATGTCATTTTAATACAAAACATGATATTTTAAAATTAAGAGAAAAAGATAATCTGCTTAATAAAGGTTTATTTAATGTATTGGATACGTCTTTGTCTTCGGATTCGTCTGAGAAACTTATATTTGGTTCTGGTAAATATTTTTCTTTAATACTATAAAATTCAATTAGAATTTAGGGCTAAAAGAAAAATCAAGTTTAGTACAATCAGGTCAAAAAAAGCATACATATCTAGAAACTCAGAAGTCTGAAACTTCTGGTGATGCTTTGGATCATAATTTTAGTCTTAAAAAGGATTGTTCTTTGATTAAAAAGAAAAAAAGAGTAAATTTATAAAAATATTTTAATTTTGTTAATTTTCTATTAGGCTATTACTAAGAAAGTAATGGAAGAAATGCAGAAAGAAACTGAAAGAATGGACAGGGGTATTTGTGAATTTTGTTCTTTTTTTTCTAACAATATAAGGTATGGCGTTGGTTCCTGAGAGAAGGCTTGATAAAAAGACATCTATTTTGAATTTTTTAAAAAAAGTGGGTTACAGAGCGGATTCTGTGTTCGAATCTTCTTTAGATCAACAGGGTTCTGAAAAAGAATCTGAAACTACTCTAATTGCTTCTGAATTAGATATTTCATTTACAGATAATAATCATTCTCAAAATAATGATTATTCTTTGAATATCTCTTCTAAAGACCAGATGTCACTTTCATTAGATTTTGAAATACCAAATATTATATCTAAATTTCCGAAAGCGGCTAAGCCTTGTTTAATTTCTAAACAAATTGAAGTTGTTAATTATCAAAATCATAAAAAGATGTCATTTAAAACACTTGTTTTTGAAAATAGCTCGGATTCAGAGTTGGAAATTGATTCTTTATTTTATAATTCGAAAAATTCCGAAAAAGAATTTAAATCATTTATGTCTTGTGGGGAAACCCATGTTTCTTATTTTGATTTGGCTAGACTTGGATCACCGAGCCAGAAAAGTAGGATTAAAAATAAACTGTTTGATCACGAGTTATTGGTAAAGGCTGCAGAACAGGTTAAATCTGAGCGTTTGGAACGTGAAGATGAACTTAAGCGAAAAGGCATTGTTTTGACTTCTTTTGAAGAAAGAGCTAAAGAAGTTGTTGAAGTTGATGATTTAGTAGAAAAGGAAAGGTTGAAGGCAGAAGATGTTAGAAACATTGATAATGATAATGATGATGATGATGATAATATATGGAATAATGTATGTGTTGCTCAAAATGCCAAAAAAAGTAATGATGAATTTTTTAATATTGATAATCATAATGGAGATATTATTCATGACGATAATAATGTGGTTTGTGTGAACTCAATGTTTTTATTTTGTAATATTCTCGTAGAATATTAATGTTGATTTGGATTTTTCTGGTCATTCGGATTTAAAGGATATTGAGAATGTAAAAATATATGATGCTGATCAAAATGATCAATCAGATTTATTGAGTTCGGAAGAATCTGAAGGAGCTCAATATGTATTAGATGAAATGGAAGAGGCTACTATTAGAACAAAGATTTGTCGAAATAATGCTCGTAGAGTTATAATGGATGATGAAAATGAGTATAATGACTTTTGTAATTCCAGACCGTTGCAAGATTCTGTCGATAATATTTTTAATCTTTCTCAGTTTTTTTCTTCCACTTTGCCTAATAAGCATATTGCTAATGACTTTTTGGAAAACAATATTATAGATGAAAAGATAGTAAACGAAACTTTAAATGTAGATGATTTATCTAAAGAGATGTCTTTCAAATTATCTCAAGTATTTATGTTGTTTTAAAAGATATAGCTAAATTATTTAGGCAAATGTTAATCTCAATTTAGAAACGTTAGATAATATGAATGATTCTAATTGCAAGTTAGTGTCCTTTTCTGGTAATAGGAATTTTGATAATGTAGAAAAGTATTTTTCAAATTTTTTAAATTTTACATAATTATTTTACAGAGAATTTGAAAATACTCAGTTGTCTATGTTTGATCCTCCTTCTTCTGATATAGTTTTTGATAATTTTTCCGTATCACCTAGATATTTGCATTCAAATACTATAGAGGTTGGCTTAAATGTTGACGTAAATTTACCATCAAATATTTTAGTTGGAGATTTTAAAAGAAAAAAGCGTCTTATTCAACGGGTTTCTAGTAACAATAATTATAGTGATATCGTAAACAATGATGAAAATGTTTTTTCTTCAGCTACAAATTCAAAATGTAATTTTGAATCTAATAACTATAAACATCTTGCAAGTAAACCTGAAGAATTTATTGAAGATCAGGCTCAGGAATCTGATGATGAATATGCTGGTTTGGGAGGAACAAGTGATGATGATGATTTGGATGACGTTAAAGAACTTGAAGATATGATTGATAATACTGTTTCTTTTCAGGATATAGATGCAAGTGATATTGCTGCATATTATATGTATTTTTTTGTCTGTTATTTTTTTTCTAATTTAATTTAGGAAAAAAGAAATAGATAATGATATGAAAATTATTAGTAATTTATACAATGATATAACAACTGGAAATTTAAAAAAAAGACGTAATGTTATGCTCTTCGATTTAGATGATTCGGATGATGATGAAAGTTTTCAAAGACGTAATAAAAGACAACAAATTATAAGACAAAAGCTTTTAGATAATCAAAATCTTTCTTTTATGGGTAATTTTGTGTTATTGTTTTTTTTTTTAATTTTATATAGCTGATAATCCAAAAATGAAAGCTTTTTTGAGTACAATAGAAGATAATCAAGAAAATTTACAATCATTTGTAGATGTTATTGATGATGAAAGTCTTAAATCACAAAAGAGTAATGATGATATTAAAAATCTAATTTTTCCTGATGCTGTTTTAAACGTCGATAATATTGTAGAAAACGTATTGCCTGAATCTAGAATATTATACTCCAAGAAATATGCTGATATAAAAAAAGTAAGATTTAGAATATTTATTCATAATTGGAGATGTAATATTTTAGGAACTTTCATTTTTCGTTGATCAGCAAGACACAAAAACATTTGCAGATGTGTTGATTGATAATGATGTAAAAAAAAGATTTGACAACTTTACAGGTGTTATCGATAGAGTAGCTGATAAATGTGTATCAAAAGAACTATTTTGTTTCCCATTTTCAGTATTTAGCAAAGGAAAGTTTGCGAATTCGCTTTTTAAAAGGTCTCTTTTTGGAAAAGATCATTTATCTAATAATGATGACTGTTTTATTGAAAAAAAAAAAAATGTTTTAGGTGAAATTTTTAAAACAAGCTCTATTAATTTTGCTTCGAAATTAGCTTCTAGAGCAGTTAATTATAATAGGTCAGTTATTGCAAAGGTTATTAATATGCTTTATTGGTTTTATGTTTACTAATATAGTATTAGAATTTAAAAGTTACAGATTCTAAAATACTAAATAAAAAGGCTGTTAATGAAAAACGGAAAAGTAATGTATTAAAGTTGTTTCAGGCTAATACAATTATTGCATAGTATGATATTATGGTATTTCTTGTGTAAATCCAGTTTAAAATGCTTTAATGTTTTTATATATATAACTAAATACTTTGATTTTAATGTTTGAATATGTTAAATTTTTCCTTAGTTTTTTAGTATTAAAGTTGTGGTTTATACACAAATGTTATACGTTGATTAAAAAATAAGCATTAGTAAGTCTGTAGTTTGAAATTTTAAAATTATAATTTATTCTAAATTTTTATGAGACCAATGAGTACATATAATAATGTCTCGAGAAAAAGTATTTTGAAAATTAATTATTGGTTCGTACAATGACAATAATGCTCCCTCGTTAATTTCGTTTTGACTTAAGTATTTTCCTGTTAAAAGAAATAGTATTTTAATATTTTCTGTGAACTTTTCATAACCATAAAAGTATATATTGTTCATGTTTCTGTCTTTTTTTGTTTCTGTGATTATAAATATATGTTCTTTTATTTTTGTATTAGAATAATTATGTAAAGTATTTTGTGATTGATATTCTATTACCCATTCTAGAATCATTTTTGCAATACCTTTTTCTAAAAATGGAAAGTTCTTTTTTTTTGATGGTGTCCAGTTTAATAAAGGTTCTTTTCTTTCTACTATATTATCACATGGAGGTAACATAAGTGTTTTTATGAATGAAAATGTTGGTTTCATATTTAGAGTTGTTTGTTTGAAGTTTGAGAAAATATATGGTATAAAATGATTATTTATGTTTTTTTCTATAATTTTGTTTGAATTGTATATTAAAAATGGATTTTTTAGTTCTTTTTTATCATAATTATCATTAATGTTTGTAGACATAATAGGAAACTCTTCATCTGACTGAATAATATCTTCATTGAAGCTTTTTCTGTGTTTAATGAATTTATTATCAAATTTTTGTTTTTCTTTGCTACACAAAATATGTTTTTTGTTTCTAAATTTTTGAATGCGTATAAATTTATTTAAGTTTTCCGATTTTTCATGGGTTATATTTGTATTATTAATGAATAAAAACTTTAAATTTTTAAGATCTTTTGATATATAACTTTTATTTGCTTCATTGTTAAGTAAAGTTTTAAATGATTTGGAGTGTTGTTTGTATATATTTTTTCGATCATGTTTATCTTTAATAATAAATCTAAAAGGAGATGATATCTAAATAAATATTAAAGAACGTATAAAAATTTTGTTTAAATTACGTTTTCTTGTGTCATTTAAAATAGAATATTAAGATATTTAAAAATAGTTTTTATTGATTTATCGTAAATTAGTTTTTACATTATTGTAAAAAAGTTAAATGAATGTAAATTTATAAAAAGGTATGTTTACATTGTTGATAAATGTGAATAGAATTTAAATGTATAATAATTTAATAGATTTAAATTTAATTGATTGTTATATTAATGATTCTTAAAATTATAGAATTTTGGTTTATTAAAAAAAATTATATATTTGGGTTGTATTTTTTATAATAGTATTTAATTTTATATATGCATTTTGAATTTTTTTATTTATTTGTTTTATAGTTTTTATTTCAGTGGTGTTTTATTTTTTAATTTATAATTGATATTTTTAAAATAATCTTGATTATAAATTATTAAATATATTAATAATAAAATATATTGAAGTTTTTTGATTTTTTATTTTTAAAATTTGTTTTTGAAATATTACTGAAATTATAGTATTTATTTAGAAGTTTTTTTAATTTATTAATGTTTATTTCTTTTGGTTTATTGTTTAATTTTTTTTTAGAATTTTGATTTAAATAATTTTTTATTATGATATTTTGTTATAATGTTAAAAAATATTTAAACTTGAATATTATTAAATATTTTAATATTTTGTTTTTTTTTTTTTTAATTTTTTTGAAATAATTATATAAAAATAATGTTAAAATTAATAATTAAATATCATTTTACGAAATATAAATGTCTTTAGATTATGAGAATTGCTCAGTAGCGAAAAATGGATTTTATTTTATCAATAAGCTTAGTTCAATTATATAGATATTATTAATGGAAAAATAGATACATTGATTTAAATGTTTGACATTTTGGATTGATATTTTGAATATATTGGATGATTTATGAATTTTTCCGTAGACGTTTTGCGATATCTTGTCTAGATATTTGATATAAGTGAAGCTTTTTGATTTATTGTTCATCCTTATTCTGCTTGAACCGCATACGGAATTTCTTAGTTGTATGCTATAATGATATTGCTTTACGAAGATTATAAAACAGTATATTAATAATGAAAATAATAATTCTATAAGGATGATAATAAAACGAGACTTATTTTAAAGAATTGTTAATATAAGGTTACTTCTATTTACTATTCATTCGACTGTTAAATAATCAGGAAGACATGTTTTATAATGTTAAAAATAGGAATATGTGTTTTAAAATTTTAAAAATAGGAAAACCCGTATGTGAGGCCCTATAGTGATTGGTTTAAGTGTTATTCATAGTAACTCTATTATTTTTTATTAGTTAAACTACAAGTTTTGTCTCACATATTTGATCATTTTCTTAAAATTATTGTAGATTTTGTTTGATAAAATTTAATTAAAATCTAAAATTGATATATACGTAATGTATTGGACAACGGAATTGTTTTTTATATTTAATGATTCGAGTAATTGTTTCATGATATATATTAAAATAATAGATTATTAATTAATTAATATACAATGGTAAATTTTCTTAAATAATTGTTGATTATTTATGTTTTATAATAAATAAGATAAATTAATGTATCAGAAAAATTCTTAATGATTTTAAATTTGTAGTTTATTAAATATATGTAGTTATGGATAAAGTATAGTTTAATTAAATATAACTTTAAGTAGTTTAATGATTAAATTTTTATTAATATAGGTGTGGTTTATTATGTTAATTTTTTAAAGATTGTACTCAAAATCAAAATAGTTTTGTGGAAAATGATGTATTCTAGTATATCCATCTTCACTTCCACTAGCATATGCAATACCTTTAGGGTGAACTGCAATTGTATTTAGTGGACCAAAATGCCCTTTAATTCTTCCTATTTCTTCTTCGAATATTTTATGATAAATTTTAGCTTCGAATTTTCCTTGGCGTTGAGAAGTGGTCGTTACATCACGAGCTTCTTGTCCACCTCCAAGTATTACCTAGATATATTAGAAAGAAAAAAAAAGTTTTTTTTTTACAAAGTTTTTAACAGGTGTAATAGCAGCTGTATTTAAAGGAGTGTCTGTGATATATGTTTTAAGCACTTTGAGTGATTCAACATCACAAATCTTTATTGATTAGAAAAGCTTAGATTTAATAAAAAGATACTTTTGCTGTTTTGTCTTTTGATGATGTTATAAAGTATGTTTTATCAGGAGAAAATTGAAGATCTGTTATTGAATGTCCTTTTTCATGTATTTGTTCAGTTTTTATATGTTTCCCTGTCTGTATATTTTTAATATTTATAGAATAATGATTATTAGAATTACTTTGGCATTATAGCAAGATATAGATCCATTTTCATGCCCGACAATTATAAAGTTACTTAAGTAAGACCATCCAGCAACAGTAGCTTTTGAATCTTGTGTAAGTATTGTATATATGGGTGTATTGGTTTCTGTATAGATTTAAGATTTTATAAAAAATATTTTAGTATTTTACGTTCTGCATTTACATCATTTATAATAGGGAACACGACTAATGATCCTATGTGACCCATCCTTTGTTCTGTAACTCCTAATAACAAAGTGTTATCTTCATTAAATTCAACTCTTTTTACTGCTGTTGGAAATTTCCAAATTTTAAGACATTTTCCTGTTTTTACATTCCAAAGCATAATTGTACTATCTGCAGATCCACTTGCCATAAGTGTTGATGTTGCTATAATTTTATTTAATTTAATATATTTAAGAAAAATTTGAGTTTACAATTTACGTCAACAGACCAAATAGCACCCTGATGTCCATGATATGTACCAAGACGTTCACCATTGTGGGAAAACCATACATTAATAATATGATCCTAAAGTTTGGAATAATTTAATAGAGAATACATAGTTGAAAAAAAAGAAAAAACCTTAGATACTGAAAAAAGGAGGTCACCATCATCATTAAATTTTACTTGAGTTAATGGGCGTTCATGTCCTTGAAGAAGAATTGGACGCATTGTTTAGTTAATATTTTTGATTGTAATAGTATAATTCTAGAAAAAAGTTAAAACACTTGAGTGAAAAAATTAGTTAAATCCTAAATACAACAAATAGATAATTATATTAAGAAAAAAAGTATTTAGAATGTAATATTTCGTTTTTTGATATTATATAGCAATTAAATATTTATACTATTAAGTAACATAAAAAATATAATTTTAAGATTAATGTTAACCTAAAAATTATATTTAAAACTGTTTTATTTTGTTTTATATATTTTATTTTTTGATATAAAGTTAGTATTTTAAAAAACGGTTTAAACGATAATAATTAAAATTTTTTTGAACTATAATTATAATTTATTTTTATTGTTTAATTTTTATAAAATACGTATTGTTATTCTTTGTATAGATAATGTTATTATTGAATAGTTTATATTACTAAATAGAAATATTTAAATGATAAGAAAATTTAGAAAAAATAGTATTTCAAGAAATCGATTTATTGATTGATGTATTTTGAATAATTAGACGTTTATATTAAATATTTGATGTGTTTTTTTGTATACCATTTTTGTTATCCATATTTGTTTTTAGTCTTTATAAATTTCAATTTAATTTAATTTTATGTTTATTTCATTTGAATTTTTGTATTCTTTTATGAAAAATATTATGTTTCATTTTTATTATTATATAAAATTATTTTGATGTTATTTATTATGTTATAATTAAAATCAAAATAGAATAATCAAAGAAATAATGTCTTTTAATAATAATATTTCAGAAAAATGAGTAAATTTGATTTAGTTCTACTCGTTGAAAATATAGGTATATTTTAAAATTATGGTAATATTAGTTTAATCATAAAAAGTTGTAAAAATATTAAAAGGATGTTAATAAAAACAATACAATTAAATATTATATTATTGTATTATATTAATTTATTATAGATTTAATATTTTTTTATAATTAGTATATTTCTGATATTTTTGATATTGCTTTATAAAAGTATATATAAAGATATTTTATATTTGAATCATAATGTTAGATAAATATTTGAATTTTTGAGTTTTTTTTATTTTTTATTAATGATTATTAAATTTTGTTTAAATTTTACTTCAATATAGAAATATTTAAATTAGCTTTTTTAATATATTTTATGTAAAGGAAATACGCTTTAAATATTTTAAAGCTGAATTCTAAGCATATTAATATAATTTCTATATTTACATTTTTTATATTTAATTTTATTATATTTATTATAAATATATATATAATCTTTAGAAAAATATTTGATTTGTTTTATATTAAATTTATATATTATGTTTTTGTGTTATAATTTAAATATTTTTATATAGAAATTGCTAGAATGTTTAAACGTTATGATTATATTAGATTTTTTTTTAAAATTTAAATATTTTTGAATTTTTGAATTTTTAATATTAAAAATTTTTAATAAACTAGTAATTCAATAATAAATATTAAAAATATAATAAATCAAAAAAATATATAAAACCTTATAATAACAAAAAATGTATTGATAAGCAATGTAATCAGGATTGTAAATCTATTTACATAATAATATGCATTTTTAGTGTTTAATGTATTTATATGTTAAATTTTATACAGAAATTCTTATGAATATTATTATTAAAAAGTTAAAAATTTTCCTCAATTCGTTTAAGGATTTTCTTTATTTTTCTTATTTCTTTTTGAAGTTTTTCATTTTTAATATTTTTATCAAAAGTTTTTTCCCTTACGTTATCAAAAAGCAGATCTGAATGTAACTTTGGAATTTGAATATTATATATTATTTTAGATTCTAAACATTTTTGAGAATTTTCTTTTTGTTTCCATAGTGAACTGTGATGATTTAATGTTTTGTAATCGATATTTGTTAGAGATGATATATTTTGAATCGTTTTTTCTAGTTGAACTATTTTGAAAAGAATTATTAATAAAAGAATTATAGTAATAGTATTGATTTTTATGAATGTAGAAAATTTTGAGCTGGTATTAAATATAGAATTTAAAGTTTTAAATAATTCTAATTTTATATTTGAATTAATTTTTTTGTTGTATATTTTTTGAACTCTTTTATTGTTTATATTATTTTCATTTTTATTTAGTTCTGGCTTTTTGGTCGTTTTTTCTTCAAGATATTTCTCATTTATAGGTTTTTTTAAAGCATTTGTTATAGCATCAATAAGATCTTTAATGTATGATATTTGACCTTCATTTACACTCTTCTCAATTGGACCTTTAAATAAATGTTAATATATGAGCTAAATTTAGTTTTATTTTTACTTTTTAGCCAACTACTTTTAGTCCAATCTGTAGTACAAGTAGCAATTATCCTTGTATAATTGTTTTTATCCCACATCATACAATATTTTGTTTTAATTATAAATGAGTTTCCTGATGGAACATCAGGTGTTTTAGTTACAGAAGATATAGTCATATAGTTATTATCTTCATGTTCTACCGTTTCTACAATTTTACAATAAGTTTGTTTTGGGCCAACAGGGACATATAAAGGTTTTAAATAACTAATATGGCGCACCTTTTTCCCTGAACTATTCTTTTCCCAATCACTTAATTTTATTTCAGTGACTTTTTGTACATTTCCTAAAAAATCAATCATAAATCCTGGTTCTTCGCCAAAGCATAAATTTGTAATTCTTGGTAAAGGACCCTTAATTATTTCATCACATATCTGCTTTTCATAATGTTCATTACGTAACAGACAACTGCATTCAGTTGGTTGATGTTTAGATTCCAATAATTTGATATTTGGATTAATGACGTTTATTAATGAATTTTTTTTTGAAAAACTTTCATATGTATCGCTTGTTTTTTCAATTACATTTTTATTAATATTATTTTTCTTATTATTTTGTGTATCTTTGGGCTCGAAATTTTCGCTATCTGGTTCTTCATTTGTTATAGAATTTTTTTCATAGTTTTCACTATTTAGATCATCTGTAGCACTCGTTTCAGTTACATGAGTACGAGTAGAAGGATTAGTCAAGCGCCAAATATTAACAAGAAGATCATATGTCGTGTCTCTTGAAATAAAAGATGAAAATATATATTTTGCATGCAATGTTGTTATTTGAATTGCATTAGGAAAAACGACAGCTGTACATTTTTTATCAATAGAAACAATCTCTAAAAAAGAAATGACTAACTAAAAATTATTAGAAATATTTAAACGTGAATATTTAAATTACATTTGTTACCCAACCGAAAATGTTTGAATTAAAACATATGTAAGTTTCTGATATATACATTCTTCCATGAAGAAGGATATCTTTTTGTAGTGCGGATGCATAATCTAGATATTTTAGAAGTAAAAAAAATAAAAAATATTTACCATCAATAAGATAATTGTCTTCTGGGATACTTCTAAATAAAGTATGGAATTCTTTATTTCTTTTATTATTCGCTATAGTAATACCTGTGATTTGCTGGATTAATATATGAATGGTATTTTGTTGATTATTTTTAAAAGTAATACAATTATACTTATTTTGTTGATTAATACAAGAAACAGTTGGGTATTCAGATTTTTTAGCAATATTAAATTTCTCATGTGTTAAAATGTTAGACGACACTAAAGCACAACCTTTTTCTTGGTCAAAATTATAATTTACAAGTTTATCATCCGAAGTTTTTTGCAATTCTTTGTTGCAAGATAATTCGTTCACAGAATCCCTTTCATCCAGAAACGTATATGGTTTAGATATATTCTCTGGGATCTTTACATCATTTAAAGAAAGTTCGCCATAACCTATAGATGGAACAATACTAGCAGATGATTCTTTTTTAAATTCTTTTTCCAAAAATTTATAAGGACCGAGTATCTTCTTTATATTTTTATGATTATCTTTAGCTAAATTCTTCGAACTGCTTGGTTTTTTATTTACATCATTTAGTTTTTTAGATGTAGTTTTATCTTCTGAGGATGTATGTGTAGTTAAAGAAGTAAGTGAACTAGCTGCATTTTGTGCTGCAGATAGAACACTACTAAAAAAACCTGTACCTGATTTCTCAGAAATAGATGATAATGAATTAGATTCTTTGATATCCATATTACAGGCAGAATTTTTGTCATTTTCATAGATATGATCTATTGATTGAGTAGAAGAAGTTTTTATATCAGAAATTGTTTCAATATCAGAAATCTCGTTACTGTAGTCTGCAATTTTTGAATTTGATACAGATGAATTGATAGATGACTCACTTTTTTGAGAAAAAGTTTCATTTTTTGAAAAGAAATTATTCGCTAACGTATTTTTATATTTTTCTGAAGGACTTTCTAAAGCTAAAGATTGAATTAAATTTTGAGAAGTCTCAATAAATCGCTTATTTTTTATTTCAGAGTCTTTTAATTTGCTTTTGAAAGTTAGTAAACTATATATATCAAATATAAAGAAATTTAAGTTTCTTGAATTTTAAATAAATATGTACCTTGAAATTACATTTTTCTCTTTACTATTTTCAATAAAGTCATTATTCAAAATGTCTTTGTTCAATTCTGATTCTATGTTTATTTTATTTAAGTTTTTTCCTTTTTTAAATCTTTTTCTAAAAGATAGAGTCCTCTCGAGTATAGAATGCATTTCCGAAATACTAGTATTTGTGTTCATTTTTAATAGTATTAAAATATAAGAAAAAATATTTTGATATTCTTTTTAGAAATACATCATTTAGAACAATTATTGTGGTTACTTCTTTGATAAATTTTAATAAAAATAGTTAATAGTAGGAAGAATGTAAGCTAGAAATGTGATTTTTCGTAAAATGAATATTTTTGTATTGTTTTAATTTTTATATTTTGAATTTCTGTTCCAACGGAAACGAGAAAAATGTTAACTATTTTACGGTTTTTTAAGTTTTAATTTTTGGATGAATAAATATAGAATATTAAAGAGTATTTTTGATTTAAATATTTTGGGTATTCGAGTTTAAAAGATGTAAATATGTTTGTTTTTTTACTGGATTTTGAATTTTTAAAGTTATGATTATTAGTTAAGTTTTATGAAAACGATGGAGTATTTACATCCTGAAGCAAAAAGATTAAAGGATCTTCTTCATGATGCGAAATTTAATTCTAATGTTCTTAATTTGCTTCCTTCAGCCTTTGATGATTTTTTTTTTTCGATTTCAGGTCTTATAAATATTCAATTTTGAATTTTCCATTAATAAATATAGATTCTACAAGAAATGCTTCTTTGTGTTTTTTACCTGAACTTATTCAAGCTTTATATTTGCCAATAGATCCTTTATTCAGTATAAGAGTTTTGGAAAAATTATTATTTTCAATGTCTTGGGAAGATTTACTTACATTAAATCTTGTTCCACATATTTTTTCTGGTCTTGCATGTGGAGATGAAGAAATAGAGTTATTTTGTTTAAAAATGCTTTCTAAATCGGCAAAAACAAGATTTGCTTCTAATACTATTGATAAAAATATGATTAGTCGTATAATTTTGTGTGTGGTTTCAAAATATTGTTCATGTGCAAATAAAGCTATAGAAATAATATGTGATGTATGTTATTTATAGGTAGTAATTTATTAATATTTCATGTAGCTTAGTTTTTCAGGTGAAATATTTAGAAAAAGACTTTTATCATATTTTTCAGTATTATCTTTGGCTGATTTTTTTTCATTGGAAAAATCTTCTTTGTCTAGTTCTACTTTTATATCTCGATTTTTTACTCTAATATTAAAGTTTTCGAGTCGATCATGTGAAATGTTTAAATCTCTTGTTTCTACTGGTCTAATAGACAATGTTATAAATTTAAGTAATTCGGATGATCTTGTTATGAAGCTTTGTAAACTCGATTTTTTATCATCTTTATTAACTGTTAATTATACTTTTGATTGGTTCGAAAATAATGGATATATTAAAGAAGCTATTTCTCCATTTCTTACATTTCAATTTCAAAATATTGATATTGATACTGAGCTTTTGATAATTCAATCGTGCAAGTTTATTGAGTCTATGAAGTATATTCCTTTTAAAGATTTTCAAAAAATTGATTCTCTTAATAATTTGATATCTAAACTTGTTGAGAATTTAACTGTTAAATCATTGTCTTCGTCCCTTTATAAGGTCAGCCTTTTTACAATTGCTGGGATGTTTAGTTTTTCTGATGATTTTTCTGAATATATATATTTTAGATTGACAGATTTGCCTGGTCTTACTAAAACAGATAATGGTTTAAATGCTTTGCAATTAATATTATCAAGTCCCTCAGAAAAATATACTGAACTTTTTTTTGAACAAAAATTATCTTCAAAAGCTATTTATGATATTATGATATCTGCAAAATCACCTTTTGAATCTACACGTCATTCTGCTTTATTAATTTTGAAAGCACTTGTAAAGCATTCGTGGGGTATTTTCAAATGTGTTGGATTTACTCCATTAATGGAGTTTGTATTATCTAGAACTGTTGAAGAATATTTTGATAGAATGATTAAATATGAAATAGTTAAGATAATGGCAGAAACAGGAAAACATTTGTTAGGACCGTGGGAAGAGAAAGTTTTACAATATGTTACGAAAGGCCCATTTGGTATATCATATAAGCCTGGTGTTCTATTGTAAAAAAATATGGAAGATATTTAAATATTGAGATTTTATTAATAAATTGTATTCTAGAAAAAATAATGTTATTGTTTATTTTTTATATTTTATCAATATTTTGCATTATACTTTTGTATTAACTTTAGAATATATATTTATTAGTAATTATAATTTTTTTTAATATATTTGAGTTATGTAATAAAAAAAATATCTTTGATATAGTTTTTTTTTCTTTGAAATATTTTAAATATTGGAAATGAATATTTTTAGAAATTTAAATTTAGATAAGATACGATGGATTATTTTTTTATTTTTAATCGTTTTTTAAAGTTTATAAAAAAATGATTTTTAAAGATTATTTAGTATTTTAGATCTTAATACTTAAATGTGGATTTGAAAATAGTAGTTTGAATTGTGAATTTATAATTTTAGTAATTTTAGATAAAAAACGGTTATTTAAATTCTAAGTATATTTTTAGAATTAAAATTAGCTTTTATAATTTTTTATTTAAGTTTAAAAATTATGGAAAATAAAACTATAGATGATAGATTTATTGAGAAAAAGAATAATTTTAAGAAAATGATTTCTGAAAGAGATTATATATTGAACTGGTAAGTTTTTATTTTAATTAGATTTTTTATTTTGATTTCTTTAGTGTAAAAATGGCAGAAATTGCTATTGCTAATAATTCTTTTCAAGACATGGAATATATCATCTTTGATGTTTTTGATTCTTTTATTGTTAAACGTAATATATCTGAAAAAATTGTTTCTACTATACTGCTTGATATACAAAAACTTAGTACCTCATTTAATATAGAGAATATTTGTCTTGATAATATATGGTTATTTCAAAATGATGGCCATTGCAGTGAAATTTCTTCTGATAGTATATTAAATAGTCTAACTATACTGTTAAATGAGCTTTTGGTAAGAATTTGATAGTTCAATTTTTTAATGTTAACGATTAGTCTGTTGGTTTGGTATCTATGGAAATTGCTAGAGAAAGATTGGAATCAAATTTACTTGTTTTAGTTTCAGCTATTCCAAATCATGTGAATTTTACTAAAAAAGCTATTCGAATTAATACATCTCTTCTTTATAAACAAACTAAATTTAATCTCATTCGAGAAGAAAATGAAGGCTATTCAAAACTTATAATTGAAGTTAATTTTTTTTTGCAATCTGATATTTTAAATAATGACAAAAACATGATTAGTTTCAAAATAAAACAGTTGCTTAATAATATTACATCTTTAATTGGTTTTTTTGATTTGGACTCGAATAGAGTTCTTGATATTTTGTTAACTATTGCTTCTCAGAACCTTACTTATCATTGGAAGATATTTATTGAGTTGTTTTCTGTTAGTTCTTGGTGGTGTTTTACTCAATCGTGTTTTAATTTAGATGATATAACATCTTTTGAAAAACGGAAAAGGCTTAATAGCATTTTAGAGAAAGGTGTTCAGTCTCTTTTTGATGATATACAATGTTGTTCTGGAAGTAAAATAGCATCACAGCTTTTGGGTTTTAAATTAAAATTTTACAATTCTTTAGAAAATAAACAAGAAAGTTTAGAATCACTTTTTATGTTAATAGCACTTTTGATTAAATACAGATTGGTTAATATTGGTGATATTTTACCTTATGTATTTGTTATTTCAATATTTCTAGAATTGTCTAATTTAAAATAGCTCTCTTCCAGTGATAATGCAATTTTAATGGACTGGAAAAACTTCAATAATAGTTTAGAAGAAAAAGCTTTTAAAGCACGAGGGAATGCTTTAAGTGTAAGTTTTATTTTTGGTTTGATTTTTGTTTTTTTTTTTTTTTTGACAAAAATAGATGGCAGGGGCTTTAACAGATGATGGTGTTTTAAAAGATAAGGTAGATAAAGAGAATAATTCTCGATTAGAGACTTTAGAATCATCCGTAATTATGAGTATTTGGTAGTATAAAGTTAATACTTTTAGTTTCTTATTACTAGCTATAATTTTTATAATCAGAAGGTTCTTCTTTTGAAAGCGTTACTTTCAGTTGGATCATTACCTCAGGTGATTTATATGTTTTCAGAATTTCCTTTTCTATGTGGACCATATCCGGATTTAGCGGATCTTCTTCATAAGATTATTCATTATATGGTTAGTGATATATACAATAATATATCCCCTTTATCAGGATTATCTAAGAATTTACGCCAAAGTCTTTTTCAAGAAAAAAAAAAAAATTCAGATACACGGTTTAGGGATTTATCTTTGGTATCCACACAATCTTATCGCGTTAAGTTAACTTTAGATCCTTTACCAGTTCAAAGTATAAATGATTCATTAAGGAAATTTTTCTATGATGACTATGCAATGAATGTTATCCCTGTTTGTAAAACTTATGAAGATTTTCATAAAATGGTTATCCCAGTACTTCGTTTTTCTGGTTTAAAAATTTATCGTGACATTAAATTATTATGTAAGATTTGTAGAATAGGTAGAGCTCAAATTAAAGAGGTTTGATCTAATATATTTTGTAAATTGTTAATATCTTAAAGGAACATTCTTCTCAAGTGGTTAAGGAATTATGGAAATATGTTATAAGGAGGGTTATATTGCCTGCACTATCAATGATTCAAGTAAATCCGGGTGTTGTTAATGAAATTTACGACCTTATTAAATTTTATTCATATTCTGAACGATACGCATTTTATGGAGAATGGAATAATGTTATTTATAAAATATATCCAGAGTTGAAAATTAAAGTTATTGAAATTGAAAAAGAAACAAAGAGTATTTTACGACGCATCTCAAAAACAAATGTAAGACAATTTGGAAGAATTTTAGCAAAGGTTTCACATGCAAATCCATGTATTATATTTTCTGTTGCTTTGAATCAGATAGAATCTTACGACAACCTTGTTGATGTTGTTGTAGATGCTGCTCGATATATTACCATTTTTGGGTATGATGTTTTAACATTTATTTTATTGGTATCTTTATCAAATGAAAATAAAAAAAGATTGAAGGAGGATGGTACTAGTATAGCTCATTGGCTTCAAGGTAATTTCTTAATTAATGTGATAAAGTTAATTATAGTTAAAGGTTTGGCTTCATTTTGTGGAAGACTTTTTAAAAGATATTCAAATATGGATCCTACTACTGTTATTTTTTATGTTTTTAATCAACTTAAGATATCTAATACTTTTGATTTGATAGTTTTGAAAGAATTAATTGCTCAAATGGCTGGTATTTTTCCTCCAACAAATTTATCGGAATCTCAACTGCAAGGTCTTGCAGGTGGAGAATATTTAAAACAAATAGCAATGTCTCTTATTTATGACTCAAAAACTATTTCATCGAAAAGTTCTATAAGGTTGCTTAGATCTTTAGTTGAATCTAATTTAGCTGGCCCTCTTTTGATTCTTATTGCACAGCAAAAACTTGTTTGTATTTATAGGATGGATGATAGTGATCCACATTTAAAACTTTTAGCAAATCTTCTGGATGAGGTGAAATATAGATTGTTTATAAAATGTTTTTTCTTAATTTTTATTAGTGTCAGAACATTTTAGTACAATATGTTGAATTTTTAACAGCTAACTTGGATTTTGTTAATTTTTCAAAACTATTGCCTACTATTCCTGATATGTGTTTAAAATATGGTATAGAACCGTCTGTTGCGTTTTATATAGCTAGAACAAAAATAAATGAAGAAATAAAGGTTTTTTGTTAATAACATTATTACTATTATTAATTAATTAGAGATATTATGTTAATGAAGATTTAAAAAAAAAGCAAGAAAAGTTGCTTGAAGAAAAAAAATGTTATGAAAAGGTTTTATTTTTTAGTGTTTTTATTGATTTTTATTGAATGTATTATAGAAAGTTTATTGTAATTTTGACGATTCTATTAATATTTTTAATCGGGATATTACGGATAGTAATACTAATATTTTTAACACTTCAGGAGACTTAGAGGAAGGTGAAGAAGTTGAAGACGATATTAAGCTTTTATCACAAAATAGTCATAATGAAAATTATTCGGAAATTATTGATAAATCCTTATTAAATCCTGTATTAGTTTCTCTTGTAGAATCGATTACCGATGTTCTTCCTAAGGAAGTGTGGTCTTATATGAGGTCGTTTTTATTAAATTATGTTTTATTTGCTAAATTTAAAAGTCCGTGGTTTTATGTTACATTTTGGCAACTTCAACTTTATGATATTTATGTTCCTATAAATCAATATGAAATAGAAATGAATAAAATGAAGTCAATTGTTTTGACTATTGATCAAGATCGTCCTGATGTTAGTGTTGTAATAGTTTTGCAATAGTTTAGAAAAAAGCTCTAATATTTTTAAAGGCATCTCAAAAAAAAAAAGAGAAAGATTTAATTGTTCAGAAAATAGAGAAATGTCAAGCAGAACTTAGTTCTCAAATATCTTCATATGAAAATACTCGAAAAAGGATATTCTTAGAGAAAGACATATGGTTTTCTTTTGCTTCTTCATCAGTAGAATCAAATGGTACAGGGCCCACTGGATATCATAGAAGAATTGAAGTTATTAATCATTTAATACAATATTGTTTTTTGCCTAGGTGTCTTTTTAGTCCTAATGATTCTACTTATTGTGCAAAATTTATACGTTTAATTCATTCTTTTGGAACACCTAATTTTTCTACTCTTACATTATATGATAGGGTAAAATACTTGATTACTAAAATTATCATTTAATTATTTTAATAGCTTTTTGGTGATTACTTACCTTCATTGCTGTTTATTTGTACTCAACAAGAGGCTGAAAACTTTGGTAGATTTTTACGAGAAATACTAATTGATCTTTTTTCTTGGTATAAGGATGAAACAGTTTATAATAAAGAAGCAAAAGGTACAAAGAATTTACCTGGATTTCAAAAACGTTGGTCTTCTGGTTTTCGTGATAAATTCCAAGAATGTATTAATGATGATGATATGCTTCAATATGAAGAATTTAAACGTTTAATGTATAAATGGCATAGAAAATTAAATCAGGTTTTTTATATAATTTTATATTTTGTATTTAAGGATTTAGGTATTTAAAATATGTTTAGATTCAAAGGAATATATGCATCTTCGCAATGCTATTATAGTTCTAGAGAAAATATCTGAATGTTTTCCTATTATATCATGGATGGGACGGGCACTTAAAGATAAAATTTCTTTTATTGTAGCACAAGAAAAAAGAGAAGATTTAAAAGTTCGGGCTCTTGGATATAGAGCAAAGTTAATAAAAGGAGAGATTAAATGGATGTCAATAAACCAATTTCAGAAGGTATTATTTATTATTTTTAAACTGGTTTATTTAATTCAATGTTTAGATCGATATTTCCCCAGGACATAATAATTTATCTAATGATTCACGAACTCAAGGGTCTGCTTCAGTGAAATTGACATCTCCAGGAAATAGCTCTTTGGATCCTGAATCTTTGACTAATAATCAAAGTTTTAAAAAAAAAATAGATGATAATGAAGTTAGAAACTCTGGCTTTAATAATATTGTTTTGTTTGATAAATCGCCAGAGGGGTATGTTTAAAGTTAAATATAATTCAATTAATTTTTTTAGGCTCAAATATGAACAGTTATCTCAAGGTCAGGATTTAATAATGAATATTAAGAGTGAAAAACAAGTTAAAGAAGAATCTTATATTGATTCTTCTGTTAATAAGTTTCGAATAGAAAATACTGTAGAATCAAGCTATATAAATAATGATGATTCCAAAAAATATAATTTTGGGGCTAAAAGTTTAAATGTACCTCGATCTAAAGATGATCAAGCAAATAAAAATACACCTATAGACGATAGTCAAAGTGTTGACATATCTCGAATTGATAATAAAATGTTTTTTTTTCTTTTAGAGTTTGGAATATTACTAATTTTTTTAGGTTGTCTGATTCTAATGCTGTAGTGCACTCGAAAAATTTGAATTCTGATTTGAAAATACAAAGCGTATCCAACAAAGATAATGTGGAACCTAGCTTTCATTCTGATACAGTTCTATATGGTAATCAGGATTTCTATCCTACAGATAATTTTAATGTAAAAAAATTGAAAGGAATTGAGACTAATGAATGGTCTCGTTCTGATGATAATTTCTTAGAGCATAAAGATTCTCAAAATAAGTCTTATAATTCTCAGAAGCACTATAATTTTTCTTTGGAAAAAGAAAAAGATATATCTGTAGTAACTAGAACTTTTATTAAAAATTATGAAGGAACCGATGCATTAGATGAAAAAGCACCTGTATTTTCAGAGAAAATATCTCAAAAACGAGCAATTAATGACTTTGAAACGAGTTTACCTGTGACTAGAGTGGAACATATAACAGGAACTCATAGAAAGACTTCTACTGAATCTCTTAAGTCAATAACTTATCAAAATAAAACGAAAACGCCTCAGGATGAAATTGATTCTTTAAATGTACATTCATCAAGACGTAAACAAATAATGATTGCTGGTGAACTAAATGAGTACTTCCATGTTATATTTATAAATCAACTAATTCTGATTCAGACAAGTTCAATCTTATTCTTCGTCATCTAAGTTTAAAGATATACCTAAAGGACCTTCTTTGAATAGGGATAAATTTTCTGATAGAGTATTTTCATCAAGGGAGATTTCTCATGATGAAACTGTTTTTTCTAATCGAAGAACTTCTCCTATAAAGACTTCTGAAATAGGGAAAAATCGTGATATTCCTGATCAAAGAAAAGGTCGTGATTATGAACATGTATCAACTAACAGACGTTCTATGATGCGTTTTGATATGGAAAAACAGTCTTTTATTAGACGTAACACTGATGAGCCTTTTCGAATATATTCTCATCCTGTCTCTGAATCAGATTCAAGACGTGAGTCTTTTTTTAAAGAATCTTCAAAAGACTCGAAATCTAATAGGGATGACAGACGAATGGTTGCTTTATCTAATAAAGATGTACATAGTAGAGAAAAAGATTATATTCATGATATTGGAAATCGTGGTCATAGTCGTGAAAAAGTAAGAGATAAGGATAATTTTGTTGAGAGAGGCAGGTTTTTTTCTAATAAGGATAATGATTTTGTAGATAGAAATATGGAAAAAGTACGCTCTTTGAGAGAATGTAAAGATAGCTACGAATATAGAGAACAAGCATGGGATCCTACAATGTCTCGCAAACATTCGCGAAATTCTTCTGTTCGTCAAATAAGTAATAGGGATTTAAATGATTCGTTTAAACGTAGAAGAATGGAATCTTAGGTATATGAAATATATATATTACTTTGTAAATTCAAAATTTTGATAAATTTGTACTTCTTTGTATTGGTTTTGTATTTTTTATATAGTGAATTTTTTTGATTTTAGTTTATTTATAAAAAAATAGATTTTCTAGTTGTTTGTGATCTAATTGTACAAGTATATATAATAGTGGCTTAACATTAATAGTGTTTATGCTTTTTTTTGTTTATGTAATGATTATATTGTAATAGACATTTAATTGGTAATTATAATGTTTATAATTTATAGAATTTATATAAATGACTTTGTATTTTACGTTCAAGTATATGTAATGTGTACAAATACTTATTTAATTTTAATCTTTCTTTATTGGTAAAAAACTGCTTTATATCGTTAAATGCTGTTTAATTTTTTACTAATAATAAAATATTATATGAATTATTTATATTTTTTAGAATTTTCGGAAATTATAGTTTTTTTCATTGTTGACAAAATATTGTTATATTGTTTTGAAATAATTATAATTTCATAAAGCAGTTCCATTTTTTGCTTAGTTAAATGATAAAAACTAGATATTGAATAAATTATTGAATAATATATATTAAAATATAGAAAATTTATAGAATTTTAAGATTAATTTTTAAATGTTTTTGATATAACGTGGATCGATAAGGCAACAAAATTATAAAATGACAAGATTATATATGATTATAGTATTTCAAAAAGACCCTTGAGTAGTTGAAATATTAATGCAAATGGCATGTGATTTAAATCCTAGTAAAGTTAATAGATTTTTTGGTTGGATTATTCCGCCTTTTTTGATTTGCGTTATGGGCTTCACTACATGGGTTTATATTGTATTAATATGCAGTAATAACATGTTTAATATGTTATTTTTTGTTAATTTTATTTAGTAAACTATTTGATAATGCATGGTAGAACCATAGGAAGTATTGATTTCTTTTGTTGCAATTAAAATGCTTATAATTTAGTTACACTTCTCGTTATTTTTTCTATACTTTTGTGTATGGTTACATTGTCTTTTACACGTATTATTTTTACACCGCCTGGTTATGTTCCAAGGTTTAAGGACTTAAAATTGTCTTCATCAAATGATGTCGGGTTAAGAACTCATATAGTGAATCAAATGAAGACATTTTGTCTATACGATGCTTATGTCTGTGAAAATGATGGATTCCCAAGATGGTGTGCCGTATGTGAGGTATACAAGCCAGATCGTGCCCATCATTGTAGTGAAGTGCAACGTTGTGTTTTAAAGCTGGATCATTTTTGTCCATGGTAATTTGTAACTTTTGTTTTGAAATATATTAATATGTATAAGGGTTGGTGGCGTTATTGGTTTTACTCGATATAAGTTTTTTGTTTTGTTTATATTTTATGTTACACTTATTTGTATTTTTGTTATATGTTCATGTGCACCTTTGACAGGTGAATATCGTAAAATGGTACAGTTTGTATTTTTTTATTTTCTTCTAAATTGTTTATAGAATGGCCGTGTTCCTGGGCCATGGATAGGGATTCTTGCATTGTAGTACGATTAAAACGTTATGTTTTTTGCTGATAATTGGTTAGAGCATCTTTTTTTACATTGTTTTTGGGCCCTTTTACTAGTATTCATATTTTTTATATATTACGTAATTCAACTACTATAGAATCGATTAATTTTTATGCCAGAATTTATCTTCTCAACGTCTTATATGAAACTGAAAAGTCTGGTGTTAAAAGAGCAAATGTTACTACTAAGCCTGGTTACCATCCATGGGATTTAGGTTGGAAAATGAATTGGCGTTCTGTTATGGGTAAACATTGGTGGGATTGGTTTTTTCCATTTACTGGAAGGTAAATGTTAATTCTTTTCTGAATTTTTTAATGGTTTTGTTTTTGAATAGTCCAGGTAGTGGTTATCATTTTGATTATAATTCGGAATTACTCGATGAATTAAAGATAATGGCAAAACAATCTAAAGTAGTATCTAAATATTTATCTTCTGATAAAAGCGTTACAACTTTGAATTTACAATCAGAATGTTCTGGTGTTAATTCTCAATATGGATTTTGTACTGATGGGGTACTTACTTCTTCTACAAATTCTTAAATGAACAAATCTTATGAAAATTATGAAATAGTGTTTTTTTTATTCTATACGTTTATATATTGGTGTGTTGTTTTCTTGGATATGAATTTTGTAAATGAAATGTATGTATATATTAGATGGTTTTAAATCATTTTTTAAAATAAATGCTTGGTTCTAGTACATATTTATCAGTAAAAGTTATTATATTCGTAAAATATAGATATTAAACATAGATATTTCTTTGTACATCTATTATTTTAAGACCTGATACAAATTATATTTATAAGTTATAAATATATAAATTATGATATGATTTGATAATCTAAACATGATACTAAATGTATAATTCAATTGAGTTATTCAAATATATGATATAATTAAAGTGAAACGCCATATAGTTGATTATAAAGTTTATAAAGTTCTTTTGATTTATAATACGTATAAATTTGATATTTTGTTTCAAATTTAAATATATTACGTGTAAAAATTATTGATATTAATATTTATATAAAAATTATAATATATTTCGGTTTAATTTATAGATTTAATTATATTAATTATATATATAATATAAAATATATAATTAAATAGTTTAATCATTTTCATATTATTTTTAAATTTTATAGAGATTAGCATATTTTACAAATGTTTATAAATGGTAGTTTAAAAAGTTATAATTTAAAATAGAATTATTAATATACAATAATTATATAGAATATACATTATTTAAAATGTAAATATTAATAAAATAAAAAATGATTAAAATATCGTATTTATATCTATTTATATCATTATAAGATCATATGTTATAGTTTTATTTTTATAAATTATGGTAAAATTATGGTAAAATAAATAAAAGATTTATATTACATAATGTATATACTTCTATTTTATTAACGTTTTTGTATAAAGATAGTATAAAGATATTTTTAAAAAATGTAAAAATATATCTAAGTTTTATTAATAATTGAATATATTTTAAATATTTTTCGTGTATTATATATATTTTTAAATTGTTGAAATTGTTTAATTTTCATTTATTAATACTTATTATAAAATATATAACTTTAAATTAAGACTTAAATTTTTATAAACATTATATTAAGTATCTAAATATATTAAGTATTTTATTTTAGACATAAAAATAAACATATCAATAAATATTTTATAATTATTAATTATGTAATTATTAAGATATTAAGAATTATAATTATAAATTATATAAATTATGTTAATTATGTTAATTATGTATATAATGTTTAATGTTTTATTTTATATTACTATATTAGTAAAAATCTAAAACCTAAAAATTAAATCTATAATGAACCAATAGACAAATTAAACTATGTTTATAAAATTATACTATTAACATAAATCATTAAATACTATTCTTAAAAAATTGATATATATATTTATATTATTTATGAATTAAAGAATAATTAATCAATAATTAAATAAAAATATATCTAAAAAATTATACATTTCAATTTATAATTATAATTTATAATTATACTAAAAAAGATATACGCATATATTTAAACGTAAATTTCAAAAATTTCAAAATCATATTTAATAAAATTTATATTCTGCAAAATTTATAATATAGAATAGAAATACGATTACTTCAATAACACTAAACTCAACAATTTTCATTAATCAACTATATTTTTTTTAAAATATTATAAGTAAAATATTTATATAGTAATCATATTATTTTTAATTTTATTAAAATAGTTATCTCTATGGCCAAAACCATTATAAGCAAGAAGATTTTTTGTTGATTGAGGAATATTATGTAATACATCTTTATTTCCCAAATCATAAATCATTTTCTTAAGCATATCAGAGGTAAAAAAAACGTCATATTTAGAATCTTTAAAAACCAAAGATAAGAAATATGCAACTAATCCACATACATGTGGAGATGCCATAGATGTCCCAGAAAGAGACATGGTTGCTAAACTACTACCAATCCATGTCGAAATAATATTTTGCCCAGGAGCAAAAATATCAACACATTTCCTAAAAAATTATTATATACTCAATTATAAAGAAAAAATACCCATAATTAGAAAACTGCGCTTTATTATCTAAAATGGTAACAGCACCAACAGTAATAGCATTTTCGGAAGAAGCAGGAGAGTAATTACATGCATCATCATTGTCATTACCAGCTGCTACAGTAAAGTGTAAACCTAAATTCACAGAAATGTCTATAAAATAATCTAAAATTCTACTTTTTGCACCACCCAAAGACAAATTAGCAACAGAACCTTTAAATGATGTATTATTTGTAAGAGCCTCAATATCTTTCAAATACATTCCAACAGCCCATTCAATACCTTTTATAACATCACTCTAAAAACCAATTAATCATAATTATATTATACTAATATAATTCATTACTAAAAGTCCAGACCCATCACCTTTAAGAACCTTTACAGCAACAACAATAGCATTTTTTGCTACACCGTATTTTGAACCAGCAACAATACCAGCAACATGAGTACCATGTCCATTATCATCAACATCAAGAGTATTCTGAGGAATAGTTATTCCCCATTTTGCACGACCACAAAAATCACTATGTTCTATATTAATTCCCGTATCAATTATATAACTTCAACAAATGAGCACAATATACCAAAAAAAAAAAAACATCATACACTGTGACACCTTGACCAGAGGAAGAATCAAAATCGTATTCACTAAAAGTTGAAAAATTAAGCATATCTTTATGAGAAACGCGTGCCAATCCCCATTCAGCATTTTTTTGTATCATCATTGTATGAACAATTTGATCTTTTTCAACAAATGCAACCTAACAAATCCTTAATACAAAAAGCAAATATATCAAAATTGACTCTAATTCTAAATTATCCAAAAAACACAGTTACTTACATCATCATGTTTACGAATCAATTCAATAATTTCATCAGGAAATCTCCCAGAATACCCTCTAAGTCTGTTAGAAATTTCATACTCATGATTTAACCACTGATGTGTCTTAATATTTTCATTACTAGTTCCTAATATTTTTTGTCCATATCCTTGAAATAATTTTAAATGAAGACTATCAACCCACAAATAGTGCATTTGAGCTTTTATATAGTCAACAGACTCACGAAATACTATAATATAGTTATCATATGTCTCTTCAACTGTTTTAATTGATTCTGTAGAAGATTTTTCAATAATTGCCATTATGGGGCTAGCAAGAATTTGGCAAAAAAACATATTAATGACTATAAAAGAAAAATATTTTTTAATAATCATCATTTTCGAATATTTATAATTCTCCTTATCTATTATATATTTTTCACATATAATCTGTTAATAATTAATAATATTATAAATATTTTAACGTAATTATACATTTCAATTCAAAAAAAGGGAGTAAAATATTGCAAAAACCCATAATCATATATATAAATCACCTAATTTTCGTAAAAATAAGTATATTTTTATACTTGTGAATATGTAAAATATGTTATAAATAACTTTACATAAATACATAAGATATTTTTGTTTTCTAAAAACAATACAAAAATCTTAATATTTCAAATATTAAAAAAAAATTCTTATATACAAATAACAAACTACATTGAAGTATAAATTATGTTATTTTTACATAATTAAAATTATTGCGTTCAATTTTACGATATTTTATAAATTTATAAAAAATCATTAAATGGAATAAGTATAAATAGTATATATCAAATATAAAAAAAATCGACATAATAAAAATAAATTAACTAAAGTATTCCAAAATGCCAAACACTCTTAAAAAATTAAACGTAAAACACTTAAAAAATATTACTGAAAAATATCTATGAATTAACAATGTTTAATATCCTTTTATCTCAATTACTTGAATTAAACGATCCTATAAGCCAAATATATATTTTGTTGCAAATCCGTCAGTTAATTATCAACAATGAAGGTTCCAAGCTATTTTTTCGAGAATGTGAAGGTTTTGAAAAGATTATGTTTTTTTTATACTCAAATTTTCTCAACGATAAAATTATAAATACTCAGCAAAAAGCAGCACATTATTTTCCTGAGCAGTCTATTCAAGTAATTTGTTTAACATTTACTCTTCTATCAACAGCTATTTCTTGGGATCCTTTTAATACAGATTATTTTTTCAATTACTGTGATATATCATCATTTATTCTTAAAACAACACTTCTTCAAAATGATCCTGAAACCCTTTTAGGAATACTATTTTCTTTTGCATTTAATGAAGAATCTTTGCAATCATCTTTTAAAAGTATCAAAGAACAATTGAAATTAGAGAATCATGAAGAAAAAGAAATGCAAAAACACATTTTTAATAAACTCTATAAACTAATAAAACATAAGTTTTCAGAAAAAGACATTATTATAAACCCTAAAATACTTCCTTTAATACTTTACATACAAAAAGATCTAAAAACATCATGGCTTCGGTTATCAATACTTTTAATTTTCGACTCTTTACTTGGAGATTGTATTTCAGAAGCGAATCTTGTAGCATTTACTAATAATAAAATACCGTCTATTATTATCAAAAGACTTTTCAATAACAATTCATTAACCTTAGATTTACTAGAAAAGGAATTATTCTTAGAATTAATCACTAAATTATGCAAAAATGGCTTACCTACAGAAGATATTTTTTTTCTTTTACAAGAATTTTCAAAAAATTTCACAAAAAATAAAGAACTTTCATCATTTCTTCTACACCTATTTTCGCAAGATCAAAGTCCATCTCATATTCAATTTAATCTATCTCTACATGGATATTCTTATATTCAGTTCTCTTCCCTATATAAGCTATTTCCTCCTTTTAACGGCTATTCTATGTTTTTTTGGATTAGATTCGATATGTTTGATGAAGCTTTAGATACAAATATACTAGGAATTTTAGATAATCAAAAAAAATACATATATAAACTCTTTCTAGACAAACATAACAAAAATCTATCATTTCAAACATCGTTTAAAAATCTTAATAAATTTTCACTTTATAAATTCGAAAAAGATTTATGGTATCATATAGCACTAATTCATCAAAAATCAAAATCCGTAATATCATCTAAGCTTTCTCTTTTTATAAATGGACAACATATCGAAAGCATTGAATGTCCATATCCTTTAGTTAACCAAGATAAATTACCCATTCAATTGCTTATAGGAACACCTCAAGAATTATCAGTTAATTATGGACAAAATAAATCATCGATTAAATGGAGTCTATCAAGTTTTTTAATTACCGAAGATATAGTTAATCAAAATATAATAGAATTATATTATTATTCAGGACCATACTATAATTGGGATTATCAAAATTTTTTGAAAAAATCAGTATTAGGCTCTACAACAATATTAAATGTTTTAGAAAAAACAAAATATCTTGAGAAAATTATAGAAATAAATATGACCGAAAATAAAATATCTACATCTATACTAAACGATAAAGTACTGTTCTATATTTGTGAAGATTCAATACTTAATATTAACTCTTTCAACAAGTGGGATGATTCGGAAAAAATAATTAAAAAAATTATCCAATCAATACATAAAAAACTAGCTAGTGACGTGGTAGTATTAAATAAAGCAATACCTTTTTCAAGTAATTGCATAGCTAGTCAAACACGAGTAGGATTGCTTTTAGGTAATCCTACTAATGTTGTAGTCAATAACATTGAAGACTCTATTTATTGTATAGGGGGGCCTACTTTAGGACTTAAATTAATTGAAATTTCAAAAACACCTAATGATATAATATATGCTACCAAACTTACATTATCTTTTATCAAAAACAGTAAAAAAAATTTAGAAGATATGGAAAAAAATTATGGATATGAAATTCTTTCAAAAATACTCAAAAGTAAAGAAGATTTTATAATTAATATTCATCTTCTTAGCTCTATTTTATCATTTTTAGGGTATGATGAAATAAATCCTAAGTATTATTACTATTTATAGCTAAATTTATATAACTTGTACTAGAAATTCTATAATTTCAAATATTTTAGCATATAAATTTTTAATTTTAGACTTTGAATTATGGAAAAAAGCAAATCAGAAAACCATAAAACTTTATATGCAGCAATTTTTATCATTCATTTTAAAAAGTTCATATGCAGAATTTAATATAAAATGCCTGAATAAAATACGTAAGTTAGTAAGATAGAAATACTATATTAATTTAGTTATAGGTATAATGAAAAGAATTATTATAGCATTAAAATTAGACTATATAACTGAGGATATTTTCCCATTATTTTCTATTACTTTCAAAACTTTAATAAAAATTTATTTTACTCCGGAGACAATAAAAATGATTGCAACATATATTATTTATGGTCTTTATAAAGGTATAAATATATTTTACTAAGTCTATTTAACAATATCAAAGAACCTAAAAATACAAACTATGAAAACACAAGACTTCTAACAACATCATTATTCAAAAATAACTCAAATTCTAACAATAACTTTAATAAAAATCAATTTAGCTCAATTCATGAAACATCATTACGTAAAAAAGCCATTTGGACTCTTGAGATTCTATCCGATATTTTATGTGATTCGCAAAATGAATCGTTTATAAAAAACTTTTCAGCAATAATTACAGATAAAGTATACATCTGTTTCTCCATTAGCGCCTAAATACTAATATAATAAAAGTGGCTATTATTGTTGCTATCAGACAAAAATCCTAAATGTGTTATATATAGCTTAAGAATTATTTATCAGCTAATATTAAAAAATCCCGACTATATATATAGATTTTCATCAAAAACTAACGGGTTCCTTTCCATGGGACTATATTTAAAGAAATGGTGGAATAATGTTAGTATTTGGAAAATTATTTTATGTCTTTTTTTTGGAATGAATATCTTAGATAAAAAAAAAATCTTAGATGTCAAAGATTTCAATCTATTTCTTCAATCTTTACTAAAAGAAAACGAAAATATTACAAAAGTACTTTGTTTTGAAATCTTTGATGTAATTCTTGTAATGCTTGAATCTGGGATTTACAATTTAAAACTATTTCAGACAAAAAGTATTAATTTTTCAAAAGATGATCTAAACACATATGTACCGTTATATAGGAACATAATACGAAAACGTTCTAATTCCTTAAACACAATTTATGATAAAATAGGTAGGAATTCAAAAGACTATGAATATACAGAAAATTTTGAAAAGTCCGACTACTATGAGAACTTTGATACGATTTTTTATATCGTAAGATTCATAAAAAATATAATTTCTTCAATTACATGCGTTAAAGAACATACGTTATCATCTTACTTTATAGAAAGATTCCTTTATATTGTTTTTCCTTTTATATCTTTAAAAAATCATATTAGGAAAGATATACGTATTTCAAAAAACGTATCAAATACATCAAACAAAAACATCATTATTAATACATTACATTTTAAAAATAATCATATTCCAACTTTATGGAGATTAAGTACTATACATAATAATTCTCTTTTTTCAAAATATTTTATAGAAACTATTTTACATAAAAACATATCAATAATTTTTCTAGAATCTACGATAGAAAAAGCAAATAAATTATCTACTTATTTTGATTCAAAATTATCCAATTCATCAGAATTAACTAATGGAAAATATGATATATTATTAATATATGAAATATTATTCCAATTAATCATCAGTAATACTGTAGATAGTATTATCAATCCATCAAAAAAATATATTCTAAAGCTTAATATTCAGGTATAATATATACATATATTTATAATCCATTTAAAACAAATAGATACCATTATGTTTTTTTGGAGAGCAAATTTATGTCGAATTATACATATTATATACTACTTTAATAAAATTACATAAAACTATATATAATCAATTAGATAAACTTAATGAAATATCAGTACTTTTAAACATATATAATTTTTCTAAAGATTGTATCAACTGTGTTCTTAAAGGTACTATTAGGTTCTATTAAATTGCAATTCTAACTCATTAGGCAATTTTTTTATGTGTGAGAGTCTTTTCGATTTTTTATTATTCATTCTTGAATATATTCATGAAATTAATACCAAAAAACAAGAAAAAACCTATGAATGCATATTTATTGACATTCAACAATGCATTTATCATGTTTTATTTCAACAATTGTCTATTTTCGAAAACTATAATAAAGAGAAAAAAATTCATAATTTTATTGAAAAAATTCTATATTATAATCATATAATATTTTATCCATCAACAAATACTCAAGAATTTATTACTCATTTTTGCTACTGGCTTTATATTTTCCTTTTTAATAAATCATATAATTTACGCATAGCAATAATAAATGTAAATGATCATATTATGTATTTATGTTTTTTCTAATTTCAATAGATATGGAAACTAATTGTTCAGAAAAAATTCCATGAATTTTTTTATATACTTAATCAAATCAAACTATTAGGTCAGTTTTAGTTAAATATTATATTATACTAATAATAAAGATTACGATATTATTAATACTTTTTTGAATATATATAATTTTGTAAGTAAATAACAATCTTTAAAATATATTTTGAAATGAAATATCAGAGTCCCGAATTCATTTTATCCTGGATAGACAAGAATAAGTATATATTGAATAATACATTTTTCAAATATTTAAGTAATTCTTGGAATCTTTATATTAAAATTCAACTTAAAAATTGGAAAAAAAAAATATTATTAGATAAACAAGCTAGACATGACAAACTTAATTTACAAAAAAACAGAGATATTCATATTTCTAATATGTTTATTAAACACAAATCATTGTATTCTAATTGGTGTAAAAACATAATCTTGTTGCAACATAACAAATTTAAAAAATATATACAAAATCGAATCGATTTAGATATTTTTTTAAATTCTATTTGGTTAAAAATAGTCAGCAACTTAACAGAGGATCACTGTGTTTTTGCAATTAATAAAAAAAAAAAATGGAAGCTGGGTTTTACTGAAGGAAGATCAAGAATGAGAAAAAAAATGGAGCCTGACATTGATCAAAGCCCTATAATAAAATCAAAACTTGAACAAAAAGATTCAATTAATAAAGGAAAAACAAAAAAAATAAACTTAAACATTAATGGTATCTAATTTTCCTAAAAATCTATATTTTCTAACTAAATACGTTTTTAAAATAGATCAAGATCATAAAGAAAAAACCTGTTTATCTTACGGCCTTAAAAATAATATAAATCAGACCGATACTGACAAAACAATTTCTATTTTACAAAATTTCAACAGTAACAATTCACTTAAAGTAATTTAAATTTTTAATATTTTAAGATTTTACAATAGAATATCTTAACGAAACTAATGAGTTTAAAGATAACAAAAATAAAAAAATATTACAAAGTTTAGAACACGGCGATTATGTATTGGATGTTTATAATATATGTAAAATAAATGGTCTAAATGCATTTGGTGACCTCAAAACACTATTTTTTCTTTTTTAATTTCATAACAGAAGGATTACTAATTTTAGGAAAAAATAATCTATATTTTATGAGTAATTATTTTCAAAAATCTACTGGAGAAATTACTACTATTTGGGACCAAAGTATAAAAGATGTAAATAAATAAGTAATATATATTAAATATGTTTATCATATCTAGGAACGAGACTTATATATTCAATTACTTTTAGGTAGAGATATAATATCTAAGGAAGAGAATTCTCCTTTCAAAAATAAACATAAAACAAAAAAATGGTAAAATACTGTAAGCATTATATGCATATTAATCCTAATTCTTAGGCCATTTAATCAAATTTTATCTGTTTATCGAAGAAGTTTTTTATTTAGGTAATCTTAATTTATTTTCTTTTTGTACTAAATTTTATAGAGATGTTGGTCTTGAACTTTTCTTTAGCAACAGGAAAAACTACTTAATTGTATTATCTATTAAAGAAAGAGAAACAGTTTATAAAAAACTACTTTCTAGATTAAATAAAATTAATTATCCTTTATCTAATGATTCTATTATAAATAATAATCTAATAAACAGTATTAAATCACAAACATTCATTACAAAATTTACTTCTCACATAACAGATATATTTGATTCTTATTCTTTTTTAAGAAAATGGAAAAATGGAGAAATATCTAATTTTCATTATCTTATGATTATAAATACATTAACAGGAAGAACTTACAATGGTATATTTTTTAAAAAATTATTAATTAATAACAAAATATATAATTAGATCTTACACAATATCCAATTTTTCCATGGGTTTTAGCAGATTATAGTAGCGAAGAAGTATAAAAGTTCCGCATTAAAAATATACTAATAAATATAGCTTGATCTTACTAATCCGAAATCATTTCGAGATTTTTCAAAACCTATGGGAGCTCAAAATCCTATACGTAAAAGTATCAAAAATTATTTAAATAAATTAGTACATAATATGGATAGGTGAATTTGAAAAACGATTCAAATCATTCCAAGAAATAGAAGATAATTCCCAACCTCCTTTTCATTATGGAACTCATTATTCTTCTGCTATGATAGTGTCTTCTTATTTAATTAGATTAAAACCATTTGTTGATTCATATCTTTTATTGCAAGGTAAATTATTATTAAATTGATCTATTCATATTAAATTATAATAAGGTGGATCTTTTGACCATCCTGATAGATTATTTTATTCTATTGAAAAAACATGGCGTTCTTCATCTCAAGAAAACATGACAGATGTACGTGAATTAATTCCAGAGTTTTTCTATCTTCCAGAATTTTTAGTTAATTCAAATAATTATAATTTCGGAGTAAAAGAAAATGATGAAATTATTGATTCAGTAATTTTGCCACCATGGGCAAAAGGAGATCCCAAACTTTTTATAAAAAAACATAGAGAAGTTAATTATTTGTAATCACAATATTTTTTTGAATATTTATAGGCCTTAGAAAGTGATTATGTTAGTAGGCATCTTAACGAATGGATTGATTTAATTTTTGGATTCAAACAACAGGGTGAATTAGCTGTAAAAGCTACTAATATATTTCATCATCTTTCATACCAAGGTGCCATAGGTTAGTCAAATTCTTTAATTTACATAAAATCTAATTTCTAGATATTGATAAAATTGAAGATCCTATAGAAAAAATGGCTACTATAGGCAATAATTTGAAAATATTTTTATTATTCTAATTTATTTTAGGTATAATATATAATTTTGGCCAAACACCTAAACAACTTTTTCAACAACCGCATCCTAAAAAAGCGTATAATCCAAGAAATTCTATTATTACAAAAAAAAAGCCATATATTGGAAAATTTGAAAAAAATATAAATTTTTTAATCCAAACTATAATGTTTTTTAAAGGTATATTAATTATAATTGTATTAATTAACTAAACATTATAAGAAAATGATTTTTCTATAAAAAATATTATATATTTAAAAAAACTAAATAAAATTATTGGATGTCCTTCAAACCGTATATATATTCTTCCTAATATTAACAATTATATTCAATGGGATATAGTTGGAGGAGACATAGAATTTTGTAATAAAGAAAATAAAAAGGTTAACAAAATTTCATATAAATATCCAGCCTTATAACACAATTATATTAGATTTCAAGATCATTTCACAAGCTCCATTTTAAAAAAATAACATGTGGTTGTTTTATAGAGCCATATACGTTGATAACTGGAAGCGACGATTGTATTATTTATATATGGCATATTATGCAAAAAAAGACAATAGAATTTGAAGCAAAAGGTTGTTTACGAGGACATTCTAAACCTATTATATCTATCGATTCATCACAATCATTTAGTATTATTGTATCTGGATCAGAGGTTCTAAACATAACATCTATTGTTAATTATTAAAAAAAATAGGATGGTTTAGCCATAGAATGGGATTTAAATAAGGCATGCTATATTCGTACACTAGAAAGAAGTAACAAGCCTATACAGGTATTTAGAATAAAAAATAACCCTAATTTTTAATTTCCTCAGTGTATTTCAATAAATGATACAAATGGAGATATTGCAACATGTTCAGGAACAACAATTTCTATATGGACCATTAATGGTGATTTATTGTTACGTCAAAATATTCAATTTAATGAAAATGATATGATATTTAGTTGTAAGTTTTATGAAGGGATTAATGATGAATGGATAGAATGTGATTTAATATTTACTGGTCATAGACTTGGAATTGTTCGAGTATTAAATAATATTTTTAAAATATAATTGTAATTCTATTTAGATATGGAATATTTCATGGAAAACTGAAAATGGAAAATCAGTCAGAGAGCTTGTAAATATCAAAACCTTACAACATTATAACTATGTAAAAAAATCTTTATTAATATCTGAAATAACTGCGTTATATCCTTCTGGAGAATTACGCTCATTATTTACAGGAGACAGACTTGGGAATATCTATATATGGAATCTGCCTGATACTATATATAAATCACATTATTTATTAAGTGAAAAATATAATAATTGTTTTATATGTAGAATTGCATTTACTATTATAGGTAATTGTTTGCAATTTTTTATTTTAATCTAAAAAGTTTTAAGATCGAAAATATAATTGTCATCCATGTGGTGCAATATTATGTTCTAACTGTATTCGCGAACATCCTAAAATAAAAAATATAAAATTGTGTATCAACTGTATTTCATCCTTAGTTTTTTAAATACATAAAAATATCTAAAAATAGTTTTAATTGTATTAATGTAATTAAAATAATCTAAGAATATATATTTTCATTTTAAATTAAAGCTTCTTGAAATTCTTAATATAATATATAAAAAATAACTTTAAAGTTTCATCTTTAATCAAATTATTAAAACATAATAACATTATTTTAACAAAAATATTCAGCAAAAATTGAAATATAACTTTTAAGTTTATTATTTATAATATTTAAAAACATGAATAATTCTTTATTTGTAAACATTTTTTTATAAAAAACTGAGTATTTAATCTTGTATATATAATTAAGTTTTTAGAAATATTATATATTTAAAAAAATATTAAAAAATAAGATAAACCTACAAATTATTTAAAATCATGTCAATTTATAAATTCAAGAAAAAATTAAATTTTAGTATAATTAAAATAATATTTTTTATTTAAAACAATTAAAAATTAACTTCAAATTAACATTAAAAAAATACACAATAAATTCGAAAATAATTTATATAATATTTATCAAAAAAGTTTCACAATTTAATTATTAAATATCTAATAAATATATATTTTTATCAACTAAATATCATTTAAAAGTTAATTATATTTTAAACATGATAGATGTAAACATTGATGATAGCGACGATGACAAAATGTATGATAAAGATACACATTTATTAATTAATGGGAACTGTAAAAATTATTATTTAGCATAATTAATTATTTTTTCTAACAAAAATGCAGATTCATTAGAATCATTTCAAGATCCGGAATTAAACTATAAAGATGATGAATTAGAGAGATTTTCTAAAAGCGTATCATCAGAATCAGACTCTAGATTCACTTCAAATAAATCACCTACTACTAAAATTTCTTATGACGATTCTCATGCTATCCAAGCAAACACATATGATATAATTCCAACATGTGCTGCTCCACATTCTACTAGTATAAATATAATAACTGCAACATCATGTATAAGATGGATATTTACTGGGGGAAATGATGGATATATCAGAAAATTTGACTTTTTTTCTAGTATAAATGGAAGAATACCTCTTACTGTTGCTCAAAAGCATCCTTTTGTAGATTCGATAATAAATGTAATTTAAAAGATTGCAATATTTATTTTAATCTTTTTTTCTAGGCAGGCGTTTTATTATCTTATTGGGAGAATAAAAGTTTACAAGGTTTAAAGTTCCATTTACATCAATTTTATTAAGATATCTTAGAGTCACCAGCATCTACATCAACACATTCTAACAATAAACTATCACCTGTATACTGTCTAGCTGTTAATAAACATGCTTTATGGATGCTTTCTAGTCTTGATGTATTAAGAATATTTATGGTTTATATTATTATTAAATTTTTAGACAGGTGATATTAATTTGCAAACTGTTAGACATGACGAAGGAAAAATTTTAGCAACTATGAAACAACATGTATCTCCAGTTTCAGTTTTAAAACTTTCTTCATGCGAAACAAAGGCTTTAAGTGGTAGCTGGGATAAAAACGTATATGTATAATTTTATAAAATTATTATAAATAATTTTAACAAAATAGGAGTGGGATCTTAATACTGGTTTACTTTCCCGATCTTATGATAATCATACAGGCCAAATATCTACTATTGCATATAGACCTATGTCTTCATTTATAATTACGTCAAATCCTATAAAAAATGAACCTAAAGTTAACATAAAATTCAAAATTAATGAAACAAATAACTTTTCAAAAAATTCTTTTAATCCAATCTTTAATGATAACGAAGAAATTAAAGAAAAAAATATTCCGGATTCTTCAGTAAACAATGACGATGATTATATTACTAATTCTACTTTAAATGATCAATTAATTCAAAGCGATAATGAATTTATTGTTTCTGGAATTGACGGAACTATAACTATCTGGGATAAACGACAGTTAAAACATATTGCTAAACTAGGAATACCTAATAGCACTCCACCGTGGTGCATGAACGTAAAAAAAATATACGCTAATACAAATATTAACTTCAGACAAAGGCATGTTGGTCTATTGATGGAAATTATATATATGCAGGAAGAAGAAATGGAACAGGTACTATTTCTTTTTATTTATATATAACAATTTGATTATTCAGTGGATGAATTCTCATTGTATTCTTCTCTCGATAAACCGTTACGTTCTATTAAACTTCCTTTAAATTCTGGTCCAGTATCAGCAGTTCATTCAATGCCTAATAAAAAACACCTTATATGGTAAATATTTCTTGATAATTTTAAGCAATTTTTTTATATTTTTAGTGCATCTTATGACAATATTAGGATATACGATTTAAGCGGATCTTCTAAAATCCCCTTTCTAATAATACCTGGACATTATGGTGGCATAATATCATCAATTTGTATTGCATACAAAATATATTTAAAATTTTTTAATGATTATAGATATCGATAGTACTTGCAAATATATGCTTACAGCAAGTGGAAATCGTGGTTGGGATGGAAATTATACAGGAACTCTTTTGGGATATGAAATAGAATATCTATAATAATTACTAATATTTAATATAAAATTATTTCTTAAAATATAATCATTATTTAAATATAAAATACTAAATATTTAGATTCAATAATATTTATTGAATCTAAATTTATTATATATTAATTTCAAACTCTAAAATCTATAAATCAAATTTTATACTATGAATTTAATTTGAATCATTTTTGAATTATTAAAAAAATTTCTATAAAAATTTTAACTTATAAAATTTTTTAAATTTCAAAACAAAATATTAAAATTTATAAGTAAAAGTAAAAAAAACTTAAATATTCTAATCTTACATTTTAAATCTTAAAATTTAAAATATTTTAATTTAAGCAAAGCAATATTGAACCAAAAAATACTCTTTTTATACACTTTTAGAAAAATAATAATAAAAAATAATTAATCTTCAATTTTTATTATAAATATTTTTAATTTAAAAGTAAATCCTAACTGATTAAAAATATTCATAGATAAAAATATAGTTAACATAAACATATTCAAAAAAAAAATCCGTATAATATTAATACATAGGATTATTTAATTAAATATTTTATTAAAAAAAATATATTTAAAATTACATAAGTTATTTATTAATAAAGCTAAACACATCAAAAATATTATATTATCAAAAATATGGAACTAACAGATAAAACAATTTTTCTCTAAAATACTAAAAAATACATAAACTAAATATTTATAAAATAATATCAAGCTGATAAATTATTTAAATATAAATTATACAAAACCTAAGAGAAAAAGAATATATAATTTTGAAAATATAAACATTAATTTTTCATTTATCAATACTAATAGAAACATTTCCACGGAACCTTTTTCTCATATCAAGCTAAAAAAAGTAAAAAAAAACTTATAACTGCTAAAATCTTACCATTCCCCTTTTACAATCAAATAAACTTCTCTTTAAAAGAAAACATTGCAAAGGTACAAATTCTAATAACTCAGGATTTGATAAACATTCTTTTGCAGTATTTCCTTTTTTCATGCAATCCGAATCTAAAATACACGATGCTAAAGCTTCTCGAATATTACTACATGAGCTTGGCATAACCAAAATCAATAACTTTTAAAAATTTAATTTTTAATTTATCGTTAATAAACTATGTGAATTTTAAAATTAATATATAATTCAATTCTAATCTCATACTTTTATAGATTAATACCTAAAAATACCATTTATAATTTATTAGTTGTAGCATTTACTATATCTTAAAAACACTTTAATATTTTTTGTATCAATACAGGAGATAAAAAATTAACGTTTTAGTTAAAAATTAAAAAATAAAGCATTATAGCATACATGTAATTCATTTTAATAAATCTAATAAAAATATCATGCCATATATAAAAACTTTTAAACTATTGAACATATAATATATTATAATTTATACAAAATAGTTTGTAATTCTATATTTTTAAATATATCGTTAATACACTAACAAGAAAATATCATTTAACTATTATTTAACTACTATTTATAAATATTTAATATGTCAATTAGCGAATCATGTCCTAGCTATAGTTCATTTTTTGGATTTGCGGGAGTAACTGCAGCGGTATGGTTTTTTCTTTAAATCAAAATTTAATTTTTATATTAGATGACTTTATCATGTAATTAAACTAATTATATACTTGATAATTAATCTTAAGTCAGCCATTGGTGCTGCTTATGGGACAGCTGTTTCAGGAATGGGGATTGCAGGCATTGGACAGTTCAAACAAGAGCTAATTATGAAGGTAACGTTCGGCATTATTATCACTATTTATTAAAAAATCAGAGTTTTATTCCAGTTGTCATGAGTGGAATAATTGGTGTAATAATTTTGAAAGTAAATATAACCCTATCTCTTATAAATATAGGTATATGGGCTTGTCATATCTGTACTAATAGCAGGAAATCTTTCACCTATGAAAAATTATTCGCTTTTTGAGTGAAAGATACTAGATCATTTTTTATTTAGTATTAATTATAACTAGTGGATTAATACATCTTGCTGCTGGTCTCTGTGTAGGAATGACGGGAATGGCATCTGGTTATAGCATTGGTATTATTGGAGATAGTGGTGTACGCTCATATATGCGCCAACCAAAAATATTTGTTTCTATGGTATTAGGTAACTATTACAATAGTATTTCTAAAAAAAATTAACAAATATAACTAGTATTAATATTCTCTGAAGTATTAGTAAGTTGTTCATATATATAACATTGATATTACTAAAAATAATTCTATATTTAGGGTCTTTATGGGTATATGAAATTAAGTATTATCACTAAAAAGCTAATCATTATTAGACTTATTGTTGCTCTCATTTTAAGTAAAGTACATCTTTTATTTATATTTATATAATTTTTTAGATACAAAAATATCTCATAAATGCTAATAAATATTACGAAAAGCATTCTTATATTCATTTTTATAAATAAACATATATTTTTTTCCTAATATTATAAAACGTTCTGCAGCCAATAATTATCTGTTTTTATTAAAAAGTATCATGTATATAAAAATATTGTTTTAAATAACTAAATTAAAAAAACAATGAGAAGAGTGGGGTTCGAACCCACGCAGCTTTCGCTATCACGAATCACATAAAAGCAAACAACCTGAACGTGACTCCATAACCACTCGGACATCTTCCCAACTGCGAGTTTACAGTAATTTAATAAAATTATATTTTTTTAAATATATAATTTATTTTAGAATTAAAATACAAACCTAAATTATTATTAAAATTGATTAAAATTCAAATTTAAAAGAATTAATATAAATACAATTCATAAAAATATATTAAAACCATAATAGTATTTTATTAAAAATATCACAATATAAAAATTATAAAATTAAAAAACAAAAACTATTAATAAAATTCACAAATTAAAACAAATAATACATAAATTATATTTCATTAAAATTACCCAATAATTCAAATGAAAGTTAAATTATATCAAATTTGTAAAACAAAATATCACTATTTTTTTTAATAAAAATATAAAATTAATTTATAATTATAAAAAATATATTAATAACATTTTCCCATTAAATGTTTAATAAGTAGATAATATAATTTCAAAAGTTGGTCTAAAATAAATTATAGATTTTATTTAGCAATAGTAAACAAATACAATATACTATTTTAAAAACATAATAAACAGTATTTTTAAACATAGATGCTCAAATAATAAACAAAACGAATTTTACTAATAATCTATTTTATATTTACAAATATCAAAAAATACAAACTAATTTCATATATAAATTAAAACAAATATAAAAACCACAAAATTCTATTTAGCAGATCCTTAGTCACTACGTACAATATAAAAAACATAACTTCAACAAAAAGAATTCAAAATACATAAAATAATCATATTTTTTATTACCTGTTGGCATAGAAAATAAATTACTTCCAATCAACAATTCCAACTACGAAACAGACGATACTCTATTTTGCACCTTTAAAGTTTCCCAACAATTTAAACTAGCAATTTTGTCAATACCGTCATCATCTGTATACGCATACAGGCATTCTCGATAATTATCATATAATTTCCGTATATTATGACCAAGAATAACCTGAACTAATGCAGTTGTCTCTACATGACGAATTTCAATAAATGAATCTTCAAAAGCAAGAAGATATGGATAAAAAAGTGCTTAACACATTTAATAAAAAAAATCAAATCTTATAAACTTACCAAAAGAATTAGGCAATCCTTCCCAAATAATCATCCAATTGTGTTTAGTAGCCCATCCATTTTTATCTACAAAGAATGCCATTTCTATAAAAACCTCAATACATATAATATATATTCAATATCCTTAAATACCATCATAACATAATAAAAATTTCAAATTTAATCTATATATAGCAATAGGCTTTATATTTTCTTTACGAGTGACAAAATCCAAAGAAGTATCAGCTGGATCAAGCAAAGATTGTGTTTCAAGATTTTCTAAATTTACAACCTCAAATCCTTATAATAATTTAATAATAATTCTAACATTTTTTATAGTTAAACCTTTCGATGATCCAACGCAAAGCTTATGCTTTAAAAAGTGAACAGATGTAGATTCAGTTGGAATATAAAATTCCTATAAAAATTAATAAATATATATAAATAACAAATAAAATACTTTAAAAACTTTAAGAGCATCCTGACTTCCTTGTAACAAAAATTTAAATGGAACTTGTTTTTTTCCTCGAGAAATAGTCTCAACTGGTTCCAATACTTTTATAGTTGAATTCAAAACAGAACTTTTAACCACGCAAACCAACAACTTGCCAAGACAAAGTCCAGATTTAAAAAAATTGGTATGTCCAGCTATTTTCCTAGGTCGTTTATTTGCCAATGTTGTATCATTCAAATCTAGAGACTCCATAGGATATGAATAAAGAGTCTTATCTGCAAGAACTAATAAAATAGAATATTCTTCGAGAACATCAACTTGAGTAACACCATTTATAGCAAGAACTCGAACAGGTGCAACTTTTGCAGAAGAATACGGCTTACGATCAGAGACATAAACACCATTTTCAGTACCATAAATCAATTTGCGACCACCATCTATAGAAATAATTAATGTCTATAACAACAAAAAATATTCTAACCATAAGGAACAACACATGCTACTTTATTTCCTCTCAAAAAATATTTCTCACAAATAATATGCTGCTTAAAGATACAACTTTTTTCCCTAAGACATCTTTGTTGAGACTCAATATGTTCAGTCCATTTTTTACGACTTATAGATGTAGTTGCAAATAAAGTAATCATATAGCCTCTACGACCTAAATGAATAAACGTAATTGCATATCCTTTAGAATTATCATTTTTATGTGGTGTAGATTTCGATGCTCCATGAAGCAATAAAGAAGAAGACTTTTTCGCAACAGACGATCTTTCAGAAGGATCTTCTGAATGAGATATAATTAAAAGTTCAAGAGGTATAGGCTTAAATTATAAGCTAAATAATTTTTTAAAAAAAAAAAACAATAATCTTACTTTACGATAAACTTTATATTGTTCACGTTTTGTTATTTTAACCATCAAAAGCACATGATCGAATAAGAAGACCTGAATATCACTACTAGAATCAGTACTTGTACTGGAAATATTTCTCTTTTTTAATGTTCCTTTAAAGATAAGACGACGATTTTCATCAGAAAGTTTCAAATCAACACTTTCACCAGACTTAAAAACCAATTGTTTGTTTAATTGCATCAAATTAAATCGATTTTCAGCTCTCCCTGATTCAATATTTACTTTATTAAGAAACTCTTTAATAAGTTTAACAGCTTTCATAAGATCTTCTTTATCCGGATTATCATCAGGTGTATTTTTAGCCACTGCCTCTAAAAGTAGGGGGTACCGTGCAAGACGTGTAGTAGGCTTTGTGAGATAACCATTTAATTCGAGCTTTCGTGACTCTTTTAATCTTTCAGTCTCTTCAACAAATTTTGCAAAAACAAGATTCTCTCTTTTTTCCTTTTCAAATTCATATTTTCCATGAAGTTGATTTGCACCATATCGAATAAATGGATCAAAACGAGGCAAAAATTCAAGAAATATATCTCCAATACGATAAACAACATCATTCTGCTGTTGTCTTTTAGTTAATGCTTCAGCAAGTCGAGAATTCACAGCATGAACATCCATAGCATTTGAAAAAACAGCTAAAATAAACTTTTCTTTACGATGTTCAGGTATCAAATTGCCATTTCTTAAAGGCTTCATCCAAAACTAATACAAATTAAACAACACAAACATATTGTTTATAACTTACATCTCTAAGATACTCAAGATCTTTTACAAAATCTCTTTCTGTATAAATGACCTCAAATATTATCTCTTGTCTTTTCTTTTCACGTTCATTAAGGCCATCAGCAACGTCTTTTGGAACACTTTGAATCCACAATTTTTGTTGCTTATCTGTGTCATCTAAACCATTCAAACTACAACGGGATTCAGCTCTTTTTAGGACAGGAAGAGATTTCAAATTTAACCGTGCTTGTTGCTCAAGGCGCCGAGGACATGCTATAGAATAACATAATTGGTCTCTTGTACATGTTGGAGAATAACATTCAGTAAGTAAAGTAAAAACACCATTAGGCAAATCATCAGAGTCATCCTGTAATATTCCCCGAGAAACCTTTAAAGTATTAGAGTCAGAACATGGTAACACTATATGATTATTTATTGATGAATAATCATTATATGCATCTTCAATATGCGTTTTAGATAAAGTTTCAGAAGCTAAAGTCCTGTTTACATTACGCAAAGTAGATTCAGTCTGAATACTGGTATCTGCATCAGAAAAAGACGACAAACACTCTTTAAACTGATACACTTCATTCGGAGAATCACGAAGACGATGATCATAAGTTACATCATGGATAAATTTCTGAGCATCCAATGATCTTCCTAATAGTAAAGCTAAGTTACGATCCGTAGTCCTGATAATTTGGGAAATAATATCCACAGCTTCACTTCCCACAAAAGCATCCTTATATGTAAGACCATCTTTTAATTTATCGCTTAATACAATTCGTTGTCGAAATGCCTCCGCAACACGCGAAAGCAAAGCTGGATAAATTACAGGGCAACGCTTCACAATTTTTGAAGCAGTAGAAGACATACTAGATTTAGAATGTTTTGGTTTATCATAAGAAGCAAAAGGTTCATTCCTAGGTACTAATACATTATATAATGACCGCATCCTACTATTAGTAGATATGGTATCAAACCTCTGATCAAAACACATATTATAAGGCGTCCCTAAAAAAATTAGTAAAAAAACCCAAAAATTCAAATTACCTTTATTAAGTATATTTTCTCCCCGAACATCGCTTCTAAAAGCTTGATTTCGCAAAGAATCCTGATTCTTTGCACTCCTGAAATCATTAAAATACAATGTAAAACTATTATGTCTGTACCTAATAATCATACATGACTTTGGATGATGAGGAAGCAATAAATAAGAATCATTGCCAGAATATCTAATGCTTCTATCATCACTATGCATCTTTTCTTCAGACACATTCGTATTCTGCTTCAAAAACCTATCTGAATAAGCTTCTGAAGTATTCCTGCTACCCTTTTCAGAAAGCTGACTAGAATCATGATATGAAGACAAATGATCAGCATATTCAAAAGATCGATCAGACGACAAACTTTTTTGAGAACATAGCGACGAAGAGTGAGGACCATGCTTTAAAAAAGACGAGGAAGATATAAGAGAAGAATCACGATTAGGATTAATACTAGTTCCTGAATTTAACGTATATATATTTGAAGGTAACTGAGTAGACTGCTCTATATGCTGAGATGCAGAAACAACCCCAGTACTAGTATAACAATGACGATCTATATGTGTTTCCAAGGGATATGCATGAAATTGGTCATTACAGAATCTTCTATCATAATACCCATTAGAAATATCCTCGCTCTTAGAATTGGACTTCAAAGATGTATTTTCCTCCTGGATATATGCACCTGGAAGAGACGTCTTAGCCATAGAAGTGTCTTTCTTATTACTAAATAATGAATTATGATGATCCGTATTTGATAACTCCGACCGTTTTACATAGTGATCACTCATCTTAAAGTCAATATAAAAAGACTTTAAACAGTCTCTTTAGAAAAAAGACATTAAAATATATAATATAGAGGCTTTTCTGATAATTATTATCTCAATTTTCTCTTAATAGTTATCTTACCGTCTTTTCTTTAAAAATCTTTTCTAATATATTTTTTAATCAAAAACCCAAAATTGAACAAAAACTTCAAACACTTCAATAAAAAAGAAACCTGTCTTTATTTATCTTTTCCAAAACTCCTCCTATATATACTCTTTTTACAATTCTATTCAATCCTTTTTTTCTCGTTAACTTTTGTTTGCAACGATCACGCTAAAAATTATTCAATACATTAAATAATTTATATAAAATTATAAAAAATATCTGTAAATACATCTAATAAAAACATAGACTAATTTTAAATAAATTTATCATATTTAAATTATCCATTTAAATAAAATACCAAAAAAAAATCCTTACATCCAATTTTTCCCAATCTAAAAAAATATTCTGAAAAATAATTAAAAATAAATTTATATCTCGCAATATTTATAAATTTATAATTAATTATTATATAGAACTCTCTTTATAAATAAATAAATAAATATAAATATAAATATATATAACATTTTATTTTAAAACATTAAGACTCAAAAAATAACATAAAAACATGTTCAGTTACAAAATAATCCAATCAATAGAATCAACACTTAATAACCATTTTTTCTAGTATAAAAACTGTACGATATGATCAAGGAACAAATATAACTAACAATATAAAATTATCCTTGTATAACTATTTATACCTCTTTACAAACATGCTGCGTATTCTATGAAATAATCAAAAACTTTTAAAAAATTATTAAATGTAGATATATATTTAAAATATAATAATAAATCAATTTTATTAAACATACAATTACAAATAAAAACATAAAATTACAAATGATATAAAAAACGTAAAAAAATATAAAAAAGTATAAAAAAGTATGAAAAAACAAGAAGATAATATATATATATATCATTATAATTTCTATAACTTAACATTCTAACTTTCATAGATACATACAGGTGTCCCAAAGTAACCAAAATCATATCCATGTTTAAACCTCCTTTTAGAACTAACAATAAAAAAAGTAAAAAATTATAAAACACAAAATGCTAAAAACTCACGGACATGGAATATTTTTATCTCTTATACTTTCATTGTCACTATTTCTCATATTTTTTCTTTGTTCAATAAATACAAATTATACAAAATACTCAAGATTATCATCAGAAGCTCTTATAGATATAAAAAGACAAAAAAAAAGAGATTATTATTCAAAGAAGTTAGAACATACAGGATTTTCTTTTGAATCACGTATTGCTATGTTTTCTACAAGAACTTTTGAAGACGTACCACAAACTCTTTATGAACATTTAGCATTTCAATTTCCGTATAAAATAAAAGAAAAATTTCCAGATTATATTTGGCAATTTTGGAAGTATGAACCTTCTGAATCAAAATTTGATTCAAGACTTCGTTTATTAGAAGCTAGTTGGGCAAAACATCATAATAACAGCATCCATACGGTAAACTATTTATAAATACTTTTTACATATTAAGTTTTTATATAAGATAGTCAAAGAAGAATACGGGTACCATCTTATAAGACATCTCTATTTATCTATTCCTGACATTGTAAAAGCATATGATGCACTTTCAACATCTAGTCTTAAAGCTAGATTTTTTCGTTATCTTATTCTTTTTGCAAGAGGTGGCATTTATAGCGATATTAATACGGAAATATTACTTCCGGCATCTAAGTGGATATCAAAATCAATACAACTTTCTTCTATAGGTCTTGTTATAGGCATAGAAGTTAATACAATCAATCATCCAAATTCAACACAAAATTATTCTAATTTTTTACAATTTAGTACAGGAACTATTATGGCAAAACCAGGACATCCTATTCTTCGAGAAATTATAGTAAATATAACTCAGGAAATTCTAAAAAAAAAACAAAAAAATCTTAACAAAAATAATTTGAAATTTACAAAATTTAGAAATTGTAAACTATGGACAAATATTATCTTTGATTACTTATCTTATCCAAACCTTATTAATAACTCTACAGTTAGAAACACAAATATTTCTTATTCTTATTTATCAAAAATTAATAAAGAAAAAGCTATAAAAGACATTGTTATTTTACCAATTACTAGTTTTTCCCTTAACAAAAAATATTTATCAAATAAGACTTTAAAAAATCCACAAGCAATACTCAGACATAAATTTGAAGATATCATGGAACTTAATAGTTAAAATATTAAAAAACAATTCATGAATCATTAATATTATAACATATATACATTCATTTTAAAATTTATGATTTAGGGAACTTTGTATAGTTGAACAGAACATAATCCTTATAACATTTAATACATTAGAATAATTTTTTGAATACTTTTTTTAGACATTTTAAATGATATTTCTTAAACTTGTATATTTTTAACATTTTCTAAAACGAAAAAATTTATTAGAATCATTTACTAAATATTCTAATAAATAATTCTAAGTATGCAATTATATTATTACCCAATACTTATATATTTATAAACTATTATAAAATAATCAATACTTAAATTATTCATTTAAAGTCTTATAAACCAAATAACACTTAAATCATTAAAAGAAGTTAAAATTTAGGAAATTTGACTTATGTAAAGTGAAAAAAAATAAATTCAATATTACATAAAAGTTCATTACTAATATTTAAATGATTATTTCCATTTCTATTAACAAATAAATTGTATAATAATTATATGTCTATTTATATTAAATATTCTATTAAATAATTCAAATACAGAAAAATTAATTTAAATCAATTATTCTTATCACTAAAAAAACTTTAATAAATTATTTTCTACAAAATGAAAAAATAATAAGAAATATATTACAAAATAACATAAGAAAATTAAATATACATTTCCTAAATTAATAATATAATTTAAAAATAATTTAAAAAAATAACTTAAAATAAATCTATGCATCATAAACATCAATTCTAATCAAAATAACCCAAAACAAATATTTTCTTTTAACATTATTTAAACCTATATACTTAAATAACTCTATTAAAAACAAAATTTATAAATAAACTTAAAAACAAATACACAACCACTATATATACACATATAATTATGTAAGTAACAGTAATTTCAAAATCTATTTATTAAAATATGAAAATATTTTTTTATAAAATCATAATTTAAAATATATACAAATATGTTTTAAATAAATATATTTAACCAAATTGAAAAAATCATCCATTTAATGCATTTAATGCATTTTCTATATCACTCATCATTTCTATTACTTTTTCTTCTTGCCATTGTTGAGCTATAACTTGAACACCCACAGGAAGTCCATGCATTTTATCAGGATCATACAAGGGTCGAGACGATTGATATAGTTTTTGATGTATTAGTCCATCCCATTTTTTATATTCATCGGATAATACATCCATTGTACGATCTACATATGTAACAGGTAAAGAACCAACTGAATAATTTAACAAATTATATATAAAAGTGGAAGCAGCAATAGCAGAAACACTTGCTGTTCCATTATGAGGTAATGCAGGAAGTGGATTAGTAGGAGCAATTATACCATCAAGTTTATATTCATTCCAAATTTTGAACCATTCTTTTCGATAAAGATTACGCCTATAAATAAGATGACAATATTCTATAGTTTTTTTTTTCCCTACAGCTTTAAATACCATAGAAAATTTCGGATCACAAATAATATTTTCTACTATATATCCAATAGCACGTTTTAAAAAATAAGGAACCCAAGAAGCCAACATTGGCAGCCAAATATTCTTTTCCATTGGATCTTTTTTAACAAAATCATAAACTCTTTTATAACCATCACTAGATGTTAAACCTTTTCAATTAGATAAGATATTAAAAAATCTCAAATACCAATAAATATTTCAACAGCATCAAAAGAACTAGGCGGACGTATCTCAACAACTTTATGACCAAAAGCTTTAAGAGAATCAATTACCATACGAACTGCTCTACGACAAGCAGGAGATGTTAAAGTAAACTCGTCTAAAACAAATAAATATAAAAAATTCCATTTATTCTTCATTTACCTTCAAAATAATACCCAAATACTTTAAAATTCGTTGATCGCAATGATTCTCTCCATGACAAAGGTATACATGAAAAATCATATGATTCAGGCTCAGAGCTCAATATAGCCTAATTAAACATTTAAAAATACTTTTTTTTTTATTTCAAATGATCATACTTTAGTAATAAACTTCAAATCCAAGACAGATCTTGCCATAGGACCTGTAACAACACGAACTCCTTCAAAACCCTCAACAATTGAAAAATGCCCTGCCAAAGGAAACCTATCAGATGAAGGTTTTAAAGCATAAATACCTAAAATTTTAATACATTTTCCATTTCAGCAGATCATACCACAATAATGTGCAGGAATCCTCAAACTTCCTCCAATATCACTTCCAAAACCCAAAGCTGATGAATTAGAAGCAAGAGACACTGCTTCACCACCAGAACTACCACCGCATGTATATGTGGCAGAAAATGGATTAAAAGTTCTACCAAAAATAGGATTAGAACATTCAAACGCAAAAAGCGTCTGAGGAACATTTGTTTTAAAAAGAATCACAGCACCCATATCTTTTATCATTTTCACAAGCGCAGAATCTTCTAAAGAGGGCTTAGAAACAAACATTGACATTCCTAACGACGAATCATATCCACTTATATTATACGTATCTTTAAACGATACAGGAACACCTAAATAATCATGAAAAAACAAAAAAAAATATCATAATACCATGAAGAGGACCCCTAGGAGGTTTTCCACATGCCAATTCTTCATCCAAAAGCGCAGCTTGCTCAATCGCCTCAACAAAAAACACTAAAACCTTTATAACTCATTCATTTATGAATTAAATAGATCTACCTTCTGTCATAAAATTATTTTTCTCATTACTTCGAATAGCACTCCGTATATAAGCCTTAACAACATTCGTTGCAGTCCATCTAGGCTCTTTTCTCGCTATTTTTTTTGCAATCATTTCAGCAGATGCAGAAAGAAATTCTTCATCACCATCAACTGGACAACTCGAACCAACCAATATCAAAGCCTTTCGAATCGCAACTTGCCTTTGTTTTTGCTTAATTTTCTTTAAATTTTGAAAAGAAATCATTTAGTTATAAACTTGTTCGTCTTTTAAAATCCAACGTCGTTAGGAATTTAGTCACAAATTATTGTTATAAACGGAGTTATCCGAAAAACTAGAATGAATTTTGGAAATAAAAAAAGCATTCAAGATATTTTCTGAAAATCCATAGAATTTATTTAAATATAAATATATAAAAATTGTAAAAATGGTGTATTTTTAGTTTTTTTCTTCTATTAAAAATAAAAAAGTACTTTTAATGTTCTTGAAAAAGTATATTTATTATCTATTTTAAAGAGATTTAAACTATATATTATTCTAAAAAAATTATTATTTAAACTAAAGCTTGATTTGAAAAATGAAACAGAAAACCAATCAATCCTTAAAGCCAATCTCATAAAAATCACAATCTTAATTTTTTCTTAAAGAATATATTTTACAAAATAAAAAAATGAATAATACTAATTCATTAAAATAATTTTATTTAGTCTAATTCAAACAAATGGGAAAAAACAAAGAAAAGCAAGATCATACTGAAGTAAAGCATACAATGAAAAAAACAAATCCAAAGCTAGATAACATAGAAAAAGGAAACAGCGTAATACCATCTCATCACAAAGAAAAGAAAACAAACTCCAAAGGAAATAAAAAGATATATAATTTTGATTCCGATAAAGATGATAAATATGACATTGATTTAGAATCATTTCAAGACATAAACAATCATTTGGAATATTTAGAGTATCAAAAAAAAAATCAAACACTAAAATATAATACACTTGATTTATTCAGTGATGAGTTTAATAAAAAAGATGAAAAAAACAACACAAATGTTTCAAAATTAATATCTCAAAAAAATACAAATTCAACAGGTATGTAAAATAAAAATATGTCTGAAAATTTTAAAAATATTCAGTAGAAAATTCTATAGCTCAAAATGAACAATCAGAACAAAAAGTGACCATAAAAGAAAAAAAAAATAAAGAATCAAATGAGAAAAAAAAAAAAAAAGAAAAGTATTATCAACTAAATTATAAAATATATATTCCTTACATTTTTTAGTAAATTAGAAGCCAAAGAAAAAATCATCAAAGCAAGAATAATAGAAAATAAATTGAATGAAGAAAATAACGAGATTCTCCCAATTTATTCATATGCATCAGGGTCTTTAACAAATAAGGAAAACACTCATATAAGAGAAGCAATAGCAGTTACAGGAAATTTAGTATCTCCATTAAATTCAAAAAATTTTCAGGTTGATAAAGTGACAATACAAGCATATGGAAAATTACTTATAAAAGAAAGCGAAATAAATTTAATCAATGGTAGAAGATATGGATTAATTGCACCTAATGGCGTATGGAAACTAGCTAAAATACATGTATTAATGTTCTTCTAGAGTGGAAAATCTACACTTATGCATGCAATTGCATCTAATCTTATTCCAAGACCACAAACTCTTGATGTTTACTTACTAGATAGAGAATATACACCTACGGAAATGACATCAATAGACGCTTTACTAGATATTAATAAGCATGAAACTAGGTGTTTAGAAGAAGAGTTAATAGAGCTTTTAGATGATCCTGATAAAAATTCTATAAGAATAAACTCTATTGAACAAAGAATGGCTGAATTAGAAATAGGAATGTGTGAGCATAAAGCTAGAAATATTTTAGAAGGGCTTGGATTTAATAAAGAAATGATGCAACAAAAAACTTGCAATTTAAGTGGTGGATGGAGAATGAGAATATCTTTAGCACGGATATTATTCGTTAAACCAACTTTGATTTTGCTTGATGAACCAACTAATCATCTTGATTTTGAAGCTATTGCATGGTTAGAAGACTACCTTGTCCATGAATTAGATGGTCATACTCTCCTAATAACATCACATTCCCAAGATACATTAAATGAAATTTGTACAGATATAATACACCTTTATAACGGCCGTCTAGACTATTATTCAGGAAACTATGATACATTCAAAAAAATAAGAAAAGAAAAAGATATACAAATTATGAAAAAAACAAAAACAAAGGAAAATAAGATGGAAGTTTTACAAAAAAAATTAAATATGACAGGAAGTAAACAACAACAACAAGCAAAAAGCAAGCTTGTTGCACTAGAAAAAAAAATAGAGAAAGACAAAGAAAAAAATAAAATATTAAATGAAGATATTATCAAAGAAAAAGAATTAATTCTCAAATTTGAAAATTGTAATGGAGGAATACCATCACCTGCTATAAAATTTAGAGATGTTTCATTCGGGTTTCCAGATAAACCTCTTCTTTTTAGAGATCTTAATTTTGGAATTAACCTTAACTCTAAAATTGCTTTAGTCGGTCCCAATGGTGCAGGAAAAACGACATTGATTCGCCTTTTAATGGGAAATCTTCAAGCTATATCAGGTGATATAACCCGTCATCACCATTTACGTATTGCTCATTTTCATCAACATATGAACGATCAACTAAATTTAGACATTTCAGCAGTACAATGGTTACATGAAATATCACCAGAACGTTCAGAAAGTGCTATGAGAGGTTTTTTAGGGAAATATGGGCTTACGGGGAAAAGCCAGGTTGTACCTATGAAACAGTTAAGTGACGGGCAACGAAGAAGAGTTTTATTTGCATTTTTAGGATTAAAGAATCCTCATATAATAATGTTTGATGAACCTACAAATGCGTAAGTTCTTAATAAGTTCAAAAAAGTCAATGTAAATAAAATTAGACTAGATATTAATACGATAGATGCTCTCTGTATGGCTATCAATAATTTCGATGGAGGTGCTGTTATAATTTCACACGTGAGTATAATTACTTTTTTACTTCTGATTATAATGAATTTAGGATTTTATGTTAATTAATAAAGTAGCCACTGAAATATGGGTCATAGAAAATGGTAAAATTCATGTATGGGATGGAAGTATAAAAGAGTATAAAGAGAAACTAAAAAAGAAATTCCAAGAAAAAAGAGAAAAAGAAACCAAACCATTTATTTTGAAAAACTAAAATATCCTAAATACTCTAAAAATATTTCTTTCTCTAAAACATTTATAATTTATCTTTAATTTATACACCATAATTATATAATCCTATTTTAATGTACAAAACCTTTTTCTATATTAAGCCTAATAGCCTATAGAGCATTGGAGTCTTAATCTCATAAATAGCTAAAAATAATCACTAATAAAAATAATCAATATTAATATTATATAATATTTATTTAATCGTTCATTAACATTTTATAATATAAAATTAAAAAAATATTATAAAAATAACAATAAATAATTTCAGTAAACAAAATACTTATTCCTTTTTTAAAATATCTAATATACTACAAATTATAAAATATAAATATTATATAAAATATTAAACTAAAGGCTTCCTGCAAACCCACATCTGCATAGGACTAAATATTTGTTGCTTTCCAGCATCTACAAGAGCATCCGCAGCAAGCAACAAAACATCGTTAACTTTTTTACAACCTTTTGGTGCAACGCCAATAAACTCCATAAGATTTAAGAAAAACCCAATAAACCACCTCCCAAGCCACGTCATACGCGCAATAGAAAACAAATCCCAAAGAGATCTAACTTTCCTGAAATCAGTATCGAGAAGATAATACCATGGAATTTCATTATTTTTTGTAGAAAGCTCTTCTGAATGAATAATTTCAAACCCCACCTTCCTTAAAGCAGCTTCGGACTCACTAACTTTAAACATTTTAGGAATAGAATCACCAATCTCAATCCCATAGACAATTTTCCGATGTTCGGGGTTAGTTTCGTCATATTTATCAAGCAAAACCCATTCATAAAGAGCAAAAATACCGCCAGGCTTAAGAACTCGGAAAGCTTCACCATAAACTCCTTCTAAAGAAGGTGCATGAACAGTAGCCTCAATAGAATATACTTTATCAAAATAATTATCAGAAAAAGGCATCTGCATAAAGTCCCCTTTAACAAAACTTAATTTATCAGACAACCCCTTTTTCTGTGCATAAAACTGTGCACGCTCAATTTGATACTAGTAGAAAATATTAGCTATAGACATAAAACTTTTTTCTAAAAAATACATCGTTATTGTTTATCCCTACAATATTTGCACCCGTGAAAACAGATATCTCAAGCGCTGGACCACCTACTCCAGATCCAATATCTAAAACCGTTTCGCCTTCACGTATTCCAGCATGAGAAGCAAGATAATGTTCATGTCGCGCAATAGCTTTAGAAAACGACTCGCCTCTTGAAAACCGGCAAAAATGAAAGGACGGAGACCATCCATACTCATATAAATCCGTCACCTAAAACATTTATAAATACAAAATAAAAAAATAAAATCTTATACAAGATTATAATAATGACGAGTAAGCGTAGCATAACCCTTAAAACGATTCTTTACAAAATATTAGAATAGAAATAAAAAAAACAACTAACTTGTTGATGAACACCATCCTTCTTATCAAGATACTTGTCGCCCCAAAATCCAAAATACGAATCAAATGCAACTTTTTGAGCATCTCTATTCTTGTTGAATAAAGCACAGATCCCATGTTTGCTTTTAGCATCCGACCCGTGCATAGCCTTTGAAAACTCATAATCTTTTTCTATATCTAACGGCTCAAGTTCAAAAGTCATTTTTACAAAATATCAACTAAAATCATTAGAAATGTGAAAAACAGAGAAAAAAAAAATTATGCAAAAAACCTAAAATATACGAAATCCCTTATGCCAAAATCTTCTTTATATAAAATCTTTATATAAAAATTTAAAACACTTCTATAAGATAAATTTAAAAATATAAATTTAATCTTCGGGACAAATATCTAAGAAAATAAAGAAAATAACCTTTACGTAAAATTATATTGTATATAATATATAATATAATATACAAAAAATACATAGAGTATTTTTTAATTTTAATATTCATAAATATATTTGTTAACAATTTAAAAAGATAATTTTTAAAAACTAAATACAAATACAGAAACATTAGATAAATCATTTATTAATAAATATTTTTTTAAACCCTAATTAACTTTTTTTTGAAATTTTCACTTAAATCTAGGTCAAAAAATATTTTATATAATATAAAAATATCTACAGTTAATCTAAATATTCTTTCTTTTAATATATTTTGGTACATTTTTCATCATACTTATTACAAAAAGATATTCAAAAACTACACGCTTCAGCTACGTAAAAACATAAAAGAAAGATATTTTCAAAAAGCAATTAATACAAATTAAAAGAAACCCATATAATGAAAATAGAATTTATGTATTTCCCCAATAAAAACAAATAGAAAAGCGTTTTTTTATAAAAAAAAACATATATGTACTCAGTCATATACAATAATTTAATAATCAATGAATATATTTAGACTAATTTTCGTAGATTTGGATATACTTATAGAACCACTCTAATTTTTTTATAGCTTCTAAAACTTTAATTAATATATATATAGCTACATATAAATTAAATAAATACTTTCAAAAATGCATTTATGAAGTCATTTTATTTATTTTTTAAATATTAAAACTTTTCACATTTTTAAACCAATATATTATATTGAATGGCCGAAGTACTTAAAAATCTCCTTAAGTCTACGTAAAATTATTTATTAAGACAAACAAAAAAAAGTTGGAAAAAAGCTACCAAAACCAACTAAAAAGTATTACATACAATATAAAATAAGAAAAGGAGAAATTTAAGAAAATATTTGCGTTTTTTGAACGTTAAAATTTGAGCTAGCGATAGCAAAATTCATATTTTTTTCTTTTAAAATAAAATCAGAATTTATATATAAAAATTATATAAAAATATATCAAACTGGTGCCTTCAGGAGCCTATTCAGAAGGATTATCTAAGTAAGTATTTTTTTCCAAAAAAATCAAAAATAGTACAAAATCCAGTTTACATTTGTCGTGAAAAAAAATTGTCATAAAGTCAAATGAACTATCTTTTAAGAACTCATAAATATTCAAATATACAACACCCAAAAAATATACCTTTTTTAGTCTATAGCTAACATAATATTCTCTAGACGTGTTACGATGCAGACCATCAAATGTGTCGTTGTTGGTGATGGCGCAGTTGGTAAAACATGTCTGTTAATATCTTATACAACAAACAAGTTCCCTTCAGAATATGTTCCTACTGTAATAATTCCTTTTTTATATATTTCTAGAGTCTTATTATATTTAGGTATTTGATAATTATGCAGGTCAGAATTGCTTTTTTATTTTTTTTTATACCATTCCTTCTACTTACATCCTACAGTCACAGTAATGATAGGAGAAGAACCTTACACATTGGGTCTTTTTGATACAGCTGGACAAGAAGATTATGATCGATTACGCCCCCTATCATATCCACAAACAGATGTTTTTCTTATCTGCTTCTCTGTTACTAGCCCAGCAAGCTTTGAAAACGTTAAGGAAAAATGGCTCCCAGAAGTTCGCCATCATTGTCCTGGAACTCCTTGTCTCATTGTTGGCACACAAATCGATTTACGAGATGATCCTGTAGTTTTAGAAAAATTAAAGCGACAAAATCATTCTCCCATTACAACAGAACAAGGGGAAAGAGTATCACGAGAGCTGGGTGTAGCGAAATATGTAGAGGTCTGAATCCATTGTTCTATTATTTTTTTAATATAATTTTCAGTGCTCAGCATTAACTCAAAAAGGCTTAAAAAATGTTTTTGATGAAGCCATTGTTTGTGCACTTGAGCCCCCTGTAACAAAAAAGAAAACAAAATGCCTTATTTTATAAATTATGACTTATGTCAATACATTATCTTACATCGAAACAAATAATTCTAGCTTTTTATGAAAAAAGCACATTTTTGTTTTATACATAACATCTAGTAAGCAATTTATCTAATTTTTTTATTTCATTTTCATTTGTCTTTAATAAATTATACCAAGAAATTATTTAAATATTTATCCAAACGTTCTCTATAAGGACTATTCTCATCTACATATTTTTTTAAAACAAATGTATTCTATATGTATTTATTCAAGAAAGTATCATAAAAACTGAGTAAATAATATATTTTTTATTTTAAAATGTCATCCAACGTATACTTCGGTCTCTAATTTTTTTAGACATTTTCTACAAAAAATTACTATTTTATTACAAGAAAATACATTGAAAAATACTCCGTATTCTAATTCTTATTGGCAAAATAATATTCTTTTCTGCTTCTCAAAAACACTAATGTTTAAAACAGAATATGACGATTTTCTAAGAAAAGTCTACAAATATATATAAAATATTATGCCACGGCCAGTTCGACACACAAAAAGCTCTGTTCTACTTGAATATGGACCGTCTTTTTCTTCTGGACCTCAAGCATCCTCTACACCAACCCAAGATCCATCAAACATAACATGGACGTCAGATTTATCACCTATTGAAACATCTGAACCAAACAGAGATATAGATATACAAACAAACACATCTCCTGATCCATTTGGGTTCAAAGAAATTCAAGGAATCCATCCAACACTTAAAATCAAACACTTAAAGCCATTACTAAATGAACCAGAAGTAAGTGACGAAACGCCATTTTCAGACTTTTCATCATTATCGAAAAACAAAAGCCCTTTTCAAGAATCATCAAGTGAAGAAGATTCAAGTCCACTACCAAAACAAAGATCTATAAGGGCTAAACCAAAAAATTTAAAATACAAAGAAAACGAAAATGAAAATGACAATTATTATCACAAAAAAAAAAAAAAATACACCAAAAAACATCAAAATGCATCAGAAGTTGTAAACATGGAAGATAAAGTCATAATCCTTGAAAAAGATACAAATGAATTTGATATAAGGAAACATGCTATATCTTCAAAAAGCATTATAGAATACTTTAAAGAAGTTGACAAATTCGAATTAGACGTAGAAGATGTCCCTGCAAACCACACTAGTGATTAAATAATCTGTATGATACCCCTTGTTTACAATTGTTATATCCCACTCTCAATAAAAATAACAACAGAACCTATAAATATCATTTAAATCCAATTATGTTTTTTATTATCATATTTTTAACTAACATCAAAATAAGCTATATGCTACAGAATATTTTTTATACAATAGCTACAAATAAAACTACATCTATATATTACATGTAGTAGCCTTTACAAATAACGAAATTAGTTAGATCCTTATTAATGCCATTTATTCTTTTTCCATCTTATCACTATCTAAACTATCTACTTCAATTTCACTTTCAATACTTCCATCATTACTTATAATTTCATCAGTCATTTCATCATCATCGCCATTCTCAACATAATTCACAGCCTGCAAAACTCGTCTACTCCTTCTTAATGGCGCAACTGTATTTTCTAACTTTTTCTGACTTTTAGAAGTATTTTTCGAAAGGCGTTTCTTAACAGGTTCTATTTTTTTAACCAATTCTATTTTTTCAACAACAGATTTCCGCTAAATCGTTAAAAAACATTATTTCTTGCCTATTACTTACTTTTTTAACCAGTCTAGAAAATTTTGTGAACGAAACAAGCCTTTCCTCAATATCCTTATCAACATAAACTCGTTTAGCAATCTTTAATCTCAGTTAAGAACGAAAGATAATCATATATTACCTCTGAAGCAATTTTTGGATTAGTTAATATCGCGTATAGTTCTGAAGGTAATTTAAGTTTTTTAGGATAAATTTGTATTGTCCATGAATTAGACATAGCCATAATCCTAATTAAAGCTTGAGATAAATCCGACAAAACATAAAGTCTCTAAATATCTATCAATTATAACAAATAAACTTAAATTAACTATACATCACTATTTTCAGGAGATATTAAATCATAAAATTGTTTTATCCTTTGTACTAAATGAAATAATAATGAAAGAGAGTCTGAAGTAGCTAAAAGTTCTAAATAAAAATTTATGTATCTTAAAATATCAAAACAAAAAAACAACAAAAAGTATTTTATACTTTGCAAAATCAATTAAATCATCAACATCAGTAGAAAAATCCGGATGATGAGCAAGAAAATGAATAAATCTTACAATCGAATATTCAAGTGTAAAAGTTTCACGGTTCCCTAAAATAAATTAACATCAGATAATAACAAAAATCAATATAACAGACGAGAAACAGAAACACATGATTTAATCCATCTAACTACCTCTTGTTTAAATTCTTCTTCTGGCTCATGAGCTATAAGAAAAATTGGTATGTAATAACGTGCAGTTAATTTATCTAAATTTAAATATTTCATTAATTTTTTGACAAAATTATAACGAACTTGAAAACATGGATCCTTTTTCAAATTAAACAATAATACAAAAACTTTAATCATATTTAACCTGAACTAACAATGCCATTTTATAAAAATCTTCAACAGAAATAATCTCTTCAAAGACACTAAGACTAGACAACTTTAAAAGCAACCGTCCTGCAACTAGACGTATATGTGATTGAAATCGCAGCCTAAAAATGACTTAGTTTATATCATTACAAAACGAAAATTTTACGGAGTGTTTCTTTCTTTTGAAATTTCCCCCATATTTGTCATAATTGATGCAAGAAGTCGAAACACAGGCTTTGCCAATTGTTGAACACCATCAGCGTTCATATTTGCCCTTAGCCTATTCACAAGAATCTTAAGTGCTAATATCTGAACTTATAAATATCTTAATCAAATTTCAAGATCTTTTACCTTTGCTTTGCATTCATCCTCAAGAACATTATCATCAACCCAGTCTTCATCATTTGACTCCTCAGAAATAAGATTAACAAGTAATACTTCTTTAATTAAAAAACTTGTATATTGATCAGCTTTCAATTCCATTTCATCAGGAGCATAAAGCACAAGCTGTGATAAAGCAGATAACTTAGTCAAAAAATACAAAGAAGAAACACAAAGATCATTAAATACTTCCTAAAGCATATAAGAACAACAAATTAAAAAATTTAAGGAAAACATACTTCAATTAAATCATGAAGAACCTTTTCTTTATTAATTGAATGCAATAAAATACAAACAGCTTGTTTTGATTCCGAAGGACTCCCTCTTAAGGCAAAAGAAGTAACTGCTTCTAATAATCTTGGATCTGTAGATATATCTTGAGGAAATGAAGAAATAAACTGAGCATAAACTTTTAAAGTGTCAGTACAAGATATATTTGATTCAATATTATGTTCTTTAATCAAAAACGAAATTTCTGTTACGTGTGCTTTATATACAGAAGGCTGTATTAAAGATATTTCCTTGAAAAAATCAAAATCAAATTATTATCACCTTAATTCATTCACCTTTAAGAGCTCACGTGCAGTATCTGCCAACATATTTTTATTAAATCTAGTATACTCGATAATCGGTGATATTACACTTTTGTTATATAACATAGGACTTATTTTAAAAACAAAAAATTTAAATGTTCCTACTAAAGCAGAAGAAACCTGTTCTATTCGCTTTAAAAATTCTTTCTATTTTAAAATTAAAATCCAATTATAATCAATGACTTAAAAACATACCTGAGATTTTAAAATTTGTTTATAATCATTTGACAAATTCATACAATCTTTAAGTAACTTATATAAACGCCTATCATTTAACCTAGAAAATTTCTCAAAATCCAACTCCGCCTTTACAGGATCACCATATAACGATTTAAGGCGAGTAATAGCATCATTCAAAGAGGAAAGAATTCTCTTTTCATTATCAGAAATTACACCACCCTATAATTTCTTTAATAACAACAATAAAACAAATCTCTTACATTATATTTTTCGCAAATACCGAGATAATACTCTGCTATCTTGACATATCTTTAATATCATTAATTATCAATATAAATAAGTATTATATTATACTTAGACTGATTTCTTCCTAAAGATAAAAATGCTTGCTTAGCCCGACTATCCAAATTCTTATACATAACTAACATTCGTTGCGTTCTTTTGGTATCATCTATTTCCATATAATCAAGAATATATTCATATAAAACAGATTCTAACAATATATTAATTTCCTTATCATTTATGTATATAGTATGCAGTATTCTAGAAGGAATTAACGAAAACCATTCTGTTGTAGCGTTTAAATTTTCTAAACTAAGGAAAATCAATGATCTATTAAATTTTAAAACAAGTATAACATACATATCATTATAAGCCATATTATATAATTTCCCAAGACAATGCATTGCCTCAATCCGGACTACTTGCTTCCTATCTTTAGATCGGTCTGACAAAACATCTAAAACATTGCTTGGAATTTTTTCACGAACTGTACAATAATCCAAAGAACCTAACATTTTACAAACAGTCATCCGTACTTTTTCATCAACATCTACATATTTTGCCAAAATGCCCTCTAAATATTAAGTGAAAAGACAAAACAAAATTAAAGAGGTATATACCTACTACAGTGGCCATTACTTCAGTAGAATAACTAAAATTTACCAAAACATTAAATAAACCCTCTAACCATTTTATTCGTATGACAGGACTTTTATCATTTCCACGAGACAACCAGCTTTTCCATAGAGAGGGGTATTCTTTAGTAAAATCAATCTTTTGTTCTTTGACAGACAGCATTTCAGAAATAGTTGATGTGCTTAAAAGTCGAAACGTTACATTTTCCGCCATGAGCTCTTGCTCCAACTGAGGCATAACGTTTTCAAGAATAGGTGGTGAAGCCACATAAAGTTCATAAACCAAGCGATGTGCCTTTTCTACATCCTGCAACATTACTTCATCCAATTCAACCTGAAAATTCTCATCAATCGAACGATTGGCCTCAAAAACAATATCTGTAAAGTATTGGCATACATATCTTTGCAAACGTTCAGCACATATATTACAAAGCTGTTTAGCCATTATATATGCTGGTGGCCGTTCAATTTTTAATGTAAATGGATGACTCGTTTTTGAACCAAGACCAGTAAATTGGGAAAATATCATATCTATAACCTTTGAAGGAAGCATTGCAGATTCGTCAATCAACTGTGCCAAAATATCAACCATAGAAATTATAACATTACGTGGTTGTTCTGGACTAAAACAGGTCAAACCAAAACCATTTTCAAATAGAAACCCATTTCATACGTCGCTATTTCAAAAAATACACGAAATAATTCAATTGTTAATACATGCCCATTAGAAAGGTCCGCCATTAACACTATTGACTTAACTTGAGACAAACTCTCAAGAAGATAAAATGCTTGTGCATAATAAGGCATTTCAGGACCAGTAAGTCCCTTCAACTGACTAACAAATAATTCAAAAATGCTCTAAAATAGCTTATCAACACTAAATTCCACTAATATACACATACATTTAACTGCGACGGCGTATACGGAGCATCTGGTGCACAAAGCCGAAGAATATCAGCCAAACAGCATGCCGTATATGCACGGACACCTTTATCCTTGTGATTTATAAGCGTTTCATTCACTAACTCAGCAATCACTGCATCTAAAGACGAGCGCTCCACTTGCTCCTGGTCATGATCAGCAAGTTCTGCTTGAAGTACCTATACAAAGCTATAAACCACACAAAAGACATATATAACTTACTCGTAAGCGTCTAAGCACTTCACCAACGCTCAAACGAGCTGTTCCTTTCTGAACGAGTGCTTCATTAAAGCGGAGACATACCATCTCGTCGAACGTCGTTGAATAGCGAGTAAAACTACAAAAAAATACAATTGAAATATAAAAAGAATACAAAGCACAAAAAAGCAAAAAACAAGAAAGAAAAAAGGGTATAAAAATAGATTTCGTATAAATTTTCATATATATTTAGGTAGATCAGAAATCATAGATAGTTCCAGTGCAACGATAGATATAGGGTGGTATTTGATAATATTAGAAAAAATATGCTTCAAATCAAGCGGAAACACAATGAAGAACCAATTCCTTTGCTTTGTAAATAAATGCGGCTTAACTATGAACTAATAGAATACAGTTATGGCGGAATCATCAGACCCTTCTGGTAGCATAAGCCCTTTTAAACGTAAAAAAAAGGAAAACGACTATGGTAAAATAACAAACAATAGCGTGCTATAATTTACAAAACAAAGTGTTTATACTTTCTGAAACAGTACAAAATGAATCCATAAAAGAATATTTACAAAAACAAGAAGGAAAACAAATAACAAAAGCAAAAAAGCAATCAGAATGGCCTCCTGTATATACACTAGAAAAGTTCAAACATGTTTATTGTTTTCTGAATTCTAACTTCTTTAAATAGAATACTTAGCAATGAACTTAAAAATCCAACAAACTGTTACGAAATATCACCGAATAAAAACAGAAAATCTCTCGAATGTACTAATTATTTTTTTTCTTATATTATTTCTTATATGTTTTAGCTGATCAACCATCTCCAATGAATAATTATGTATATGATATGTATGTTCCTTTAGTTTATACACCTGATGAACCTCTACCTACTTCACAATATGGAGTTTTGTAAGTTGATGAATTATTTATAAATACTATTGACATCTTAATGTCAAGAATGGTTAAAGAAAACGAAAATATTTCTTTTTTTGAAGATACCTTAAATTCTTCTGAAGAAGATGAAAACTCTGAAGAAGACGAAGATTCTAACGCAGAAGATTTTTATCGAAATACATATCCAGATGAAGATACATGGCCAACTAGCGATACTGAAGAATACGAATCAAAAAGTTCTTTATATTAACCTCAAATTTCTAAAGAGATTACAGATTTTACAGTTTTATCATATTTAGTAATAATTAATATACAACATTACATTTTCAATCAAGATTTAATAAAAGATATCAAAAGATATTTATATATACCTCTATGATTTCAGACCTTTCAAAATGTTTCAACAAAGCTATTTCATGAAAATTTAAATAAATATACAAATTCTCAATTTTTCTAGATTTCACATATTTTAAAGAATTTTGAATTCAAATTCAATTAAAAATATCATAGCTATTTTTTGTATATCTAATAATACTTTATAAATTAGTCGTACTAATAATATTATTAAGAAAGGCAACAAAAAAAGGATTATTCAAAATCTCAATTAAGATAAAAAAACATTTTTAAGACGTATATTTAGCATAAAAAAGTTATATATTATAAAAATCTTATTATCCAAAGACGAAAAATATCGATTCATAATATATTTACATTTTTTTTAAAATATAATACAAAATCAAATATTATTATATTTTAAAAAATAGCACTCTTTAAAAATATTAAAATATATTCTTGCACAAATACAAAACAAAAATAACTTATTTCGATTTACAATTGAAATCATACAATATATATATATATATATATATAAAGCATTGGAAAACCTACAGATTATAACTTAAGCTTCATAAATACTAAGTTACAAAAAAAGGGAACGTTTAGCACGCTTATTTTTCATCATAATAAGTTCATTAACAACAAATACTTAAACGAATTCTCAGCATAATTATTCAGATAAAACAATAACATTAAATACAAATAGTGTTAAGAAAAACATAAAATACAGCTATGCACATATCCAGGAACATTATGGAGAATAAAATACTATACATACTTCTAGAAGCGTTATAGAAAATACAATATTAAAAATATCTTGCCTATATCAACCGAAAACCTTTCAACAGAATCATTTATAAGGTAAAACAGCATGCTATGTTTAGAAAAACACAAATCATCAGTGAATAATACAAAGCTTATAAAAAAAAATTTAAGTATTAAACTTAAATATATTTGGGAGTTAACTAGTTATTGGTTAAATTCATTAAAGAATAGTAGATTTATTGGAGAACCATATTGTAGACAATTGTTTTATACAAAAAAAAAGAAGAAAAACTACTGTTCATATTTACATAACTGACCTATCTATTTTTTCACTCCGATTTATAGTTTTTTCCTTTCACTTTTTCGTTTATTAGCGATCAAATATCAACGTCAGGGACGTTGTGCAATAATCTAATAGAAAACCAAAATACAAAAAAAGTGTAAAAAACAAAAATCCAATAAAAAACGTACAAAAAATGCCAGAATTACTGGATAAAATTGTAGTTAAACCAAAAAGAACAATAGAAAACCGCAAAAAAGAACAGGAACAAAGTTCACGAGAAAAACGGAGAAGTATATCAAAAGAAAGACATTTTGAACGTGGATCATTAGAAGATTATATATATCATGATTCCCAAAAAGGGGATTTAACATCGGATGAATATGAGATGCTAAACTGGAGAAAAAAGCGGCAAGCAGAGCGATCAAGGTCAAATTTACAAGCAAAACGTTTTTTTTCTTTAAAAATAATAAGTATAGGCAAGAGAAAAGCACTGGAGAGAAAAGAAAAAGTGTAAAATTAAATGTTGGAGTTGATCATAGCCCAACATCAACATGTCCTACATTTTTATCCATCAAACCATCATCCAGGTCATCTCGTACACAAAAACCTCTTTTTAAATCTCTCCGTTTCTTCTCCAGTGCTGGAAGGATTTCGCAATCATCTATTCGATCAACAAGTAATTTGGAACAAAAGCTATCACGGCGAAAAGACGTATGTAAACAGAAAAACAAAGAAACATTACGTTTTTCTTCTCAACAAAAGCCAACATTATTAACCCTTTCATCATCCAAAATACCCATTGAAAAACGGAAAGTTGGACGCCCAAAAAAGATTAAGATTAGGTAATTATTTAAACAATATAGGAACTTTTTAACAATTAATTTAATCAGTCCTATTAAAAACTATATGAAAAAAACAAAATTCGACATGAACACTCCCAATTTATATACAGGAAAAGCTACAAACATACACATTCAACAGCAACTATCATCACAAGAAGACCCTACAAAAGTAAGGAATCAAAGTAATGTAATTTTTATTAATTTATAGTACAATGAGGATTTTTGTTCTGCGTGTAAAAGACACGGACGGTTTCTTTGTTGCGAATCATGTCCTAGATCATTTCATTTCTCATGTATCGAACCGCCTATTGATGAAAACTGTCTTCCAGAAGATTCATGGCATTGTACACTCTGTAGAACAAAACGTGTATGTTTTAATCTACTAGTTTAATTATCTATTAATTTTCTTTAGTTTCCACCACCCAAACAGCCTCGAGGAATCTTCGCCTTTTTAATGGAATATATCATAAGAAACAATCCTAAAGAATTCAGCCTTCCTCTTAATATTCGAGAATATTTTGAAGGAGGTTTGTTTCTCCATAAATATCTCTTAAATTAACTTATTGATAGTATCAACTGGGCCTAATGGTGAATATCAGGACATAATGGAGCATAAAAATCAAAAATTCGGGTAAGCATACACAGTTTTTTTTAAATTTATTCAAAATATTATAAGTCGTCAAAAACTCATGGAAGAAAGAGACCCGTTTCAGCTGGAAGATAAAAATGGGAACCCTATACTTTGTTACAAATGTTCCCAAAATGCAATGAATGGAAAAGCTATTGTTTCTTGTGATTATTGTTCTCTTCATTGGCACATTGATTGTATTGATCCACCTATGAGTAGTATACCATCTGCATCACGAAAATGGATGTGTCCAAATCATGCATACCATGTAACTGTAAGCATTACATTTTATCATTACATGCTTAATTTTTTATGCAGCCTAAAATACGACAACCTAAAAAATCAAGAATCTTAGATGTATGTTTAAAAAGAGGCTTTAAAAACAATGGGAACATAGAAATTGATAACACAGAAGAAGAAGAAGAAGAACAAAAGAAGCGAAAAAAAATATCATTCGATGATTCGTATATTATAAATAATATACGATACCGATTACCTGAAAGTGGAGTTAAACTAGATTTCTTGGATAAAGTTAGAACGTATTTATGAATTTGTTCTTTTTTTAAGCATATTTATCTAAATTTAGATTACGTAAATCTCAATCAACTCAAAAATCTCAACTGACTCAAAATTCTTTAAATAACAACAAAACTCAATCAAATTCGTTAGAAGTATTTTTTCATAACATACAAAAAACAGCTAATAAGAACAAGGACATACTACCGGATACATTAGGCCCATTAGAACGGGAAATTATTAAAGACTTCGTACAACTTGGACTAGTTGAAGTAACTCCACAGGACCATAAAAATCTTACATCGTTAATTACAATTGCTCAAGTAAAAAATTATATATCTTTTCCTTAAAACTAACAAAAACAGACAGAACTTGAAGCTTATGAAAATTTTGGAAAAAACGAAAATTCCCAGAAAAACAATGTAACAACAGAACAAATAATTTCTGATGAAGAACATGCACAAGTTCTTACGATAAAAAAATTAATAAAAATTAAAGGATATTCTGCACTAGTAAAATTTCTAACTACATATTAAATATTTAGGTGATTTTATTAATCAGAAAATTTCAAATATTTCTCTAAATTAAATAAATATTTACAATAGAAAAATATAAATAATAATTAAATCCTTACGGTTTACATCTCCCAGTAAACCTTGGATACAAACTGCATTCCTTTACAGTATTTCTATTTGTTATCCATGCCAATATCCTTTCTAAACCAACTCCATACCCACCATGAGGACATGTACCATATTTTCTTAAATCAAGATACCTATATTATCAATTAAAAAATAACAAGATATAACAAAACGAACCAATAATATGGTGAAGGGTCAATATTTTCTCTTTTAAATGCTTCTATTAACTCATCAAAATCAAAAATTCTCATACTACCACCAACCACTTCCCCAACGCCAGGCTAAACTGTTAGTATAAACATAAAAATAAAACAACATACAAACAACAAATCAACACTTTCTGTAAAGTCAGTATTCCCAGAGATACGTTTCATATAAAATGATTTCAAAGTAGCAGGAAATTCTATTAAAAAAATAGGTTGTTGAATTTGATCAACTATTTTCCTCTCTGCAAATTCAGTAATATCTTCGCCAAATATATAATGTTCGCCATTAGAATTCAAAATATCATGTTCATTGCAATATTTAATAGCATCAACATATTTCATTCGCAAAAAAGGTCTTTGCGGCTTTTTAAAATTAGGATTTAAATTCTCTATCAAAGGAGATGCAATGAAATCCTCCAAAAGCAAATCCAAGGAAAGACATATCTACCATATATTATTTAAAATCAAAAAAAAAAACCTAAAATTAAATTACAAATTCTTCTAAATGATCCAAAAATTCATCAAATGACAAAAATGCTAACTCCGCTTCCATATGTGAAAACTCAGAAAGATGACGCCTAGTATGAGACAACTCTGCCCTAAAACTCTCTTGAATACAATAAACATTTCCCAATGAAGGCAAACATGTTTCTAAATACAACTGACTAGATTGTGTCAAATAAGCCTTTCAATCTTAGCCAAAAACACAAAACTCAAAAAAAACACACCTTCTCACCATAATAATTCAAATCAAAAAGTGTAGCACCACCTTCTACTTGCGTCTGTACTAAACATGGAGGTGTTACTTCCATAAACCCCATTTTTTCATAAACAGCTCTAAATACAGCTAAGAGACGAGCCCGAACCTTCAGAACTGAACTAGATATTTCCCCACGTATTACAAAGTGACGCTGATCATATAAAACTTGCGATTCTGCTTCAACATTAAGTTTATTAGTAAAACAGAGATCTCCTCCAGGAGCTTTTTGAATAATTTCAAAATAAGTAACATGCAACTCATGGTTATCCGGAGCAGTTTTCCCATCAGGTAATACTGTAATTGTCCCATAAAATGTAAGAGTTGTCTCAACTGTAAGAGTTAAAGCATGAGAAGTTCGTGCCTAAAACAATATCACAATTAACTATCAGATAAACATAAATATTTATACCATATTCCCACTTATTACACATTGAAGATACCCAGTCCCATCACGAAGAATAACAAAAATCAAATCTTTTTGATGTCGTAAACGATGAATCCATCCCGAAACCTTAACAAACATTGTTCGAAAATCTTTTGCCTGACGAATCTTAATATTCACAGACTTATCAAGGTCCTTATTTTTATCAAAAACACTATTTCCAACATGATCCCACTGCTCATGTTCTTTTTTATTAGTAGACTCTTGAATTTTCATATGACACAAAGTCTCTTCCAATTTTTGCTGCTTCTTTAAAAAAATAGAATAAGCCTTTTTAGCCTTCTTAAGGCCTGTAGCTGTAATTTCTTTATATTCATCATCTGGTACTTTTCGAATATATATCTTTGCATAATCATTGCCAATTTCAAAAGCTTTTAACACTGTACGAAGCGGATTTTCAATAGAACCACCATCCTTATCGTCTACTCCAGCAGTTTCATCAACATAAAGACACAATGGAGCATCTAATTCCCTTCTTTTAGCAATTTTCCCTTAATATCACTTAACAAACCAAAATCTTGTTTTTCATCCATTTTAAGTGTTTTTTTTTTTGATTTTCAAAAAAAATAAGCAAAATCAGAAAAAGAATAAAAATATATTAAAATTTAAAGCAAATCTAAAGGAAATTATAGAAACTTAATCTTTTAGCTTATTCCGACTTAATTCAACCGCAGACGTTCGGAACCGATTCAACTTCGAAATATAAAAATACAAAATTGCTATCAAAAATAAAAAATAAAGGTATAAATACAAATATGTGAGTTAATTGGAAATTATAAACCAATTTTCATTAGATTAAATAAGAATTTCTTTTTTTTCCTCTGCTAAACAACTTTATAACGAATATTAAAAACCAAAAAACATTTATTTCAACTTTAAAACGATTAAAATTTCTAGCACTATTATTGAGAAAGAATAAACACTTCATATGTAAATACAAAACTGCTTGTTTCTTTTTGGGATTTATTCATACAAAATTTCGAAAAAAACAAGACAAAAAATACAATCTTTTTTCAGAATTTTAAATCTTTTTTCTTTAAACAAAAAACTTTCATACAAAACAGAAAAAATTCTTTGTATCAAGTTGTATTTATATCATTTTTCTTGAGAAAGTAATTTAACATGCACAATGAACATGAAAGCACTGAGTCACAGCATCACGACATAATTGAATACAAAAAAGATACATCCATTAAAACGAATGATCAGAGAGAAGACATTTCTGTAAAGAACATGTCACAAACTACAGCTCAAGATACTAACTACATGCTTAACCAGCAAAACTTCCCTGTAATTCTTCCTTCTCAACATTCAATAACCTCTCCTTTCACACCACACACTACATCTTTTTCGTCACATAACCTCGGAATCAGCGCATATCCAACCAATTCATCTACAACAGCGGGATACACAGAAATTAGTGCACCAGGGCTTATAGACTCACAATTTTCTATTTTTCCTCAATTTTACAGCAACATTTCTCTTCCATCTAATATTCCTAAACTAGGAAGAACTGTATGTTTTTTATATACGGAATACTCTGCATTTTCTAAGCTTTAGTAGGTGTACATTGGAAATATTCCTAGTGAAACAACAGTGAATGAGATTCTATCACAAGTTAAAACCGGACCAATTGAATCAGTTCGACTTCTTCCAGACAAAAATTGTGCATTTATATCATTTCTAGACGCATCTCCTGCAACTTTATTTTACGAAGAAGCAATCATAAAAAAATTAAGCTTTCATGGTAAAGAAGCAAAAATTGGTTGGGGAAAACCGAGCTCTGTGTCTTCAACAGTAATGTTAGCGGTCCAACAATCAGGTGCAACAAGAAATGTTTATCTAGGGAATCTTCCAGAAAACATTACAGAAGAAGAAATAAGAGAAGATTTAAGCAAATTTGGAACAATCGATCAAATTAAAATCATTAAAAATAAAGGAATCGGGTTTGTTCATTTTCTTAACATATCTAATGCAATGAAAGCTGTCCAACAGCTTCCTATGGAGCATAAATGGTCAAATCGTAAAATATCTTACGGAAAAGATCGATGGTATGTATATACTCATATGTTTATTCCTTAACTATTTATAGTGCACAACCTTTCAAACAACAGCACACAGTCTCTCAAGACCCTATTTTATTGAATAATATTAATACAAATCAATTAACATCCCAAATGGCTTCCATGAACTTAATTATTCCTAATTATCCAAGTTATCAGGATTTAGGGCATTCTAGCACTAACTCTCAATCTATAGTTGGAAACAGAACTGTTTATCTAGGAAATATCCATCCGGAAACAACTGTAGAAGAAATTTGTAATGCTGTTAGAGGAGGAATCTTGCATCAAATTAAATACTTTCCTGAAAAACATATTTGCTTTGTCACGTTTGTTAGTCCAGCTTCATCAATATTATTTTACAACATATCCATTATTCATGGTTTAATCATTCATAATCGAAAAATAAAAGTGGGGTTTGGAAAACATTCTGGCCTTTTACCGTCATCTATTGCAATTGCTGTTGCTTCAGGCGCAACTAGAAATATTTATATTGGAAATATTAATGAAAATGTAACCATAGTTAAGCTTAAAAAAGACTTTTCTCAATGGGGAGAAACAGAGTTGGTTAACATACTAAAAGAGAAGAATTGTGCTTTTGTAAATTTCACAAATATAGGGGATGCAATAAGAGCCATTGAAGGCATAAAATCCAAAGAAGATTATAAAAAGTTTAGAATTAACTTCGGCAAAGACAGGTATTTAGAATTCAGAAAAAAAGTTTTTTAATATCTTTAGATGTGGAAATCCTCCAAAACAGATCATTAACCATAATGATAAAATACCATTATCTCAGCCTAAAATTCCACATACAAGCTATAATATGTTTCCTTCACTAGAACCTCAATATACTACAAATATCGTAGAAACAACACATCCAGAGCAGAAGTTTCAAAATGAAATTCCGTATTATACCAATTTTCCTCTAAATGAAAACAATAGCAATATTAATGCACATGAAAAGCCTCTCTCGCCTTTATTATACAACTTGATACCTTATAACGATACTTCAACTAATGACAATAGCCAGCTGACATATGGAATAACATTTAATCACAAAATAAATAAAGCCAAATAGGATTGATTTCCATATTATGAATGAATTATAAGCAATATTTTAAGGATATCTTAGCTTCCTATAAATGGTATCTTTTATGAAAATCAAATATACATTAAATCTCAAAATTATATCAAATATAGAAGCCTGCAACTGTACTAAGCATTCTATTTTGATATATTTACGTCTAGGCAAAACAACAAAAGTTATCAAATTTGGTATATTTTTTAATATTATATGAAAAACAATTTTCACAAATTATCATTATTTTTAAGGCCTTAAAATAAAAATTCCAACAGATTTTTTTTAACATATTAAAACATAATTATATAATATTTTAAACCATAACATTTTAAGAAACATTTATTAATAGTCTAAATCTCATCCAACAAGACATCTCGACAACCCTTATTCAAATCCTCATGAAACGGAAAAAAATCGTATAAATAATAATAATTGACTAAATGACCTTTAATATAGCCAAAGCCATCATTATAGGATTGTTTCGTTGTATTAATAACACCTAATCCATTATTTTTTCCTACCCCTGTACACCAAAAATCCCTACAATTTGACAAAACACCGTTATTAAAAGGATTTTTGACTCTATTTGAAACTAGTGTAAACCTCAATGCAAAAATATTTGCTATTTTTAAAAAATGATAAACACCCAGAAATTTTAATAGTGTCCAAAAAATATTTTTTTTTTTACGAAAATAATGATAATGTGAACATTGATTATTCAAAGTAGTCTCTAACCTACTAGCTACACTTCCATTGCGAAAATTATGTTCCACTTCATTCATAAAACCATACTTATACAAATTTCTTGCCTCATTTGTAGTTATAGATAACGAAATTTGAAAAAATTGAACAGCCAGAAGTAACATAACCCAGACAAACTGTAAAATAACCCATAATGCTAATATAGTTGTAAAAGAATCTAGTAAAAAAGGTTTACAAAGCAGCTCTGACGAAACGAAGCATCCTTTAGGCAATCCAGAAATACTCAAAACACCGTAATCTATATATTAATCAGCGAATATAGATTCGACATAAAAAAAATACGAATGAACAATAAACGAATGAAAAGAACAATCCCTATTTGCAACATCACAATATAAATGATAAATGATTTATGATTCTTTAAACCTATACAATTCCCAGCCCAAGGACAATGACTAAAAAATCAGCCTTTACGATAAACCATCATTACATACTGATCAAAACGCGCTACACATCTTGAACATAATTTACAATGTCTACTTCTTAACGGTCTTCGTAAATAACAAAAAATACAATAATTCTCTATCATAAACAATTTTTCTTTAACCAAATGCTCTATAATTTCCCTTTGTTCTTCAATTCCTTGTGGTTTAGGTATATATCCTGGATTTGAAAACACAGTATAAAAAAAACAAACAATAGAAACAGAAGAAACAATAAAAAGTAAAATATTAAGAAAAAAACCAAGCTCCCAAGTAGCTAAAATTATTAAAATAATTTACGTAAAACATACATACTTGGAAGTAAAACAAATATCCATCGAAGAATAACCCAAGCTAATGTTCCGAAAAATATACCACTAAGATATTTCTATACAACTAAAAAATAAAGCTTAAAACAGCACTTAACTCACTGTTTTATGAATAACAAAAAGAGGATCTGATTCTATTGAAATAATTTTAACAAAAAACTGATGAAAAGCCATCGAAAGTAATAACACCAGAAATATGGATATATATATATATACCGCTGTCAGGATCCATATTAAAAAACCAATAACAAAAAACGGTCCAAAAAATAAAACCATATTAGAACTTTTCTAAAATACTTAGCAACTATTTAATAAAATTAAACCTTACAGAAGTTAATAATCGTCTTCTTAGATTTCCAGAAGCATCTCTTCCAGCCTCATACAATGCCCTTTTCCAAAGCCCATAACAATTCATTTCTTTCGCTATTCTTTCGGGCGTTTTACCATTATATTCTTTTGCAAACACATCTGAGCCAGCTTCAACTAATCTTTTAATACACACTTTATTACCTAAAGCAAAATAAAGTTTCCTAAAAGAAATAGAATTATTCTTTACCTTTTACAATCGCCCAATGAAGAGCAGTCATTCCTTGCTTATCTTGCAATTTAACGTCAGCACCCCAGCGGAGAAGCATATCAACAATTAATTCATCCCCATTATACGCAGCCCATATAAGCGGTGTACGATCATTATCATCTAAACAATCAACTTGAATATTTTGATGAAGAAGATAGAGAACAAGCATCACACTTGAGCAATGAGTTGCCAAATGAAGCGCTGTAAACCCCTGCACATCTGTAAAATGCAAACATGCCCCATGATGAAGCAACATATGAACTGTATACAAATTTCCATTCCTAATATAATTTAACAAGATCTAAATCCAAAAACACATAAAATTCACTTTGCTGCCCAGTGCAAAGGAGTTGCATGAAATTCACCATCCTGTGCATTTACATCCACACCATTCAATACAAGATATCGCACAACATCCACATGATCATTAATCGAAGCCCAGTGAAGTGCTGTTACACCCTGATCATCTAACACATTCGGCATAATTTCCCCTGATTTACACATATGTTCAATCAAATCCAAATTCCCCTGTTTAGATGCCATAAAAAACATATCAAGAGGAGAAATTGCTTTCATCTAGTGAGTGTTCAATCATATTTTTTTATAAAACTACCAACCCTGTTGATTTTCATATTTTCCTCCAATACCCAATGCTTTTTCGTCGCTCAACTTTGCCAAAACAAACTCAGACTTAGGTAATACAATTCCATGTTGTTGAACATCTCTACAATGTAAGCCATCAACTGTTTTCACCATAAAAACAATTTATAAAATATCTGCAATCGACAATCCCGAAAACCTATACATAGCAAAATTAAAATGATTTTAAAAAATAAAAAAAGATTAACCAAAAAAGACCATAAACTTCATTTGAGCTGAAAATATTACACAAGAATATGTCCTCTGCATAAAAACAAGAAATACTGTTATTAGTATACAAATTATAGTATATATATCTTTGAAGAAAAAAAGAATGCAGAAGAAATATAATAAAGAAATAAAAAGATTATCCTAAATGTTTTAACTCCGATATCGCCTTTTATTAGTAGAAAAACAAAATTGACAAAATATCTACAAAAGAACCCAGTATTGCACCTAAATTAAGATATAGAACGAAGCATCCACTCAGTCCAACTAGAAAAACGATCATTTTCGACGCTTCCGCTTAAAACAACAATATTGAGCCCCCGTATATCATTCAATTGAACCTTCCCCTCTGCATTCATCAACCAATCATCATCATCATCTTTCTCATCCATTTCAGCAATACTTTTTGAACGAGAAAATGAAATTTCTTCAAGATTTTCCTCAAGAATAGATGATATCTTTGATGCTGATAAAGATGTAAATAAATCATCTTTATTTGCAGCAATCAAAAGTGATCTAATTTTCTTAACACGCAGATCTTTTAAAAGTAAATAAAGCTGTTGAGCAACATGGTGTGCATTCTTTATAATTATTGAAGAATCAACCATAAAAATAACAGATTGAAGATGATCAGTTTCACGAAACATATGATAAAATTTAGAATGACCAGGAAAATCAATCAAAATTACTTTTTTTCCAGGAAAAAAGCAAGATACAGATTCATTGGGACAAATCGACATATAAGACTTTTGTTTAGAGCCATAACATAACTATATAAATTGTTCTAGTACAAAGAATTAAGTTAAAAAATATCACATACTTTTGTAAAAAAAGCAGTTTTTCCAGAACCTTGAACACCCAAAATTCCAATCTTTTTCAAAATTCTATGTTTCCAATAAAATGAAACAAAAAAAATAGACAAAATCAAACAAAACCCTGTTGAAAATAGACTTAACAAGAATACTTGCATTGCTTGTCTGAATCCAAGTATATCACGTAAATCGAAACAGAAGTAAAAACAGGAAAAAAAATAAGAAATAAAATACAAAAGATGCATTCTTTTTTTATACTAACAGTAATGTTACACTTAAACAACATGAAGGGTATCATGAAGAACTCATCCGTAGTCTTTCTTCTACTCGAATACGATGACTACGGTTCTTCAAATGAATTTCAAAATTTTCAACAGTTAAAGCAGGCCCAGGAATGTATAATTTTCCAGGACAATCATTGCAACGAATACGTACAATCGTCTCAGTGGTACTATTTCCCTGTCGGACAAAGCCTTCAAAACGATCATGAGGATAACGTTGACGAAGTGCATCTAACGCAACAGCAAGCCATGAAGGAAGCTAAAAATGTTAAACAACAACAAAATAAAGAAAAATTACAGGAAGAGACGGAGAAACCAAGCCGCTAGGTGGGGATGAATGGGATTTTATGTCAGAGATAGTTGCCAAAAATTCCTTTAAACGAGGTATCTTAAATTTTAAAATATAACGAGAGGCTGAAGGACTCATTGAAGGCGAAAATGCGTAATGTTGAACTGGTGTTTTCATTCGTATATCACGAGGTGGTAGTGGTGGTGTTCGTTGTCTCTCATTCAACATTTTTTCCAAGTCATCATCATCATTCAAACCAGGAATTGGCACTTTATTAATTCCATATTGATCAATATGAAAATTTTCTGGAACCAAAATACTATGCGTAATTGGCGTACGTTGAGTCTTAAGCCGTTCATTAAACTCTGGAAGCTGTATACCTCGACGGGCACGAATCTGACGTCTCTTACGACGTGCATCTCTCTCATTTTCTTTATTCTGTTTCTCTACTTCGGATTCCGAAAGCTCATACAAAACAGGCGAATATTCATTCAATGCCTCTGCGGGACGCAATATAGATGAAACTGTAGGAAGTATTGCTGTCTTAATATCTTCATCCTCAATAGGCCCACCATCAAAAGGATATCCAACAAGAAACAACGATTTCGTATACATTTGTGCTTGCTCTCGAATCGAATGAGCAATTGCCGTTCTAAAAACATTCAGCATACAACTCAACATACAATTTCAATGCCGTACTTAAATTCACCAATTAAAGCAAGTTCATGACACATTCTTTCGGCAAAAACCTCCGGATCATTATATGGATTATTAATATCCCATTCAAACGTATCTACTAAATTGTATTGAGCAATAATAATATCTAACTTTACAACTATTCATCTCTGTAACAAGATAACAAAAAAGAAGCACACCTTAACTTGAATCCGCATATCATCATCTTTATACGCTGTATAAGGCTGTTCTGATGCCAAAAATGTACTCGAAAGTTCCGAATTATGCACAGAATCGTCTAAAATATGATGGTGATGATATTCACTCAATTGATCTGTAATACATTTCGCAATAGAAGTAGCAAAATATGGTTGAGGTGGCAAACTAAAGTCCTCACACAAAACCTCCGCAAATTGCTCTGGAGAAATAGACACTTCATGAAGATTCCATGTAAAAGTATCCCGCAAACGATGCCGATCTGAATCAACCTCAATACGTACAGGAACTAATAACTCTGGACGCTGAGACTGAATCAACATAATTTCCTTGGGACTGAACATTTAAAAATCAAAAAAAAAAGCACAGAAGCTTACATCCTAAACCGATTCACCCTACTTTTCATATTTCTATGTTCGTGAGGGTATAACATACGAGGTTTCAGTCCTGTCCATCCATTTCCATATCCTGCATATCCTGTACCAAAAACCTGTATTGATCCCTCAATACCTGATGATCGAAGCTTCATAATCCTGCTAAGACGTAGCAACTCTCCTTTTTTCTGACGAATCAGCTCTAACTGGCGTTCTTGTTGTTCCTGTAATATTTGCTGATAAGCTTCATCCCTTTGCTCAACTCCACTCAAAACTTGACATTCAGTCTGAGAAAAATCTGCTGCCATTTCAGATCATTTCCATTAGGATCTTCTGGTTATTCTAGGCATACTAAAGCAGCTCAATTGCCTGTAATATTTTTATGTCGTCGATGAGCAAAGTCTGCCTTAAAATTTTCGAAGCACAGCGATAACTACACAATTTTAATAAGAATTAAAAGGTATCTAAAAATCAAAGAATAAACCAGCTTTTAACAAGAATATAGATAATATAAAGTGAAACAAAGTGGAATAACATCTAGTGTTTTTTCTGGCAAAAAAAACCCGACTAATTTGTAATGTATTTGATGTATCATTTAAATGAGAAGGGCGAACGCCTTTATACACTCCAGAAGGTCACTAAATCAGGAAAAAAAACATTATCTGCACACCCAGCGAGGTAAAAAACCCATTTGAAAGCTTTTTCTAAACAAAAAACAGGTTTTCGCCAGATGATAAATATTCACGACACCGAATTATCCTAAAAAAGAGAGTTGGCATATGTCTGACACAGCTCCGTAAGCATCTATTTAGTAACATTCAACTGCTACTCATAGTCAGCAGCAGAATGGCCCTTCTAATAAAACAAAAACAAGTCCGAATAAAAAATCAGAATATCGGAGTATACAAAAATCCATAAAAACCAAAATAAAACGATAATAATCTATAAAAACAGTAATTTCTCCACAGTTCATCAGGATTGTGATACTTCCATAAACCATTGCCGAAGTGCATTTGCCAATACATGAGCTAATTCTTTTACATCTCTCACAATCACAAAATGATCAAATGCAAATTCATCCATATAATTAATAATCTCTAATGTTGTAGATCCATCAAGCGCTGTTTTATAGCGAGCTTGCTTCATATCAAGTAGTGAGGTTGTCTTTTTTCCATAAATCACATCAACAATAACAAAAATAACCATAATTTTTAATTCGTAAGCTTTTCGTAAAAGACGTCTTAAAGAGTCATGATCTTCATATATACCATCTGACACAATAATCTCCAATTGCCATAATTCCATAGAAGACTTAAAATGAAGTGTATTTTTCGCAGTCTCAAATATCTTTATAGAAGTTTCAGTCAATGCCTTAACATCCGTTCTAGATTGATTAAATCTAAACTTTTTAATCAATTTAGCGCCAGATTCAGATGTAAAAGGCTCTTTAAAAGAATGTATCAACGAAGGTTTATCTCCAAAACTCATAATACAAATCTCCCCTACTTCTAAAAGAGAAAGTGCTTTAGATATAACAGCAAGCGTTTCAAATGTTAAATTTATTGATCCAGATTCAGCCATCGATTTTGAATCGTCTATACAGATCATAACCTGGTATTGTCTCTTACCGGGTTTTGTACGTCTCATCCAGATTTTATCTTTTCTATATTGACTCGCTATATAAGGAATAATACGCCTCATATTTAACCTTTTACCAGTACGATAGTCTCCTTGCATTTTTGTAGCCAGAGTAGGCTCAAGAATTAACTTTAATTGCTCAGAAAGATAAATAGATAAATCATGAACAGATTCTTCATGATTTTTCCATAAATGTATTGCATCATCATTAGACATAAAATCAGAAGAGTCAGATTTAAAATCAGGTAAATCAGAAGAATTATTATTATCTAATATTTTTTCATGTAAATCAGTCATATTTTGCAAAAATATATCATTCATGTTATGTCTTATATCATTTTTTTGACAACCTACTTCAGCATCAAGAATCTCTAAACCAGAATTCTCAATATTTGTTGTCCCTGTATCAACAAAAGAATCACTAGATTTTTCTATACTTTTATCATTATAATGACTATTTATCTCATCTAAATTATCTTCCATATCAAAATTACTTTTTTCTTGTTTTTCAGGTAAAAGTACTAAAGCATTAGTATCTTCATTCAAACCAATATCCTTCATATACTCATATTCATTATTGTTTTTAAAAAAGTTATTGCTAGATAAATCATCATGATCTTTTGAGTGAAAAACATTATTAATAATTTTATTCCATTCTTTAAGCATATTCCCAAGACTTTTATATGAATCGTTTAATGATCTAATCGGTTCAAATTCCTTATCCATTCCAGAATTATTACTACTTTTTTGACATTCAATATCATTATAATTCTTCCAAGATTCAATATCATTATTTCCGACCAATTCATTAGATAAATTTCTAATAAAGGAATTATGCTTAGCTTCTAATGAAATATTTTCATTGTTTTTATACTCTTTATAAAAACTTTCATCTAAAACAATAGAATTATTTTCAACAAATACATTTTTAGATAAATCAGTAAAAGATTGACAATTCCCATCTACATTGAAACTATTTTCATTACTAATATTCACAAAATCAGTTTCGCAGCCAGAATCAACGCCTATATCTTTTTTATATTTATCGTCTAGTACATGTTTGTCGAAGTCAGATTGAGAATTAATATGCGAGTGATTTGCATTATTATTTTCATATTCGAAAGAATTATTAGAATCCAATTTTTCATACTCTAACTCTTCATGATTCAATTCTTTACATTCTGATTCTTCATGATTCAATTCTTTACATTCTGATTCTTCATGACTCAATTCTTTGCATTCCGATTCTTCACGATTCAATTCTTTACATTCTGATTCTTTATGGCTCAATTCTTTATAATCCGATTCATCATGACTCAATTCTTTATAATCCGATTCTTCATAATCTAATTCATCATGTTTCGATTCTCCTTGATCTAAATCCAAATCATTATTAAATATATCATCATTATCATCAACGTCTAAATGAACATCATCAGGTAAACTCAAAGGTTCTATATTTTCTATATCATTGTTAAATTTACTTTCTTGAAAATTCTCCAGAATTTCATCATTATCAGATATTCCATTATCATTATTATCATTCATATCATGGTTTTTTTTAATTGTTATAGAAGGATCCTCTTGAGGTTCTTGAGCAACAAGTCCCATATCATTTTCATTATCATCCAATTTCTGATTACCAATACTATCTAAATTCATTGATTCATTATTTTCCTGATCCCAAAATTTTTGGTCAATAGTAGAATTTTGACGGTCAACATCATTAATTTCATCATCCAAAGTCTTATCATCAAAATCTTCAATCCCTTGACTATCATCACTACTTTCTGATATAGAACTAAAATCATCATTAACTTCTATATTATTACCAGAGTTTTCGAAATTATTTTTTTCAGAATTTGTCTCATCAAAACCTTCAAAATTTTCATTAAGATTTTCTGTCACATTTCCAATATTATCATCAGCCAATCCAGTGCTCTCAGAAACAGTAGCATTCTTTTCATTAACATTAGTTTCAAGAGGAGTACAAAAACCTTTTTCAATCAATGTGTTTAAAACTATCGAAAACAAAAGAGCCGATTTTGCCATAGATTTATGATAGCATATGAACTTTTCTAACATATACTTACATATTATTAAATACTGTTCTAATATTGGTATTGATAAACAATATACTGCTTTCAACTTAAGTAAGGTATGAATGTCAGAAAAACCAGTCATATTTAATTTATTAATCTCAGAAATAGATTTTTCCAGTAAAGAATTAATATCTTCCATTTCAAGAATATTTATGGAGTTAAGAAAAAATGCATGTTTTTTTATCAACCAAGAATCTTCTAAAATGCCATTAGAATCATGTTTTACATCCAAAGATTTAACATCTGCTAAATTTTGTATGATCAATAATATTTTATCAGATAAATTCCTCATAAAGATATCAGATTCTATAACAACTTCAGCATAGTCATTTTCAAGAACTTCTAAGTGAATTAGTTTTAAAAAATTCATAGTATTCTTAATCCAAGAAAAAATAGGAATAGCTAAATATGCACAAGATGTAGGTTGAGAAGAGTATGAAAACATTTTTTTTGATATATTTTCCATCCATTTCATAAAATCAGAAACAAAAATACCAGCTGTTTTATCCATAACAATTCTATCTAAACCACCTAGATACTTAAATTCAATTCCAAATTTCTTACTTTCTTCACTAATTAAATCAAAATCTTTCCCTAATTCATCTAATAATGGAGAAGAAATAGAACTTGCATGTATATTCCGGATATTCTCTAAAATAGTAACGATACTTTGTATATGACTCAAAAAAGATTCAAATCTATCATATATATACTTATTTTTTCTATAATTTTTCAGAAATGAGGAATTTTCTTCAAATACCATAGTTTTCAATAAAGATAGTACAGATAATTTTTTTTCAAAACGATATATCTCAAATAAAACCTTTATAAGAGACGATCTTTCAAGTAAAATCATATAAAATAGAGAATTCAAAAGCCCCAATGAACGTGAAATTTCATTTATACTTATGTCACTAGAATGCTCATTTTGAGATTGACGAATTTTTGTGATAAAAGTAATAAATCGAAAAAAATAATCATCAATAATTCTTATAAAAGAAGAATGATTCTGATCTTTTAACATCTTAATATCGTAGTATGGAATAGTTGTTAATAAATTATTAATATTAGACACTTTTTTAATAACAGATACATTTGGATTTGTTTTAAGGCCTATTCTTTTTAATTCATTAAGCGTATCAGAAAAGAGCTTCTTTTTTCTTATTTTCAAATAATTAATTTCTGACTTTTTATCACTAGCCATTGAAGATGTAAGATCTTGTAATTCTTTCATATTTTCAACGATATTTGTTGTAAACAATTCAAATGGATTTTCATCAGATGTCGAATCTTGTCCATATTTTTGAATAATAAGAAACCACATATTTCGAACAGTATTTAAAATACTCCTATGTCTATAAGAAGCATTTAAACGATGTACAAAATTAACAGACTTAAAATAATTTAAAGACCATTTTAATAGCTCTTCATTAACAGTTACTAATTCTAATTCCAAAGAACCACAAAAAGTAATACTATTCTGAGAAGTTAACCTCAGTGATTCAGTATATGACTCAACTAAAATAGACAATGATGGAACAGAAAGAAGTTCCCGGTATTTTTTAACAACTTTATACAAAGACCTATGAGATTTTCTTGCACTTTCCTTCAAAACAAAAACATTAGTATCTTTCCAACTCATTGACTGTATTGTATTTTTTATGCTTTCTTCTAAAGGAATTTTTCCTTCATAAATTGTATTTCGAATTTTTGGTATATATAATGAATATAATGCAACAAGATTTTTAAGAGCCAATAGAATCCTTTTTTCTATAAATTCCGTTTTTCCGAGAATAAACAAATGACTTGAAAATGCATCAATAAGTTTCAAACGTTCTTCAAATTGTCCAAGAGAAGAACTAGTTATAAACTGGTCTAATAAAGAAACCAATTCATTTATATAATTCTCTAAATCATTAGTTGAAGGAAAAGAAGATGGTTTCCTATATATTATGTTCTCATAAAGATAAAACCACGAATCAGTCATTTCATTATATTTCTCTTTATCTTCCAATTTAAACAAATCATTCCAACAATTTAATTCAAGTTTTCTCCATTTTATAATAATTTTTTTTAAATCCTCTATATTAGTATCAAGGGAATACTCAGAACTTGCTATGGATTTCCATTGATCAACAACACTATATAATTGTTCTAATGCTATTAAACTTTGAACAAGAGGCATTTCTATCCCTGATTTCAAAATAATATCTAAACGAGTTATTATTTCATGAAGAATAGAATTCTCTGGCCACTCTTCAAGAAACCGTTGTACCTTAGAGTTTAAATCTTTAAGTGTTAAACCAAGTTTAACCGATTCTTTAATATTCGGATCTTTATAGAAATTATATAACCAATCATCAGAATCATGATATATTGGCAATACAAAATTAGAATCACTAAAAACATCTTTCATATAATATATTAAAGATGGGAGTACTATTTCATTTACTCTAGAATTAATATTAAAATTATCCAGAATTAATAATTCTATTCCAAGATTTAATGCAGAGTTAACCAATTCAAAACAAGAGACTACAGGCTCAAAATCATTAAAAAGTTTTTTATGAATCTTCATCAATTCTATACGACAGAAGCCCTTACCTTTTGTTTTTAAGGATTCATATTTTTTAAACTCATCAAAGATCTCAAATTCAGGAAACAAAGTTCTATAATCATCATCTTCAGAATGTGATATTTTATAAATAGACTCTTTTTCTAGTGCTAATTTAATTTCTTCATCTCTTTCAAGAATCCATTTTGAATAAAAATATTGAAAAATATAATCAACAATTTCTATGTAGTTAGAAAAATCATTTAAAAATGAGTGTTTTTTGAAAAAAGATAGTTTTTTAAGACAAAAAATCATAAAACGATCCACAAATACAGAATCACATTTATAACAAGAAACTTGATTTAAAAATAATTTTATGAAAGTGATATTAAGAGGCTCAGTCAATATTGTATTAATATCAAAAAGATTTAAAAATATTTTCATAGTTAAATCTTCAGATGTAGATTTAGAAAACTGTTCAGCCTGTTTTATAAGCACTAAAGAAAAATTTATAACCTTTAATGACCCACATATAGGTTTTAAAATGTCAGTATAATACAAATATGACTCAAGCCGATCTATTAACTGGCATGTCGTTTTCTGTATAGTAGTTAAATGAAAAATAGCATCAATTTCTTTATTTTCGAAACTTTTAATAATATTTTCCAATGAATGATCAACAATGAACATTTGCAACAACTTTTCAAATTCCCTATATATACCAACAATTTCTGAAATAGAAGGACGATAAACATGAGGAAAAATCATTTTCTTTGACTCTAAATCTTGATAACGTAACTGTAAATTCCTTATAGAAATGTTATCATTACAACCAGTAAATTCTTTTTCGTATAATTTTCTTAAACAAATCTCACTAGAAATATACTCTAATCGTTTTTTATGAAGTTCAATCTGAACTATAGGAAAAATTGCTGGATCATATGGTATATTTGGAACATATAAATAAAGAAACCCCAATTCGAAAAAAATAAAAGCCTTTCCAAGTTTCGATAAAAGTTCAGATTCAGTAGCTTCTGGATTTTGAACGAATGGGAAAATAATCAATAAAGAAGGTATAAAATATATATTAATGATCTTTCTTAATTTCAAATGATCAGTTTTCTGAAACTTCTCTTTTAATTCTTCTAAAATTTTTATACTTTCTTTTTGATTATCATAGGACCTAGACTTTAATTTTTTTAAATTAGTCAAAATAATTTGATAATCTGAAGAACAATATAAAGATTTATGAATATCAAAAATCTTTATTAAATCAATATTACTTAATAAAAAATCTAAAGAACACACCTGAACAAACTTTTCAATAAATATTTCAAAAATAAATGAAATTTTATCATTCTTTATATACCATGTATGTTGAAATACTTGCAAAGTTAAATCTGATAAACTAGATTTCATTTGTTCAAAATTTTCAAATAAAGCATTTTTTATATTATAACTATATAATAATTATTAACAGAGACTGAAATTTACTTTAACTAACATAGCCCCAGCAATAGTTTTTATTGGCTTTCCAAAAAAAAGAAATGCAGGAAATGATTCAATTAATAACTCCTAAGGAAATTAGTATTTTTAAATCTTAAATAATCTGCCCTACAGAACATTCAGATGATAAAAAACATCTAGTTGTAGTACTGAAATAAGAATCAAAAATCTGAAATACTAAAGATCCATTTTCAGCTTCTACAATTAAAAATATTCTTTAATATTTCAAAAAACTTACAAATTCCTTTATGCGCAATAATATATGGAATCAAGGAAATAGAAGACCTATTTGTCCACATATGTGAAGAAAGTATCATATCATATATATCCTAAACTATTAAAATACTTAATAAAAATATCCAGTTACCTTAGAAATAAAACCATGTTCTAGAACATGATTTATTACAAATCCTTCTAAACAAGAAAATATAACATTAAAAGAATTGAGAACTGTAGGAAAACACTTAAGTCTAATACTAGTGTCGTTATGAAGGCCAATTTTATTCATATTATTCTGCAAATCCTTTAAAAAATTCTCAATTTTAAAATTAATTTGAAAAGAATCAATCTTTGAAGAAATTTCTCCAATATTAGAGACAGTAAAAATAGAATAACAATTTTCTAAAAACAAAGATCTAATATTCAAGACTATATTTGAAATATATGCTACAAAATTTAGTTAACAAAAAATATTTATAAAAATAATTACCATTATACTGAAAATTATGATCAAACTTATTCATACATGATACTAATTCTTTGTATATTGTCCATGTATATTCAAATTTTGGAAGTTCAGGTTTTACTTTTTTCCAAATAATTTCCATAGAAAAACCAGTTTTAAACTTAAAATTCAAATTAAACAATCTAATTAATTGATCAAAGCGTTTTCTAGAATCATCTGGCAATAAACTTCCATATTCCTGATTCCATATTTGTAAATTAGAATTATAAACATGATATTTACTATAATCAATAAATTGAACATTTGTAAATTCATAAATATGATGCCAGATATCAATCAAATGCATAATACTTTCAGTAAACTCCTATGATATATATATATATATACGTAAAGAATATTAAAATAATGCTTAACAACTTACCTGATTCACATAATCAAAATTTTCTCGAATTAAAAGCAATTTTATCTCATTTAAAAGAGATGATAAAAATTGAAAAACATTAATATGCAATAATGTAGCAGTTTCATCAGAATGTAAATTCAAACATGATTTCTCCAACACTGTCATATTCATATTAGAAACACATTGAGATTTTCCCTGTATAGTCTCAAGAATAATCCTCAAATCTATATATTTTGAAAAAAGATTATACGTATAACATAATTTTAGATGCATAGAACATGTTCTAGAAGAACTTAAATCAGACAAACTACTCAAAATTATATTCTTAATATATGGATTAACTAAAGGGTATAAAGGCTATATAATGTTAGTACTAGCTAAGAACTATTTTATATAAAAACCTGAGAATCTGCAAAATCTTCAGGAAAACTAGAGCTATAGATAAGATCTTTATAAAAATCATAAATTTTTTGATATAAAAAAGATTTCTGAAACTCAGTAGATTTATATATCAAATTTGAAATAATATCTTTCCTTATTTGTAAAAACATACCACTATCAATTATATAAGATGAATACCATCTTTTCAAAAGATCTATTTGTTTTATAGGAATATGTTCTAAAAACAAATCTCCTAATATAGGCATATTTTTTTCTGAATAATATTTTTTTAAAACCTTTCCATATAAATGAAAATGATTAAACATAAACGAAGGCAATGAACTAAAAAGAATAGAATCATTACAAGTAGTAACAGAGTGCATAACTATAGATTCTATTTGATTATCTGTTTGTAATTTATCGCAAAAAATTTCAACACATCTATTTCTCATTGCTCTAGAAAGTTCACCATTAGCCGGATCCATTGTTAAAATAATTCGAAAATTCGGATGAGAGTTTATTATAAAAGGCTTTCCATCTAAAGAACTTCTTTCATTTAAAATAAGTTTTCCTTCAGGCTCCATAAGTGAATTAAGTCGATCTAATACAGAGGAATTACATAAATTAACATTATCTAAAAGAAGCCACTCTCCATTTTCTACAGCCTGCACTAAAACACTATCAATCCATTCAAATTGAGTTGGTTTGTATGTATCATCAACTAATACATATTTTTTTAACTTTTGAAAAATCTGATGAAATAAAGAATCATGAGCTATAGAGAGATTAGATAATTCTGTAAACAATAAGACGATATCTGATAAAAGTTTACGATAATCAGATACGGTTTGTCGTCCTTGAATTTCAATTAATTGCAGTATACGATTATATATAGTCACATGTTCTACGATTTTTTCTTGAGATGAAACTAATAAGAAACGTAACTTGCTCTTGCAAAACTCCTGAACATTAGTAATAAATTTGTTTAATTTTAAAATCAAATCAACTTGTTCAAACCCTCCTATAATATCCATTGTATCTATATCATTATTAACAGAAAATTCCACAAGTTTTGCTCCAGAAATAAAAGAAATAAATCTAACCAAAGAAGTCTTTCCAGAAGCTGGCGGTCCTACCAAAATACATGGCCAATTGAATTTAATACAAAAAATCAAGCTCTCAATAACCTTTAACTGGTTTTTGAAAATATTGAAAAAAGAATTCTTATTATAATTTAAAATAGAATTTCGAGGCAACAATGCATAACCAACTTGAAAAAAGTTTGTGCTAAGACTATAATATAAATTATGACTAGTAGGCAGATTTCCAAAAACTTTTTGATAAATTTCATCAACAATTTTTTGATCTTCTATTGTCCTAAACCTTTGTTTTACAATTATATCTAAAAATTCAGAAGGGCATTTTCCATGTAAGCTCAGCTTCCCATACTCAAGAATCTCAAGCCATCTTAATATATCCCGCAAATTAAATTCCCAAGGACTACCATGCATCCCAAATTCACAATTCAAAGACAATTCGCTATTTAACCTTTCAATAAACGATATAATTTTCTTCTTTATTAATAAATCCTCATGAGGAAAGATATAATCACATATAGACAATAAATCTTCAAAAGACATCTTTTCAATATGAACAACTATAAACCTGTTTATAAATGACTTTGGCAATCCTTTACGACCACCTCCCTGAGAATGTGGATTTTGTGCAGCAAAAACTCTAAATGAAGGATGACAAACGAATGTTTGATTTAACTCTGGTACAAAAACTTGAGCTCTATGATCAAAGCATGCGTTAAGACCTTCTAATATAGACTGTGGCGCTAAATTCATTTCATCAAGGAGTACCCAATGACCATTTTTCATAGCACGTAAAAAAGGCCCATCATGCCAAGCAAATTCTATAGCCTCACCATCTACAGGAAGATCAGACCCAAATAAATCCATTAAATCAGTTTGTTCAGAAAGATTTATTCTTGTTAGCGGAAAGCCTGAAATAGAAGCAATAGTTGATACAAGAGATGTTTTCCCTATGCCAGGACTTCCTTCAAGTAGTATAGGTTTAGATAATTGCATTGCTCGTAAAATCCGCATTGCATTAAAAGAAGTGATAGGCGCACATAAGCTATAAGATGAACAATCTGAAATATAAGGTCCACGCCGAAAAGAAAAAGATCCAATTTTCAGTATTTCTTTATCAATAGTTATCTGAGGTACTCTTAAGAATTCTGACTGCAAATTTTCACCTACCAAACTAGATAAATAGTTAACAGACTCAAGTCTTTTGTTTTGAATTTGTTCAGTAGTTAACTTAGAAAGTAATCCAGAATTTACACCTATTTTATCAATATAAACCAAAGAAGCACCATGTAAAATATAATGTGTTATCGAACTATGAATATCAGGTAAATTCATATAATCAACCCATAATAATATGTCTCTTATAGATAATGATCTTGATAAATAGAATGAAAAATTTTGTTGAAACCAAAAAGAAAATGAAACAAGTATCTCTGAATATTCGCAAAAATCATTTTTAAGTTTTGAACGAACAATTTTTAAAATATCATCTTTTTCAAATATCGAAGGAACCCATATTTCAGTAAACCTATTCCGCAAAGCAGGTGAAAGCTCTTTTTTACCATAGTCTCCACCAGGATTCATTGTAGCCATAAATTTAAAACCATCTTTTGCCTTTATTAAATTTTCATCCACTGATTTCTCAGCTAAAGTAATTGTACGTGAAGGCTCTAAAACGCTATTAAGTCTTTCCAAAACAGAATCACTAGCAAGAGATATCTCATCAAGCAAAAAATATTCTCCAGATTTCATTGCTTTCACTAAAGCGCCATCACACCAATCAAACATTTTCTTATATTGTACAAGATCTTTTTCAATAGAATTAATAATATCATAGTATATAGTACCTTTAGAATTTTCTTTAATATCACTAATCTCCAAATTTGAAAATGCAGCTATTAAATCTAACAAAGCGGTAGATTTAATATTATCAAAATACACAGAATCAATATATGCTAATAATTTAGAAATATTATCATACAACCTTTTACAAATTTCATCTTTATTCCTTATAGGTCTTTGAGTTCCGATAATATCACTTGATTCAATGTTTTGATGTACATTTACAATATGTAAAAATGAAGAATGACTTTTAGAAATAGCTTGACAAATGCTTGTTTTTCCAGTACCTGTTTCACCCACAAGAAGCACAGGTTCGTTATTCTCTAATGCAAGGGAAACCAATCGAAACAATCTTTTCATAGAGTTAGTCCAAACAATTCCATCTAAATTAGGAAAATAATTAGAAAATGAACATTCTTCTGAATCATTAATATAATATAATTCATTTTCAGATATTTTAACTTTCATAATAGCTTCAATAATTTCTTTAACAATTATTTTCTCATCATTTCTTCGTACACGTTCACCTAATAACATATATCCATTGTTTACGAACTCTTGGTAAGTAGAAAAATTTCTACTAGCCCAGCGAAATAAATCACGCAAAGTCATAAAACTACTTTTTTGTTGAAAAATCATAGATGATTGACGTTGCAAAGATAATTTCTTAAAAAATTAATAATAAATAACCAAAAAGTAATCATTACCTTATAAACTTGAACCATTTTCATAGCATAAGAAGGTGGTATACGGCATCGAGTACATAAAATAGTTTCAAGCTCATTTTCAGGTATACTGTCATAATGCAATTCTAAAAATCTATTGCGAAATGCACGAGATAAATATTTCCGCCCACTATAAATTCCAGGAGGATTCTGAGTAGCAAAAAGCATAAAATGAGGGTGAGGTTTTACAATTTCTTGAGTTTCAGTTATTAATAGCTCCCTATTATCATCTAACAATCTATTAAGTGCTTCAAGAACCTCAGAAGGCGCTAAATTTAATTCATCTAACACAATCCAATATCCATTACGTAATGCCTCTACCATAACTCCCTCTTTAAATTTCAGATTTCCAAAGTTGTCAGAAATATAAGCACCAAGATATTCTTGAAGATCAATATGTTCATGATTATTAATTCTAACAAATTTGTGACCAGTTAACTTAGCAATATACTCAACCATACTTGTTTTTCCGCTTGAAGTAGGCCCTTGAAGTAGAATTGGAAATTTTCCTGTAGCAGTAGCTCTTATTAAATTTAACATATTTTTTTCAACTGATTGTGTTATAATATAATTATTATCCTTTTCTATTTCATAATCGCCTTTATGCATCCAGTAATGTTTAAACTGTATATAATTTCCATTTAAAGGTCTTTTAGGAATTTGTGCAAATGAAGATTTCAAATTTTTCAAATAATCAACGGTATACTGTTTAATAACTAAGTGAAGAATTTCTTCACTACTTTTCTCCAATAAAGTTAGATACAACATACAAAATCCTTCATATAAAGATCTCCGTAATTCATATAGCTGACAAATTTCATTTACATACATCAGTGTCCGAGTTAATGTCCTAATATTGTAATGAGGTTTCTGACCAGCAGAATCAACCAAAAGGTTTTCATTTTCTAATTGTTTTGCCTTTAAATGAAGCTGAGCAACATCATATAAAACCTTTTCATCAGAAAAGGTAAGATGCCCTATGTATTTATGAATTATAAAGAACAAATCATCAAAACTCTGATCAGGAGAATGGACAAAGAATTCAGTAAACCTTGATCTTAAAGACAATGATAAATCACGCCTCCCAATATCCGTAGAAGGATTCATACATGCAAACAAACGAAAATTAGGATGAGGATAAATAGGATCAATATCGCCTTTTTCTGACAAAAGGATGGAGCCTTTTTCCTGTAAAATTCCACTAATATTTTCAAGGATACCAAATTCCGCTAAATTAATCTCATCTAATAAAATCCAACTACCATTTCGAATAGCTTTTATTAAAGGCCCTTCTACAAAACCAAAAACAAAAGATTCAGAATTACCTAAAACATAAGTTTCAAATTTAGATACATCCTCAGAAAAAGTTTCCAACTTTTTCTTTAATTCTGGCCCAAATCGGCGCCTTTTTTTAAAAACATCTGATATTTCATCATTCTTCTCATTATCAAAAACAGATGAAATTCGTTTCTGGGCAGTATCAATTACAGCTTTAAATAAACGGATCAGATATTTCCACTTTTTAGAAGAATATGCCTTTCTAATTGCTTCAAGAAAACTATAATTTTTTTGTCTCGGAAATATTGCACTAAAAAGATTATCAAACTGATCTTTTAAAGAAATAGAAATAGTTTTTAAATCAATTGGTTTAAATCCACCAAGAAGATCAGCATTTTCTGTTTGTTGAGACATATTAATAACTATTAATTCATGACCAAGAATATTTGCAAGATATTGAACGGTTGTAGTTTTCCCCGTCCCTGTTTCCCCAACTAGCAATACATGCTCTCCAGACTCTACAGAAACTCCTAATTGCTCTAGCAACCTTAATACAGAAGACGTAAAAGCAAAAGGATATTTAAAACGTGAAACTATGAATTCAGAACATTTTTGAAAATATGCTCTTCCAATTTTTATGTGATTATCAGAATCTTCATAGATAGGAATATAAGATTTAATATATTTCTCAGTCCAAGTAGACAAATAACCAAGAGTTTGCGCTATTTTTTGAACAATCAAAAATTTTCCAATACTTGTCTGAATCATTCCAGAAAAACAATCTACAGCATTATAAAACATATTATCAATAATATCCTGAGAAATATAATTATCTTCTAAAACAATCCTACCATTACTAAGAAAGATAGCTATACGTTTACACCATTTCATTAAATCCCTTATTGAAACAACCCTTCCAAAAGCTATTTTACTTTCAGAATGAAACACAGGATCACTATAAATAGAAAAAACGGCTTCATAAACTTCAATAATTTTATGAGATAATTTTTTCAAAATTTGAAATTTCGAACAAACTAACATAGGTAATTCAGCTATTGGAATCTCACAAAAATCAACAGTTTGCCATAGCCTACTCCCTAAAAATTTTATATTACTATTCTGATGAGTATTTATTGAAATAGTTGCTATTATTTGAAAACCATATGCAGCTGTTACTTTTTCTCCTCTACTGGAGATTTCAAGTTCGTTATTTTCTAATAATGGTAAAAGAACACCTATAATCTCATTTGGCGCCTTATCAATATCTTCAATCAACACATATCTTCCTTCCTGAACAGCTCTAGTAAGAATTCCTGGTTTCCAATCAAAAATACCAGGTTTTGAACCTATTACATAAGTTCCAATCAAACTTTTTAAATCTATTTGATCTCCTATATATATACGAACTAAACTATCATAATTTCCCAACATTTTTGTAATACTTTCAACAATAAAGGTTTTACCAGAACCAAATGGTCCTAAAAGAAGAACAGGTTTTTGACTTAATAACATTTTAGCGAAATTTTTCAAATTTTTTTGAGATGAAGGTGTTATAACAAAATCAGTATTAGTAGAATTTAAAAAATTCAATTTTGGAAGATTAATGCCACATACAGGAACCACTAAATGAGATTGATCAGAATCATGAATGATACGAGTTCTATTCGTTGAAAAATAATTACGAGAAGCAACTTTATCTAAAAAATTCATCTTTAAATCATTTTCAAGCAAACTATAAACATTTAAAAATACTATTAAAAAGAAAAGAGAAACCCTTACAGAAAAAAAGAAAAATCTACTATTTTTCCAAAATATAAATAATCAACAGGTCCCTGACCAACATAGAAAGATACCAGCTCTTTCCTTTTTTCATCTGATAGAGAAAGTAGTATACATAAAATTTCTAAAGCAAGAAACCGTACAATAGGAACTTGATGATACAAACAAGGCCAAATGTACGAAATAGAAATGAAAGGAGAAAAAAGAACAGGATCAAAAATAATCAAACGATACGCTGCTAGTAAAAGTTCTGAAATGAAAGCTTCTGCTCCCTAAAAACCCTAAATGAGTATTCATTACACAAAGCATTTAGCACATACAGGCCTTTCATATTGATTTTTTGTACTACAAATAGAACCAGAAATATCTGAAAAAGACAAAAACGGGCACAATATCCTCAATGCATATCTAAATCAAAAAACAAATAAGACAGACCTTCTTATACAAAAAAAAAAACATACGGTTTTAAAGATGGAGCTAAAGGTAACAATTTCGCAAACGCACATGCAATTTCTTCTGCTTTTTCATTTTTTATAGCATCCCATCTTGAAACAAGAGATGAAAGTACAGGATAATACAGCTCTGCAACCACCAATGTCAAATCCGGGTCTAATAACAAACATGCAATAGTATCAAGATAAACTGCATTAGATAAAGGCTCAGAAGTCAGTTTTTTTTTAATTTCCTCAGGTAATTTGCAAAGAAGAACAAGTTCTGAAGCTGCCAATTCATAATCCATCATTTCTTCATTTTCCTGACTTGAATTTTCTCCCATCATATTTATACTATTTGTTTGTCAGTACGTTATTCGTTACCGCAGCAACAAAAGGACAGTAGAATACAAGAGACAATAGAGATAGCTCTTCAAACCAAAAAATACAGCAACAGAATGATTGATGGAACTTCAATTCATTGAAAAATCTGTAAAAAATATTACAGTAATTTATCCATATTTTTTATTCAAAAAAATCAATTACCCAACAAATAAACTTTTATATGGTCAAACGGTGTGAAAAAAGCAGATCTACCACATTATAAATAAATTCAAAGTAACATAAAAAGACTTAAGTAGAAAGAATTCAAACCGTTAGACACATTTATAAGTTTTTATGCTTTTGAAAAGAAGACAAAAAAGTTTAATCTAAAAAAAAACAAAAAAAAAGGCATAAATTTAGCTAGTACGCGGCAAATTTACAATGGTAAAGTGATGTGCATATTTATAAGACATAACTTGAATATAAGAAGCAATTTCTGATTGTGGAAATATAGGTCCTTCAAAAACGCAAAATTATCAAGTATGTTTCGATTCCTGAGGGAGTTCAGGAAGATCAACAGGTTGTATAATAGTCATCATTCTTTATTAATCTTAACAAAAAGAAGGTATGGTATATTCCAATTACCCAGGAGGTTTTTACAGAATATGACGACTATCTTTCAAGGTATTGTTAAATTGCCATTCTTATTTGAATAACATTTTCAATAGAATGGACTTTTACAATGAAGTAATATTTGTATACTTGTATATAAAGAAACTTATATCTTATATAAGAAAATATTTATGTGTGAAATAACGGGGCATACAAATATGACATATTTTCAAGCATACCAATCTGAGGTTTGATACAATTATATTATTTTCTATCAATTCATATCTTTAGCTTGTGCATTCACAGGATGTTGAAAAAACTTTCCCAGAATCACTCAAAGAACCAGTACTAAGAAAAATACAACTTTCATTAACTACAAGAATAGATTATTTAGGTAGGATTCATACACCAATTATTATTACTAACATTTAATAGTGGATGAGATATATGATGTTAGTAATTACACGTTTAATTCATATCTAACGTAAAAAGCAATTTAAGAAAGATTATTATCCTGGCGAGTCCTTAATATGCACTATTGCTGGTGAAAAGTAAAACAATAAAAAGTGTTAAATATTTATTCTAATGTTTAAGATGGGAAGTACAGGTTAGAGAAAAAACAAAATTTAATGAAATCATATCACCCAATGGAGTATTTCGTAAAAAATTGAAATGCTGTTATTTATATATTTAACCTTCATTTTAGGTCCAGCACATACCAAATATCTTGTAGAAATGCCGGAAAAATATAAAAAGGAAGATTCAAAGGAAGAAGTTGTCGATGAAAAGATCTTAAATAGAGAACGAGGGTCTTTTACAAAAGCAATCCTGCGCGCTTTTATAAAGAATGTTGTCAAAAAAGAATCATGGACAGGTGCACCATGGATCATTAAAGTGACTTAAATATTTGAAGATATTTCTGTTTCAACTAAGAGAATATTAGGAAGAATATGCAAAAAAATTTAAAATCGAAACAATATCTCCAAAACTTAGGAAAGAAGAAATTGAAAGACAATTACATAAAAAGAAAATGGAGATAGAAGGAATGTCAGGAAAACACAATAAAAACTATCCATTAAAATATCCGATTGAAGACTTAGACCTTGCGCCTACATTAAATGTTCCTCATAGACCTGGACTTATATTTGAAACATTAGTTAGTAAAAATTCAATATCTGCATTATTAGAAACATGGACATTTTTAAACGTTTTTTGGTAATATTAATGTTTTTTTTTTTTAAATTTATCTAATAATAATCAGCGAACCTTTAATTTTAGACTCATTTACATTAGATGATTATATTGATTCCCTACATTATACCCTACTTAATCCTCCTTGCGAACTGATAAATGAAACCCATTGTTCTTTATTAAAATCTTTAGTAAGTGAACGTTCTTCTGCGTGTCTTTCATCTTGCATGTCTCCTTCAAAAAAGGATATTTTTAATAGAATAAATGTTATAAACAATACTTATATAGGTAGTTTTGGAGAAAATTGGAGAGAATTACTCCAAAAAAGAATAATGCAAAATGGAAAATGGGTCATAATAGTAATTGGAATTATGAATGAGGTTTTTTTTCATAAACAAAACGTCAAAGATCTAACAATAAAAAGCTATTAAAAAATAGTTTATATCCAGAAAAATACAACACAATTCTTAAAGAATTTAATGTTCCTGATATAAAAGAATCATACTACACAATATACTATAATCTCAACTGTGACAATAAACTTAGGATTTTAGAAATCTTAATCGAACTATGTTATAATACACCAATGACACGAAATTATATTGAAGAATGTGCAGAATCTATAATACAAGCAAAAAAAGATAAACAGGAATTAGTTAAAACAAGGAAACAATAGTAAAGCAAATAACTTTATTTAACTTAAAGCTTATTTATATAGTTTGGAAAAAATACGAGAAATTAGAGAAGAGATGCGGAAACTTTTTCCAGGTGGCATTCCACGTTCAGAACAATCATCACCATTAGAAGAACAAATAGATGAAGAAATTGAAGAAGAAGAAGAAGAAATGAATGATAACTTCCAAGGAGATGACCAATCTATTGCATATACAGAAGATAGTATAGCAACGACAATTAAAACAAGATCAAGATCAGGAGCAAACAAACGCCGAAAAACTTTTGAAGAACCTAAAACAAAACCACAGCCACTTGATCCTAAATCCTTAAAACAACATGAAAAATTGTCCCAAGAAATAAAAAAAATAAAACGACAAATTCAAAAAGTAGAAGAAGATATGCTTATTAGTGATATGAATATTCGTGAAGCAGATGCTCAACGTGTTAGAGTACTTGGATATGATAGATTTTGGAATAAATATTGGTGGTTAGAAAATAATGGAATGCCATATTATGGCATGCCTGATTCAAGTACTAGTTATGCAGGATATGCTACTGGTAGAATTTGGATTCAAGGCCCTAGTCCAGATATAATTGAGAAATTCAGACAAGATAAAGTTTTAGAACGAAAACAAATTGAAGAAGGAGAAACACCTTTAGCATCATTTAACGATTGGGGTTATATAGATACACCGAAAAAAGTATACTATTCATGTAATTTATTTTATTGATTTTAATATGTTTTATAGATAGAAGAACTATTAAATTGGCTTAATCCAAAAGGAATCAGAGAATTTAAACTTAAAAATGTCATTCGAGCACGTATTAATTTTATCTATCAAGCAATGGATGCGCGTCAAAAAGTACAAATATCATATTTTATATATATAATGCTTATAGCAATAGTATCTTTCTGGCGAGCTTACTGAAGCAAAACGATCAACCAGAGCTACATTAGGTGTAGATTTTGAGCGAGAGAGATTTTTAAACTGGATTAATTCAAAAGCAATTGAACAATTTGGGTGTGGTCATTCACATCTCCAAGTAAAAAAAGACCGTATTCCAGCTAAAAGAAAATAAAAACTTTAAAACCTCATACATATAAAAATACCACAATTTCAAAAATATATTACCATTAACATCTTTATATTAGTATCTGCATATTAAAGCATTATTTTAAAAAAAATTTCAGCATAAGACTATACACAGCCTTTTTTTAAAATTCCTAACTGAAAACATTTATGAAACTTCAACCCGTCATAATTAAAAATAGAGAATCTTAAAAAACATATAAATCAAATAATTTAAGTTTATTATTAAATAAATCATATAAAAACATAAGTTCTAAACCATATATAATTAAAAAACTAAAAGAAAAACAATTCAGTCCTCATAAAAGCCATGTTAACAAGGTGAATTTGCAAAATAAAACAGCTTCCGAATACCCGTCCCAGGCCCATCTGTATTATAAATTGATCCGGCCAATTTTGTTGGGTATGTTAACTCAGTCCGATGTGTACCCAACTTGTTTTCCATATCTTGAGTTTTTATAGTTGAAATAACAGGCGTAACTAACTCAACAGACCGTATAGATAAAGACGAAAACGAGTCCGTATGGTAAATAGGAGAAGAAGACCTATTACCGTTTGACTTATGACTTGTTAATGAAACAGGAGTAGTTAATGAAGTAAATTTGCATGGAAATTCACATTCATTTGTATCCTCAGACTCACAAACAGAAAAAGCACGTTTTACAAAGGAACTGCTTGGAGAAAACATAGATCTATGAAGCAAATTAGATGGATAGAAGTGTATAACAGTCGTATACGATGAAGTTTTGTAAACAGTGGATAAAAATGAAGAGTTTTTAGATGAAACAGAAAAATCACGAGAATCACTTTGTGCATCTTTCATCCTACACTCATTTGAACAGTAAAGCAAAGAACTATACGGATTTTTGATTTGACGGTCGCAAACTGTACTATATTTATATTTCCCATCAGATATACTCCAAAATATAGTATTTTTTAGCAAAAAAACAACATACCAATATTGTAGAAAAAAGGAATCCATATATGACCCCATAAAACCACAGAAAATACTATTTTATTCGATTTTTTAAATGATTTTTAAAAAACTATTGATTTCTATTTTTAAGCTGTTCTCAGTCAAAAAAAAACAATTCAAGAAAACTTTTTAGCATCTTAGAAATCCTAAGACTTTTCATCTTCCAAAGGAAAAATTAAAACGTATTTATTATAAAAACAATATCATTTTTCAAATTTTAAATTTTTATCAAATCTTGTCCATTAACATCGGATAAATAAAAGAAGATTCGTAGAACTGTCATAAAATTTCAACGTAAAGTCATAAATAACTAAATATAAATAAAATTTTGGCAAAAAGCTATTAGGAAGCTTTCATAAATATATTAGAATAACTAGTCTACAATATGTATTTTTAAAGTGAAATATTTATTAAAAGTTTAAATAAAAAATAAACCTAATTTTTAAGAAAAACAAAAATTCTTTTATAAACAATTAATACTTGAAAATAAATTAATCTTAATTATCTAAAGTAAAATTCCCATTTCCAAATCTCATTTTAAATAACCATTTTTAAGTACTTTAAAGAATATATTTATTCTTAAAAAGATCCTTTTTTATAATAAATACCAAAATCGTTTATCAATACAAATTTATATATTCACCTAAAAGATCTTTTTAGCTTTGAAGGAAAAAGAACCGAATAATTACAAGATTATTAGTAAAAATTATAAAAACATAACACATAAGATCTTCGAAGTTTACGAAATGCCTCATCCGAATCCTTTTCACAAATATATCTATCCATCCATACATATATATATAATACCACTATTATTACTACTATCATAGTCATATTACCTTAATGTATAGTTAATGTATATTATTAAATAACTGAAAATTTAAACATACCTGATTCCTATGAGGACTAACATTAAAAGGATATAATGGCAATGAACATGGATATCCATTTGGTATATATTGCTGATTAAAAAGAGAATTAATATAAGGAAAAGAATGATGAGGAATTTCAGACTGTTGTTGAATAAAAGGAACATCATAGTGCTGCAAACCCATTTTCTGCTGAGAAATAGGATAACACTGTAATGGATAAAGATTATTATTAACTGCGTTTAAATTTTTATAATAATCTAAACATTTTTTTAAAAAAATCATTAAATAAAAAAACATCATACCTGCTGGGAAAGGATGTGAAAATAACGGTACAGGCTCTTGAACTTCATTATTCTTACATTCTATATATGGCAATGAATAATCCCTACTTTTATCTGTTTTCATATGACTTGCTTTTAAAAAATCCATATTTGATACTAAACCTAAAGGACTATGGTTTAATCCAATTTCGTCCATAAGAGATTTATACTGCTGTCCTGGAACTACTTTTAGCTGTAAGAAAGCCTGCTTCAAAGCAATTAAAATTTTTTGCCGAAGCTCATCTTCTAAATATGCCATTGTAAAAATTTTAAAAATAGTATTTACACCATAATTTTCTTCAGACAAAACCTCATTCAATATTTGCCCATTGTAAGAGAAAAAAAGAGCATTTAAAAGAATCTTCCGAGCATCAGAATCAGTTTTCTGACTAACGATTCTCAAAATTATAGAAGACGCTAATTTATGTGTACATAAATAAACAATATAATGAACGAATTGCATCGCTAGCATTCTGTATTTGCTTGGGAAAGCAGGTGAATCTAATAACCATGTAAGCAAAATTATACCATTAGGATTTGTTGCTAGGCGATGACTCTCTAATGTTATAACAACAGCAAGATAACGCTAACAATTAGACATTCAATAATTAAATCCATCAAACCATACCTGTTGTTCTTTTGTAACATGATTACTTTCTAAACAAGCTCTCATTGCTCTTGCTCCAAAACGGCCTTGAGAAATCTCCCAGCATCGTTCAGCCATGATCTCAATAATGAAATTGTTCATGGGTGCTTCAAATTTCAAACAACATTGTACCACATAATTCCCAAACTGATCTAGAAATAACAGAGGTATATAAGGAGAGAGATGCTCAATAATATCATTAATCTATCATTATTAACTCACATACTCACAAATCAAATGACATATACCTGAGTTTCTGTTTTTGCTAAATCAATTATTTTTTGTGCAGCCCATGTTCCATTTTTATCTTAAATAAATAAATAAATCAAGTATAAAAAATCAAACAACTTACGAATGCCTATTCCTGACAAATGTGGAGCAATCTCTTTCAAAAGTTTTTCTTTCATTTTTTCAGAACAATGTTCAAACAACTTTTGAACTATGGTATTACCAATATAATCTGCAAAAAATAAGATAAACAGAAAAAAAACAAACCATCTAACCGCTTGAAAGTTCAGAAACCTCATCAATCATATCATAAGCTATTTCATCGATTTCTTTCTGCGTATATCCTCCAGTTTCAAACTTTTTTCTAATTTCTTTTAACTTTGTACTATAAAACTGCCTATTAAGCGACAATTCTGGAATAGGCGGAATCTCACTAGCATAATTTCTAGCTTTTCCTGCATCTAATTCCATATTAATATTAAACAAATAATATAAACAAATACTTTGAATATTTTTCCATATCTTATTTGCTTCTTTTTGTGTAGCAGAATAATTTAAAGCTATTTCTAATACAGCAGATTTCAAATCTTTAAAATCCGTTAACGATTCAGACAAAAACGGATGATTTGATTTAGATTCAGTTGATTTAGTTGCAAAAGGAAAAGTATTGAATAAATACATATTCATCGGATTTTTTTGAGTCTAAATATAAATATTACATATATATATATATATATATATAGAACTACATACCTTTATATATTCTACTCTTATAGGGTCATTTCCAGGAAACAACTCTTTGCCGTCAAGTGATGCTTTTGCTTGTATAGCACTTTCTAATCTAGTATAATTCACAAAACCATATTTTTTATCAGCTAGTATCCATATACTTTCAGCTACACCAAATTGAGAAAAAAGTGTCGTTAAAGATGAATTAGAAGCAGTTAAAGGTAAATTAATTATCCAAAGAGACCGTGTTGGCTGAGACATAACATCACCATATTCCAATTTATCTAAATTGGGACTGTCCTGAGAAGCCAATGCAATGTTACTTAAAGAACTATTCTCCGAAGTATGTGATTCAGCAGTATAAGGTTGAGGAGATATAATTTTATTATCCATGTAATTTAAAGAAAAATTAATAACACCAGTTGTTCTTGCCCTTGGACGTAATGACAAGCTAGAAGAATTCTGATATAACATATCAAAAGAGTCAGAATAATCCATATCTTTGATATCTACATCACCCTTATTCATATCTGCAGAAGAATTATAACTTTTTTCATATTCATCTTTAGCAGAAACAGAATAAGATCGAATTCTATTCAAATCTTTCTTAAAAGAATTAATACCAGAGATATATATCTTATTATTTTGCTCTTCGGAAACAGAATTGCAAGAAACAGGTGACTCCGATAATCTTAAAGACACAGAAGCATCCACTAAACCCAAATAATCGAGAGTTTTAATTGGAGCCTGCTCTTCGTCTTTAGAAGAAAGAGAAAGTACAGGAGGCAATATGTTTTGAGAATTCAAATATTGTGTCCAATGTGATGAAAATATAGACGGACCAAACGCAGATACGTACATATTTCGATCATATAGAGTTAAAGACCCTGATCTAAAACGAGAAGTAGCTATAGACGAGATTCCAGATATAGCAGACGGATTAACATTCACTTTTAAGCTATGCTCTTCTAAAGAACCATTTGCATCCACAGAAGAACCTGGATAAGATAACTCATTACAGACAGACAATCCAGAAGGCATTGTCTCTGCTCTTTCTCTTTTATATCCAAATGATTGATCGGAAGAGTGAGCAGTTTGAGAAATATCTTTTTCTTCAGATGCTAATGTAGCAGAAGACTTTGAACCACAGGATATTTCATCCTTATTCTCACTAGAAGAATCTTTAGAAAGCTTATCCGCAACATTAGAAAGCGACATTGACCACATAGGCACTATATTCTTTTCTTGTGTTCCAAAAACTCTACTAACATCATTAATAGAATCACCACAATATATAGAAAATATAAGAAACCTTTTGTTATAAAAAGACGAATCAAAAGGTACTGAATGTATTCCTCCAGAGTAATTTGGCTTTTGCGTATTAATATCAGCTGATGTTGCTTTTGTTGAATTTGTTTCCATTTAAAATAAAAAAATCTGATCAAAATCAAATAATATATATATTTTTCTGCAGAATATTCTTTCAAAAGTGAAAAGATCTAAAAGATCTTTCTAAATAAAGCACAAAAATAATAAATCAATTTATCACTCTAAATAACATAAGTATTGTCAAAAACCCATTTTACTAAAACTTACATCTTTCAATTTTTCTTGAAAAACTCAACTATTTAATGCAAAAATAAAGCTGTATAAATAAAATATATATATATAAATAATATAAATATATTTTCAGAACTCAAATCCTCTTATTTTTCAATATTTGCAAATTATCTTCGGTTTCTCAACGTACAGAAAAAAATATAGAAATTAACATTGGAAAAAAGATCAGAAAAAAGAGGAAAAAATGAAGGAATTGGACGAAGAAACAGATGAATCAATGGAATCAGTAGAAGGACTTGTTAAGGGTACCTTTTTCTGCGTTTTTATTCGGTAGAAATAAATGTTTTAGGAAGAGAAAAAAGAATAACAGCGGGAAACCGACTTCAAGCACTGCTGAACCAGGAGTTTGAAGCAGAAGGGATATTTGACGTAGGAGATGATTGTGATGGTGATTTTGACAGTGATCAGCGTAAAATTTTGCCTTTTTTCTAAGTTTTTTTTAGCTAATTTAGACTCTAGATCCATTACAAGATATTGAAATATCAGAATCAGATGATGAGGATAATACATCTTCAGAAGGACATGAGGAGCATGTGATTGAAAAAGAGGAAAAAAAGGCATGCTTATACAGCATTTGTTAACCAAAATCCTCCATAACTAACTTTTCAAATAAAGATAAAAAAAAAACCTCCAGAAGCCTTTTATAAACATCGTATACCAAAAGAACCACGTATAAAGAAGTCTAAGCCTAAAACATTCACTATTGTTCATCCAGACTCTGTTCGTCATAGTTCTCGTGCATATGCTATTGAGAACAAAAATATTATTGATCAAAGACTAAAAGAAGCACAAAAAAAAAAGGTATATTTAATGCTAGATGATACATTTTATATTAATAATAAACAGGAAAGACATAGTCCTTTTATTAAAATTAAAGAAAGGCCAATGACTCAGGAGGAACGTATTGCAGAAGCTAAGATTACAGAAGAAAAAAATAAAACATTGCTTCAAAGACTGATTAGGATGGAAGAAGAGAAAAAAGAAAATATAAGGAATTTATTAAAAACTAATAAAACAATGACAGGACCGTTTATTCGGTTCTGGTCAAGAGGTACTGAACAAGGTTTGGACGGAAAATGGATTTTCCTTGAACCGAAAAACACAAGTGTAAAAGAGGAACGCGTATACGGAATTAAACTATCTGAAAAGGATGCTAAAAATACACCAGAAAGCATGAATGATCCAAAAAATTCTTTATTAGACACTTCAAAAGAATTTATAAAAAATTTGCAAGACACAACAAAAAATTCACCACATAGTTCTCAGGAAGAACAAGAGACACTTAACGAAGAAAGAAAAATGACAGAAACAGCACTTGAAGAACCAACTAGTGACATGTTTACATGTTTTCATACTGACGATAAACAGTCGGATGAGTTTACGGATAAAAAACTTAATGAAGCAAACAAAATACCATTTCAAGGACCATCTATGTTTTCAGCACGAAACTACATTATACTTGAAGGTTTTTCTGAACCTTTTGGTGTGAATGAACAAAAAAACGTTCTTTTTTCATGCGTTGATCCACCAGCCGGTATGTCTCAATATCGGTTTATATATCTAACATTCAAAGAACAAAAAAAACATCTTTGTTTCATAACAGGGAATATTGCAAAATACAAAGACCCTGTTTCTGGGCTCTATTATAGCAATCTATCGGCATACAAAATAATCCATCAAATTATTCACGGAGACATTTCATGGAGTCGCCTTGCAGGCACATTTGTTGGTGTATTAAAACCTGCACATGGTGTGCCGCTAGATTTTTATGACACAGCACTCTCTTCGGACAAATAAAATGTCAAAAGCCATGTTTTTATCCAAAAATATTTATATACATAAGACATCTCAGCATCTAGATATACTATATTTTTCGTAACATTTTTCGAATACAAGCCAATAAACTAAAAATATCATTTTATCTATTATAAATACAAAAATATTCATATTCTCTGTTTTTCTGTGAAATTACATTGTTTTTCTTTATATTACTTTTTTTTTACGTTAAATACTTTTTATGGCTCCGTCTTTCCCGACGGCTGAAACATTAACGACAATCAAAAAAAAGCCATATTATGGGCACAAGTTTTTAGTGTCTAAGCAAGAAAGATTACAGGAAAAAGATAAAAACACATATTTAAAAGGGTTTTTTAAGGCTTTAAAAGCTTTTCATGTTTTTTTCTTTCTAAAAAAGCCCTAAAAATATTTTTTTTCACCATTTTATTTTGCAATTTGCTTGGAAATTTTAGCCTTTTTCTGGACGTATGAATACTATTTCCACGTTCTTTATATAAAACTGCATTGATTTATGTGTGATAATTATTTTTGAGGCACTTTTTTATCCAAAAATGACGGTAAGTTCAGCACAAAATATATTTATATTGATTTATTCCTAGACCATCAGTATGATTGTTTAAAGCCTTATATCAGTGCTCACATGCGTTTAGATATACGCAGAGATGTTAATGATTCCTTTTACCGTTACAAAATGCCGCGTCTCCAGTCTAAGGCATGTTTATATGGTTTTATTTATTTGCATTTAATTTTCTACAGATTGAAGGCAGAGGAAATGGTATTAAGACAGTAATCCCGAATATGTCAGAGATTGCACGAGCTCTTAGCCGCTCACCACTATGTATTTTCCTTTTTTTTGAATTTCACTTAGGACTAATACATATTCTAGACGTAACAAAGTTTTTTGGCTTTGAACTGGGAGCACAGACTACAACAAACACTGATGCAGACAGATACATAGTAAATGGTGCTCATGATGCGGAGAAATTACAGGATTTGCTTGATGTTTTTATTCAAAGATATGTGCTTTGCAAATCTTGCAAAAATCCAGAAACAGATATTGTATGTTACATGCTTTAATACATTTAACTAATTAGCAGATTATCCTAAAGAACGACAAAATCGTCAGAGACTGTAAAGCATGTGGACAACGAAGTGATGTTCCACACAATGCCAAGCTTGCTGGTGTTATTTTAAAAAATCCACCAAAAAACAGCAAGACTAAAAAAAGCAAAGCCAAAACTACTGCATCACCTGAACAAATAAGCATAGAGAAAGAAACAGAATCAAACGACGAATTTATGTCTGCTATAGCTGTTCCAGAACAACCTTTTCATGAAGGACATAAGATCAATGATGATGACGATGATGACTGGACCATGGACACTAGTGAAGCTGCAATAAAAGCACGTATCAATGAACTGGAAGGAAGCATCAAAACGAGTCTCGTTCTTTATGACGAAGAAGATGAAGACGAGCAGGATGAAAACAATCCTTATAACCAATTCGGATCATGGGTCCTAGAGAACTTGTCTGCATCAAATATCGAAATATACAAAAAAGCACAAGGGTTAAAGATCGAAAGCAAACACAAAACAGTTGCCGTTCTTGCTCAAACTGTATTTGACGAAAATATTCTCTCTCAAATTGAAAATAGAGCATCACTTTTTCGGAAGATGATCAAAGATAATGAGAAGCATGAAAAATCGCTTCTTGGGGGAACAGAACGGCTAATCGATGGGAATCAAGCAAAACTTCTTCCACTTGTTCCAAAGATTCTTATGCAATATTATCAAAATGATATTCTTTCTGAGGAAGTAGTTGTAAAATGGGCCAACAAAACTAGCAGACGTTACGTTGATAAAGATGTGGATAAAAAGATCAAAAAAGCAGCCGAACCTTTCCTTAAATGGCTAGAAGAAGCAGATGACAATGATTCGGGATCGGAATAGCGTATCTGTATTCTTGTATTATTTAGTGCTTTGATTTCTACTTTTTGTTATTAAAAAATGCTAATTTATTTTTAATTCATCCTCTTAATAAACCCTTTGTTCCGTTTATTTCCAAATACTTAATCTTGAAGTTTAAAACGTTTAGTGGTTCATAAAACAACGTCTGAAAATATAAGACCATCTTCTGATAAAGGTTTAACATCTTTAAAATCCAAAAAAGGAAGCATTGATAACCAAAGCTTGTCAGAGTAAATTTTTTCGAGTGTCTTCATTAGTGTTTCTGCTTCTAGTGTCCTATCTGACTTTCTAAAAAAAAATATCACTGATTCAATCATTTTATCAATAGTTTTATCTGGTAATTTAACATTTTCAACAGCGGCATTGAGTGCCAAAAAGATTTTATTTTGAATCTTTATTGATCTTGAAAATTTATCCGTAAGTACATAATTGCTTCGCTGAAGACTTGTACTTAAAAGATCACATAAATTCTTGATCCCATGTTTCGAAAGTCTTGAGGTCATAAAATCTTTAGCATAAACACAGAGTAATGCAATAACATCTAAAGCAGATAAAATAACTGATGTCATCTCATCTAAATTCAACTGAGCAATAACAAGAGGCCAAATATCATTAACGAAGGGTAAAAAACTTTTTTCATCCAATGACAAAAAAGGTATTGAAGTAGAAAGCATTTTTAATAATCCATTTCGAATATTTGATGACTGATGATTAAGAAACACTTGTGATTTATTGGAAATTTTCTGAATAATTTTAAGTGTCACTTTATTAATATTATTTGATAATTTTTCTAAAGAATGACTAGACGACTTAGATACAGCTTCAATCCCATCCACCGTATTTTTATGATACAAAGAATGTATTTTATCAACAATGTGAATAACCTCTAAACATGGACCTGTATTATGAATATCATCCTCTTTAACCACATTAGAAATACTAGGCTTTATAGAATTGCTATTAACTTGAATCACTTCATTTAAAAATGAAAAAAATACTGAAACAAGTTTAGAATAACCATGATAATTGTCCAATACAACAAAGACAGAATCCACAATATCCTCTAAATAAGGGACAATACTAGAACCTATTAAGCGCAAAAGAATAACCAGTATAGATGGACCAGTGGGCATAACATCAAATGTATTTAATTTTAAATTAATTGCATTGATTAAATAATCAACATTCCCTATCAGCAAATCTTGAACCGAATTATATTCACAATACATGGCCAAATTATTCAAACATATACGTGCATGTTTAGTTATATTTTCATAAGGACTCCCTAATAAATAAACTATCGGATATAAGCAATCGACAAACTCAGTTCTGAACCCTTTTCCAAGCTTTTTTGCAACCAAAGATACAATTTCTAAATCCAAACATATTCGAATAACTTTACTTTGAGATATATTACAATCAATAGGATCATCATATAAAGAAGACGAAAAGTCTGATATGTAATTCGATGAATCAGTATATATATCCATACATATATCCTCCATATTAACTTTTAAATCTTGATTATCATTATATTGTATGTAAGAATCATAATGCTCCATTACATCCCGCAAACTGCACAAAAAAACCCATTTTAAAACATTTGCACGAGACTCACACAGAGATGCCTTTATTTTGTAAAGAAGATAATTCAAAAACTCAACAGACGAATATTTTCCAAAAAGCGTAAATATTTTCTCTAATGCCAAAAATGTCAAATTACTTTCTATATTTACAAAATGAAATACTGGGAATGTTTGCCCAGACAGTCCATCATTATCAAATGGGTCTTGAGCATAAAGATGCGACACTGGCTGAATAAGATCTGTATTCCTCGATACTTTGGTATTTGCAGCAAAACAAAGAGAATCAGAGATTCCATGAATAAGAAAGTCGGAAATAAAGCTGATCTCTAATCGCTCTTTCAACAACAAAGACACAATATGCATAACCGCAACCAAATGCCGCCGTTTAGCATCCTCATCAGGTAACAAGCATACTTCCGGCCACGTGTCAAGATGTTCCTTTAGAAGCAGATCAATGAGATTCCAAAACTCCGGCTCATGACTTTGACACACTGCTAGCTCGAAAAAACGACTCACTGACACATCCTGCACTGCTGCTTCCATATCACCTGCCAAAAACAAAATCGTCAAAAGTGACTGTTTGACACAATTATTGAGTGTTTTAAAGCAAGAACCTGCTACCCTGAAACTAAACTCCAACACCTGTTGTCGAACCCGTTGGTTAAAGTGCGTCTTCAACTTCATAAGAACCGTGCAAACCATATACATGTGTTCACGCGTATTCAACAGCCATTCTGAAGATAAAACCGCCACAGACCCGTCCAAAACCCCTTCTGCAGCCCCCAATGCCTTCACTGGCATCTCTTTTGCCTCTACAGGACTCTGCAATGCAGAAAAAGAGCCTATTTTTCTCACATCTTCTTCCACACCCGCTTTTTCACTCTGATCTCTCCTCTGATCCCCCGACACCCCCTCCTGTGTCCCCTCCGTTGCACCTTTTACACCATCTGCAAAACATACTTCCATCAGCCGCTCACACAGCCCCACTGACTGCTCCACCACCCGGCTGCTCTTCAGCTGCCCCTTTGCCACTCGTTTGCAGACACACGACATAATCCCTGGCAAAAAACGCCTCAGAAACACCTTCTCCCGCACTATCCCAAACAATACCACACACATCACATCCACACACTTGCTCTGTAGCGCTATACTCCTCGTATACTCGTAAATCTCCACCAAAACCGACACACTGTATCCCAACGCCCCCACCAGCACTTCAGACACCCTCTCCCGCCCTCCATCCGCTTCTCCCTTTTTCCCTACGCCTACTGCTTCCTCCCTACGCCGCTGTTCGCTCCAAAAAAGCCTCTCAAGCGCCTCTATTCCCTTTATCCGTATATCCTCCGGCATATCTCGCATTTCCGCGTTTTCTGCCCGCACAAACCCCGTCAAAAGCACACAGAGCTCTTTCACCACCTTCTCTGTAAGTTCTGTTCTCCATCCCGTCTCAATTAACAACCCTGTACACCCCACCAGTCCTGATTTCACTCTGTCACTCAGTTCTCGCTGTTGCCGCCATAAATACCCAAGTGGCATAAAAATATAGTCTGCAATTCCACTTCCAAGCATATTTCCTGCCTTTTGGTGCCGTTCCAGTACCTTTTCCAGCTCTTCCAGCGCCTCCCACACCTTTTTACTGTTAACTTCTGCTCCTGTCCAGACACTGCTCAAACACACACAGATCGGCCTCAGCTACATAGATTATATACTGTATATTCATATTCTGCTGCTAATACCTCTGCAAACGCTGTTCCCCGCTGCTGTCTGTCCATTGTATGCATATCTGTATGCATACACACATATATACACACATACGTCCGTACACTGTTATGCTGTGCACACAACGTACACCATACATTATCATACTATACATACTCTATGGGCATTATGCTCTGCACACACAATAGGTGCATTCTATACACTGTATATGTTGTATATGCCTTATCTATGCATATATACACTATACACTGTGTATGCATACACACTAGTGGCAATACATGATATACGTATATATGTGTAACCCCGTATTACTCCGCAGGACAAATACACGCTAAGTTTGCACAGCGATATGCACACACGACAATGCTAGACAGCACATATACAGCGATATACACGCATAGACGCATACATTGCGCATATATGACGCATACAGTGCGGACGGACCACGCATATATTCTGTATACACACGCATACATTGACCGCTATGCAGATCTATGTATGCTACGCCTCGCTATCACATGCACACCCCATGCTAGTCAACTCTAGCGTGCACGTCCCCCCATCCGTTGTCCGCCACACATCAAATCCGAGAGTGTCGATAGTACAACTGACGATGAACCAATGTCAGAGACTGCTCAGGTGTCTCACAGGGTTGTCTGCGCGAGCTAGTCTTGCTATACAGCCTTGTCCCTTGTAGCACTATTCCTACTGCACCGGCTTATCGGGATACACCGGCTTTGCAGTGCTTATTTCGGGTTGTATGCGGTATATGCAGTATATGCGGCAGGCCGCAAGCATAGCATATACAGTGAATAGTATAACGGTAGAGTGAGGCAGCAATCGAGGGATAGGAGATAAGAAGGGTTAAGAAGCGTTAAGAAAAAGTAAGAAAAAGTCAAGAAAAGTCAAAAAAAGTTAAGAAAAGTTAAGAAAAAGTTAAGAAAAGGTTAAGAAAAGGTTAAAAGGAAGTAAGGAGAGTTAAGAAAGGGTTAAGGAAAAGTCAAGAAAAAATAAAGAGAGCTAAACGAGGGTTAACAGGGAGTTAACAGGGGGTTAAGGGAGAACTAAAAAGCAGTTAAGGAGAGTTAAGGAGGGCTAGAAAGAGACAAAAAGCACAAACAAGGAGAGCGTGGAGCGGACGCAGAGCACAGGAGAGCAGAAGCGTCAATTGGTGCGATTGGAAGTGTTTTGGAGCGATTGGGGGGCGATTGAGGGGCAATTGGGAAGAGTCCAGGTGTCAGATAGTGCCAGTCTAAGTGGGGCGCTTATCTATAGTATCAGAGGGCCAGAGGAGCACCAGAGGGGTATTGGGGTCGTTGGGGGCTTATTGGGGCATATTGAGTGATATCGAGCAGTATCAAGTGATATCGGGTGATATCGAGTGGTATCGAGTGGTATCGGGTGATATTGGACGTTATTTGAGCTGTCGGAAGTACTGTATTTGGGTAGCCGGCAAAATACTGGGTAAGCAGTCGGATATCGAGTGATCAGACGAATATTCCAGAGATTGGCAGTGAAACCAGCCAAAGAACCAATAGAGGCTTCAAAGAGGATAGAAGAGCAGGCAGCAGGTAGCTACGGGTGTTTGACGGGCATTTAGCAAGTATTCTGGTAGATACTTGGTAGATATTCAAGCAAAAAGCAAAAGGACTTAGTGGAAGCGCAGGAAAAAGCGCTGTAGTGCTTAAGAGGGCATCGCTAGGAGTTTTGATACAAATTTGGGCAGCCTAATAGGCGTTTGATAGGCGTTTAAACGGGAATTGAATAAACGTTTAGACGTGCTTTTGGATAGACGGCTAAAAAGCGTTTGAGAAAGATCTTGGGAAAGCGTTTGGTAGGTATTTGGGCAGGCCCTGAAGAAGAGGTTGCCAGAAGATAGTAAAATCATCGGTTCTTGGGTTAGGCGAGAATTATAGAAGTGTCAATTGGGGTGTAAAAACAAACAGGAGCGATTAGACAGGAGATTTCAGTATCTTTTAGTATTGAGAAGAATTAAAATTATAGAAGATGCAAGAAATGCCATTATCACCAATCTCACCAGTGTCATCGGAGTCACCGGTGCAGACTGTGTCAGGAAACACGGAACGACGGGGAATAAGGAAGCAGCTGCAAAGAATAGATGAATCAGAGCCGGGGGTTGTGTTTAACTTCTGCTTTTTTTGGCCACGGAAAGGCTGTTCCAGGCAGCCACTATCTCCATCGAGTTCAGAAAGAAGTTCAGAACACAGTTTGGAGCAAAGTCTAGAGCAGGGTTCGGAGAAGAATATGAAGCAAAGTGAAGAACGTATGAGCGAACAAAATATGCCACATCGTTTTGGACGCAAGACAGGACCAATTGGATCAGTTCGTGCGAATGAATATGTATCATGTAATATTAGCTCATTTCCTGTACTGCTGGGGCAAATTATTAACGATGAGCGGCAGCGACGGTCATCGTATGATATATTTGCAATAAATCAAGAAGCAAAAAAGACTTCAGGAGCAATTATTTTAGCGAGTAAGCGACTCCAATGTATCGTTAAGGATAATGAGAGCGAGAAACGATGTATGCGATACCAGTTCGTTTTTTGCATTTGTCTTTCATTTTCTTTTATTTTTTTATACAATAACTGATGGGTAATCCGGTTTTAGTGAATTCGGGTGAAAATGAATCAATTCATGGACGGCTTAAATCCGCGTTTGTGTGTAATGCTTCTCAGAGCGTTTCGTCTGCATATCCAGATACAGATCTGGAGTTTTGGAGAAACAATCTACAAAAACAAATGCGTTTACGACATCGAAATTCATATCGAGTATTAAAGACGTCCGCTAAGCAGATTCCCAAACAGGTTTCGACTACAGTGCCCAAACTTCGGTCGAGATCAGGCACTTCTAAAACTTTTCTAAATAAAACTCAGAATATGATACAAACATCTCCCTCATCCAATACGAACGAACACGTGTCTACTCCCGAAAGACGCTGTGTATCCTGTGGATGCTCCAGCACTCCTTGCTGGAGACCTAGCTGGTATGGGAATGCAGGGTTGCTTTGTAATAGTTGTGGGCTAAGGTTAGTCACCATTTGATTTTCATTATGATATTTAATTATTGCTTATTAGATACAAGAAAATTGGTGTACGCTGTCTAAATAAAAATTGTCGTCATATTCCCCTTCGTTCAGAGTTCAGGGAAATGAAAAGCAAGGTAACTGGCAATGCCACAATCGATTGCATCAAATGTGGCAGCGAGGTCAAGATCCGAGGCTAAAAATACAACACATGTTTGAGTTAGGGCTATTAAAGTCTATATAACTTTATTTGATGCCATGTATATGTTTTGTTTTTTTGTTTAATCATTATTTTCTTTATTTTTTCTAATCTTATATATTACAAATTTCATCTTATCGCCAATCCTCCTAAATCATATTTTTTCTGTTGTAAATCATGTTTTCATATAAATATTCACTTTCCTTGATCTAAACACTATCTTTTCTGTATTTTATTATACATTATGCTTGTCCCTGGAAACTCTTCTCCGTTAATCGTAGCGTCAAAAGTATAAAAGGAGCTTCGTCCCCCAAACGATACCAGAAATACCTTAGTCTTACTATGAACTAGACTAGGATGAATAGATAAGTAAAAATAAGGGATTTGTAAGAAAAATATGTATTTAATTGAAAAAAAAAACATATTTAAAAATGAAAAAACAAAACTTTGTTTTTTTTTTCCGTCAAAAAAGGGCATTTTTCAAGAGTTTTTCAAGCATTGATATATAGAAACAACTAATTTCAAGAAAAATAGAAGAATAACGTATATTTAATATTAATTTCATAAAAACATGGATGACCTTGTCATAATTAACTGGCTGTTTTATGTCTATAAATATTCCGGGGTTATAAAGAAAGTAAAAGATAATATTGAGTAGCAATAAAGTAGAGGATAGAAAGGAAAAATAAGCACCTTTTGATACTAAGGAATAATATTTTAAACTGTCTTGATTAAATTAGTTAAAAGTGGTTCTTGCACGTCTTGAATACTTTAAATGATATTGTCAATCTTTATCATTTTTTAAAAATGGATGCAGCACATTCTCAGCCTTCAGGCCAACATCAGAAATATTCGGATGTAGAGCATAAAGATATGACAGCGATTTTTATGATGGAAGGGCCTTGTCCATATGAAGTTTCAGGGTCTCTGGATGTATCTTCAATAAGGAACAAAATCAATGGACATTCAGTGACTCTTTTATCACGGTTTCCTATGTATATCTCGAAAGAGGATAATACTAATATGTTTTGGAAAAATTTATCATCAGAACAAATGTTTAATTATTATGAAGTCAGTGCATTGTCTTCTGTTTCTTTAGGTAAACGAGGTAACGATTATACGTGTGAAATTTCTTGTGGCATTCTTTGTCCAAATCATAAGAAATTTTGTCGAGATTCCACAATTTTTTCATTAGAGTTCTCAAAAGTTGTTTCAAATCTATTCATTCAATCCCATTTGAATCATTTTCGCATTTCTAAACGGTACAATCGCTCACCATCTCAGTTTCTATGGCTTTTGCCGAAATGTACTTCTTTGTATAAATTAAGTTATGATTTTATTCCGAATTCAAATTTCTTTCCATTGACGTTGTATGGTTCACCTACTGTTTATTCTCATAACTTTGTTTTTTCAAAGATGCCTGTATCTTTTTGGATGGTTTCTCCTTCTTTACTTAATACGTGTTTTGCGCCACCTATTACTCAAGCTATTTTACAAGAACTCGAGCTTAGAGAAATCCTTAAAAATATTCAGCTTCGTCATGATATCGTACATGATACAAATCTGCAGTTTCGTCCTAATATGGATGGTGAGCGCGGTAAAAGAAAACAACTTCTTGCAAATAGATATTGGAAAAGTTTAAAGAGAGAAATCGAACAAATACTTATATTTCAAGCAAGAAAGAAAAACAATGTAAACATCAGTCATAAATATCCTCATACTACTAGAGTTTTTATTTTATTCATTGAATTGAGGAATATTTTAATTAATCTTTTACCATCTTCCAATAAAACTTACATTGTTGAAATTTTAGATCCAAACCTTATAATTCAAGAAATTATTCATAACTTATTTGACATTGAAAAATTTATCGAGCATCTTGTTGAGATTTTGAAGCAACATTGTGCACCTATGAGAGATGCATTATTAGATAAAATGGCTAAAAAAGTTAAAATGGGGCTTAGGGTTAATAATGTTTCAAAATTTGTTTCTGGTCTTCGAATGGTATTTGATATACTTGAAATAATGAAGCTGGTACGTATTATATTAAAAATCAAATGTCTCAAATTTCATAGGATATTGCTAATCATCAACTTCGAACACTAAGAGCATATTTTTTGGAAACAGCAGTAGAGTTTGAGCAAAAGTGGTTTATTGATAGAATTAATTGGGGCGATATTGATATTAGCGATGCGTTGTCTTGGTATTGTCATTTTTATCATTTTCATATTAAGTCAGATTTAAAGAGTTTTGATTATCAAAAAGCATTTGTTGATGGTATATATTCTATACTTTTCTGCGATACACTGATTCTATTATTCAGGTGTTATAGCATCTATTACATATATCTCATTATTTGATTTTCCATCAACATTTACATTCGATATACCTCGTCTTATGTCACTTCGTTCTAATATTCGTGATATTGTCTCTTTTCAATTAATTCTTCTTCTTTTTTGGCAATTACTTCGGACTCAAGCCCTAAAACTTTCAAGAAATCATATCGTAGAATTTAAACGGGAGATATGGCTTATCGTAAATGAAGAGCTTGATGATAATAAATGGCTTAACAATATTTCGTCTATTACTACTCGGATTGCTAAATATATTAGTCTTAAAGGAACCTGCTTTCCAAATAATATGTTAGATTCAACAAAAATTACTATTATAGAGAATTGGCTGTCTAAACATCTTTTTCCAATCTCTTCATTATATCGTTTAGTTGAAAGTCGCATTCTTAAATCAATTGGTGATAGAATATTTAAAACATTATGTATTCCAAATCAGAAAAGTTCATTATTTTTTTACAATCATATTCGACGAGAACCATATTGTTTATTCATTGATATGATTCTTGAAAAACTATCAAAAATCATCATATTTCATTGGAAAGTATTTGGAAAATGGTATATTGATTGTATAAAAAGTAAATCTACATTCACATAATTTTGTTAGCTTTTATTTTGCTTAACTTTTAAAATATTAATTTTCAAAAATTTTATTATATTTATGTATAAATACAGCGTATTTCTGTATTTTTTATAAAAGATATAAATGTATATTCAAGTTTGCTTTATGCATCAAAATAATATGGTTTTTATCAGCATTTATTTGTCTATTTGGTCCTATTTTTTATATTAATATTCTGATAAAAATTATAATGAATTATAGAATTGTTATTATTTTGATTGATATATATATTAAATATGATTTTTATATTTTTAAATAAAATATAGATATTTAAATACATAGTAATTGTTCTTAATTAAATTTTAAATAATTTAAATATCTTCAAATAGCAATTCAGTCTTAAGAATTGATTTTATTCAATTATATATAATGCAAATTGCCTAATATTATATAAATTAATCATATACTATAATCGAAAATTATAAATCGTTTAAATATAATTTATATATTTATTCATTAAAAACAAAATATCTACTTCTATTCACATAAACTTAATCCATATTATTGAGAAGTATATATTTTTACTATAAATATATCTTTAACTTATTTTTAGAAATAAATCATTATAACCAATATTGTCGTAAAAGATTCGTTTGTGCAATTATATAAATATCAAAGAATTTAAACTCAAAAAAACTTTGATATAATTCTTTCAAAAAAAAGTTTAATTGAAATCTAATTATATGGCAATAATTAGATTATATTACGAAAAAATATTTTATAAATTAAATCATCAAATGCGAAATTCCAAGAATGCAAATAACTTCGACAATAGTAAAGAAATTTAAATCTTTAAATTTTAGAAATAACTAAATCGGTGAATAAAACCAAATTACCTCCAATGAATTTATTAGAACCACTCTTTCTACTACTGGAGCCTCCCTTCCTAGAAGCCCCACCAGTTTCCGAACCAACACTTCTACATATTGGATTAGCACCTTGAATGATAGCTAAAAAGTAGATATTTTAATATAAATTAAAACGATTTTATAAAATATACCTCGTGATTTAGAAAAATCTGGGCATTTCAACGCAACCGTTGATATAATTTTCAGAGTACCTTTAATATCATTAATACTTGGCAAAGAAATAGTACTGAGAGGCCCCGTCCAAGAAACCGAACCACCAATACTTGAAACTTGAGGAAAACCAGTAATAGCAGTTAATTTTAAATTATCACTAAGCAAAAAGGATCCACCAATCTAAATATCTTTTAGATTGAATCAATAATAGCGCGAAATATTATCTACAGAAACTAAGCTTGGGAAATCAAGGGTGACCAAGTCGCTGTTATTGTATATGGCTAATGATCCTAAAATAAAGGACAATTTACCTAAATTAACTTCTTTCACACTGGTTAAAGTCATAATAAAATCTCCAGTAATGTTTCTCAAATTATCCATCTCAATAAGAGAAACACTTTGTACAGTTAAATCGCCTATAGTTTCTAAAGAAGGGAAAGAAAGACGGAAACCACTCCTATTTTGAATTTGGCCATTTTGCATAAAAACTAAGGGTCCTCTAACTTTAACAAGGTTCGACATATTAAAATGAATTAAATAATTATTATTATCTATAATTATTAATTGAATTAAAAACAAAAAATTTTATGATTTACTAATATCTAAAGAAGAAAGTACTTTCATGTCAAATCCTTCTAATTCACGCAACAGCGTGTCTGAAACAGTAAGTTTAGAAATAGATGTAATCCCAGTTTTTAATTGAAGAGATTCAAGCCGAGCACAATGGAATAGGGTTAAAGTGTTTACTGAAGTAAGATGTGGAAAACTTATTTTTTCAAGTGCTGTCAAAGTATTGAATTCTACTTTTCCACTTACAATTTTAAGTACTGGTGCCTAATAAAAATAAATCATGTCTATATTTTTCAAAATACTTACATAAAATGTAACAATATCACTATTTCCCGTAACAAGTAAACTACCATCAATCTCTTCAATACCATCAAGAGAAATAAAAGAAATAGAAGAATTTATATAAATATCGCCAATAAGTACTGTACACTCTGAAAGAGAATAAAGATCTTTTTGTGTTTTAACATATATATCTTCACTACAAGTCCGTGCTATCGATAATTAGATTTTCATAAAATCCCAATCAAAATTTATTACAGTGGGCATATATACACCCATTATATATTTTTATATAGCATATATACCTCTAAATATCTATATATGTTCCAAAAATAACATATATTTCACAATAAACCACATATCATCCAACTTACCTGAAATTAAACGAATTATATAAATCCATAAAACAATTAATTTTAAAAACATACTAATTATATGCTATCAAAAACCACTCAAAAAGAGTTCCCAGGCAATTTATTCTATTTATAATTAATAATAATCTTATATTTCAATGTTTCCAAGAAGTATTCATCTTTTTTACCTTTTCTTCACTTTATGTCGCTGAATTGTATTTTCAGAAAAAATTGGAAGATTTTCTAGTTATATATAGCATCGAAACTTGAACGCATACAATACGGAAATTGTAAATCACAATCCACCAATCAGAGCTCGGCATTTTTGTATATGGAAGCTAGATATCGATAAAAAAGAGCCAATAAAAGTGCAGAATGGGGGTGTTGATGAATGGAATTTGGAATTTTTTATAAAGAAACTAATAAAAAAAAGGAAGAATGCAAAACAGAAAAGCATTATATTAAAAAGAGGTAAATCTGTGCATTTTTTTTCACGCAGCAGAATATATCAAGAACATATGACAAACGCTTTCAAACTACTTGTTTTTATGTGTACTACTGGCCCCTTATATATTGTATTTTATGTATATTTTTCATATTGTTTTGCGCGTAGATAATTGATAAGGTGCAAATCGCTTATCGTATCAACGTTAATTTTTATAATTGAATACTTAAATACAAAGAGTATTTATAAAAGATAGAAAGATTATTCTTTTTTATAGTTTTAATATATAATATAAAACATATTTAAATGTATTTTTAGAGGAAATTATGTAAAATGAACTTTTGTTTTATATAAGAATCTATTAATGAAACTGTTCAATTCAGAGTTGGTAAAAAATAAAAAAAAAGACAAAAAAGAAAAGAAAAAGAGAAAAAATACAATAAAATGAAAAACTAAATATCATAGAATAGGCATTCATTTAAAATATCAAGTATATGAAAACACGTGACTGAATACGAAAAACCATCTTCAACAGAAATTTATTTGATAAGTTTAAAAAAATACAAAAGACTCATAAAAACGAAAATATGCTTCATGAAAAGTAGTTATTCCTGTTATTTTTTCTAATAGACAAAACAGTATTCTAATAAATCATATAGATCTTTAACATCAAAAAAAAGATCAAGTGAAATATTACTAAAAGACGATAAGAAAAGACATAAAGAATCAATTATAATACAGTGGAATACATCAGATTCAAATGTCTTTCTAAAACCAATATTTTCAGAAACATATTTAACATTATTGTCTAAAGCACTTGATCATCTTAAAAAGGTAGATTCTCGATTTCAAGTCTTATCAGAACGCTTTCCATGCAAACCATTCTCTCCAGAGGGTCTTATGGAACCTGTCAATCCATTCCAGTCTTTATGCCGTGCTATTTTAAGTCAACAATTAAGCAACTCAGCATCAGCATCAGTATATCGAAAATTTATAAAATTATTCTTTCCAGATGAAACAAAGCAGCCCCAGAACAGGGAAAACAAATCATCCGACTCACAAGCTTCGGAAGCAAAAATCTTTCCTATGCCACAAACAGTACGTGATATGTCTCCAGAGAATCTACGTTTAGCAGGATGTTCTTTCAAAAAAATAGAATATATAAAATCACTTGCAAACAATTTTCTTTCTGGAGATCTTTCAGCTGAATTTTTTTCAAATACATCAGACGAGGGAATTATGCAACGTCTTACCACTATCAAGGGCATTGGTCCATGGTCTGCTGAAATGTTTCTTTTATTTTCCTTAAAAAGAACAGATATTTTAAGTACAGGTGATTTAGGAATTCAAAGAGGTATGGCATTAATGAAAGGAAAAAATATATCAAAGCCAAATAAAGGAAAATGGAAATACATGAGTTACGAAGAAATGATAGAAATGGCTGAACCTTGGAGACCATATCGATCCATAGCATCATGGTTCATGTGGGTAAGAGCAATAGATATTTAAATACAAAAATTAACCCTGTAGCGCATAAAAGATACAACATTTTCATAAAAAAGCAATACGTATAAATGCCAATTAGCTTTTTTTTCAAAACACACCACTATTCATTATATTCACCAAAAAAACACCTAGCACCAACAAAGTATCATGTCAATCCATGTTATCTAGAATATATTCATCTTTTTTTGTTAATGTTTTAGATTTTTCTCTAGAATCAAAGTATCTAAATCATGTCGCTCATTCATTTCATTAACTACTTCTTGTAGAATAGGATCAATGTACCGTGTATCCTAAAGCATAGTCAGTACATAAACACTCTCAAATTATGCACAAGACTTCTTCTGCTTTTACCCACTGTTTTTCTGGCAAAAGTGTATGAGCTAACGAACATTGTGAGGCAATACGTAATCGATATACACGATCATAGCCTTCTAGCTTTGGTAACCGTTTTAAAGCACTCTGCATTGCATCATTTTCTTCTGGAATAAGGTCATCATATCTAATACCATATCAAAACAGCTCAAAAAACAGGAAAAAACACATACTTCAATCCAATTTTTCTATATCCTGCAAGATTTACATAACCCTCTGCAATCGGCCGCAAAAAAGTTGCAAGAGTCTTATATTTGAGAACAGTTTGAATAAGTGTTGGTGGTTGCATAGCTTTCTTTATCTTTTTAAAGGCTTTTTAAGCTTTTTGAAATTCTTTTTAATTACGTGAGATCGATATTATGTGTACTCGATAACTTAATAACCTTATAAACAGAAAAGCAAAAAAAAGTATGTTTTTTTTTTGAAAAAGTAATCAGTTATCGCATATAAAAGAAAAACTACAAGTTTTCATGAATAAAAGAATGAATTCATGGAAAAGAGCGGTACAAAAAGCCATTTATTGAAAAAACGGCTTTAAAAATGGATTATCATTGGATAGGAAAAGAAGAATTTAGTAAACGTGTTAAGAAAATACCGGATGAGACATTAACTGCAATTTCTGGTGCATTATCAGGCGTTTTTTCAAGTATTATAGTCTGCCCATTAGGTAAGAAATATATTTCATTTTCGAAAAAAGCTGATATTTTTTAAATTAGACGTGATCAAAACAAGGCTTCAATTAAAATTAAGTACTTTGGTTGTGAACAGAAAGGTGCAAGAATATCAGGGATTCTTTGGTATTATATATCTGTTTTTTCTGCCATTATCAACAATAAATATTCAGATACACTTTCAAAAATTTGGAATGAAAATGGCATTCGAGGATTTTATAGAGGCCTTGGGCCGCTTATGATAGGATATTTACCTACATGGGCCATTTATTTTACTATATATGAGCACTGTAAAACTATTTATAGTCGTTCTTATGGTTCACAACGTAACCATTTCAGTTTTTCTCACTTTAGTTAATAAATAATTAGCTGGTAAACCAGTTTTATGGATAGTAAATATGAAATCAGCTATTACAGCGGGTATTGCTTCTTCTATTTTGACAAACCCTATTTGGATCGTTAAAACCAGGTTAATGAGTCAAAATTCTTATTCACATACATATTATCAAAATACCTTTGATGCTTTTCAAAGAATGTATAAATCTGAGGGAATTTTTTCATTTTATAAAGGATTAACTCCATCTTTAATTGGAGTAACACACGTGGCTATTCAATTTCCTTTGTACGAGCTTCTTAAAGATATTTTTTTTATTAATGTTTCAAATTCAAATCAATCACTGTGTATCAAAGTTATTTCTGCTTCCCTCTTGTCTAAAATGATTGCTAGTTCTATTACTTATCCTCATGAAGTAAAGTGAACAAATATTTTTCAATTTTTTAATTTAATTAAGGTTATTCGCACGCGTATTCAAACTCAAAAACATTATAATGATTCTTCAAAAATTCAATATCGGGGAATATTCCATACTTTTTGTCGAATATATAACGAAGAGGGATGGAAAAGTGTACTTATCTATTTGTTTTAATAAATAAAATTTGAATATATTAGTTTTATTCCGGTATGGGTACAAATCTTATTCGAGCTGTTCCAGCTTCTATGGTTACTTTTTTAACATTCGAGTTAGTAAGTAGATGGCTATTTCGAATTAAACATCACAATGAGCATATTAATTAATATTTGGTTTATATTATTAAGATTTATTAAGATTTTGACATATTTTCAATTAAGTATAATCTATAAATGTTTAGCATATATATAATTTTGAAATATTATAATTTCATTCTTTAACACTAGAATTTGCAAAATTTACAAATCATTATATATGTATCAGGGATAAAACAATTTTTATAAAATATAAATGACAATATAAAATAATGAACTCTATTTCAAATAAATATTCTAGAAACATGAAAAACTTTATAAGTTTTATTTTAAAACATAATTTATAAATTCTTAATATTTTATTATTACATAACATTATGAATCCAAGACTTTTTGTATTTTTAATACAAAGAAAACAGATTTAAAAATATTCATGCTAATATCTTCATTATGTCTTTTTTTTAAAATCAAGAAATATCCCCATTTCTTGTTCATCATTAATACATTTTTCCATAAGAGAATTATCATCCATTATATAATATGTATTATAATTTTCAAATCTTGAAAAATTAGGGAGAGTATGAGCACTTAAATTTGAATATGCTCTTGATCGTGTCATTCTAGGGAATCCAATATTAGTCTCTGTATGAGTAATCGATGGTTCAGAAGATGATAAGTTGCTATTGTCATATTGTTCATATATTATTTTTTTTATATGAGACGATGTAGATACCGATTTAATCTTAGTGTTACGAACAGCGTGCGATATAATATTTAAATTATTTAAACTTTGATCAGGCATTTTTTTCTCTATATTTTTATGAGGAGATAATTGTGCTTGAGACGAACTTATATTTCGACTGTGTTTTTTTAGTCCTATAACAATAGCTAATCGGGAAAATTTAGATGAAAGTTTTGTTAATTTGCGTTTAAGTTTATCAACAATAGAAACAGCACCATCCACTTCTTGTTGTGTAACCTCCAAAAGCTGGTAATTCCTAGGATCCGTTTCTTTTATCCAAGATACCGGGTCACTAATATCTTCTAAAATCCAAGGATGTCGTTTTACTTCTTCTAAAGTTATCCGATTATCTGGATTTTTCTCTAATAATCTTCTCAAAAGATCTTTTGCATCATCTCCTATATCTGGAGTAGAAGGAATTTCAAGCGGCTTTGTCAAAATAACATTCATCAGTTCATATTCTCCATCTGCAGTAAAAGGACAACAACCAAACAAAAGGCAATAAAGAGTAATTCCTAATGCCCATATATCAATCGCTTTAGTAATAGTTGAGCGTTTAGATGGATCTGTAATGATTAAAGTCTATTCTAAAAATAAGAATTTACTACCACAATAACATAATTCCGGAGCAAAAAAAGCAGGAGTCCCTGCTGTCTTTGCAAGCTCTAATTCATTTTCTTCCTCAGATAAACATGTATTGGAATATGAAACACCAAAATCCGAAATTTTTACAACATGATTTTTAGTCCAAAGAAGGTTAGCAGGTTTAATATCCCTATGAATAATTCCTTGATAATGTACTAAAAACAATTATTTCCTCCTAATAAGAACAAAAAACCCACAATATTCAAGACCAAGAACAACATCTCTAAATGTAGATTGAGCTTGCCATATCGTAAGAGCAGGCTTATCGTCAGAAGTTCTCCAAATAACTTCTCCTCCTTCCATGTATTCCAAAACTAGATATATTTTCTTACTCATAGGATCATCCATAACTTCTTTCAACCGAACAACATGAGGGTGAATACATTTTTTCAAAATTGCTATTTCTCTACGAATTTTCTGTTCTTGAGAAGATGTTTCATTTCTCCCAAGACGTTTCCTGGTATTTCTTTCAATAATCTTCAATGCAACATACTCATTTGACAGCAGATCCAGTGCAAGTTTTACTTTTCCATGAACACCACGGCCAATCTCACGAATAATTTCATATTTGTTGATAACTTTCCGTCCACTAGTTAAATTGGTTGTTTTAAGAATATGATTCGTTTCCTTAACACCTCCCCAATTCTAGGAAGATATTAGATCCTAAGCCACTCAAATACTGCCTTTAATTAGACCTGTGTCTCTCTCCATTCACTATAATTAAAAAGCTTTGTAGAACACGGTTTTTTAAAGCAATCGTCTAAAAAATCACCAGAAAATGAAGAAGATGATTTCTTCTTCGATTTTCTAACATATTCTGTGTGTTGAAATGGCATATTCTTCTGTAACATTGGTTGCAAACTTGGTAAAACACGTTTTTCTTTGTATTGTAATAATGGATTATTTTGGCTCATTCAGATAACCAGAAAAAATCAATAGAGGATAAAATTATCTCCTAATAGATCATATTAACTCATAAATATATCTTAACAATTCTACATGCTTATATTCGTTTTCTAATAGATAAGCTGGATCTTGAATTTTCATCGTAGACTATATGGGAAACTTCAAAAAAGACAAGCAAAAATTCGGATTTTTTTTTTCAAACAAAAGTTATAAATCTAATATTTAACTTTACTTTATGATCAAAATACATATATTCTATAAATTCTAGATGTTCACTAATAAATATATCCAAGATAAAAAAAAAATTCAGTTCAATAATGTGTCTTTCATGTCTTATTTGAAGTATTTAAAAAGCTACAGCTACTACAATTGTAAAGATTCAAAGTAAAAACCTTAATGACATTCCCCAAAAATACATAATCATAATTGCCCAATTATTTTTTTATAAGCCAACGTATAAATAATATTATAAAAAAAACTATAATATTCGACGTCCCTCCAGTTCATTATTATTAAAAACGACCAAAACATCAGGCTTGGAAAATATTGCATTGAAACCATTATGTAAAATATATAATATAGATAGGTAACATATATAATATTTACAAGATATATCAAGACCTTAATATAAAAGAACCATTTCACCCAGACACCATCCTATGATATAAAAACTAAATGATTTTTTTAGACCATTGCATCCAAACTGAATCAAAAATATTAAAACAATGTTAATTTTTCCTAATGCATATCGTAAAATATATAATCAAACATTTAATATAAATAACATATGAATAAAATTGCTACAATTGATAGTATAAATACCAAACAAGAAGTCTAACATATTTACAACAGCTAGCCTTGAATTTAGTGGACATGTCCAACTTAATAAAGATCGAAATCGATTCTTAGATCAAATCTATGTCAGAAACAAAAATGCAAAATATTTAAAAAGACCAAATACAATACATAAGAAGGGTCACCAATCATAATATCCTCTTGTCCATAGATGGCAAAAAGCTGCGAGCAGTCTGTCGAGACAATTGGATCATAAGAGCACTTTAAAATATAAATGCCCAAAAAACCAAAATATACAAAAAACTTACTCCATAATAACCAATGCAGTCATTGATTCAACAATTGGAACAGCACGGGGCACAACATTTGGATCGTGCCGTCCTATAAAAACCCTTTAATCACATCAAATCCTCCACAAGCAAAGTATATACCTTGAATTTCAAGAACACCCTCAACACCATCATACATCGCAGTTGCCTGAGGCTTCCCAATACTTGCTGGGGGCTTAAATGCAACTTTGAAAAAAACATGTTCACCATTCGAAATACCTCCCAAAACTCCTCCTGAATTATTCGTAGCCGTCCGCAATGCTGTCCGTGACGGTATTACAGACGCCCCTTGGTTCTGCACTTGCTGTCCCAAAACATAAATATCGTTATGTTTTGATCCTGATGTTTCAGAACCCTTAAATCCAGAGCCAATCTCAAAGCCCCTGGTCGACGGAATTGAAAGCATTGCATGTGCAAGCTTTGCTTCAAGCTTATCAAAGCACGGTTCACCCAAACCCACCGGGAGATTCCTAACAACACATGTAACCGTTCCTCCAACAGAATCCCCACACTGTCGAGCCCGTTCCACGCGCTCTATCATCTTCGCACTTGCCACTGCATCTGGGCATCGTACCAGAGACTTATCTACTTGTTCCTGTGTTATTCCAGCCAAAAATGACAAAAATTCCGCTGTCACAACTTCTTCCTCGTCTGATCTATCCTCATCCAAATAATCTTTTTCTTTTTCAGCTCCATCCTGAGCATTTTCTAGCACACCTTTACAAGCATTTTCCTCCTTAGCACTCCTCCTTAAGTGCATTGCTTGTTGTGCCCCTAGCTGCGTTTCTAGATGCTCTTGCTGCCCTGATTTCTGCTTCTCTTGCAGCGTCTGTCGCTGCATTGCCTCCAAATCCATATGGATACGCCCAATGGACGAGACAAAGGCTACAATTCCAATCCCACAAACCTCCCGAAGATACTTTTCTGCAATTGCCCCTGCAGCCACACGCGCTGCAGTCTCCCGTGCACTGCTACGCCCCCCTCCACTGCTTGCATGGCATCCGTATTTGCACAAATATACTAGATCTGCATGTCCTGGCCGTGGATACTTGCACACAGACAAATAATCATGTTTTCTTGCATCTTCATTGCGTATTCTTAATGCTATCGGCGTTCCCAGCGTCACACCCCCTTCTACACCTGATTCAATCTCCACAAGGTCCTGTTCTAGGCGCTACAAGACTGTCAGTGCTCCTGCACCACCCAATCCAAGAGTCTCATCACAGGCCAGCCAAAAACCAAGCAAAACTGACCAAAAACTGACCAGAATCATGCAAATCTCAAGCAAAAGCATGCAAAGCAGTGCAAAACCCGTATAAAACAGCACAAAAACACACAGTGCCTTACAAACACATGTAGACCATGCAAATCTGCGCAAAAAAGCCGGAAAAAACGCACAAAGGCCATGCAAACCCCGTAAAACATCGTAAAACCCCATAAAACACCCTGTAGAAGCCGTGCAAAGCCGTACATGGCTTGCAAACCACCCAGACTTGGGAAAACCGGGCAAAACACCTCTGTCCAGCCCAAAACTGTTTATTCTCTGCCTGCCACTGCCTGCTGCTGCTTGTGCCGCCTATATGCGCCTGTAGCTGCTTCTTACCTGCGTCGTAAGCCTCGACTGCCCCGGACGCCGCCGCCAGAGTTGCTGCTGGATGTCATCCGCTGTCAGCATCAGTCCAGGCGGCACTCCATCAACAATACACCCGACTGAGCATCCGTGGGACTCGCCATACGTCGTTACACGGAAAAGCGTCCCAAATGTTGACATATCAGACACAAACTTCGGACAAATACCGATCTATGCCTCCAAATACACACATTTGCGACATATATGCGCTTCAGAACCGCATATATACGCTCAAAGACCTCTCTACGTGTCCCTTCTCAGCCTCTCTTGCGGACACCGCATCTATCTATTCACCCTCCGCGGCACCCGTAAATACCGCAAACACCGTAAACATTGTAAGTACCCCAAACACCAGATGCAGCACCGCATATACTCAGCAAAACCCCTTATATACCCTATATATGCGCTCATATACCCTCTATATGCGCCCATATTCACCGTTTATCCAACCTTTTTTCTCCCATTTATCGCCGCCTCACAAACACCTGTACCGCTCTAGCATATACAACGTGTCCAATTACTCTCTATGCGTGTCCACTCCACTTGGATCCCGTGCGTGTCTCATACTCCTACCTGCACCCTATCGTGCCTAATCAGCAGGTCTATGCGTCCAAGCACCCAGTAGACAGTTAAATCAGCGCCTATATGCGCCGATATACCACATATATGCGCCCGTTCTCCCCATATGCCCTCCCAAGACGGCATGGATGCGTATCTCCGCCCTTTGCCCTCCTCTAAAGCAGTGCGGGGTGCGCACGGGTGCGGCACTCGTCGCCGTGCGTGGCGTTTTGGCGCTTCACTAGAAAACGCTTAGCCCGGACACTCGATAGACGGAAACGGAGAGTCTACCGTGCCGAAAAAGTCATTGAAGACGCCCGCTCAACCAAGCACGGTTGGATTTGCGGAGCAGCGGCATTATCGGCCTACGGGCAGAGCGGTGAAGAAGATTAGTGTAAAATTTGGAGCAAACAACGTGAGGCAAAAAAACAAGAATCAAGTCAGATAAAGAGCGCATACAGCACGCATACACCGCGCATATACCACACATATACAGCGCATATACACTCTACAATAGCACACAGCACGCATATACACCGCATATAACGCATATAACGCATATACCGCATATACCGCATATACCGTGTACACAGTATACACAGACAACACGTGCATAGTGCATATACCACGCATAGAGTGCGCATATACGCCGTATACTAGGTGTTTCAGCACTTGTATGGGCCTTAGAACTCCATTATAAGCAAACAGTACAGCTAAATACTCTGTACACTCTGTACGTTCTGTACGTGCCATTATTCGGCGTCTAGAGGCGCCATATACTTGGATCAGGCACAGAAGCACTTGATATTGTTTTGGAGCAGATATTTTGGAGCTTGGAGACTCTAAACGAGGCGGCAAAAGAGGCCCCACAGGCGCACAGGCCAGAAGAATGCGTGCGCCACTGATTGAGGCGCCAATAGCAGGGACAACATGTGGATTCTGTGAGGGATATAGCCGATCAGACTGTGAATCTGTGCCCCGGGCAGCATGTACTTTGCAGCCGCTGCCATCGCCGCCACGAGATGATGCAGCTGGAAATTTCAAGATGCAGACATGCCGACAAAGCTCCCATGCAGCATCTGGAGCCTCTGGCCCAGCAGGAGGCACTGGGCAGGAGCACCCGGAAATATGTGCAAAGCACATGCATGGGGTCCACGGAGTACCCTTGGTGCATGAGGCACAAGAATTAGATTTCCGAAAAACACCAGGTTTATACACGGGATCAGGTCAAGAAATATATACAGGAGAAGGGGGACCTATGGGGGTTTCTGATACATTTGAATATTTACATTGTTTGCCGACTCCAACAACATTGGGGTCGACACACTGGACATACCCGGAATATGGGTATGATAAGCTTGGAGGATGTTCAGGAATGCCTCTGCAGCAGATGATGTTTCAGGAATATCCGGGGTTTGTCCATGGATATAGAGAAGGAGGGATGGAAGGGCCAGGAGGGCCGGGGATGGGGAATAAAGAGTATGGATATATGGGATATAAAATGCCGGGAGAGATGTTTACACCGGGATTGATGCCTATGTATGAGGGGACAATGGGGGGGCCTGTAGGAGGGCCGATGATGATGCATGGGATGGGGGCAGCATGTGGATCCCCGTTTCATATGGGAACGGGATTGTATGGGGAGCCAACTCCGTATAGTCCGACGCTAAATAGCCCGCTGGAGATGCAGGGAATGGGAGAAATAGGGTATGAACATGGGATCCATCCTCAATTTAAGGAACACGGGGGAGATATGTGTTTTAACGGGATGATGGGAGATGGAAGTTATGGACCGGGACTGCATGGAGGGGCAGGAGGGCAAAGAAAGTGCTACAAGATGCATGGAGGGGGCCCGTTGGGCCACTCGGTGAAAAAACCGGGAGATTCGTTGGCAGTGAGGCGGGGGAAGCCGATAAGTTCATTGGTTAAGTCGTATGCACCATTGCCAGAGTCAACATTAAGGTACAGGACATGTTTGGATCAGTGCCAAGTCTCAACAGGGATGTAGATGCATTGTGGATGAGTATCTTTCGCTAAGTCCGTCGGAATTGCAGAAACACAAGTATACGGTGATGATTTATACGAGCAAAGTGGCACAAAAGAGTTATGGGACGGAAAAAAGGTATGTTTGTTCATTTGTTTGAAAACGGGCAAGAATCCCGCTTACACTGAGACACAAGGTATTTATGCCCGCCTCCTTACCTTCGACTTCTTGGGGCAAAATGGTTCGAAAGTTATTTGCAAGATGTGCATACCATAGAATCGATGTTTTCACGAACGGGTCAAAACGAGCATCCGTATTCAATTGATCTAGGCAGTCGGGGACTCGAAGCATTCATGGATATTCATGTTACATCGTTGCTTTTGGACGTGGAAGAGAGTTTCAGCGTTTCGTCAATGGACTGTTATTGCAGCGATGGATCTGTATTTAGACCGGGTCTTGGAAAGGCATTGCCCGTTTGGGGGAAAACACATCTTAGAACAATGTATATTTCCGATCGCAAGGAAAAAATACGTTCTACGTGTTTGAAAGTGCAATTACACAGGAAAAACAAGGAATCATTTAATTTCGCTCAATTCCAGTCTTCTCCCATATGTATCATATCGAAAGCACCTCAGAAAAAAACAAGTAGTAAGAATAACGACAGTATGGAACCCTTTATTTTCCCTTTTTGTTCGAATTTGCTTACTTGTGTTTGTACAGTGTTAATTTACCACGGAAGCATGATTGCTTTGTTTAACCGCTCGAAAGCACAAACCAACCGTATTCGGTTTCTTGGATCATCATCTGCGAATTCTGTCATAACGAATAACGTTTTATCAGGAACCAAAGGGAGTTATGATATAGAATTAAGTTCTCAAACGACCTATTTAACCGCAAATTCACAAGCATGGGAACCGTTTCAAATATGGGCTTTGGATTTATTTATTAGCCCGACTTATTCTACTGGGCCGAATCAATGTTCAAACTTGATTCGCTTTAATCAGGTGGTCGTTTTGCAGTGTTGTACGACAGGATTGTTAACCGCACCATTGATTATTCGTCGAGTTGACGGTCGAAATACCGTTATCAAAACACAAGAAATCATAAAAAATACCGACTATAAAACTTTAGTAGAAAGTAATGAACCGGTTAATTCATTACAAAAAGTAGCGTTCCAGATTTATACCGATGATTCCAATTTATTATCTGATATATACCTTACACACCAAGATGAAAGTATTATTATGCAACCTGCACGGCTTCTGGAAAGAGATGGGACAGGTTTGGGGTTTCCTGATTTTGATTCATCTTCCAGGATGCCCATTCAAAATTCTTTATGGGACATGTCTAATGCTAATTCACATCTTGATACCTTTTTCCCTCAAAAAGATTTATTGGATAATACCTATAATAGGCTATTTTCTTATCATGATTTTATACAGAAATATGGTCGACATAGAGCGGATGCTTTAAGTAATAGTATGCTTCCGGAAATTCAACACAAACACAGTCCTTTATACATAAATCCTATGTCTTGTCAGAATTCACCGATTGATAAAAATGGACAGGTTCCGATAGACGATCTCACCGAAAATACAGAGAATGTGTTAGAGAATGCAGTTTGGAATATTATAGGAATATGTAAGACATTTGCTGTTCATTAAATCCTTGCATCCCATTAACGTGTAAATATAGCGTCATCTGAATCATCTTTTTACATTTCTCCAAAATCCAAAGTTAACGCTGTTGGACTTGTTCCAGTCATTAAAGAAGTCAAATACCTTTCCGTAAATATTATCCAAATTATTGGTCAACATATCACTCAATCATATTCCATATGGATTAGTGGTAAGCCGTGTAGGATATTCCGATTTTCCGTATTTTTTGCAGATGATAATTCAAAGTTCGTTGATTTGCAATGTATTTTACACCCTCAAATTCAGCCGCAGAGCCCAAATTATATATTATTAGTTCGAAATGACGGTGTTATTTTTGATTCGGGAAAACATTTATAACCGATATAATTTTTGGAATAGATATCTTATTAATTATTTGTTTAATAATTCCTAATAGTCGACACACACATCTCAGTCATTAATACTCTGTTTTTAATAGGTTTGTATATTATTACGATTTTTAATTTATTATATATAATGAGATATATTATTTATAAAATCAACAATACTCGGGTATTTTATTTGTATTTTTATAAATTATTGTAGAATATATATTCTATTGATTATATAATTAAAGAAAGTCTTTAATAAAACAATTCTATCTTTTTTTCTACTTTTAATTCGTTTGATATTAAATGTTTCGAAATCCTAACTTCTAATGTATCAGTAAAAAAATCAATCCATTAAGAATTAAATGTCACTTTACGGGAAAATAAACTTCAATAATCCGTCTAAAAACAATGATATCAATAAAGGTTTCTTTAAATTTAAATAATGTCTTTTTTTCCTGATTTTATAAGGATCTATTGAACGAGAACCTATTACTTATACAGAACAACAAACTGAAGTTAAGAAAAGCACAATTACACAAGAAATAGATGAACATAGAAGAATGACATCAGCTGGTATTATTTTACGCTTTTTTACCGAATTTTAATCAATTAATGACTGAAAAAATAGCATTGCAATTTCAACCTATTCGTAGACCTCCACAAGCAAAAAAAAACATAAAAAAAACTATTTCTTCAACATCCTCATCTTCAGCTGTGTCCGTACAACCACATATTGTCCTTCAGAATGTCAGTAGTTTAGATTATTGGAGTCACAAAGATGAAGATATAAATGAAAGCTATGATGGAACAGAAAGTCGAAAAGCAGCAAAAAACCGTAAAAAAAAAAAAAAAATAAAAGATAATGAAGTAGAAATGATATTGTGGGATGATCCATATGATCCTTTTAAACCAAATGATTATGAAGAATACAAAATGAGTGATGAAGCAATTCAAGAAATGATTGATTGGAAAAATAAAAAAGAAGGAAAGACTAACGTAGACAATACAGAAAAATACAAAAATATAGGTACATCTTTTTTATTTTCGAAATTTGTTTTCAGACTTAGTAGAACGATTTGCTCCTCCCGCAAGTTATTCTCCACAACTTTCAAATACATTTCCAGAAGATGTTACTCCAATTAACAGTATACCTTCTATATCGTTAGATGAAACGGCAGAAGAAGCATATGCTCGGCGCGTTGCAATGTCACAAAACAGAGATATAGTAATAAATCAATCAAATTATTCTAGTGAACCTTCATATGAAAAAAATACATCTATTTTATCATTGCCATCTACTATAAAAAATACAAATGATCAGAATACTGAAAATTTAGTCAGTGAGGCAATGGATCAACCTATAGATACCTTTAATGATGAAGAGCATACACAAACTTTAATCAACAATATTACTATTACTCGAGAGCCCCAAATTTATAATACAAATACAGCTAATACAGAAGAAACTGATTTCAAAGAAAGCAACTATGAAAACTTAAAAAATTCTGAGTCATCAGAAGCTCAAAATAATTCTAATATGCCTGGTCAAAAGAAGTTTGCTGAAAGATTAATGAAAAAATATGGATGGGAGAAAGGCAAAGGCTTAGGTGCATCTAATGATGGAATTGTCAATCCTTTGGTTGTAAAACATTCAAAAGATCGCAAAGGCACAGGTTCAATAATAAATAAAAATCGTTCTTACGAAAAAACTGGAAAATTTGGAAAAATGAGCAAAGTAATTTTGTTAACGAATGTTTCCGAATTAGAAACTTTAGATGATGATTTATCGCAAGAAATAGGGGATGAGTGTAACAAAAGTGTAAGTATATCTTTGTATTTATCTAATATATTAAATTTCAAAGTATGGAAAAGTTGAACGATGTTTTGTATACAAAAATATTAACAGCTCTTTAACTAGCGATATTGTAAGAGTATTTGTTCTTTTTACTGATGCTATTAGTGCATTAAGGGTTAGTCAACGACACTTTGTATTTAATATTAATATATTAAGGCCGTCAATGCCCTCGATGGTAGATTATTTGGGGGTAAAGAAATTAATGTTAGATTTTATGATATAGATAAGTTTGAAAATGGTCAATACGACGCATAAATTTTTTTACAAATAATATTCAAATTTGTATATTAATAATTTTTGGTGATAATTATATTTTAGTATTTTTGAATATAAATAAATCATTAAGAAAAAAATTATTCTAAAACTTTGAAATAACTCAAAACCTAAAGTACTAAAAATAAATAATAATATCTACTCTTAAGGTTACAAAATAAACAGCATTTTATAGACAATATATTTATAAATTAAAATTATCTATATAATCTTATTTTTTAACCATCATTTCCCTAATTTCGTTATTAAAAACAGTTTATAAAAATGTTTAGTTGATATATTTCTTTTTTTTGTTTTATTACTGTAAAACCATGTTTTTTTATCAAACGTAAATCGATGAAAATGATATTTAAAATAAAAAACGAGTAAATAATGTTATTTTTTTTATCAAAAACACAAAAAAATACTTACAAACTAATATGTTTTTACTGCAATTTCTCTTTCTCAAAAAAACTCCAAAAAAATCCAAAAGAATGGCTTTGTCCAAAATGCCAAGCAAAAAATTATTTAGACAGCGTAAATTACCATAAATATAGTTAAATATGATTCTAACAGACTTTTCCTTAGAAAGGGAATATTATAGATGTACCTCATCATATTGTAAATATGAATAAAGATTCAAATATACGCTATAGTGTGCCATCATTGAAATCAATAGAAGAATCACCATTTTGTCAAACATGTATAAAAAATCATTCATTTATTGTCAATTCTCTAGCATCTTATCTTCCCTCCGAAGACCATCCGGATTACCATGTTTACTTATCAGCATTTCCATTATATCGGGCATTTTTGGAAGAACAATATCCCGTAGTATGTGATCTCTGTTCTTCTCGTGTACAAGAACATTTAGCAAAAAAGAATTATATTGCAAAATCCAATACTCTTGCAGGATGGCTTTTGAATAGTAAAAAAACGATTGATTCAAAACGTAGTTTACCTCAATCGTTTTTACGGATCCGTCTTTTTATTTGGGGTTTACGGGGCATAGGATGGTGGATAGTTACATGTTCTATGGTTGTGTATTATATTTTAGGTTATTTTCTAAGACTATGTTTTTTTTTTTAAACAACATAGGCACTTTTATTCCAAGTGTTTTTTTAAAAAGTCCATCTCAAACAACTTCGTTTTGGAATATAAAATTTCTTTCTCAATGTTTAACAATAGCTTTTCATAGGAAAAAATCTTTTAATAATTGTTTACTTTTTTATAAACTTTTTATTAGGAAATCAATAATCTGGGGTATTTTTGTTATTTTATGGGATTATACCTGGGTTTCGCAAATTTTGAAACCAGATCATCGTGTTTTTGGGAAGAATTATTATTATGTATTAATTATGTTTTACATATATTTCTAATTAAAATATAGATATGTCAAATATTTATTCATATTATTCGTGCTGCAGCTGAATTTATAGTCTCTGAACGAATATCAGATACTTCAATTTATTCAAAAATTAATATTGCTCTTTTTTTTATTTCTATGGCTGTAAGTTTTTTGTTATAATTGTATTTTTTTAATAGTTTAGCATTTGGCATTAACATTTAAATGTGTTTACCTTATTCCTCCTATATCGATTAGTTTATATGATTCAAATTCAAAAGATCTACCAATAGAAAATGAACAAAAGACAAATACTGAATTTAAAACAATGGAAAAAATATCTTGTACAGATAAACATGATAAAAATTTATCACCTTTAACTATTAATCATAATCCAAAAGGAGATCAATATGATACAGATTCTTGCGATGATTCTATGCAATTAGATCCACCTGAATCATTACCTCTTAGAATGGATTCAAAAGATATTCATATATATAATTCATCATTTAGTTTTCCTAAAGGAATAAGTTTACCAATGTCGCCATCTAGTGCATTTATTCATTCTAATATTCATCAATCGAATAAAAGTTTTAATTCTCAGAACTATTTCCTAAAATCAAAATCCAGTCTATTCAAAACTGATCAAAAAGAAAGTGATGATGAAATTGCGCCTCAGAGATTTTTTGCTCCAGAAGCAAGTTAAACATTCTAAAAGTACATTTATTAATATTTTTTTAGCAACCAACAGGATTAGAAACTATTTTCTCTCCTGCCTTAAGACTTGATGATGAACCATTAATTGTGCGTGCTTTAAGAATAGTTAAACATCGTAAATTACAATGGATAGAAATAATTTCATTATTTTGGACTCTCGAGATAATCATTATTAATATTTTAAATTTGGGAAGAATTTCATATTATTCTTCTTTCATAGGTTCATTTGGTATAACATTTAGTCTAGGAAGCAATTTCTGGTTTCTAAAGGTTTGTTATTTATTCATTTATTTATACTTAAATCATTTAGAGGGCATATATAAAATTAATTTTTATTGGAACAATAATTTCGTTTTTTTATTATCTTTTTATTTATATTAATCATTATAAAAATTTTGAAACATTTCTACAAACATCAAAGACATTCTTTTTGTGTAATGCTTTGATTACTGGGTTCTATTTTTGCTACAGTTTAAGAATATTATGGATTATGCACTCTTCTTGGAATCATATACCTTCAAAAACAAAGCAAAAATCAACACGGAAACATCAAAATAAAATATGGGGTAGTTATACTTATAACAAATAAAACATGATAATACATATAACTATAGATATAGTTTTTTTATATAGACTTTTATATAATTACAAAAAACATTTAATATGTATAATATTTAAAAGCCAAGAGCTTTTATAGCCATTTGAAGTGCACCCTCTTTTGTTTTATTTCCTCCAGTAAACCCACTTTCTAATAAGTAATTAAAAAATAACAAAAATTATATTTACCTTGCATGTACAAAAACACAATTGTCTATATTAGATTCTAAACAGAGCGCTTTATCTCTTAAACCTCTCCAATTTTCAGGTAAACCTAATATAATTAATTATTTCTTTATTATTTTAAAATACATACCTTTTCTACTTGTAAAACTCTCAGGTGCTATAGGAACAGCTTGAACCCTCCAATCTTTACCATCTGTATATATCACATATAAGATTTGACCACACGTATTAAATTCACTTTCAATTTGAAATAAATGTGACTATTTATTTAAATAAAAACATGTTTATCAATATTACAAACCTTCCATGGCAAAAACTGTTCAAAAACAACAATTCTTCCTTTAGAATCATATTCAAAACGTTTTTTAAAAGCATCAAGAACTAATTCACGAGCTACAATCCAAGCTTTTCCATAATAATCTAAATGATCTAAAAAAATAGCTCCAATAAACTCACTAGCCTTTAAAAATTTACTAAATAGAATATTATCATCAGTAGGCTGATTCCACCAACTATAAACAATCAGTATAAAAAAAATATTTAATTTTCTAACGGATTAAAGTTTGCAACTAAAGAAGACAATTCAAGCTGTGTTTTAAACAACGGTCTTACATCATATGGATATGCATTAATTCCATTATCATTAGCATCAATTGCTTCCAAAAATGACTAAAATTCATATATCATCAACGAGAAAAAATTTATAATTACCTCATACAATTTAACATAAAGAACATCAACATATGGATGATCTAAATCCAAATCTAATCTATAAGAAATAATCCGTTTTCCAAAATGCCTAAAATATTATTTTAAATATAAAATAATAAATAAATGTTAAAAACTTAAAAATTAATCCAGAACTACTAAGTTTAGTTCTAAAATTTTCTGAAAAAGTTTCATTAAAACATCTTTGATGATGATCAAAATATTTTACACCATCATACTTTCCATGAACATCGACAATAATATCACATGTTTCAAGTATTTCTGGATCCCGAGATCTTACAATTTCTACAATAATCAACATAAGCCATTAAAGCTGTTTAATAAAAACTCGAATCTTTAAACTCAGGAAGCAATCTTAACATATATACTGCAAGACAATCATCTGCATGAAACGTTCTGATAATTAATATAATCCATAGAATAAATCAAATCTTTGCAATACCCACTATGTGTTCCAATAGTTTTCACCGCCATTTTAATAACTTTTTCATAAAAAGTAGCAAAATAGACCCTTTTTATATTCAATGTTTAAAAGTAAAATACCAACTTTATAAAATTAGTAAAAATTAATCATTATTAAATCAAAAAAACCAAAAGGAAAACAAAAATATACTTATAAATAATAAGAACAAATTTTAATATATGTTTTCTTGTTAAATATTTGTTAATTTTCAAAAATTTAAAAACTTCATTTTTTGTACGTCTAATTATCAACTACAGATTTTCATGAAAATTTCAGATATCCATTATTCATAGAAATAAGAAAATAAACATACAAAAATATAAAATCCTTACAGGAATATCTATAAAGACAATATATATACATATATATAGCCATTAGTTCTTTTTCTCCTGAGTTTTAATACATTTTTTCATAAAAATGGGTTTTATTTATATCTACTTAAAAACACTTTTATCTACAATTTCTTTTGGACAAGTAAGCATTGAAAACTCATATTACAGATGCTTTTAAAAATACTAATTAATCCATAAGCTCATTTTAACTATTGCACTTGCCTTCGACTTGGGAGGACGAACATCAGGGCTGGTATAAAAACAAGCAAAAACGAGTAAATAATATTAATATTTAATTGAAGGCATACACATTATCACTAGAATTCCTTTATTTCTTTATCTGTTTACTTTCTATTATAACAAAACGTTCAAAAATGAGAATATTAGTACAAATTATCATGTTAAGTCAATTTTTGGTAGTACCTTCATTAATGATTTATTTTTTGGATACAATTTCAGAAAAATCACCACATTCTTGGTTTATTCGTTTTATAACTAATACATGGCTTGCATTTCTGACACGATCAACTCCTATTTTTACATTATTGGAAGGATTTACATCTTTACTTGTCATTCAAGCACTTGGACAATGTATCAAATGGCTTGTGAATAATTCTTCAGACTCATGGATGGTATAGCTATGAAAATTATTTGATTTGGTAGAATAATAAAAATAGATTATTCTTCTTTCTGCATCGGGAGGAATTCTTTCTGCATCTTTTTATTTTCTTTATCAGATATATACGACTCTTGTTGTGAGTATACAGAATGCGACGTTGATAGGTATTCTTTTAACATGTGCCGTATTCATTTCTACCTATGGGATTCATACTGGACGAGGAAATGTCGCAGAAGGATCGCTTTTAGTATGCATAGATACAAAATATTTAAATTATAATTAACATTTACAAATAGTTCGCATATTTGGTATATTCCATATATATGATATGTAGCAATCTTCAATCAACAGGTGATATATTAAGAGAAAGGAATATGACAAAAGAAGGGTTTATTCTTCCATTTCCTCCTATTATTATGGAAAGGTAGAATATTATTACAGAAAATTGTTCAAGAAATCTTATATTTGTAGTTATACAACAATTGTGTCTTCAATTGCATTTAAAATACCAAAAACACTATGGCGCATGTTATTTTTTTTAAGAGCAATTGCTTCTACTATCACACCAAGTATTGTTACATCACTTGTATATCGTCTAAGTGTCCTTTATGCAGCAACTCGTATTGTGCCAGCCATACGATGTGTTTCTCAGGGCGTGAAGCATGTTCCTTCTCTAGATGATGAAGAGCCTACTTCACGAATTATGGGTCTTTTAATATCATTCTCTCCTTGTATTTTAATTGCAGTATATACTCATTTGCTTTTACAACATTTTTCTCTTCATGGTCATGATGCACAAATATTTGGTATTCAAATGGGATCCGTACTACTTTGGCGTTGGTTAACAGCCTTTATGGTTGTTGGGCTTTATGCCATAGAAATATCTTTAGGGGATGAAACAGCAGGTGATATCTTAATATCGAATTGGAAAACGGAATAGAATATATTTCATATCTATTTTTCAGCATTCTTTAATCTAGCAATATTTGTTAATAACATCTATTGTCTAACTAACATAAAAAATTATTTTATGTCTCACAGGCTTAAATAAGTAAATTTCATATCTTTATTTCATATGAAAGTTATATATAGAAAAATCATACTTATTAAATGGACATATTTAAATCATACGTTAAATAATTCAATCTTAAATTTTATTAGGATTTTATGAAGAAAACATATTAAAAAACAAAAATTAAAAATGAGCATGGTAGAACAAAAAATACAAATTGGTATGTATCTTAATAAATATATATTAAAAGCGATGCAAAATATATTGTACGTAAAAGACGAGGTAAGATAGATATATAGAAAAAAACATACAAGTTCATATAAATGGAAAAAGATTATATAATAAATCAATGTCAAAGCACTAATGTAAAAACAAAACCTTATGCCACAATAACAATCCTTATTATGGACTATAAAAATCCTCATGTTTTTTACACAATTTATATAGTATTTTGGGTCAACATAAATTCTATACAAAAACATAAAATCAAATAGAATGCTTCCTGCATTTCCATTGTCATCTATTATGGCGTATATTTAAAATATCTTTAAAAAAGGCTTATAACGTAACAAACACATGTTAATAAAAAAGAACAAAATCCTTTATTAATATTCATCATAAAAATAGATCTCCATCAATAATAAACACATCCCAAGCGATCCTATTCATAACACATACAATTGTGTCATTAAGTACATTTAATGTCTTTCAAAATTAAGATCGCGGCTTCTCTTTCTTTTCTTTCCACAATGCCAGAAGAGATACACCCGATACTTTAACAATTTTAAACCGAACACCAGGAATATCACCTAAAACCATTTACTTGAAAAAATATATTTCTGCCAAATTACCTTTAGCTTTTCCTTTTCTCCCAAAACCCGCAATTAATACTTCATCATTCCTAAAGACTATATCAAACAATGCCGACACAAATATAGACAATATACTCATCCAGAAAATTCAAACACCCATCATTTGGGACAAATGCTGTTATTTTCTTCCCATTTTTTATCAACTGACAGCGTACGCACTTACGAATCGCTGAATTGGGTTGTTTAGCTTCAACACCAACTTTTTCAAGCACAATTCCTTTTGCATGAGAGCTCCCTTGAAATGGAGAGGATTTTAATAATGTTCCTAATAATCTTTCTTTGTATGTTTTATTTGCCCTGAAAAATCATCAAAATCTTACAAGAAAAAGCCAAAAAAAAGCCAAAAAAAGCCGAAAAAACAGGCAAAAAAAAACAGAAAAAGTCAAACAGGAACATACCATCGTTCTTCCCTTCTATACGTTCTCAACTTCCGTGCAGCATTCAGACCGCGCGGCTTTCCCATTTTTTTTTAAAAATTTGATTGTTCGACGTGACCGCTCTCTAAAGACATCTTTCAAATAAAAAACCAAAAACTAGCAAATAGATAGAAGAATATAGAAAACCACATCGCTGCATCTTATCTATTGTAAATAATGTTCCTCAGCAGTATTCTTGTAAAAATAGTAATATTTGACTCAGTGTATATCCACCAAGAAATATGTAAAAAATACCATTTCAGCACTGACTCTAAACCAATAAAAACGTAAATATGCTATTTAAGTATTTTCCTTACTAGAACAAACGCAGATTGTTTTTTGGTTTTTTATGCATTTCGTATAAAATATAAATTGAACAATTAGACTTTTTAAACAAGATTTTGCAATAAAATAAAACATACCCATGCTCTTTAGACGCATTCCACAGTGTTGTTAACATATACTTTTTGTTTCGGTATTTTTTGCACAATTAATACATAAAAACCCATTTATTCCTCAATATGTGCCTGTAAAACCTTCGATGGATCACGTTTTACCTTGATAATCATAGGCAACGCAGGATTCTGTGTATCTGGTGTGTATTGTGCACGTAAAACCTCTGTATCATGTTCTTGTTCTTTTTTCTTTATTTTTTCCCATTCTTCAGACAAATTTTGCCGCTGTTTATATATTTGCATACAAGACTCCTGTAAACACTGTGTCTGCTTCTTCAGACATGCAATTTCCTGCATTAAACGTATTGTTTTTTCCGTATATACTGGTATATTACGTATCTAGACATTTTACTAATATTGCTAATGCTCAAAATGCTTTACATTTGATATTACGTCTTGATATTGCGTAATCTGTGCAAAAACAGCCTCTTTTGAACGTATACATTCCATGATTTCAGCCTGTTTTTCACTAAAATATGTAAATAATAGACTTATATTAAATGCACTTACAGTATACTTTGAGTTCGTTTTTCAAGACGCCGTATTACATCCAAAACATATATTGTTAATGGCTCTTGACTTATACTATGTTCTGAAAGAGAATCCAGAGATGAACTCATCAATTGACTTTTAAACAGAGTTATATATATCCTTTTACAAGTATATCTATATCTTTATACCAACTATCTTAAATGTATATCATTTATACATCCTATGTATACCGATAAAGAATATAGAGAACATATTTTTAGGAAATGAAATAGTTATATGACAAATGAATAAGAAACATAAATATGTTTTTAAATATCCTATGTATTTCTAAATAAAAGTATACGATATATATTATAAAACATACAACTTAAACGGGTTTCTAATAAATACAAATATACAACATTATATCTTTTATTGATATTTAATACAGAGATTTTCCAGTAAGATATAAAATATAAATATCCCAGCTATTATACAGTATAGCTTTCAACATATGTATAAATATTATACTTATCTAGAAATATTATATAGATTCATATACAACTTTTTAAATATATTTTTGATATAAAAACCTTGATAATTTGTAATAGTTATTATAAAGTCTATATCCATAAAAATAGATAAATAAATTCCAGGGCGCTAAAAAGCGTGATAATAAATAATAACAAACCATGAATAAATCATAATCAATGATGCATTATTAACTCAAATATATAATTTAATCCATGCTAAATAATTAAGTAATTTTCATAGTAAAAACAAGATCCTCATATTTAACTATTTGTAGATTTTAGTTCCCAAATATTTATATTTGCATCATCACCACCAGTAAAAATATATTCGGTGTCAGAAATATTGCCAAAGATTGAACAGTTTAATTCATAAACATCATGTGCATGCTTTTGCAAAGCTTCAATAATCCAGTGCTTCTCGTCTTCCTTATATACAACCAAATTACCATCGGATCCACAAGAAACGACTTTTCCTGATGTTTTGCTCCATGAAACCGAATAAATAGCACCTATATGAACTTTAGGCAAAACTGTTTTTTGAACCCAAGTTTCCTCAGAAGACACAAGAATAGGCATCACATTCAACTGGTCCTGAGCGACAAGTTCTCGTTGCCATATTCTAATCGTCTGATCATCAGAAGAAGAAACTAATACATATTGAACTACAAAAACATAGAATATAATAATAAGTACCAAGTCTCGGATTATGTGATAGTCCACTTTCAAAATCAATACACCAAACCGTACTATTGTGTCCAGATAAAGTTGCGTAACATTCCCAGTCATCTTGATTATCTTTCCAAATTTTAATCGTGTTATCATAAGATGCAGATGCCAATCGCTAGAACCAATAGGTTAATATAAACATATAGACAAAAATATAAAGACTTCATCCTCAGGATGCCATAAAACCATCTTTACATCTTGTGTATGTTCCTGAAGCACAGATAAACAATCAAATTCATTATCTTCTTCAGCTATAAAAAATGATTAGTAATATATATGTGATATTACATATAGCAACCTTCCCAAATCCAAACACTTTTATCTCGAGAACATGTTGCAAGCAGCCCACCATCTGATGACCATGCAACACTTTTTACCTCACTTTCATGTCCTTCTAATGTTGCCACGCATTCCCATTCTGATTTATCTTCGCAATCAGGTTCCCAAATACCTACTGTACCATCGAAACTAGCGGTTGCAAGAATAGGTCGTTCTTCTTTTACATGAGGCTTCCATGAAACAGACCGAATACTTCGTTGATGATTACCTTCCAATGTTGCTATACAACGACCGTTTTGTATCGACCAAATTTTCACAGTTTTATCAGATGATGCAGAAGCCAGCAAAGGAAGTGTTGGATGCAAAGAAATGTTCCATATACGCTCAGTATGACCAGAAAGTGTCTGTATATGTCGAATATGAGTCATTTTTGTTGGTAATTAGTATATTTATACTAATATGATATACAATTACGTCAGTCGAGGCGAATAATAAAAATAAACGTTTAAAAACAATTATCCTTTACCACGGTATATTCGATGTAAAATAGTTTTCATGAGGTTTACTGCATTGATATAAATATTTCTTATGTTGATTTACATAAAGATTTAAAAAACAATGCTAATCAATGATTCCATATGATTCCTGTTAACACATCATCTACCCACAATGTTTCACGATTGATAGCAGAAACAGCAGTTTGATTAGTTGTCATTGTAGATGGATGGATGCTATATTGGTCTTCGACTGAAACACTAACTGATTTGGAAACGGTTATACCAAATAAACTTGGATCAAAATTTTCCTCTGATTTCTTTATACTCGTAATGACAGGATAAGATGAATGGGAAGTCTGGACACGTTCAAGATCATTAATAATAGGAGAAAACTCGCGTTGTACGTCTTGTGTGAATAATACTTCTCCATGACCTAAAACGGACCATTGATGTGCTTTGAAAAGATTGAGTGGCATAAATTTAATGCGATCATTAGTTTGCAAATAAACATGAATTGGTATAACATGGCGGAATATAATAAGAGTTGCATATTTTCCTTGGTATTGGCCTGAGCATGGAACACGTATGAGTTCTGGGATTAAGACTGCATCTTGAAAAGTGTATTCATCAATGCACTGACTAATATGGATTAAGGAATCTTTCAGTTCCGCTTTAAATAAAGATATAGAAGAATCAAAAGTCTGCTGTTGACCAGATTGATTTAAAAGCTGAAATACTTGTTTAGCTGTCATGTTTTCGATAGATTTTAAGAACATTATTTGTTCCTGATCAAGGATTCGATGCGATAGTCTTTTACCTGGTATCATAGAATCATTTTGTTTATCCACCACGATTTTCAAGCCATTGTGTACATGTGCTTTTACGGCGAAAATACCTACATAAATTCCTGGCTTATACGAATCACTATTTAATTGATATTGTTTCATGCATTCAATATATTCTGCAATTTCAACTTTAGGAACCTGAAGTGACCGAGCAAGTCCATCTAAAATCAAATGCACCTGTGCAAATCGAAATCCATATGATAAATATCGACTACATTCTGCTCGACTTGCATGTTTAACAAGAAACAACATTTGGCCTTTTCCATATAATCTTAGCACCGGCTTAGGTGACCCATTCTCTTGTTTCGTCGTCCGTTCCTTTTTTTGTCCTGTTTTCATAATACCATCATAAAGAACACCTATTTGATCTAACGATTCATGAAGCAGCTCTGCAAGCCGTATAGCAGCTACAATAAATCGCTCTTTAAAGATTAATGAGTAATCAATATTCTGATTATCCGAGGGATTAGATATCTTAAAATGTTCTTTTATAATCGGAACCAAATCCATAACACTTTTCCATGAACGACTAACTTTGTAAATCCAACAAAAAACAGGATGATCTATGTCAAATTCATCATTCAATGACTAGTACAAATTAGTGATATTTAATGCCTATATTATTGTTTATACTCGTTCATGATATGTATCTGTAATTTCGTGAGAAATAAACATCCCATCAATTGTCACTAGCATTTTTCCATCGGGATCAAAAATAGCACGCGTAAGGACTACTTTTTGCGCTCGGTCTTTCCTAGCCTTCATTCGGCGAGTTGCCTCAAATGCCAAAACTAAAAGTGCAATACATGCAGCACTTGACTAGCAATAAGTTAGTTTAGCCAAAAAAAAGAAATCATATAAATCACAATAGCTCCAATGAAAATAATGGTACTTGTTTGTGATACATTATTAATGACTATATGACGAAACCGATAAGTTGTACCTAAGGATGCAACCCAATGCATACCTCATTATATGTTAATGGAAGAAATTAAAACATAACGCCAAAAAAGACCTGAAACACTAGCTGCAAGTAAAAAAGAGCACCCCGCCAGCTTGCACCATGCATTTGTCCATTTAGATTGAAGTGAAAAAAAGAGCGTTAACGTGGATACAGTAGCACAAACTGCAATAATAACCTATACAATATTCAGGACATTTTAGTAAAATATATTTTCTCCCTACTGATCCAATTACATATCCGATATTATATGAGGCCATATAATTTGAAATACCCGCTTGACCAGTATAATGCATACCTAAATCCTTCAGACGAAAACCACAAACTGCATTTATGACTCCGTACCACAAATAGCCAATCCCCCAAACGTACCTCCTGCAAGAATACGTAAACAGGATACTTTTTCATTTGTTCCAATCAACAGATATGCCAGTAAAAGAACAAGTATTGGCAGAAAAAAGGAAAGCGCTGTAAACCCCATACTATATGCCAATTGATGTTCTGCACGCCCATCATGAAGAATAATTGCCCGATTGCCAAGAAAATGCATACTCCATATTGCAACTCCCCCCATAGAAAGTGCCGAACATATTAGTAAAGACCTTGTACCATATAAGATATTAGCCCTTAAAATGCATAAAAACACACCAATTAAACACTCCACGCATTGAAGTACGCCGACGAAGCAGCTCAAGCGTTGTATATGATCCAAGCACTGAAATAAAATATGAAATCATTACAATTTTCAGTGAAATATACTGTAGAATATTAGTACTTTATAATTTCTCAATTCTCTCTTAAATCTTACTTGTTCAACCACTTGATCATAGGAAAGCGGTACAGACATATTTTCTTTTATTTTAGTCATTTGATAGGCAAACGCTGCCTTTTATACTTTCAACAAAGTAACGGTGTAATAACGATATATCGATTATATCCGCATACAATTTAAATTTAATAAATATAATGCAATAAAATTACGCATATAATATATACGAAAGCACGTTTAAATAAGAGACGCATTGACTACAAAAAGCAGAAAAAATTGGATTATTTTTGATGTATATGTAGCCCGTGCACAGTGCGTGTGGATCAAAGCACGTACTACGTTATGAGTAAAATCACGTGATACACACATAATGGGTGAATGGAAATGTATAATAATGAACAAAAGACAAACAAACTACATGGATTGGACGTAAACAGCATCCACATATCATCCACGATGTATATTTAGTGAAGTTCTATATATGATGCCAAGTATACAGCATTCGATAAGCAGATGGTAGCGAAATCAGGAAAATAAAGCTAATTAAAAATATAACCAAAAATGTTAGATACATAGAAACAACTTTATACATAGAAACACAATCCACCATAAATAAGCCATTAAATAGCTAAATACTATATGTAATATTCATTCAATAAATCTTTAAAAAGTCCAGACCAAAACCAAACCACATATTTTGTCATTGGGTAATAACTGTTGTAAATGAAAAAGAAAAATCTGGCAAAAACAACAGCTAAAACAGCTTGAATTGCTTAGTTGTTAATATGCGATTAATAATTTCCACGATGTGGTCCACCATAGCCCATATCAGTGTTTTCTCCACCTTCTTGTGGCTGTATATAAGGCTTGCTACAAGAAGTATCCACATAGCCATTGTAACTATTATAATCTTTATGACTATATGAGGGAGCACTACTACTAGTATCACGTGGATGATCATTCCCGAATCTATAATTGTGGGTAATAACTTCATTATACTTACTGATGTATTCTCTCTTTAATTTTTTATGATTATTATAAAGATACCAGGCAAAGAAAATTAAGCCAAATATAAGAACAATAAGAATAATGCCTCCAATGTGGTAATATAATGACCACAAAGATTTTTGTTGGCCATATATATCTGGCTCTTTTCGACCATCGGTATCACCAATACTCCCAATACCAACGTCATTCCACCCATTTGATTTACGTACTGCTAGAATCAAATTTGGATCAATTCCTAAAAACCTGTTTAACATATCTTGAGTCTCGAGCGGTTTATCATAAGGAACCATATGAGACGCATCTTTAATCAGAACATATGTTAAATTCCGATCATACTGGTAATATCCAACAAGTTTATCCATAAACGTCCATTTATATTTTGCAGCTATAGTACCATCCTTTTTACGAAAACCTTTACGCCCATTCCATTCCATCTCACTAATAATACTCTCTGTACCTAGATAATTACAAATAATATCTTTATCTCCACTTAAAAGTTTCAGAAATGAAAACTTATATTTTAAAATGTAATAACTACCTGTACAAAAGAACGTTTATTTCATCCAAAATTTTCGGAAGTAATTCAAAAGATGAAGGTGATCTATGTGTTATAAATCTTTCTGTAACACGAAGATTACATTCTTCCCATAAAATATGCTTATCAGAATCAATATTTAAAGCGTTCATTGTCTCTGGTTTCTTAAAATGTTAATAAATACAAGAAAAAAGGATTAAATTACTCTTAAATATTCAACTAAATAAGGCAATTCACGAGGCCAATTAACGTCGCACGAAGAAGCTCTTAGCCTATAATCATAGATATTAATGCATCTTTTATCATCCCTATATTCAGGTTGAACAATTAGTTCAAGAATGCGATCACATATAGACATAGACTCTTTATCACCAGCACTAATTGCTGTTTTACATGATTGGGTTGCTTCTTCGACTTTTTTTTCAAGATCAGAGCCTTTTTTAACTAATTTATTTTCCACAGCAAATGGCAAATACGAACTATATTGAGCTAAAGGGGAAATCCATCCGTTCCCTATTAAAAGCCCTTTAAGATTATAATGCTTTTATTCTTAGTAATTTCACAAATAACAGTATCCTTATTTACTTTATTATTCTCCTTTTTATTTCTTTCTAATATAGCAGTTGCAATATATGGAATATACTGCCCTGCATAGGATTCTCCAGCTATATAAAGCTATATCTTATCAATCTTTTAAAAGTATTCAATAAACAATTAACAAACATCATCTTCTTTAAATTGAGGAAACAAATCAAAAAATCCGTCTAGAAAAGTAATAAAGTCTTCAGTTGCCTTCATATATAAGCAAAACACCATCTTTTTGTAGTTTGTTTTCACCTTAGGTAGTCCTTCAGCAAAATTTTCTGGTAAACTATAACTAAAGCCCGTTCCTGCCGGTTGATCCACTAATAAATGTTAAAATACAAAATTCTTTTTTACATATTAAAACATACCAAAAAGAACATTTGAGAATTCGTTCCAACCCCCTTGGTTTTCTATAAGCATATTTCTTGCACTGAATTTAAACGGTCCATTCTCTAAAAAAGCACCATCCATAGAAGAGCACCCAGGGCCCCCATTTAGCCATATTACCTAGAATTCTTCAACCAAAATAAACTATATAAAGCATTTTTAAATACTAGTCTTTGTTTATCAATGAGATATCTATTATTTGCAAGTAAGAAGAAAAATGAATTATTATTACGATCATTAGCAACAATATAACTAAATTATTAATACAAAAAGACTAACACCCTTATATATACCCAGAATGAAGCTTCAAATTATTGTTCTTTGACAAATCGGGCAATTTTTCAACATAATAACTTGAATCTATCAAAAATAAGTATAATTCATTAAAGAAACACTTCTTATTATATAAGAACCTAATGCTGCAATAATATGACTTAAATAAGCCCATATAAAGCCTGAAATAATTATTTTCTTCATTATAAAAAGGATCTGATAAGAGATATCTTTTTTGTCGATGATCGGAAATTGTTGAAAGAAAAAAAGCAAAATGAAAATTAAAAAAATACAAAAGATGTGTAAGAAGAAACAATTAAAAAAGCACATAGATTTGAATAAGTGCGCCAATGTTCAATAAAAGAAGTATCATTATCGTGTAGTTTTTTTCGCTCTAGGTTTAAGCTAGAGAAAATTAGAAAAATAAAATAAGTGAAAATAATTGCCTCATCAGCGCCAACTGGGTGAAGCATAATTTTGTTGGGCATCTGTGGTGTATTTGCTTGGTACCCCTTAAGCAATAAATGGATGATTAGAGAAATAAAGATAAACACACCTTGCTCCAGTCATAACTGATAGCATAAGCAAATATGTCACCAGTTCGATTGAAAGCAGTAGATGAAATTGATCCACCTACATTGGTGAATCCTTTTAGTCTATGTTTTGAGTCTTTATCCCTGTAACAGATAAAAAATATAAATTAAAAGTAACATTAATACCAAAAATGAAAAGTTCCATCGGAACCAGCAGTAGCAAAAGTCCCATGCTGTGGATGAAACGAAATATCGTTAACACTATATACATTGGAGCTGTTGCTGGCAAGCCCAGTAGAATCACGATGACATCGAAAAGAAAAATTCAAACTAGTAATAAGTTAGCGATATCTTGTTTAATTATTTAAAGAGTGAAGATAGTTAGCAAGAAATACTAAAAAAGTGTATCTACAACATTTACAAGAAGCAATTATTTGCATTGATATAATATTACCTTGCGTCTTTATCCTCTACATATTGAATCGCACATCGCCCTTCTACACTGCCAATGGCATAGCCATTTGCTTTAACAAAGCATGAAATAACACGTGTTTGGAATTTCAATGGTGATTGAGTCGTCTTAAAAATCGTTGTCGGGTTATTTAGATTAACAACACATACATGTCGATCTGCTGTTCCAATTACCATTAATTGATTAACAACATCCATTGTATAGCATCTCTCAGGGAGTTGAATTGTTCCAATAGGCTGCTGTTGTCTCAAATCCCAATACTTAAGCATTTTGTCCCACGATCCTGTTGCAAGAATATTCCCCATATTGCCACCATCAATAAAGCGACATGATTTGATTGGTGCATCATGTGCTGCAACCTGGACATTTTGACCTGTTTGAAGATCAAAAAGCATGCCTGCTTTATCTGTACCAACTGATGCCACTTTAGTTCCATCCTGCAATGTTTTTTTAAAAGAGAATGTTTATCACCCAAAAACCATTACCTTTGACCAGCAGCATGACAAGGCAGGGCCCTGATGCTCATACATAGCTTTTGGTGTTGTTTGGCCTGACGGCTGAACTTCATAGATCTTAATTTTTTTGTCCCTAAAAATACTTAATAAATCAAAATTAAACACCAAAAAATCCTGCCATGATGAAACTGCTAAAAACTCTGCTTGAGGGGAAAAAGAAAGATCTGAAATACTATCTTCTGGTGGCTGAATAACCTTAAATTGTTAGCTAAAAAAACTAAATCAAATATCAACTTCAATATCATTTTTTAATTCTTGATTGGTGACTGTTGTAGACGTTGTAGAGCCAAATAAAGACGCCATATGTATGCATAGGAGAAAAATGAACCTAAGATTTATAAAAACTCTAGTTTTAACAACTCTAAAATCAATTATAGATTTTTTTGATGTTAAATATTATTTTTGTAGTTGACAATCGTCAAAATTCAACGCGTTTTATTATTTAGCAATCTATGCCTATAAATTGCTTTGATTATAAAATACTGTTCAATAACTCTGCAAAGATATATACAAACAGTTTTATATTTTAAAAAAGCATGTTTTTAATATATCTTTGAGTATATTCTGGCAAAAATTAATAAAAGCTGTTTTTCAGCAGTATTTGCTAGATATTTATTTTTCCAATAGTAATATATATGTCTTCATGTATAATGGACAAAATAATAGATTTGACTTATTGATGTTTCCAGAAAAGTTCTGCAATGCAGATATATTACTAAGAAATACAGTCTTAGCCCTAGCATTGCCCCAAATCAATTCAAAGACACATGCTTGCATCAAAAATAAGCATCTTTGTATATTTATTCAATATAAAAGATTCTTTGGGTGTTTACGAAAGTATATCCTAGTTGCCAAGAAATATACTTTTTCCATATTCCAAGCACCTCTTTTAAAACATATTGTATAAATATTAGAAATAGTTTCTATACATATTCCTTGCAAAAAATACATTTTCATTCAATAAATATTGCTTGCTTTTTTCTACACTTCTCTCTCAATTGATGAGGTTGCCAAGGCAACCCATCTTGATTCGGGTACAATGAAAAAAATTAAATCCCAATTTTTTACACTTATTTAACAAATATATTCTTTTTTATTTGCATTCAAGAAAAGATGTACTTTTGTTTCCTAAACTCACTCTTTTTTTACTTTCTTTTTGAAACTAATATTAACTTTTTTCATTGTCACGTGAATTTTAATATATATTTTCCACAACGATGTTAAAAGATCTCGGTAAAAATTGGCTAGAAAAAAGACCGGTTTAAACAGAAAAACAGTAGAGTTTTTCTATAAAACAAGCAAATATAAAATCTTTTTGAGTTCTGTATAGTTATGGGTATGATTTGTGTTTTTTTCCCGGAAAAAAAAGCTAAAAATTAAGTTGCGACATGCGCAGAATTAAGACGGAAACTTGTTATTGTTGGAGATGGAGCCTGTGGAAAAACATGTTTGCTTATGTAGGGTTTACAGTATTATTTTTCATATTTAAGAGCTAACTGGAGTGTTTTTTCAGTGTTTTTTCTAAAGGATGTTTTCCAGAAGTAAGTAAATGGGCTATATTGAGAAAATATTGTTTGTGGGATTTATACACAAACATTGGGTTTTTTGTCTTCAATATGTTTATTGGTTTCCTAGGTTTACGTGCCAACTGTTTTTGAAAACTATGTTGCCGATGTTGAAGTGGATGGCAAACATGTAGAACTTGCGCTTTGGGATACTGCTGGGCAGGAAGACTACGATCGTCTACGTCCATTATCTTATCCAGACTCACATGTTATCCTTATTTGTTTTTCTGTTGATTCTCCGGATTCTTTAGACAATGTTCAAGAAAAGGTTATTTTTTCTATTTCTGTGTCGACCCTTTTCTCATTTTCTGAATAGTGGGTTCCGGAGGTAACGCATTTTTGTGCAGGTCTTCCTGTTATTCTTGTAGCATGTAAAACAGATCTCCGAGATGATCCAAAAACCGTTGAGGAACTTAGCAAAACGTTTCAACGGCCTGTTACGTCACAAGAGGTTTTTATGTCTTTATATGGTTATTAACTGATTCTAAAAACATTAGGGAGAAGCAATTGCATCTAAAATTGGTGCAGTTAAGTATCTTGAATGCTCTGCAAAAACAAATGAGGGTGTTCGTGAAGTTTTTGAATGTGCAACAAGAGCTGCGATGTGTATAAAGCAGAAAAAATCAAAAAAATGCATTATTATTTAGTTCCTAATCTCAAAAAATGTCATTATTGAAGAAATAAAATACTATTTTTATTTTTTTATCGGTTTTTTTTTTCAGCAGTGAATATAGTGAATAATAATAAATTTTGACAGATAATAAATTGTTTTATATCTTAATCACTATTTCTTTTTCTTTGCTATACAGCACTTCTAAATTTACCTTTTTAATTTTTTTATATCCACTTTTAATTATTTTTTACGATAAATTAGAATATATTAGATTACATAAAATTCTTGTCATCTCAATTGTATACAATATTTTTTGAGTACAGTTACTAGTTATAATTATTTAATTAATTAATTAATGAAAATCATTCTTATTAGCTTCTGATTTTTTTTTTGCCATTCTTTCAGCTTTAAAGGCTTCAAGCCTAGCTTTTAATTCGTGATCTAATTAATTAATCAATTTTCTCTTCTAATTTATAAATGATATACTTGGTATTAAGTCTTCCAACTTTAATGGAGATCTATTAAATGGATCATTCTCTTCACTTAACAAATGACTTTTAATAGTTGCCATATCAACCGTAACACGGCTGCTCGGTAGTATTACTGGGTCTGTCATTAAACAAGCCATAATAGGATCTGTTATTATTATTATTATTATTATTATTATTTTTTAAGAAATTACCTAAAAATTCTTCAGGAATTTCACCAAACTCTTCATTATCTTCTTCTTTTTTCTTCACTTCTTCTACTTCATCTATTAAAGCTAACAGATTATCAATATCGTCCATAGGTTTTGTAGAATATTTTTTAAAAATTTGAGTAGCACGAAAAAATAAATCTTTTTTGTATGAACGACCATCTTTTGCTATTGCAGCAACAAAAGACTTTTTTGAACGCAAATTAAGATATATATCAGCAATGTTAGAAAGAAGTGATTTTGGTTCAAATCGATATTTTTCCGGATTTCGTACTTTTAATTTAGAGCACTTAGGCCCAACTAGTGCATTAATGTTATAATCAAGCATAGCAGCTAAACGATCTGTATAAAAATTAATAACGAAACCACATATTTTATGTTAACCTACCAACAACTTCTGGACAACAAAAAGCATCCGGTATGCTAGCGGTAAATCTTTTTAATAATTCAATTGTTTCAATGGCTAATGACATATACGTTGTTGCATATTTTTCTAATTGAATTAAATAATGACGCTTGTCTTGTCGTTCATTATTAAAAGATATATTTTCTGAAACATTATCTAGTTCTAATTGAAGATTATGTATTTCTAAAAGTTTTGAAAGAGCTTCATCAAGCAAATATGTTGAATCATTAAGCAAAAGAGCAACAAATTTAACAAAGAATTTAAAATTATTTCTGATCAATTTAAGAAAATGAATTTATAAATAAAAATACTAACCGACTTTCTAACAAAAGTTTTTCACGATGGCCAGGATTTTCCCAAATAGCTTTAAAAACTTGCGATATCTGATATCTTATATTAAATTTATCATAAAATTGAGAGGATAATCCAGTTGATTCAACCTCTAGAAAATCAGCTATTGACAAAAAAACAAGGAACATTATATACCGACATAAAATGACATTAATGCAGGTAAAAGATGATGCAATGAAAATGCATTAGAATTAAGTATATCTCCTAAAATTCCGTAAGGATAATTATGTTGCTTTAAAGTTCCGTAAAATAATATTTCTGCCAATTTTGCTTTAAGATAAGGATTTTTGATATAAGATGAGCTTTTAAGAAAAGTAATTATAAATATAACGAGCTCAATAGCCGAATTAGAGATGATTAATTCAGGATTATATCTAATTGAATTAAAAAGTATTATTTTTTATAATGTTGTACTTTGATGTATATAAAAAGAAATCTGCTATTTCTTCTACAAAGTATTCTGGAAGATTTCGCATATGATCATTAACATCTTGAGGTAAAGGAAGTCTTAAATATTAGAATTAATAATAGTGAATGGCATATATACGTTATTATACTTTGTGGATGCTGATGTTTTGGATCGACAAGTCTTAAAAGCCATGATGCAAGCAAACATAAAAAAGAAAATGATTTTGATTGTAAAACGTTATCTAAAAGAATTGCATCAAAACAATAAGAATGCCCTTTTGTTTTATCTATTTGAAGATAAAGTTGTTTCATATTCGAGTTTAAAATAGAAGCATGTGTAGTCTTTAAAAATTAAAAAAAAGAATTTGTAAAAAATCTTACTTTAGTCCATTCAGATTTTTGAGATTCTAAAATATCATATTGTTTTTGTAAATCGTTAATCATTTTCATAAGATGTTCATGATTGTGCATTGCAGTACTAAGACCATAATAATGGTAAGCAACATTTAAGAAAAAAATTTCTGATATAAAATTAGGCGGATCATCGATTCTATCTTTATAAAATATTTCTGACATTTTTTCATCTGCATTTAATTTCGTTTCCTTCATAATATCAATTCTTGGTCTTTTTTTGAAATAATTAATATCGATTTTATCAATCTTATTATCTTAAATAATGTTTAAAATATGAAATAAATACCTTCATATAGCTCACATCAATAAATGGTTCAGAAAAAGTATTTATAATATTAATAATGTTAACAATATATCCATCTGTACTAATTGTTTTAGGATCAACCTTTTTAATGATGAATCATTTAAAACGATTAAAATATTTCATCTTACATGAAGAGCTTTCCTTCTTTTATTTAGCTCCAAAACTCTTGCAAAATATTCAAGCATCTTCTCTTTACATTCAGCAGACGTTCTTATAATTGTATTTACAATATAAAACAATTGATTCTATAATTAAGTGAATCATAATAGGTAAATAATATGTTTTTTGTATACTTGCAACGCTCGCATAGTAAGCCTTAAACTATTTATGGACCCTAATACATCAGTTTGGAAACGCTGTGATGCATTAGAAAAATATAATTCAGATATTTTAGCCTAATAAATAAGTAGATATTCATATGCTGTTAGAACTATACTTGTATAGGCGTAAGACGAAAATATGGACCCAAAATAGAAGTATATTCAATATCAGCAGCTGTACTATTTTCCGGCAACCATCTAGGTAAATGTGTAACCATTAATGCAAATGGTTTAAGTGTTACAAGCTGATTGAATACCTATATTTAAATAAGAGCAAATAATAACTGATTGTTTCTACTTTAATGTATGGCTGATAATTATCTAGAATAGTTTTTTGAGAAAGACGATTGCTTAACTCGATAACCGTTTCGCCAAACAAATCTGCTAATGTTCCTTCTTTGTCGAATTGATAAACTAACGCTTTAATAAAATTAAATGGAATCCCATCGCTTGTATCTAGTTCCTCAAGAAGCTTAGTTGCAAAGTCAACCGGTGGTTGTTGAAGCCTTTAAATATGAGTTGAAACAAAAGACATTAAATCCAATAATATACTCAAACATCTCTGGAAACGTGATTGACAGACCCGAATAACTCACAAAAAGACGTTTAGCCTCTTCAATTACACCCATCTTAGCCTCCACATCTGCCGATTTACGTATCATTTTCTCTATTGCAACAGAACGTTTCCAACATGCAACTAAATAATCAAACGGCCGACATGGCGATGGTATAGAAAGCCTTGTAAGAATAACCCGGTCAAGTGTATCAATACATATAACCGGTTCTTGGAATTAGAAATATTGCATCATCTATATGTAAAGTACTACCCTGAAGCTCATCGATCAGTTCTTGTCGAAGAACAGATAAAAACATATAATTTGGTGTTTTGAAGTATGTTTTTTCCTAAAACCGCTATTAAACTGTGTCTCCAAAACTTTACACAGCTACATCCAGTGTTACTTGTAGTATTTTACTAAGCATCGCCGATTGCCATAGAATAAACGCTTCAATGTTTTCATCATTTTTACTTTCTGCCGAGCGTAGCATCCGTATAGATAATTCTGAGACTATGAAATCTAATATTTCACTTATTTCTGACATATTCCTTGCATTATCAGCCCTGTTTTACCTTCAATAGACCCTAATAAAACTACGTTTGTCCGAGTTTTGAATTTTTAATTTTTAATTGTACTTTTTTAAAAATTTTAAGAATTTCAAAAAAGATCCTTAAGAATCTTTAAAGCCTTTAGCTTATTCCTTTAAAATCACAGCTTATTTCTTAACTTTTCTTAACAAAAAGCCTATTTTTCTTGCTTTCAGCTTAAAAAAAGTTAATCGTTGGGCAGTAATTAAGCGACGACCAGCTAGTATCTAGCACATTTGAAAAAATAGACAAAAAATACACAAAAAATACACGTGCTCATTGCTTTCATCTTTATTATACACTATTACACATAGGCTCAATGCTCAATGCAACTTTTACAATTTTCAGCGAACAATAATATCGTCTCGACTCGGACCGACTCCAACGTAGGCCACCTTAACATTCACAAACTTCTCTATAAACTGAATGTATGCCTGAGCCTCTTTTGGCAGCTCTTCAAACGATTTGCATCCCCTCGTCGTCTTTTGCCATCCCGGGACTGTTTTATACTCAACTTGAACATTTTTGAGCATTTCAAGATCCGCTATCCACGTTATTTCCCAACCACCGCCTCCCCATCCATACCTGAGACATATGGGACCTCTCTGCCCTCGTTCCTGTATGCCACGCCTATCTTAATCTCCGAAAGCCCATCCAGCACATCCAACTTTGTAACCATCAAACTGCCCGTCAGATTTATACACAGCTTTTCACGAAAACATGCTCCTTATACCATGAATATCCATTGATCCAGTCCGAATACCGCAAAAGCACAAGATCCAGCCATCCACACCGTCGCCGCCGCCCCGTCGTCACCCCCCATTCTCTCCCCTCTCGCTGCAGGTGCTCCCCTATCTCCTGCACACATTAGCAAATCTATCCTTCCGTTTTGCCGTGTTTAATCGTCTTTTCATACATCTTTCAACTCTGTCGGAAACGGCCCGTATCCCACCCTCGTCGTATACGCCTTGACCACGCCAATAATATGCTCGATTCGCCGAGGGGACAACCCTAACCCTGTACATACTCCCCCAATCGATGTGTTGGAACTCGTGACATACGGATATGTCCCGTAGTCAATGTCAAGCATGAGTGCGTTTGCACCCTCTACAAGGACCCGCTTCTCCGCCCGGATCGCCGACTGCATAAAGTACACCGCGTCCACAACATGCGGCCGCAGCCGCTCTGCATATCCCTGCTGCTCAGCCCTGCCAAGTTGCCCAGCAACGGTCACCCGGTAACTGTTGCCATGGAAACAACGTTACCACGGAAACGACCGCCGGCCACTCACCCTATACCGCGCGAGCTCTGCCTCGACATCGCACACAAGTGCCCCGCTCCCCCCATACCGACACGCGTGCCACGCAACGTTCTGCCGCAGTAGTCGCTCAAACTCACCGAATGCATATAAGTGATGCACGCGGATCCCGCTTCGCTCTGCCTTGCTGCTATATGCCGGCCCAATGCCCTTCCCCGTCGTCCCAATGCTGTGCTCTCCCAGCTCTCTCTCTCTCAACCTGTCCGCCTCTTGGTGGTAATCGAAAACGATATGTGCTCGATCCGATACAAAAATCCGGTTTTTTGTATCGATCCCTCGTGTTTCCAGCGCATCGATCTCTGAAAAAAATGACGGCAAATGAATAACCACCCCCGACCCAATTAAATTATCGCATCCCGGTGTCACTACGCCTGATGGAACTATATGCACTTGATAACACTCTTTCCCTGTAAAAATCGTATGTCCTGCATTGTTTCCCCCTTGGCAGCGTGCACACAGGTCCGCCTGTGCCGAAAGAATATCGACAAGCTTGCCCTTGCCTATACGAGTGAGCCTTCTAGTGTTTTAGAACCTTCTAGAACATTCTAGAAGCTTCTATACCTTCGTCGCCCCATTGCGAGCCAAGGATAACTGTTACACTGTGGGATGTCAGCCAAAACGCTGAGGGGGGGAGAGAAAGACCCTTTGAGCATTCGGCAACGACACGCGTCGACGGGACACGGGGAGTGAGTGAACTGTGTGTGGCGGAAGTAGTGGGCGAGGGCGGATGTAAAATAGCGGGGAAAAGCATAGACGCGCCGGCAGACAGAATGGCGTCAATTTCTTCGGGAGAAACGGCGGTCGGGAGGAAGCGCGTTGGAAGCGCGGGAAGCCGGGGGCGCCGGGAGCCGAGGAAGCGGATGAGTGGGCGGTGTGCGTGGGCGCGGAAAGACGCGGCGTGCATACGGCGCCAGCGGGGCGAGGGACACCTTGGCCGCGCTGCATGCGGACACTCCTGTGTCCGCATGCAGCTATAGCGCATACAACACGCATATACCGCGCATATACCGCGCATACACTGTGCATACACTGTGCATATATACCGTACCGTATACACTCTACAGTACTCTACAGTAGTACACACAGCACACATATACTGCATATACTGCATATACCGCATACAAGTGCATAAAGTGCATAGGCTGTATACGCGTATATGCAACCGCCAGAGTTGCAGAGTCGTTAAGGGATACGCAGCAGCGCATACACGGGGGACGGCGATGGGCAAAGCACGCAGGCGGAACGAGGCAGCCGACTTCCAGGTAGGTCTCGCTATGTGTTCTCTGTAGCTGAGGGCTCCGAAGAAAGCCAAGCTCAGGGTCGGCAGGGTCAAGCAGAGGCCGCGACAGCTGACAAGCACTCTGCTCAAGGCGAAAAGTAGGACGCAATGCAATAGAGGCCAGAATAACCCGATAACCCGGCAGGCATTAAGATACCGCAACAGTCGATCCTGAACAGCCCTCCGGATGAAAGCGCTGCTCGGAAAGCAGCGCTAATGCGTGCATTAGCGCAGACGAGGCACCCGTCAAGCGTGCAACGCAAAGGTAGATGAGTAGGAGACGAAAACATGCTTATTTGACTAGAAGCACTGAATATGCTTAAGAACCAACTGTGGCGGTCACAGCTTGAACCGACTATGCTTACGCCGGTGGTGAAGGCGGTTGTTCCGCTAATGACGGACGAAACACCAGCGGTACGGACGGCTCTGCGGCAGTTGCTGCAATCAATGTTTTCGGAGAAAGAAGCGTCGGCTGAGCCGCACACGCTTTTTATTGTATTGTATATTCACTCGGGGATGACACATGTCTTGCCGGAAGTGCGGGACGACACAACAAGGGTTTTGCAGTGGCTTCTGGAAATCCAAGGGGAATGCGTTGTGAGGTATGCATGGGACAAGTTTTTGGACACGTTTTGCGTCTTACTTGGGTGGAAAGGCGATGGTAGGCCTTTAGACGTGAGAAAGAGTGTATTCAGGCCGACGTTTTCTCAAGAGTCGAAATTCTGCCACATGAAAGCGCTTGATATTTTCTTGAAAAAAGGGTTGTGTTTTGATGGGCGAAAAAATAAGTCAGCAGTGGTGCCTATGGTGCATTTGCACCAGACAAGATTTCTTTCTGGCATCAGTCATCCGATGGCATCCAAATATCTGGGGAAACCAGCGAAGTCATCGCCGTATTTCTATCTTTCTTTGTTTTCACAGGCCAACAAGGTGTCTAAAAAAGTATACGACGATGTGTCGTCTCGGTCAAGATTATTTTGTTTGTATCTCCCGGGTTTGCTATACTATCTCGAGGCGACTTGGCTTGAATTGTTACCATCATCGGTTGATTCTATGACACCGACTGCATTTGAAATATGCATCCTTATAATATCGATTTTGAGTCTCATAAATCTGGTTTTAGCGAATTTGGAAACAGATAATGTGTTTTTGGAAGAAAATTCAAAAGCATTGCACGATTTCATTCTTAGAATTGAATTTACTATGAGGGGACTTAGAGATAATAGCGAAAGTATAGAATTGCAAAAGTATTGGGCTCGAAGTGGTTTATTTAGAGAGTGATTTTCTCAAGAATATGGTTGGTCGCATAGGTTAAATCATTATGGCCTTTATTTAGTCATTTTGGGTTTATTCTACGTATTTTTTGGGAACAGCTTAATGATATATTGTATTTAACTAAAAAAGCTAGTGGTTAAGAAAATTTAAAAATATTTTCTGAAATTTGTTTATTTATAAGGTGGTTTTAGCATATTGAGTCATTATCTTTGTAAACAACAATGTAAAATACATACAAAAACATTACTTTTTGATAATGGTGATAAAATACATATTTATACAACTAGAAACAAAACAATTTTTCTTAATGTAAAACTAAGTCTTTCATTTGCGGTTTGTAGCCATTTAGCCATTTTTTACGCATTTGAAGAATTTTAATAATTATGTTTTAATGAGTAGGTCAAATACCAAAATACTTCTAATGTAGTATTTTTATGCTAAAAATTAAATTAGTTTTCCACGGTATCTGGTTTCTAGGCTTGTAAATTAACAAGTCAAATATTAATACTATTTACCATGGTAGGGAACAACAAGACTTCTTTAATGTTGCTTGAATCCGTCAGAAACTAAAAATATTAGCATGAAAATGAAAAATATCCTATTGTACCATTACTAATCGGTCTATGCCCATTCCCCATCCTCCAGTAGGTGGTAAACCATACTCTCTTTAAAAAGTAAAAAAAAGCAATATTAATAGAAAAACTTACAATGCGGTGCAAAAATTTTCATCAATCATTTGAACTTCATCATCTCCCTGATCTTTTTGTCTAGCTTGTTCTTCAAATCTCATACGTTGTTCAACAGGATCATTCTGTTTTAAATTAAAATAACGTTAATAAGACAAATACCATACCAATTCAGTATAAGCATTTACAATCTCTTTATAGGCCATAAAAACTTCAAATCTTTCGCATAACCCTGGTTTAGATCTATGGTACTTTGCTAAAGGAGACATAACTTGAGGATGACCTATTAAGAATGTTGGACTAAGACACAGAGGCTCCAAAAATTCGCCAATAAGCTTCAAATATTAGTTTGTTAGATAAAAAAATAAAATTTACCTTATCGAGTAATCTAGAATTAGTTGTAGGTGGAGGACATTCAATATTATTTTTTTCACATAAATCTTTAAGAAATTTATTAGTTTCTTCTGTATGCAATTGATCACCAGGGGGAAAAACAACGTTAAGTTTCTCTTCAAGACACGGAATAATTTCTATCCGATTCCATGGCCTTGAGAGATCAATGCAAAGTTCCTCTCCTTCAGGACCATTAGGATGATAGTTGATTTTGTAGCCACCTGTTAATTTATAAACCATACTTGACAACATTTCTTCAGTCATGTCCATTAAATCATACATATCAGCGTAAGCACAATAAAATTCACAACTTGTAAACTCAGGATTATGTGTAAGATCAATGCCTTCATTTCTAAATTGCTTCCCAATTTCATATACTCGATTCAATCCACCAACAACTAACATTTTTAAATATAACTCTGGAGCGACTCTTAAATAAAGATTAAGATCAAGTTCATTATGATGAGTAATAAAAGGTTTAGCACTTGCTCCACCTGCAATTAAATTCATCATAGGAGTCTCAACCTTATCATTATGAACACAACTCTATTAAAAAAACTCATAAATACTACCTCTAGAAAACCAAGTGAATCTAAAAATCCTCTAACATGTTGAATCACTTTAGATCTTAAGATAAATCTTTTAAATTAGAAAAAAACATAAATATTCAAGCCATAAGCATACTTATCACGTGTGCTTTTATTAACAATAAGATCAAGATATCTTTGTCGATATCTTGTTTCTTGATTCGTTAAACCATGGCGTTCCATTGGTAGCATACGAAGACAAGGGCTAAGAAGGATAATTTCTTTGCAAAATACGCTTAATTCTCCACCTTCTCCTTCGTCTTTTCCTTTGCCTTTAGGTGTTGTACGTCCTGGATACCCAATCACACCTACAATATCGCCTCTTTGAATATGCTCATGCATTTTTAAATAATCTTTGTCACAATCTCTAAACATATTCATCATTTCAAACATTTATATATTCCAATCTTACTGTGCTTGTGCCATAATCTGAATTTTTACTCCATCAGAATAAAGATCATAAAAACGCAGTTTTGAGCCTGATTCTCGTTTATTTTTGATCCTTCCTGAAACATGGACAACAACATCTCTATTAACTTCTCCACGTTTCAAAGAACTATAGGTTTTAATGAATTCCGATAGCTCAATATTAACATAAAATTTATGAGGATATGGATTTGGATCTTTAGATTCCCGTAGTGCATTGATAGCTCGTGAACGTAATTCAAAATATTGCTATATAATTTTAACACAACTTTGTTACATTTTTATACCCAAAAGTCCTACATTTGGTGTTAAATCTTCACTAATTTTAGAAACATTTGTTCGTGTACATTCTGATGAAACTTCTTGCACTGTTTTTGCATCCTAAGATAAAATGAGCCTGTTTTATAGTTTTTTAAAACTTATATGAACCCGTTTTGCTTCTTTTTCTCTTCGTTTTATCCGTTTTTTTAGTTCTCTGTTAAATGTTAATTTCTATCAAAAAAAATGTAATTATTACGTTTTTGAAACATATTCTCCTGTTACATCGTCTAAACACATATTTTTAATTTGGCTTACAGCTTCCTGCATTTTTATCGTTATCTTTTATTGATCTTTTAGTTCGATAAATAATGTTTTTATAAGTTTTTTAAAATGATCTGTATATAAGATAAAACAAATAGTTAAGAAAAATACATCGTTAATAAGTTTTTTTTATTTATTTAAAATTTACAGTGTAATATGACCGTTTGATGCTTCCCAGTCATGTACATGTTGTAATATTTTTGTAGCTATTTGTTCGGCAGTATAATGGCGTCCAAAAATCTCTTGAAACTGCCCATTTGGATCTATATATTATGAAAAACAACCTTTCTTGTAGAAAAGAATACCCATTAAATAAAAAAAAATAGAATGATCTACAAGATAATCATCACCAGGTTTTACATTAGGTGGTGTAGAAAAATAAACACGATAAGCTTTGCAAACAGCTTTAATAGATTCATATGTTCCTGTTAATCCAATTATTTGCGGATGAAATTCTAAAAAGTGCTAAATATTATGTTTAAAATATTAACAAGTACCTCGAAGATATTCTTTAATCTAATATATTGTTTGTAAGCCTTTTTTATAAGAAAAAAGTATTACCTGGGAGGGCGTATCCCTATTTGGATCACACGTTATAAAAATAGGAGTTAATACTTTTCTTTTGTTGTTAACGCCTAATATTTCATCAATATTTATAAAAAAAATAAGATTAATAAACGATTAATAATCTCTGCCATTTTATCTAATTCGTCAGGACAAATATCTGGGCACCTTGTAAATCCAAAATATATCTAATACATCATTTTATTTCGAAAAATGTCATTTGATAATATACCAAAATATATTTGCCTAAAAAATCACTATTTGTAACATTTCTTCCTTCATGGTCAATCAATTCGAATGGACCGCCTATTTTCGCTTTTCCAATGGATTTATTTTGATTTGCATGCCCTATTCAAAAGTCTTATTAAATGTATATATTATTTTTTAAAAATAATCTACGTCTTTGCAACATTTTTTCTTTCTCATTTTTAAAATACCAAACAAGACCAGCTCCTGTTATAACAAATAATGCTCCGGATTTCCATGTAAATGGCTAGTATTTTTTATTTTTTAGCTTTATTTTCACTTAAATTGCTTACACCAATCCTTTCTTTATTTCTTAGTGCATTTGACCCGGAAAAAATATATCTAAAGTAAGGAAACTGCATATTATGATTAAAGTAAATAATATTTTTGAACTTTTTCAGATACAATGGACGACAATTGTTCTTTATTTGTGTATAAATCATTTTTTGATTTATAAAAACTTAATTTATAATTTTTAGAAAAAAAACGAAAAAGATAAATTAATCACTAAAAATCCTAAAGACTTCAGTTGCATTTTTTCAAAAATGTTAGATTTTTACAAAAAGATATGAATTTTTTATGAATTAATATTCTTAGAAAAAATATTTAAATATTTATAGATAAATAAATCAAAAAACCATATTAGCAACGATGATAATAGCTAATAATCGAAAATAATTGCTTATAGGTAGTCAGTATATATAAATTATTTTAATATGAAAATAATTGATTAAATTGTTTTCAGAATACATTAATAAAATTATTCTTAAAATATATAAATATATATGAAAATAATATAAATTTTATTTTATTTCTTACTATAAAATATCTTGCATTGAAATTTAAATTAAATTCCTAATAAAATATTGTTTACAAAATATTTTAAGAATAAAATCTATTTTTTTCCTTTTAATAATTTTATTTTTAATTCTTTATTTTAAAAGTAACAAATAAAAATATAAAATTTTCAATTGAATATTTGCCAGTATTAAATGAAGAAAAATCTTCAATAGCCTTTACTGAAAAGAAAGGCTATCAATAATACACCCCAAAATCCATACATTAATAATAAAAAATAAAATACTGGATAACCACAAATAAGGAAAAAATACATTTATCCCTAGAAATTCAAGGCGATAAGCAAAAAAAAGCCATATAGCCTAAAAAAATTAGAAGAAAATCAGATATAATAAAAAATATTTACTTGTCCAAAAACCCAAAGAATTAACATTATCAATCCCAAAAAAAGATCAAGAGAAGGAAGAAGAATAGGAAGTAAAACAATATACCACATAAAATACTAAAAAATATTATATCTATAATATACTTTTTTCCTAAAGAATACCTGACTCGTACAAACTTTATTAAATGTTACAAATGCAAATGTTTGAGAAAATATTGATCCAGAAAGATTCTTTTTAGCAAGTGCAATAGGAATTAAACATGTTGATAGCAAGACTTGTGGTATAAATGAAACAAAAGAAATTGGTATATGAAATGATGATTTAATTGGAGAAGAAACATAATAAAGCCATAAATGATAAGGTGAAAAATTGTGTCGATGATCTATTCGAATAAGATGATAAAAATATGTATGATTCAAAAATGGCATGCCATATCTAATCTATATTAGTAAAAAAGAAATATTTTGCTATCAGTTACATTTGATACATAATTCCATTTAATATAACTGATGCTAATATTATTGCTAAAGTAAAATAAATACGCGAATATGTAACCCAATTAAAATTTGTTTTTGATAAAGACTTTCCCTCATATTTACTATCCATTATCCATAAAAAAGTAGGAATATAAATGATCGCATAAAGTTTAAAATGAATAACAACCCCAAGTAAGAATCCCGTAAGAAAAGAACGTTTCAAAAATGCCATCCATAAACATAAAAGAACCCCTGTACCAACTATGCTTTCTGCATTTCCACGTGTACTAATTACAGCTACAATAGGATTCCAAAGCCAAATGATTGTATATAAATTCGCCTTTTTTATACAATACCCTTGAAATACTAGAATATTCTTTATAAGATACCCAGCGATCAGATCAGATATACTAAATATGATTTTTCCAAAACATGGGACTCCCATAACATTTGGAATTAACATCCAAGCCAATAATGGAGTATACCGATACGTTTCTCGATCATAAACTGATTTCCCATAATAAGCTTGTTCTGCTGCTCCCGTAAAAACTTTATAATCTACATCTGTATACTTGACAGGTGATCGGGAATCATGCCAATGTCCATAAATCAAAAAAAATGTCCGTAGTAACCCTCCAATTATAAAAATACCATAAGTACTATTAAGAACCATATGAATATAAAAATATATTGTGTCATAGATACTTTTTTTCATTTTCTGTGTCATTTTATATATTATTTTTTAAAATATTTAAAACCATTACATAACTATTTTAACTTTTTTATAACTCAATTAACAGTACTTTTTGAAATATCAATGTCAATTTTATGAAATTTGTATTCAATTTAAAGAATTCTTTTGCTCAGTTGTTTGATTTAATAGTAAACAAATTCTTGAAAAAACATTTTTTACAAAAAAAACTATTTTCTTATCAAATAGTGTCTTTAAAAAGTCTTTTTACCAACACAGAATACTTTATTTTCTTCAAAAAGCGCTATTTTTACCACAGATTTATGTATTTTGCTCTACAATTTGTATAATTAACTATATTGCAAATCGAAAATCTCAAATGAATTTTATAAATTTTTATAATTATGTATGTACATACATATATTGAATATGTATTAGACATGTAAGAAACATTGTTTATTAAATAGCCTAAGAATATCTATGATAAGAAATATAGTATAGATATATATAATGTGCAATATTTATATTGCAATACATAGCACAGAAAGCTTGACGTATCATTTGATTAAAAGAAAAGCAAAACTTTATATATATTATATGTGTTTTAGATATATATTAAATAAACATTGAATAAATCTATTACTGTCTACTCTCTCAAATATATATTTTACAGTATGAGTACCAACTCATTAAATCAAATATAAAATTCTATATAGAATAAATTTATAGCATATCTATCATATATGTATTTAACTTTTTTGCGTAAATTAAGCACTTGTATTTAATATATACCTTGCTTTATGACGACATTGAATAATTAAAAAGTCAAAAAAGTTAAAAAAACCCAAAAAAAAAGTAAAAAGAAGTAAAAAAAATCATAAAATCATGTTCAAACCTACATTAATTGTGAATGGAGCAAGAAGGTAAGTTTTTCTCTTTTTTAAACAAAAAAATCATGTTAAAAGGCTTCCAATGACATCTAAACAAGGCAGAGAATTTTACAAAGGTTCTCGTACAGGATCAATGGGCAGACATACAAAAAGAGGTAGTTTCCGCTTATGCGTTCTCATATTTATCTATTTTTTCTTATGATATATATATAGGACATTATTTAATTGACTGGACAAAAGTCAGAACATTTGTTGTTCCTAGTGGTCTTGATACAACACTTGTAATATTATTCTAGAAAAAAGTAAAAATAGAGCTAATAAAATGTAGCTAAAGCCCTTTGTTACGCTCAAAGTGCGTCCAATGCGATCCTCTTTTGGTCCTGGACAAAAACATGGATTTGATGGAAATATATATTATAGTCAATGGAAACAAGAGAATCCAAGTGAAAAGAAGGAAGGTTCTTAAATTTATTAATAAATTTTTATCAGTGCATATGCAGGGATTACATAGATACATACAATTTTTTGCAATTAAGTTTGTTTTTGTCTGTGTTATAAAAATATCAAATCTAAAAGTATCAATTGCACAAATATAAGTAAAAAGTGCTAAAAGTGTATAAAAGAAATGATATAATTTTTGAATAATTATTTACATCATTTTTAATGGTATAATCAATTACATTTCAAATATTATTGAGAAACTCATTGCACAATAAATATGTTGATTTTTCATGGAAGGATATTCAATTGAACTAAGAGAATTACAAAATTCATATGGTTCATATGAAAAATGTTTTTTGTCTTTTTATATATTTTATTTCATTATCCACCTAATTCCCCACCTTTCTCGTTTGCGCAGATACTAAAAAACTCAAACAGAAAAACGAATTATATAAGATGGTAGAATCTGAGCGAAGCTCTTTAATTTCTAAAGAAAACATTAAAGATATAAAAGAATTGCTAAAAGTTAGTTGATTATTTGTATTTAAAACCAATTTAATATATATAGATTTTTATTTTTGTGAGTATCTCAGGTAGGTTTTTTGAATAGAATAAAATAGAAAAAAAATGATTATTTTTTTTATTTTAGCATCATCTATCTTTCCTCGATTATTCTCTGTTATCAGGTGTGTTTATACGCAAAATTGTATATAGTATTTGTCTAATAAAGCCTAGATATGAATCAATTATTCATGAATTTGATCCATGTAAAATATTTATCTAAAATATACTATTAGATACTAAAAATAAAGGGTTTAATTTTCGTGCTACGAAATACTTAATTTCTTCTTCGTTGAATGATTTTTGGAATTGGTTTGATGATCGAACGTATGTTACATTTTTTTTCTTACTTTTCATTATTTCATCAATACTGATCAATATTTAAGATGGTATCCTTTAGGACGAGTGACAGGAGGAACAATGTATCCAGGATTAATGGTTACGTCGTATATTATTCATTCTATTTTTCATTTTTTTAATTATCCTGTTAATATTCGTGACGTTTGTGTCTTTTTTGCGCCTGCTTTTTCAAGTCTAACAGCACTTGCAACATATCTATTTACAAAAGAATTAAAAGATGAAACAGCAGGGCTTTTTGCTGCTGCGTTTATTGCTATCGTACCAGGATACATTTCAAGATCTGTTTCAGGAAGCTATGATAATGAAGCAATTGCTATTACACTCTTAATGACAACATTTTTTTTGTGGATTAAAGCAGTAAAAACAGGGCGTGCTTTTTGGGGTGCATTAACTGCTTTTTTCTATTTTTATATGGTTTCTGCTTGGGGTAAAAATATATTTTTTTTTAAATATTTATTAAAAAAAAAGGTGGGTATGTCTTTATTACGAACATGATTCCTTTACATTGTTTCCTTCTTATTTTAATGGGCCGTTTTTCATCAAAAATATATATAGCATATTCCAGTTTCTATAGTTTAGGAACATTAATGTCAATGCAAATCCCATTTGTTAGCTTTCAGGCGATTCGTACTAGTGAACATATGTCTGCACTTGGTAGTTATTATTTGGCAAGACAATGTTTACAACTAAATAATTTTAGGTATTTTTGGTTTAATGCAGATTTTGGCATTTGTAAACTTTATACGATCTCATGTTTCTGATAAAAAATTTCAAGACCTTCTTAAGTATAGTGTATTCTTTTTATTTTTCTTGTCTTTTCTTGTACTGGTTTTATTGACAGTGGCTGGAGTAATTGCTCCATGGACAGGCCGATTTTATTCTTTGTGGGATACAAGTTATGCAAAAATTCATATTCCTATTATTGCTTCTGTTTCAGAACATCAGCCAACTTCCTGGACATATTTCTTCTTTGATTTTGGATTACTAATTTGGCTATTCCCTGCTGGTATTTATTTCTGCTTTCAAAAACTGAAAGATGAACACGTTTTTGTTATTATATATGGTATTATGGCCAGCTATTTTTCAGGAGTAATGGTTCGCCTTATATTAGTATTGGCACCAGTTATTTGTGTTGCATCAGCACTTAGTTTAACAGCATTATTGGATAAATATCTATTTTTTCCAAATTTTCAATTTAAAGCACTATTTACTTCTAAATCAAAGAAGTCTGAACTAGCTTTAATTTATCGGAAAGCATCAAAATCTGCAGGAAAAGTTAAATCGCCTATTAGTAATGTAATTAAAAGCTCTAAGAATATAACCAATTATGCTGGATTTTATATCTCCAGAATTGCACTAGTATCTTTACTTTTTTATTATTTAGTTTTATTCGTCTATCATAGTACATGGGTCACGTCCAATGCATATTCTTCACCATCTGTAATATTTTCAGGTCAAACATCATCTGGGAAAGATTTTATTATTGATGATTACCGCGAAGCATATTATTGGTTAAGAAAAAACACACCTTATGATGCGAAAATTGCAAGTTGGTGGGATTATGGTTATCAAATTGGAGGTTTAGCAGATAGAATTACTTTAGTTGATAATAACACATGGAATAATACACATATTGCAGTAAGAATGATTCACTCTTATTTAAATATTTTAATTAGATATTAGACAGTGGGAAAAATTATGTCTAGTCCTGAAGAAATTTCATACCCAATTTTAAGAAAACATGACGTAGATTATGTTCTTATTATTTTTGGAGGATTACTTGGATATTCTGGAGATGATATAAATAAGGTAAAGTCAAAAATATAAACAAATTAATTTATATTTAACTGTATTAAGTTTCTTTGGATGGTTAGGATTGTATGTTCTAATTTTTTTTTATTTATTGTAACTATTTTTTAGGCAGAAGGTGTTTGGCCTAATGAAGTAAGAGAGAATGACTTTTTTTCATATAGTGGATACAGAGTCGATAAAGAAGCAACACCTACTATGAAAAATAGTCTTATGTATAAAATGAGCTATTACAAGTTTGCTTGTCTTATTTAATTTTTGCTTATTTTAATGAGTATAGTTTTAATAAATTATTTAATGGAAATGAAGGCTATGATTCAGTTAGAGAACAGTATATACCAGCTGAGAATATTGTTTTAAATACACTAGGTAAATAAGATATCTTTTTTGTGAAATCTAATATTTTTCAGAGGAAGCTTATACCACTGAAAATTGGCTAGTTCGAATTTATAAAGTTAAAAGTTTGGATAACTTAGGAAGAGATTATACAAATAAAAAACCGCATGTTTTATACAAAAACGACCAAGGTATTTATAAAACACTTAGAATAAATACTTTTTAATCTACAAAATACTTTATGTATTCAAAATTTATACAATAATTTATACAATAAATTTCATATTTAAACATCTACCTACTGTAAATAATTCTTTTGTTTCTTTTATTCGAATAAAATTCTAATATTTTCTCTTTCGATTTTTAAATAATCAAATCTTTAACGATCTCTTAAACCTCTAAGAACTCTCGAACAATAAGAAAAACCTAAAAAACCACAAAAAATCTTAAAAAAATTAACTTTTCTATGAAAAAATATGCATTTTAGAAATATACAGAGTATTTCTGAAGGTTATGAAGAAGAAAATACATCAGATAGCGAAGATCTAGAATATCCAGTAAATCAGATGAAGTAAACATATATATTTATAAATATTTAGCTGATATTTGAAAAAAAGATATGATTTTGATTCATGGCAAATATATAATGAAAAAACCAAAGAAATGGTCCATGTAGAGCTAATTTTTGACTTAATTCTTTCATATTAATATAGTGTAGTCAGCAATGGAAAAAAAAGCATTGGAAATAGACCATGCATTCTCATTAATTGGTCATTGGACACAAAATTTACCACATGATTTTGATTATGATAATATATTCTTGAAAAAACATTTACAAAAGATGACAATGGAACATAAAGAAATAGATTTTAAAGAAAGTATTTTATTCGAACATCGTAATAAAGAAATTATGGAGAATATAGAGAAAGCAATACTTAGGGAAGATGAAAAAGAAAAGGAAAGAATACGTAAGAGTATTGAAGTAAAACAGTTACAGAAAATTGCATATGAAAATAAAAAGGCAGAGGAAAAAAAAGTTGTAAAAATAGTTGAAGAAATGATAAAACATGAAGAAATGAAAGATAACAAAGAAAGTATTATTAATGAAGAAGTAAAAAATGATAAGAAAAAAATAGAAAATAACAAGGAAAAAATAGAAAGTAACAAGGATGAAATGAATACAGTAAATATTGCTGATACATTTCAATCTCCAGTTTTAGAACAAAAAAAAAGGGAATATACATATAATGCTATAGATCGTGTATTAATGTATAGGAAAAAAATAGAGGTAAATTATGCACTTTTTCTTTTTTGTTTTTATATATTTTAGGATATTAAATTAAATGTTCTTAAACCAGTATCTGAAAATGAAATATGGAGAAAGTTTTGTTTTCAAAACAAGCGTAAAATTATACCAAAATGTGGACAACTCACAAATTCCAAGCAGAAAATAGCACGTATTGTATTAAATACAAATTTTCAAAAAACATGCTAATAATATTCTAGACAAAAGATTTAGAAGAAATTATCATAATGTCTAAAGAAGTTGCAATAACTGTATATCACTGGATATTAAATTTTTTGTCAAAAGCAATTATAGTAAAGAATATTATTTTATAATCTTAATTTTTAATTAAAAATAGAAACAAGCAGAAACAGAAGTTACTGTTAATTTATATTCAGCGTATCCTTTGGCTACTGTATGTGTTTTTTTAATGTCTAGTCATCCTGATTTAATTGATATTCTTTTGGCTCGTTTTGCAAAAAAATGCCCTTATACAATACCATATCTCAAGGTAAGATTTCAGCTAGGAGGAGTCATAAGTAAATAAATAATTATATAACTTTTAGTATAATAAAAAGACAGAAGAAGGTAGAAAAGCTTTAGGATTTTATCGCTCAAAAAATGGAAAATATGAAGAAGAAGTATCTTATACAGAAAGACAATGTGGGATTTTTGCTGTTTTTGCAGCAATTATTCAAACTCAGCATATCCCTAATTGTTTGCCTATGCATTTTGGATGGACTCTTCTTGCTAAGCTTTTAAATGAACCACCATCATCAGAGACTGTTTTTGCAATAATAAGTACATTCATGGATATTTCTGGAAATGCTTTTGCGAGACATTATGGACTACAAGCAGATAAATTAATTCGTCTTGCTGTAAAGGATTGGGTTGGTGATAACAAAGGAAGTAGTGCGACTAGACTAAAAATTTTGGGAGAAGAGTGGATTACTCAAAGGAAAATAGGGCTAAAAAATGGAGGATATTTTGAAGAATAATACAAAGTCTATGTACAAATACATATTTATATAAACATATAATTCGTCATTGTAAAATCATCATAATTTAAAAATGGGATTGCAATATAAAAGCATAATTGTCAACATTTATACAAAATATTTATATAACTGGAATTTTGATTATATATCAATAAATATTCATGCAATTTGGGGCTAAATGTAAAAATACTCAGTGATTTATTTTTTTTGTTACTAACTCATAAACATGTTAATATGGAACTACATATTTTCTATTAAAGACATATTTAATAAAGAATAAAATATTTCATTCCAACCGTATATTTAAAACTCAAGCTATCATTAATATAACACCTTTAAATGGATTTTAGTTTTATTGTCCCGACTTCTTGTATTTAATACTTAGAACTCTAAGACATACTAAAAATCATGAAATTTTTCATAGTAACCATATAATGCACTATATATATCGGGAACCAGCGTTTTACTCTTAGCACATCGGCAAACACAGATTGCTTTATTGCAGAAACGGGATTCTTCATAGAAGCAAGATCTTTTACAAAACAGCTTTCGCAAAGCGAATACATTATGATGCAACTGTCAACAAACACCCTTGCAACCACAAGGGCCCGTAACCCTGCAACCGTTGCCATGACAACAAAACGTGGAACCCTGGCAACCCAGTGTTCATTACCATGGCAACAATCGCCCCAACACCAGGCACCACCGCTTTTCCTGCGCCAGGCGCCCTGCACTGCTTTTCTGCACCAGCAGCTCCCTGTTTCCGCCGCATTTTCGCCCCTTTGCTGTATACATTGCCATCCCACACTCCTTACCGCATACATGCTATATCTACAGTTATACACTATAATATACACCGTATACACCCGCATATATAGCATACACTGTATATACCACACACTATATACTACGCATACACAGTGCTAGTGCATGCACAGTGCATATATACACAAAATACACATTTATACACAAATATATACTTATATTAACTCCCAATACCATTACACCCTGTTTCCATGTATTCTTTCCTCCTATATGCGTGCTATATGCGTACTATGTCATCGTTGATGCTACTGACGATGCATGTCGTGCACCCCGTGCCCCAACTACTGTCCACTCATCGGAGACTGCACGCGGCAGCCAAGCATGAGTATTTGGCTTTGATAGCCGTTTATGAGCCAATGTACGCTGGCGTTCTTCTTCAAGCATCTTTTGATGCTGAAAAAGATTCTGAAGACGCTCTTCCTCCATACGCGCCTTGACCAGCTTTTGTTTCTCGCGTTTCAGTGCATTTTGCTTTTGTTTCTTTGTAGGCGTCGCCAGCAACGACTCAGTCTTTCGGCTCCCGAAAGACGTGGTAAAAGACGCATTTGCAGGTACATGCACAGATGTGCTCACTGATGCGTCTGTTGGGTGCAGAAGCACTTGTTCCGTCTGTTCCAGCCGGTATATGCGTGGTTCTGCTTTATCTATGCGCGGCTCTGCGGCCTGCTGAGGCTTTTCTGCCTTGTGTATGCGCTGCTCGCGCTGCTCGCACTGCTCGAGACGAACCTCGCGGACTTCATCGACAGCACGGTCTATCCGGCGCCGCTTGCGTATCCGCTTAGAAAAAGATGTACCATCTGCTCTTCCTGAAGCAGCTTTGTCATTCATAGAAAAACCCAAAGACGGCATTCCACGCAGCGCAATATATACGGTTCCTGATATACCAAGAAAAAGAATCCACGATATTAGCGGATCCATACGGAGTGGAGTGGTTAAAACGTTAATACAGAGAAAACAGCGGCTATAAGGACAGAATTCCGGTATTTACCGAGTTTACCGAGTATATGCGCAGAAAAACAGAGTATATGCTAGCAAAAGCAGGTGTATATAGAAAACGAGGGACCGATAGGGGCCGATAGGGACCGATAAAACTCGGGTGAAAAATGAGTACTAAGTGGTATACGTCCTATATGCGTGGTCTATGCACGCTGTATGCGTGGTGTATGCGCAATATATGCGTGTATGTGCCGATATATGCGTAGTGTAAGCCCTGTAGACGCCGATATATAGTGTGTATACGCGCAAATGTTTGTATGTATGCTTGTGTCCAACGATGTCTACTTGTGAGTGATATACGTGTGAAGTGATTCTTACGTCAGCTTAACGATCTCGCATTATAATTGCACGGTTTGTCTTTTCCGAAAACGGAGATTCTTAGAATAATAAATGGAATAAAAAGAGTGGAGAAGGCATGATAGAGAGCATATATGCGTAGATATGCAGTGTATAAGTGTAGAAAAGGCAAAACAGGAGTTTTTGGGAGATAATCAAGGGTATTTGTATTATTTTTTACACGGGTGTCGCTTATCAGCAGCCGCTATGACTCCGATGGACACCGCGGCAAACGCCGATGACAAATTTGGAGCCCACGCACATCAAAAACCCTAAGTATCGATGAAAGGTGTGCATAATGTCAGCGGAGAATTAAGCGTTTGTGTGAGAGTGCACAGCGTAGACATTGGGCTATCTATGCAATATATGCACACTGTATACACATTATATACACAGTATGTGTTGCATGCGTGTTGTATGCGTATTATATACGTATTATATGCGTCATATATGCGTAGTATATGCGTGGTGTATGCGCCGCTAAAGCTATATATTGCACAGTAAATGTGCTGGACATTCCGGACAGGATGTCTAGACGGGGTGTGCTGCAGGCGTGCATCCAGCATATATTATGTATATATTCTGCTTATACACAGTATATATACTATGTATACTGTATATACACTATATATAATGTATACATTGCAGATATACATGCCTACTATATCTCATGCGATATATACAGGCTATGCACACATACACAGTATGTGCCATATATATGTAGTATACTAAACATGTCTGCGATTATATAGAGAATGCATAGAATGCATATATGCCATGTATATAATGTATATATAACACAAGCAGATCCCATCTCTTATTCATCTCTTATTGCCGCCCTTTATAATCTATATATTTATTTTAACCGCAGATTTTGCTTTACGCTCGTTATAAATATCGTATATAGTAACACTGCAGAGACCTATTTGTGCAGTTGTAGGCGCAACAGGCACAGGCAAATCTCGGGTAAGCAATATTTAGAGCCAAATAAACATTGTTTTTGCACAATCAGAACCATTGCAGCTCTCATTTTATATTTTATACTGAATTTCAAGAAATCCACTGACAAAGACAGCTAGCTACCGCGCTTGCAGCAGCGCTTGGCGGTGAAATTATAAATGGAGATGCTCTGCAGGTCTATAAAGGCGCAGATATTCTAACAAACAAGCCGTCTACAGCAGAACGTGGAGGGATTCCACATCATTTGCTTGGGACAATTGATCGTAGCGATACATATTCTGTTCAGCGCTTTGAACGAGATGCACTTGAGATTGTGAGTTGAGACAAGCACGGGCGCACTTTTAGGGATAAAAAGACTTTTCCTGTCACTTTGCACGCTATATCCAGTGTATATACGGTTATATGCAGTTATATGCGTTGTATATGCATGTTATATACGACTATAGGTGCACTGTATGTGCCCCAGAGTATATACATGCCTGGATGTGTTCTGGATCAGTGTTTGCACTCTTATTTTGGCGCTCTTTGTCCTAGTTCACCAGCTTACACACTGTAGATTGCACGTTTGCACTCAGTTGAACGGTTGCCTGTGCTTGTTGGAGGAACTCATTATTATACACAAGCAGTTCTTTTTAAAAACACACTTTTAACAAATCAGCAAAATATTGAGCACAGTTCTCCGTCTGGTTTCTCTGAAGTACCAATTGTAGATGAAAGAGACCCAAATAAAGATATTTCAGGGCTTTCATCCCTTTCAAAGCTTTCTTTGCTCTCAACAAGTGAATTATACGCGCGATTAAAAGCATTAGATCCCGTTGTTGCACAGAGATGGCACCCACACGACCGCCGAAGGATCCAACGCAGTCTTGAAATATGTTTATCGACAGGACAACGTCCTAGTGACCTCTATCGTGCTCAATGTAAAGCAACAGGAGTAACAAATAAAGATTCAACAAGTATTTTTGCATTGACAGACCAAGCTTCAGTGGATGTTTCAACACATGCTTTAGGGACCTCAAAAGATATTTGTTTGCCATCAAAAAATGTTTCTATTACCCTTGATAGTCCTTTTTGTGGTGATTTTAATGATAAACTTTCATCTAATGGAGCATCTGAAAAGATTTATACAAATATCACCAATTCTTTAAATAATTTACCGAGTACATCATTTTCTAAGACTTTTTCTGCAGGTTTTGTTAGTTCTGATTCCTATAAAAGCATTGAACAAACAAATGGTAAACGTAACCGTTTCAAAGCATGTATATTTTGGATACATCGTGAGCCAAAAATGCTTGATCAATTACTGGACCAACGTGTTGAAGAAATGTGTGCTGCAGGTGTGTTAAATGACATTCAGATGCTTTATTCAGAATGGGATGTCAAAAATAAACAAAATAAAGTAAAAAAAGGCTCGAATGACACAAAAAAGAACTCAAATGATACAAATAATAAACAAAAAGAAAGTATAAAAGACTATGACACCATGTTAGATATGCAGGATGCCAAAAATAAGCCACAAAGCAAAATAGGAATGTTATATAGCACATTAGAATCATATAATGACTTTGAAAATATCCAGAATAATATTCAAAATAGTAATGAAGATAATATTCATTATGATATTTCAGATAATTTGCGAGGTATTTGGCAGGCAATTGGTATACATAAGTATTTAGAAAGTAACAACTAATAATTATATAGGATTCAGGGCATTCTTGCCTTATCTCGAGCTTCCTGAAGATACTCTTCCAGAAACAAAACGTACATGTTTTATGCATTCAGTAGCTGCAATGCAGCTTGCAACTCGTCAATATGCACGGAAACAAGTCAAATGGATACGTAACAAATTATATCCCTTATGTCGTTCATCTGGACCAGATATTCGATTTTATCTCTTAGATGCGACTGATCCTACACATTGGGAAACCGAGATACAAAATCTTGCTATTACACTTGCTTTAGGTTATAATGCAAAACATATAATATTGGGTCTGATATAAAACAATAGATTTTCTACACGACCGTCAAGGACCTGACCCTCTTTCCCTCAATGCAGCAGCTATGCAGCTGTTGGCACCAAAACCTATACTCAAGTAGTTTTCTAACGGTATTACCGTCTTTACTAGCTTTTTTTAACATTATATGGTGTAGTTACGCATTGCAAACAGAGCTTTGGAAGCATTACGTTTGTGATATTTGCAAAACATCTTCAGGCGAGCCTCTTGTTGTTATTGGTCAGCCTCAATGGTTGATTCATGTACGTGGCCGTCGCCATCGCGCAAGACTTGTACGATACGAGCAAAAACAAAAAGAAATAATACAGACAGAAAAATTAACGACTAAAGAAATTTAACAAAGCTTATTATACTTGATAATATTTCGCAATGTTGTTTTCACCAACACATATTCAAAAATAAACATTAGAAAGTAACCACAAATGCATCAAAAATCAATATAATATTAAAACTAATATCAATTATTTATAATAGTATCAAAACTCTGTATTTTTTATTTATTTTTTCAAACCTTATCAAATACTACTTGACAACATTAAATAACACATCTGAACATTTATAAATCTAATGATTTTGATTAAAGCTATTACATTTTTTAGATTTAAATATATTAAACTTATCAAATATCAAATTCACTTCAATATTAGTTTATAATTTACAAAAAGAAGGCTACGGATAGTCCGGCGTGGTGTAACGGTTAACATTTGGCTCTCTCATTAAAGTGCCCAGCCAAGCTCGGGGTTCGATTCCCCGCACCGGAATAGCTTTTTCGAATAAGTTTTAATTTGCAACTTGAACATACTACCTGCAACACATACATTTTGTATATTTTGAAACATTGTTTTCGAAATATTATATATAAGAAACAATTAAATTTGTTATTATTCGTTATTAAACATATGAACTATATATTAAAAAATAACAAATATCATAAAGTATAATTTTAAAATAAAAATATTATAAGAACAGATATATAATTTTAAAACTAATTGTACGCAGCATAACACTAAATATACGTGTTTAAGTTCTATATATCTATGAAAAACATTTATATACAGCACCAGGAGTACGTAAACGACACTGTGGTGTCCGTTCTACTCAGTCTATAACAGTGGCAATAAGCTCAGCATAAAATTTAACATATATAAAATACGTACAAGAAACATCTGCAAAAAATTAGCTACTTATTTACTATATATTTATTATATATTACATAAAAAGGTGTCTCTACTATAGTAAATTAATTTCATAATGGTTTCTCCACTAGGAAAGTACTAATACATAAGCTGACGTATATCTAACTATTCAAGAAATTACATATATTTTATATGATCCTCAAGACATTATTTCGAAAGTATCTGCATTTCTTGCTTTATCACCACTTGCCATACTAATAGTATACGTAACACTAATTTATAATCGCCGTGAAGCAGAGCTGCTCCTTATGTATGCAGGACAAGTTGTTTGTGATTTTCTTAATACTCAACTTAAACACATTTTTCAACAAGCACGACCAAGCGGTAAGTATCTATAGACAGCTTGCTTATATAATGACTTTCTATAATATCAATTAACATTTTTTACAGCAATAATCAGTGATTATGGCATGCCGAGTAATCATGCACAATTTATTTCATATTTTGCAGGTTATTTGTTATTATGGTGTTTTTTTCGGTAAGTTATTAATACTTTATATTTAATGATTAGAAATGCTTCTTGAGTAATACTAATTTCATTATTTTTTCACCTATTTTTTAACTTTTTTAATCTTTTTTTCAATTTTTCAATCTATTAACTAATTTTAATTAGAGCACAAAACCTACCCCAACATATTTGTATAAGAAATATGGTGATTCTTATAGTATCTGTAATTTCTGTATGTTTTAGCAGGTTTGCTGTAATTTTTTGCAGAAAATAATAATTAATATATTTTAGAGTTTATCTTCACTTTCATACAGTATGGCAAGTTATTGTTGGTTTTTTTGTTGGCGCAGTTTTCTCTGTTTTTTGGTTTTTTTTCATTTCACTTTTGCGTAAGATTGGTTTAATTGATGTGGTATTGCGTTCCTGGCCTAATAATTATTTATACATTAAAGACACAATGAACAAGGAACATAACACAATTAAAAAAGAATGGGAAACCTGGACCAAATCTAATTTTTATAAACAAAAATGATATTTAACTACAACTCATTTATTAACATACTATTATCTCCAATATTTTATCAACTCATTCAATCTACAAGTTTAATAAATCAATAAATCAATAAATTATAAATCTAACATATTAATAGATCAATATCTCTTTAAGTTATATGTACATCTGTGTATATTTCTTCATTGAACTTATTAGAACTTTATTTATGCATTCATTAGGTCATATACTTATGTGTTTATTAGTTTTCCCGTTTTATTACAACATTAATTCATCTACATCAATCATGTTGAAAACAGGTTTCTTAATATCATACAAAATCAATGTACCATCATAATATAGCATCTAATACATTTATAAAAAATCAAATATTAAATAGAATATAATCTTACATAAAGCTTATAGTGTTTTGAATGAATTTTTTCCACTGTCATTCCAAGTAATCCACATGACGGCGGGTCTTCAGGAAACATCTGATCAGCGACCATTGTATAGCTTAATAGTACTGAACCATCGTCGCAATCCATTACGCTTTTTACTAAATACACTAAACACGCTTTGCCTTTTTGCGAGGCTACAACACATAATGACAAATCGGGAATAAACTATTAAGTATTTATATTTGTTTTTTATACAGTGGATCCTTTAAATTTAAGGATTAATACTTACCTCTACCATATTAATTCTATCTATATATCTTAAAATACTTGTCTGGTTAGTATCGTTTTCATCAAAAAGATTTTTGCATTCTGTTAACAATTGAATCCCTGAAACGGTTTCTTCAATACTACATAATTTTATATTTTTTTCAGTTCCATAAAACAATAATTCATTGTATTCAGTAGATGTATAAAATGAAAAAAAAGAATCATCCTGTAACTATAAATATTTAAGTAATATTAACATGCAAATTTACATATTCAATGGAAGAAGGAAAATTTGAGCCATCTAATCGATTAGAATAATTTCTCCAAAACAATGTTTGAGCACTATGACCATTTAAAAAAGTTCTCTGTATATCCTGATGACTATTAGTATTTATATCATTCGTTGTCTCTTCTCTTTCATTTTCATAATTAGACACGTTTTCTGCTGAATACAATACATCTCTATCATTTATTCGATTTTCACGCACACATGTCATCATTACTTGGCTTGGAGTAGACTTTAAACGTTTTTCAGAAGAATCAGTCCTTTTAACTACTTTAAATGCCAAATGATTAATAAACCCAACAAACCAACCCCTTTTTATTCATGTAAACATAAAAATAAGCATAAACAATACTTTACCTCTGAGAATCCAAATAAACATGAAGAAGTGTACCTGAAGCAACATCCCAGAGCCTACACGTAGCATCAATTCCAACACTTGAAAGAAGTGTACCACTATGATTAAAGCAAACACTTGGTATATTATCATCATGACCAAAGAATTTATGAGGCCATCCACCCTTGTCTGTGTCCCATACTTTAAAAGGATTAAAAATACTCAAATTCCATAAACAAATAACATGTGCATTTGAACTAATAGCCAAAAGCCTTTTTGAAGCATGAATAGCAATACCCCACACACTTCTTTCAGTATTAAAAATCAATGGAGAGCGTAACAAATCATCCGTAAACCAAACGTTAATATACCCAGAATCCGTGCAGCAGACAAGAACCTCCTCATTTCCAATATATCCTACTTTAATAGAATTAAAAGATAACGGTGTTATTGCATCAATTTCTCCACGAATCACTGTATGAGAATCAATTTGACATTTGAGCTGAAAAAACGAGTTTTCGTCTAAACCATGAGACTGGGACTTTTCATAAACTCGTATAACATCATCAACAGCTTAAAAAGGTCATTTTTTCATATTCTATTCCGTTTTATTCAGAAAAAATACCTACAAAAACGTTCTTTTTTCCAACCGCTACTAATCCACATCTCCAATATTTAACCCCCAAAATTTCAATTTCTCTACGGATCTTTAATGAAAAATCAACTTTTATATCTTTTTTAAAGGCTGTTTGATTCATTTTAAACCTTATAATCCCTGAAAAACTCTATAAGCTTATGATTTATTTTTTTGTCGTCATCTTGGCTTATCAGCTTATCGTGCAAGAAATTTAGACGGAGTTACAAGGCAACTATATGGGTGTTGCTAGGGATGGTTGGCATGACGATAAGGAGAAATTGAACGTCTGCATAATAAGTATATTAATATAGAGGATTTATAAGAGCTAAAACATTAATTTTTTAGAGTATTTTAAGCATATTTTGAACATTTTTAAGAGGATTATAATATACCAATATATTCTTTTTAGATATTATATCCATTGATGGCTTTTTTGAGCAAAAATGAACAAATAACAAACGAGAAAGAGAATAATGAAAGAGATGAGCTACCTAGGGACTCACTGACACTGTTAGAACTACGTAAGATCTTATCAGATGCCTGTGAAAAAGAAGTTTGATATTTTTTATGTTTTTTGGAAAAATTGAAAACATACTGTAGACAATTAAATGTGCTTTTGTATACGCTGATACAGATACACGTGAAAACGAGCTTGAAGAGTGGTATGATGGATGTAATGTCCATATTATTCAAGGAAAAGTTTTCTTTAAGAGTTTTTTCCAGAAAGGTATATATTATTATAGCATGGAAATGATTTGATTGTGTTAGAATGGGTAAATTGTAAAACTAAAGAAAAAAAAGAATTTATTACCCGTTGTTTGAAAGAATTAGACTCTAAAAACATTAAAGAGCGTATAAAATCATTCTTTGTTTTATTTTACTTATCACAAGGTTTATTTTATGGTTATTTCCCAGCGTTTTTTTAAAAATATACAGGAAATTATGGAGAGACAAAGGACCAGCAAGATCAAATGTATTGGATACATGAAAATAACAAAATTATGAACGAATGTGGTGCACTTAAAATATTATATGATTCAGTAAGAACATGTATTAGCTCATTAAATGCTTATAAGTATTATATTCAAGCTAGTATTCACTTTATTGATTAGAAAACTAGAAAAATTATTGAAGAAGGATCAGATAAAATAGAAATGGATAAAGCAAATTTATTGAAAATAGAATTAATCTGCAAAATGACATCACTTTATTTTCTTATTGAAACGTTTAGATCTGATTTAGAATTTCGTAAAGATGTTGGTAAGATTTTGTTTAAAAAAGATCATTATATTAAAATACTTAGTGAATCTTTTTCCACCTATAATAGTATGGATTATTCAAGAAATTGCGAATTTAAGAGATGATTTTAATCTGTGGAAGTCATATTTTCCTATTATTCAAGTTCATTCTATATAAATTTATTGAAAATTTTTAATATATTAAATTAGACTATTCAGATTTTGTGGAAACTTATACTTTGCGTTCTTGGGAATACAAACGATCTATTAAGTGCAAAACAATACGCTAGAACATTGGAAGGATTGCCATCAGAACTTAATAAAAAAGAAATCATAGCAACACCTCTTGATTATCATATATTTAGACAATATATTATTTCAAAATATCCGTCGTATAACCCTCCACCTACATTACTAGATATGGATTTAGAATATACTACATTACTTCCTATGAATACAAAAGATACAACTAAAAAGGCACAAGAAGGAATTTGTCCTTTAACTACAAATTATTCAGCTACTCCGTTACCGTCTCCATGTCCTTCTCCTAAAAAAAGACAATTTTTGTTTGAAAAGAATCAGGATTTACCTTTCTTGCTTCCTCTTTCTGATACACCTCATTTAGAAGTACCTACAAGTATTAAAGAAGCTAGTGAATTATTCAAAAGTAAAACACATCTTGATTTATCTACACTACAATTATGGAGGGAAACAAACAGATTTATGAAATTTGAAAGAGGCTGGATTAAAGATAATCTAGATTTTGTGGAACCATTCTCTTCAGATATAGCAAAAGATTCATTACAGGATTCTAGATTACATGAAATTGAAATTATATATGTAAGTAATTACTTCATTTGATATTTGTTATTTCTGAAATTTCAGACATCACTAGTTTCATATTTAGAACCTTTTGTATCTGTAATAATAGGGTTTTTAAATTTTTTAATAGATGAAGAAGAAAACTATATAAAAAAAGATAGAAATGGTTTGTTGAAATTATAAAATATTAATATTTTATTTTAATATAGTTAGAAAAGGAAAATAAAAGTGAAAACTTTAACATTTTTTCTCCAGAAAAAATTCTTCAGATGCGAAAAAGAGAAATTGCATCAAAATCAATTTCTTCAACATTATTACTTCTTTTAAAATGGTTTAAATTAAGTCGTATGTTATAAAATTGCCTATAATATTTACTTATATAAAAAGATATTTTAAAATTTGAATTTCTTTCTCAAATAATATTAGATTCCAATTATATTAATACTTTTAATAAATTATTTTCTATGTATGACCCTGTAGATTCTATTTCACATATCTCAGAAATTTCATATTTTAGGTATTAATTTTATAAAATATATAATTCTAACTATTAAAAGTTATTTTAATACTTGCAATATGCAATCAGAAAATCTAAATAAACATTTAAATGAGGTATATAATTCTATAGAAAATATTGAATCAAAAAATCCAAAAGATAAAGAAACAAACAAAAATCAAATTTCCCAACTTTCTTGGAGGAATTTATTTTCTTTAGTCAATCATCTTAGAATCCTTCAAAAACTTATGAAAAAAAAAACATATAGAAATTTAATACTAATTCAAAAAAAAACTTGGATTCATCTTCAAAAACTAACAAAAATAACGAATGATATTGTAGAACTTTATACATTAAAACTATTTAAAGGACAAATTCCATATTATAATAAAAAATGGAAACAGAGTATATTTCAAAATTCTCCAAATTTTTTCTAATTGTAAAAGATAATATGAAAATAATAACATCTATATATCTTCGTTGCAGGCCAGAACTTCAAGATGATTGGGTTTCACCAGTAGAAGTAGATGTAAATATAGAAGAATCTTTGGTTTGTTTTAAGTTCACATTTTTAAAAATTAATATTATAAGGAACGTGCACTTCGTTTATTAATAAGCTTTTATAATTTTTATCATTATTCATTTCCTAATCAATTTAGCGACATAGATACAAAAAACAGTGATATTTTCAACACTTAAGTTTTATTAAATATAAATAAATTGTAATATATAGAAACCAAAATTCTTTAGCAAAATAAAAATCATTTAATGAATCACAATTGCGAAATATATTGTCATAATATCACTTTTTCTTCAAAAATTTATCGTCTTGGTGTATCAGTATCTAATGGTCTATTAAATCCTCTATAAAACTGCTTTAGATAACCAGAACATAATTTTAAATTAATTACCCTCTTCGATTCATATATTGTCGATATTTTGTTGGTTTAACTTTATATACAGCACCAACATCATTTCCCTCAACTTTTTGCTGATGAGTTGTTTTAAATCCAGAGAATCCAAGCATTTTTGCCATCTGTGACGTCTGGCGGTCAATATCATCTATCCATGAGTCTTTAGATGCTTCTGTGTCAGGTTTCAAGAATGCTGAATCATCTGTACACTAAGAATAAAAAAATATGAAATAGTGTTTTAACCTCGAGAAGCTGAATAATGAGTGTTCTTTCTATATGTCTGTGACGGTGACTCACTACGTCGATCTGTACTTATAGAAGAATCACTTCGATGACGTGCATGAGATCTACGACCAAAACGACTAGATGTATCATTTCTTCTTCTTCTACTGTCAGAATAACGCTCTCTACTTTTTCTTTCTACAAAAAACATCAACTTAGCTTATTTATCTTAAAAAAAACGGTTTTTTCACGGACTTTCGCTACGTTGTGATCTATCCCTTGAACGGTGACGTTTTTCACTATAGTCTGGAGATTTAGAACGATTCCTGTGCCTAGAAGAGCTTCTTTTTCTATCTTTTGAAGAGTATTTTTGCGTCATCGTTTTTTGTGAGGTTGGCTTGTCGACGTCGACACTTTATCAGTTGTAAGAAAATATATTTATCTATACATAACAATTTATTATAGAAAAGCTTTTTAAATATATATATACTTGTAAAAAATCTTAAAAAGAATTAAAAAATGTGAAAAATCAATTTGTTTAATTTCTAAATAACAAATTCATAAAAGCTGAAAAAAACAAGATAAAGAAACAAAGGAAATTTATTTGAAACAAAGAAATGAACTAAAGAATATAAAATTGTTTCTTATGTATAAATCATTAGTTTTAATCTACTTTAAAGGTAGCTTAACTTATCGACATCGTTGAATAAAAAGTGGAGAAAATATAGAGAAAACCATAGATATTTTTAATAAAAACATATGAAAAATTGAATATTTTGGAGGTATAATATTGTTTTTAGTTATAGTTAAATTGAATTTGATAGTTTTTTAATGAAAAGCTTTTTTGTTATATGGTTTTTATTATTAAAACAATGCATTAAAGTTTTTGGATCAGAAAATACAAGAAATGGATTAATTGAAGAAGCAGAAATAGCAGCAAATACATCACTTTTATGGGGTCCTTATCGGCCAAATCTTTATATGGGAATTCGAAGTCGAGATCCAAAAGCAATCTTGGCTGGTATAATGTGGGCAGGATTAGATAATTACATACAAATATGGGGTAATTTCTAAAGAGATATGTCTATAAGAAATATAAGAATATGATGAATCTATTAGATATAAGGCATACTTGTGAACAGAATGACAATATGGAGATGTATGGATGGCAAGAATTTGATGTGAGAACAGGTGGCCGTCAAATTATAAAAGATAAAGATATAGATATTGAAATTGTGACCGAATTTGTTAAAGTGTATACAGAGAAACAAGGTAACATTTCTTATATAAAAGTATTTTTTTAAATATATAATAGCTGGAAACTGGGGTCTGCGTATTAAAGGAAAACCTAAAAAAGGTAAATCTTTACTAATTATATTTTATCTTTTTATTTACTGTATTATAGCTGGTTCCAAAACATCTATTTTTTTTTATGTAGTATCCAATGAAAATGAAATAAAATTGGATTCTAAACTTGAAAAACATGTAAAATTTAATTGTTTCTGGTTCTTGATACCTAAAATAACTTAGGGAATCAAAGGAAGTGTAATTCTGAGTGACAAAACATCAAAGAAATTCACCATTGAGATCACACAAGGCCCTAATACAAATATATATCCATCATATAATCATTCTATTGCAAATGAAAAACACCTTAATCGATCCATGTATTTTAGTATGATGGTACCTAAAGAAAATATTTGGATGGCAAAAGGTATTAAATATATGAGCATTATACAAAATAACAAATTTTAAGATTTGCTACTTTCTACTATAGATAAAAATATAGAAAACAATTATCAAAAATATAATCAAGATATTCCACCTCCTGCTCTTTTTTACACATTACCAAATATAGATGGGCAAGGAAACCTTCATTTTGTTCAAAAAATATTTCAAGGATCTTTTGAAGTATATTTATAAAATAATTATATTTTAGTAATTCTAAGTAGTTTGATATATTGTATTCTTCATTAGATGACCCTATAACTAGTAACAATACATTTAAATTAAGATTATATTAACTGTTATAGGTCATCAGCTTAAAAATAGAATTACTTCTAATTCAGAATTATTTAAAAAAAGATTTGCAAAAATATTTCCCTTTACATATCCATTTAATTCAAATAAATATACAAAATTTGCACAAACCCTTCTTTCAAATCTTTTAGGGAATATAGGCTATTTTTATGGTGATTCTATTGTTGATAGATCATACATTTATGAATATGAAGAAACTTTTCAAGAATATAATTTAGAAAAATCTCCGCAGGTAGAAGGACCATTTTCATTATTTACAGCTACACCTAATAAGTCTTTCTTTCCAAGGGGATTTTATTGGGATGAAGGGTTTCATCTTTTACTTATTGGGTCTTGGGATAATGATTTAAGGTAATTTATAAACAATTTATTAACATTATTACTAAATATTACATAGTCTTGAAATAATAAAAAGTTGGCTTTCTTTAATGGATGATGATGGATGGATTGCTAGAGAGCAAATACTTGGTGATGAAGCTAGAAGTAAAGTACCTAAAGAATTTATAGTTCAATATTCTCATTATGCTAATCCACCAACTATGGTTTTACCTATAGTTTCTTTTCTTGAAAAATTAAATCATAGTAAAAATGAAACTGGTTAGTATTTTATTGAAATATGTTCATTATTAACTTAATAAATCAAGGTTAATTTTAATTTAGATTTCTTACTTTTAAGAAACTGATAATTTTTAGAAGATCCACAAGAAAATATATATTCTAAATATATAAAATACCCAGAATTAGCTATTGATTATTTAAAAAAAATATATCCTCTTCTTCGTCGTCAATATAATTGGTATAGAAGAACTCAAAAAGGTGAAATAAAAAAATGGAATAGACAAGCATTTTCTCTTGAAGAAGGCTATAGATGGCAAGGGTGTACTTCTACACATTGTTTTACTAGTGGTTTAGATGATTATCCAAGACCATATCCTCATAATGGAGAATTACATTTAGATTTGTTATCATGGATGGGACTTTTTACAAAAACATTAAAATCAATTGCAGAAAAAATTGGTTATAAAAAAGATGTGGAAGAATATATAATTATTGAAAAAGCAATTATTAAAAATATTGATGGTAAAATCCTTTATTCTTTTCTAACTTTAATAAAATAGATTTGCATTGGAATGATGAGCAAAATGCATATTGTGACTCTACAATAAATCAAGGTTGCAATTTTCTACAAATATAAGAAAATAATTAATTTTATCAGATACGAGTATCCATGAATGCCATATTGGTTATATTACTATTTTTCCTCTCTTAACGGGCCTTTTACCAGCATCATCATCACACCTTGATAAATTACTGGATATAATGTATTCTCCAGACCATTTATGGTCTCCGTATGGGCTCAGAAGTCTTTCAACTAAAAATCCATACTTTGAAAAAGATGAAAATTACTGGAGAGGCCCTGTTTGGATAAACATCAATTACATGGCACTTTCTAGTTTATATAAAGTAAAAATATAACTTTCTAATCATTTTTTGACGTACATCTTAGAATTACATTAATACACCTGGTTTATATCAAGAAAAAGCAAAAAAAATATACAATGAACTGAGAATGAATTTAGTTAATACGGTATTTAATGAATGGAAACGCACTAACTTCGTATGGGAACAGTACAATCAAACATCAGGAGTTGGTCAACGTACAAAGGGATTTACCGGATGGACAAGCCTAATCGTTAACATTCTATCTGAAAAATATTAAAATCTAATAATATATATACCGCTAAAGTCCTTATACATTAATGCTATTTATGTTCATTCTGATTTATAAAAACTGAATTTAAGGGTATTATCTTTTAAAAACCATTAATTGTTTATGTAATGTATTAATTATTCAGTTCAAAAATTATCAACTATTTTTCTTATTTCGACCTTTTAACAACATCCTTAACAGTATATGTCTTGTAGAATATTTTTTATTTACTTTTTTCTTATGTTTCAATTTCCAATGCATCATCCATAAATGATCTAAATTAATTTTACGACAAGATTGATACAACATGTATTGGCTTTTTCTACGCCTATTTACAATCACTTCTGTTATATCTGGGACAATAGGTAGACATTGAAAATTTTTATTCCGTATAAATGACTTAGACAAAGAATTATTTCTCTGCCATCTTGGCCCTTTCTTAGAAGCATACATATTTGGCCTTGAAAATACACCGTGATCTACTGATTTAGCCCTAGAACGTCGGCCATCTTGTTTTGATGCCCGCTGAGACACCAATGCCTGTTTTTTACCGTCCTCTAAATGACGTTTGCGTCTTTGAACAGGGCGGCTTTTGCCGCCCCAAAGAACAGTTGGATCATCAAATACACAACCAACAAAGGAGTTTTTTCTTGAAGAAATCTTATGTACAGGTTCTGAACAATTTCTTGGTGTTGTTATATAAGAAATAGCTTTTTGGAATTTTTCATCAAATTTCATCAAATTTTGATCTTCAAAAAATTTATTTGGAACAATTTTAATATAGACTTCATTAAAAACCATTTCAACTGCTTTTTTAAGTGAATCTTCATCTGTTTCATTAGATTTTAGAGTATCATTTTCTTGCATTTTTAAGATGTTCAGTTATCTATAACGACAAAAAAACGTATCAAAATTTCAGTGTTCTATAGGATTAATTTTAAGGCGTTTTATGTATGAAAACTCAAATATTTATGCTTTTTCTTATAAAAAACAAATCTGATATAAATATAATAGTATTTTCTTTAAAAAACGGCTAAAAATACATATGGATAACACTTTTTCTATTGGAACACACTTTAGAGACATTGGAGTTTATGTTTCGGGAGCATTAGTTATTTTTTCTCTAAGAAACTGTTAAAATCTCTGATATTAATACTCTGTTTTAGTTTTCCTTGGGCTGGTGGTTTTTTATCGACTCTGCTATATACAGTAAAATTGTTAACACAGGAAATGTTCATGTTACTTTAGTTGATTGGGTTCCTTGTGTTTTGTCAACATTTGGAATGATAATGTAAATTTATATAATAATTTTTTTAAAAAAAATTATATTCATTCTAACATCAGGATAGTATCAATTCTATAGACAAGAATAGATTGATTTCAAATACATTTATATATACCGGGTACAATATAGTCAGAAAAGCAAGATTTTTATTATTTCTTGGGTTTTCACTTTTAGCTAGTGGTCTTGCTGGATCTTTGGTAAAATATTTTTGTATTTTTAACAGCTGACCAATGCAGACCGTACTTATTCTTAAATACGTTATACATAATTATTCCTTTAAAGTGCTTTACATGGGTATTGAAAATATGATTGCAAATGTTTTGGTTATGTTAAGGTAAATTAAAAAAGAACTATAAATTTATATAAATATTTGTAGTACGATTATTCTTTGGGCAACAATAAATCATGAAAACAATCAGTATCACTATAATCTTATATTAAGCTAAAAAGGGAACAATAATAGCATTAATAAAATGTATTTTGTACACATAATAATTACACATTAACAATAATTCATGTTTTTATTGATTAAAGTCACTTTAATAAGACACTAATAAATCCCATGATATATTAAGAGAAAAAAACTTAAAATATTTCGCCATATTCATAGATGTTACTAAAGATATATCTAAATATCCAGTACATGAGAAAATGTATAACACTATACATTAAAGTATGTCAAAAAATTTACAAATGCTATCCATTAAAAAAAATTCTTAAAATAAATGCAAAATTATCCGAGATACAATATTTTTATATATTTTTAGATATCTGTTAATCCAGTTTTATTCGTGCTTTTTCTAACGATACTGGGTGGAAATTATAAATATCAATACCTCTTGCATTAAACTCAGGAATCACATGTGAAGGGACTAATTTTTCAATCAAATCAGGACGAATAGATAATTCTAGAAAACAATAAATATCAATGTTATTTAAAAATGTATAAATAATACCATGCTCAGTAAAATCAAAAAGAGGTGGTAATTTTCGAATCACCATAGAGCCATCATCATCAGAAAAAGATGGATCAGGCAATGATATATTAGGATCCCTTAATTCATCAAAAAAAGGATGTGTTAAAGCTTCAATAGCAGAAAATCTAGAATTTGGCGTATATTCTAAAAGATGAGATATCAAATCAATGGCATCATTTGAAGTTCCTCGTCGAAACATCTAAATATGATTAAATAGAAATGCAAAAAAGTATAAAAAATATATACCCTACTAAAAGGACGAGGCTTGATTTGTGGAAACTTATGATCCATATAATTAGGGTTCATTGTCTTAATTTGTTCACGTGTTGGTGTACCCAATACTTTAATAATCTCAACGAGCTGATCAATACCAGATTCACCTGGAAAAATAGGCTGACCCAAGATCAATTCAGCTAAAACACAACCTGTGGACCAAATATCTAGAAACATATAAATATGTTTGTAAGGGAAAAGAAAACAAACCTATTTTAGTTGTATAATTTGTTGAACCAAAAATAAGCTCAGGAGCTCTATAATAACGGGAACAAATATATGAAACATTGGGTTTTCCAGCAACAAGAACTTTAGCAGAACCAAAATCACAAAGCTTAAGAACACCTATAGTAGGATTAAGTAAAAGATTTTGCGGTTTAATATCACGATGACAGATGCCTTGAGAGTGTATATATGCAAGAGAACGAAAAAGCTGATAAATATAAAGTTTAATATCAAAAAGTGGCATTGTTTGTTTGCGCCTGGCATAATTTCGAGATACACGATATACTGTTTCTGGAATGTATTCAAGTACTAAATTAAGATAAATTTCATCTTTCTAATACAATTTTTAATAAAAATTTAACAGAAAGAAAAAATTCGTACACGTTCACCATTTGAGTAAAAAAAAGCCTTAAGATCTACAATATTGGGATGACGAATTAAACGCATAATTTGAAGTTCACGATTCTATAAGAAAAATAAGTAAACATAATTCTAACTGTTATTATTCTTACTTTAAACCGTTTATCTTGTAAAACGCGCTTAATAACAGCATCCTCATTTGTATCAATTAACCGTGTTTGAAAAACAACACCAAACGATCCACTCCCTACAATCCTAGACGATGTATAATTAAGTTCACGTACTTTCCCGTCATGTATGTAATGAACGTTCTCTTGTTTGATAACTTTAAATGGATCTAACACATATTAATAAAAGAATCCTGTCAGCCCAACTGAACAGAAAACGAGGCGTTTTTAAAGCTGTCAGCTAACACACTGTCTGCAATTATGTTATATTAAAATACTTTCACCACGTCCACTTTAAGCTTAATTTAATCCCATTCCAGACTCAATTCAAGCTCATTTATACTTATATCTGCACAAATAACCCTTTACTCCTCGTCTGACGCCCATCAACGCCTCGTTCTCTGTTATATAACCTATATTTGTTTACCAAACACTAAACCCTGTAACGTTTCGTGCATCCCAATACGTATACGCACACTGACGAACTATTCGTCTACGTATACCGTCCAATTATTATATTTATATGTATTAATATATAAAAAGCAGTTGTTTCAGCTATTTTTGTATATATATTATCCAATTATATATATGATCCAATTAATTCCAATTCGTATCTCGTGCTTGTATGACTCTTAAACCCTGTTTTAAAGCTGTTTTCTGCACTAACACCATTTAATACCTATAAAGCATCATGTAAAAAGTAAATTTACAAAAGTAAATCCACAAAAACAAATATAAACTATCTATACTCTGCAGACCCCCTCACTCAATTATATGTTTGGATATATCTATTATATGTACTACGTTTCTCTGTTTGCTGTATCTACAAAATATATGCTCCAATGCTTCTATAAATATGAAAAGACGCCTCTATCCATGTAAATCTAATAATTCTATTATATTTCCTTCCTTATACCCTGATATTCGTTTTTTTTTTTCTCCAAATTTTACTATAATATGCTGTTTTCTTGCTATTTTCTTTTTAATATGCTATTTCACAAATCACCCACTAAACTCACTTGAAATACTTAAAATATAACTAAAATCTACTCTAATCTTTTAAATAAACTCCTAATCGACCCGTATGCTGCACTATCTGATGTATTTTTTGTCTTCTCAAATGTCGAATTCTCGATCGTTTTCACTTAACCTCAAGGGACACGCGCGGGACCTGACGAGGGCTTAACCCTAACTTATATTTTAGGGTTTCAATATATAATTAGGGCTAGGTTAAGGTATAAGAGGTAAAGATTAGAATATAAAGTATTAGATAATATAAATAACGAGTCGGAGATGAAGATTGACACTAATTTGACAAAAAAAACGTTTTTATTATTGTTCATTACGACTATTATTGTTTTCAAGTGTAATAGCGACACCGATATTGACAGAGTTTTTAGGATGATCCAATTCTCCAGAAAATGTAAACATAAGTGCATTTGCTAAACGTTTTTCAAAAAGACAGGAGACTTTTCCAGCAGTGTCTATCTGTCCTCTAAAAACGCTATTCATAAACTCATATTTTGCACCAACGGCAGTGATACCCTCTTTTTTGATAACACCAAGAGGAGCAATGGGAGGAGATGCAGTTACGAGCTGGCACTCTGCACCTACTTGAACTTTTGGAGAGAGTCTACGCCAATATGTTAAGGAATAGATACCCTGTGATGCTATTTGGGCAGTAGCAATCCAGTCTTTTTCAACATAGCGTCCAAGGTAACTTAGAGTTGTGTCTTCGGGCCCAGCAGCAGAAGGAGGCTTTTGATAAACACCTTCAATTCCCAGTGACAATTTTGGTGTGATTGTTTGAAGAAAACTGGCAACAACAATACCGGTTAATCCATTGTCTAAAAAAGACGGATTCATATATTTTACATTAATACTTGTATCAGGTCCCTGATAATCTTGTTCTAACTGTACAACAGATTGTCCAGCCATGGAAGTTAGCTATTTTGTTAGCACTTTCAACTATTTCATATATTTTTTACCTGCATCTGAATTTTACTTGTCAATTGGGGCATCCATTGATAACTCGTCCGCATGGACAACTGTCCGTCCATATCTATATTCCCAGTTGCAACAAACTAAAATACAATTAATGATATTATTTGTGTTTAAATAATATCAAATCACTTTTTTTGTTCCAAAAACTGTTCCAAAACTATACAAAGGAAACTGTTGACTTCCCATAGAAAATGAATGTGTTGTCTGGAATGTTATGTCATCTTTGCATGAAAATACTTTCCCTAGATCTGCTCTTGCTCCTGTAAACATCATACGACTTAATAATACATCTTGCTGAGCTTCTCGAGACAAATATTCAACTGTTCCTGGATTTGAAAGCTGTAAAGACCCACGAATCTCACGTAATGCTTCAATGTTGGTTTTAATATATTCTTTAAATTGAAGAAAGGTCTTCATCCATCCTTTTTCATCCATTTTTGATATATGAATAGTTTTGACGAGTTTGTTAAATTTTCTTCTTTTTAGAAGTTTTTTCTGGGAAAAAAGAAAGTATGTGTTAGATCCAAAAGCTGCCTCTTATTCTATTTAAAAAATCTTTCAAAATAATCTTTTTTACCTTTGTATTTAGTTTTTTATATGATTGTAGACTTTTAACAAACGTTAATAAATGATAGACGTTAATACGATTTAACCTCTAAATATTTATTAAAATATTTTTTTAAAAAAAAGACAAGAATAAAGAATATTTTTAAGTATTTTAAGTACAGAAACTGTACTTTATAATAATATATGTCAGTATACTTTTTTTTGAAGAATTTTGATTGTAAGTAAGTTTTTAAATCTCTATTAACACTGGTTAACCTATTGTATCATAAAAAGTTTTAAAATAATATATATTATAATATTACTTTCTTATAAATAAGAAATTCTTTATATATTTGTCAATAAATTTGTTAATCATTTTGAAAAAAGCATTAATATGCAAGAATCATCAGTGACACAAATGAGTTCAATAGGAAGTGGAAAGTAAGACATATGTGTTCTTATATGAACCAATTTTTGATCCTAGAAATTAACTGCTTATTTAAGTCTTTTCAATGCAGGGAAAATTGGAATTGTTATGGGTAATTTATATTTATTGTTAATAATGAATTGATTTATTTTTTTATAGTTGGGCTTCCTGCACGCGGAAAAACACATCTTTCAGTATCTCTTTGCCGATATTTGTTATGGTATTTGATATTTATGATATACATTATCTTTTGGTTAAGGCCAAATATGTAGGCTTGGTGTTAAAACCCATGTTTTTCATTTAGGAGATTATAGACGACAAAACCTTAAGAAAGGAGAAATTTTGCCTGAGGATTATTTTTATGTCAACCGTATATTTTTAAATAAAAATGATTGGCTTGACTTGATAGTAATTAGCTTCGGAAAAAATGAAGGAGTTTCGTAATTCAGTACTTTCATGTTGTAAAAAAGATATAATAAAATTTTTCGATGAAAACGGGCAAATTGCTATTTATGATGCAGCAAATCCAAGAGTATCAGATCGCCGTTTTTGGGCTTCTTTTTTTTCAGAAAAGGGAATTCAAGTATTTGGACTATTATATTTACACTTTGTTGATGAAAAAACTAGTCTCTTTTTATAGAATCTCTTTGCGATGACCCTGAAATAATTGAAGAGAATGTACGATGTTTGAGAATATCATCTCCAGATGTAAAAAGTTATTTATTATTTTTTTTCTAAATAATTTTAGTATATCAGTTGGAAACCTGAAGACGCTGTTGAGGATTATTTAAAACGCATTAATAACAAAATACCTTTTTACGAAACCATTGTAGAAAACGATTTAAGTTATATTAAAGTTAGTATTTTTTGTTTTAATAATAGATTTAATAATTTATATAGGTTATAAATTTATGTCAAAAATTAATAATTAATAATGCAAATATCGGATATCTACCCGTATGTTAGAAATACCTAAAGCTACTATATTTATAGTGTTTTAGTCACGGATTATATTTTATTTAATGAATATACACGTAAAACCAAGAGCCATTTATTTTGCTAGTGTAATATTTACATGCGTATTTCTAATAACTAAATATAATAAGATATGTGATTCTTTACATGATGATATCAATTCCAGAAAAAGCTGCGTAAATAGAGAAGATCATCAATATGCATCTGCATTTGTATATACATTGTTAAAGGACCGAGAAGAAACACAAAGTCAGGCCAATACTGGTAAAAATAAAAATGCTAAGGACCTAACTGTTTTCCTACCACTCCTTGATAATCTTGCTAACTAATTACAGATTTGGACGCCTATCTTATGCAAAATGTGCCATATAACCAGTCTTCTTGAAAATAAAGGATACGTTGTCGATCAACGACCACTCTTAAGACAAGTTAACCTGGGTGTTGTTGAGGACATGACAATGGAAGAAATAGAAGAAAAATATCCTACTGAGTTCCGTCTCTACCAGGAAAACCCATATACACACCGCTTTCCTCGCGGAGAGGTTGGCCCTCCATATCTATCTATATATATCAACTAGCACAGAGCTTGCACGATCTAGGCCTCCGACTAGAGTCTGTCATTCTGGAAATCGAGAGAGAAAATAACGATATTCTCATCATTGCACACATGAGTGTTATTAAGCTGTTATACGCATATTTCATGAGTACCCCTGCTAATGTAAAATAAGATTTATTTTAGTTTTATCTAATTTTCACTAGAAAATCCCTTTTCTTGACTTCCCAAGCGATCATATCATAAAGATCATTCCTGGTGCATATTTTTGCACCGAAACGAGAATTCCCATCACAAATACCTCGTCTTAATTCATGCCTAAGGGCTCCGGCGTGAGCTACGACTTCCCTGATACCGATTGTACCCATGATAACCTGGACTCCTCTCCCGACTACGCTCACGACGTCTATAATGGCGGCTATGGGGTGTTCTATCCCGTTTGCTTCTCCGCGAGTCTCGCTGGTTTTGGCCCTGGATACTTTCATACGAATATGTATCGAATCCTTTCCCGTATTTTTCTTTGTTTAAAGTGCTTCTTTCCATTGACTGTGGAGAATGGTGCCGGGCTGCTTTTCTATATCTATAAGTCACGTGACCTCAACCACCAACAAGCAATATACGTTCGAAATCCAAGGCCTTCAGCAGGATTTGCCTGGCTCATTGCAGTGTCAATAGCACTTACTTCTGCTTCTTTGTCTGTACGGTGTATGGCAGTTGCAATTTCCTGGGCAGTTGCACTTGAAGTGTTTTTTTTTTCCACTTCAAAGCCTCTGTAAAGTCAGCTTTAACCGGTAAATGGTGAGTTTTTACAAAGCTTCAGCAAGTGCATCTTTTTCTGCTTCTTTGATCTTCCGTATTTCCTCTGCACGTGCATCACGGGATATTGTTTCAGCCTCTTTTTTGCCTTTTGCATACCATGTAAGATCACGGCCTTTTTGCCAGCGTCCAACTGGTGCACGGAGTGAATGGCCTAAGTAATTTTCACGGTATTTGTCTTCTTTAACGTTTTCCCAGCGGAAAAGGCCGTGTCCACCCCGGTTTCCCTCTCTAATAGGCCCTGTTAGAAGATCTGCCATTTTACAAAGGGTTAAAATTTTCGATATCGAATATATCGATGTTAATATTATGAAAATCATGTATGTCAAATATGTTAAAATATGTTAAAATATGCTAAATACATTAAATATTTTTTAAAAAAAAAAAACATAAAAAGTATAGCCAAAAACATGCCATTATGAATTTATTCAATATTAATAATTGTTCTTTAAAAAGAGAAAAATAAAAAGCGACGTTATGTTTTTTTATCAATAATATATGTACGATCGTCTTTACCCTCTACAATTTGCTGGATGGACTCCATTGCAATTATTTGAGCATCAATTAAAGATTTTTCTTTTTTTCTGTCTGGATGAACCATAAACACATCAGGAACTCTGTAGGATTTGCCTAAACGATCAAATAAAGTAAAGAATTGTCCGTAGTTATAATTAAAGAGGAGATGATGTATGGAGTGGCAAGCAGACCCATTAATTACAGGATTGAGTGTTACAAACTCACTGTCATCTAGAAGATATTTGTTAGTTTAAAAAATATATGAAAAAGAAAGACAAACGGATTCTATAAATAAGTTATATTTTTCAAAAGAAGAAATATACATACAAAATTGTCCATAGATTAACAAAAATAAACATGCCGAGATAGACATACTTATGAAGAGGAAAAATAAAAGGAAAAAGGTGATAAGGGACCGACTAATTAATAATAAGACATTAAAAAGCGTAATATCGTAAGCACATACCTGCAAATATCCATCAAGTGGATGAAATGCATACGAAGCATAAGGTGTTGGTATAATCCACCTATGATGAGACTTGTGTAGTCTTTTATAAAGAATACGATGATGCAAAGCACGATGAATTAAATATATAAGACCATCCGTAAAAACTAGGAAAAGAGGAAACTGAATTATATAATACAACTTGCCATATTTCAAAGGGTTTTCATATATTTTTGAAAATCCATGGATCTCTGCAAGAAACCAAGGAGTTGTAAACAGAGTCATCAAAGGCATTGCTCTTAATGACTGTGCTATTTCCATCCGTATCTGGTTTTTTAGGAATCTCGGATGCTTCATTGTTAGTTTATCAAAAATAAAAAGATATGAAAGTGTTGAAAATAAAAAATATGATATCATAGCAAAAACCCATGTAATTAAAAATAAAGAAATAGCTAAACCATTAGATCATACACCTTGTTTTTTCCTAATTTACCCTGTCTATATACAGTATCACGATGAACCAATGAAATATTAGTAAAAAGGTTAAATCTGCTAAAAACACTTGTAAAAAATAACTTGAATGGCCATTTCTTATTTATATTTTCATATAAATCGTCTAAAATATAATCATCTATCATAAAAAATAAGTATTCTTGCTTAACAATTTTTTTGATAAAATAAAAAACATTATGTTTGATAGAAAAAAACAGAAAAAAACATACCAAAAATATTCAATACGACGTCCATATGTTCTTCTATATATCTACACTCTTATCCTTTAATATTATCTTTTTTACCTTTATTTATTTAATTTCTTGGTCATTTTTCAATATTTCCGTTAAATCAGATTTTCATAAAGAAATTAAGAAATTATTTTATTATCCGACTAAAAAGTGTTTAATCAAGCTTTTATACTTAAATTTACGTTTTTTTATGTGTATATATTCCATAGTTTTATTTTTGTAGCTTTTGGTGCAAAAAAACGGCTAAAAAATGGCAACTAATAAGGCTGATGAACGTAATCAAGAAGCAACTATTTATGGTAGAATAAGTCTTTAAAAAAGACTTAAACATGTTTTTAACTGCTTATTAGTTGGTAATTTAGATGAAAGAACTACTGATGCTATTTTGTGGGAGCTTTTTCTTCAATGTGGACCAGTTGTTAATGTTCATTTACCAAAAGTAAATTTTTGCTTTAATGATAGAATATTCATTCAGAATTGATATTTTTAAGGACAGAGTTAGTCAGACACATCAGGGATTTGGATTCTGTGAGTTTTTAACCGTAGAAGACGCAGATTACGCATGTCGTATTATGAATCAGATTAAACTATATGGAAAGCCTATTCGTGTAAATAAGGTACTATTTCTGCTTAGTTTTTGTTTGGATGTAATTGATGGTTCTGGAAGGCAAGTGCAGATAAGAAAAATACGATTGAAATAGGTGCTGAGTTGTTTGTTGGGAATCTTGATCCATTGGTTAATGAAAAAGTGTTATATGATACTTTTAGTGTTTTTGGGATGTTGGTAGCTCCTCCAAAGGTGAGCCCTTTGCATTTTAAAGTGTTTTTAATATGTAGATTGCTCGTGATGATAACGGACAATCCAAATGTTTTGGTTTTATTTCTTTTGATTCTTTTGAAGCTGCAGATGCAGCTATAGAGGGGATGAACAATCAGTTTCTTATGAATAAGTCTGTTTCTGTTAGTTATGCTTTTAAAAAGGATGGAAAAGGTGAACGCCATGGAGACCAAGCAGAACGCTTGCTTGCATCACAGGCTCGTAAAAATAATGTTAGTTTACAGCCTACAGGCATTCCAGCTCTTCCTATAGGGTTTACTGGGCAAACTCCAATAGGATATCCTGGACAAGTCCCCTCAAATCCTGCAGGATTTTCTCAGCCTTCTATGGGCTATCTATATCAGGGCTATCCAGGAGCTGTCCCACAAGGATTTGGTATGTATTTTTTTATTTTTTTTAAAAAATAATTGTGTTTTTAGCACCACCTGCTACAACAGGTATTCCTTCTATGATGAATTCATATCCTGTTCCACCACCCCCTCCTGTTACAAATTTTGGACGATAATATTTTATTCTAATATTGATATTTTCATTTGTATCTATGTTGAATAGTAATGTGCTTTATTATGGGTTTAAAATTGCAGTTATTAAATATATTATTTTTTAGAATCTTGTTACTTAGATTTTAGATACGGTCCTCTAATTTAATATATATTTATAAATTATTCTTTCAGATGTTTATGAAGATTAAGTTTAGTATGGTATTTGGTTTCTATATTGTAGTTTCTAAATATATTAGTAATTAAAGTTTTAAAAAAATTAGAATGATCCAAATATTTTTTATAAATATCAAGAGTATCAAAATTAGTAGTATAAAAAAAGTAAATTTTTAATATTCTTTAATTTATAAAGAATCGATAGTATTTTTATTGAAAAATCTTATTAAATGTTAAATTTTATTTGTTTTTGAAGCCGATGATATTAGTTTTTGCTAGAACAAAGTTGTTTTCAATAATTATTGTATATAATAAGATTTACGCTTTTAAAGACAAGTTTATATATCTAAATAAATATGTGATGTTCAAAAAAGTGATAAATTATAGATATATATGAAATATTGAAATAAATATTTAAAATCAAAGTTTAAATTTATATATTCTTGTAGAATGGTCTTCGCTAGCAATTCCAAGATAATGTGTATTTAATTTTAAAAAAGGTCGCCATTGAAGTCGAGATATAGATGCTCCTGGTAATAACCTTAATAGATTAATTTTTTTTTTAATAATAAAAAACATACGTTTTTGGAATATCAAATACCTTTTTCCATTGACAAATATCGTTTTCATTAGATTTTAAAATAACAATAGCTCCACTCTCCATACCAACAGCCATGAAACATCTATAAAAGATAAATAAATAAAACAAGTAAAAATATTCTTACGAATAATTTATCAGATAAGTACAAATATCAACAGAAGTAACTGCATCAGGAAATTTTAAAGTAATAAGACATTCAGATTTTGTTTTCTCAGTCTCAAATTTCCATATTTTTATAGTCTTATCTCTTGATGCAGTCACAAATATATTTCCGATAGTTTTTGGCGCCCAACAACAATCCCATATAATTCTTGAATGAGCTGTTTTTGTTTCTATTAATTTATAGATATTTTTTTCACTTGTTCTAACAAATAATGCAAAAGTTCTATCTCTTCCTGCGCTTAATATATATTTATCATCTTCTGAAAATTGAACTCGTGTTACAGTTAAAGTATGAGCTGATAATGGAGGTAAAATTTCTTGCCATGTAGACGTATTAAATAGACGAAGAACAGCATGTTCTGACGTAGTTGCTTTGCATGTACTGACAATTAAGGTTTTATCGTGGCTAGATGCTATTGCTATAATTTCATATCCATGAGCATAAAGTTTCTCAACTTCAGGCCAAAGTGTATGCATTTGAAGATGTTCTTCAAAAGGAGGTGTTTTTAAATCAATAATATTTTGTTTAAAATCTTCTCTATCAGAAAAATTCAATGTATCTTTAATGTCAGAAGAATTTAGTTTGTTTTCTGAAACATTATTTATAGAATCTGCAACTTTATTAGATAAACCAAGTAAGGGAACATTTGCAGCATCAGAAAGATTTTCCTGTAAAAATTAATAAATTTTAAAATGTTTAAAAAATACATACAATTTTCTTATCATAATTTATATTAGAAAGTTTTGAAATTAAACGTGCAATAGGTTTAATAGGATTAAAAACTCGAATAACCTTTTCATCAGCACCACTAACCAATTGCCATGTATCAAGCATGCTAACGCAATTCATATCGTAACCATGAATTTGAGGCCTTGAAAACTCGTGCCATGTTTCTTGTAATTTTCCATTTTCATCTTGCCGAATCCAAGGTGCAAAAAGTCTAGTAGTTTGATCTAAACTAGAAAAAATTAAGCAAGACAATTATATCTAATTATATTAACCTAGATGAAACCAAAAACTCTCCATGAGGACTCCATGATATACTTTTTACTGCCTTCATATGCCCAGTAATAGATATTCTTTCAATCCAATTATCTTTTATATTTGAAAATATTCTCCACCCTCCACTTCTAGTCCAACAAGCAATATCTTTACCATTTGGACCCCATAGTCCTCCAAAAAACCCTCCAAAACTCCCTGTAGCTGTACTAGAACCTTTCGAAAGGCTAAGTTCCCCAACACGACATAAAGAAACCCAAATTCCAGAATGATTATCAGGATGCCATATAATTAAAGAGGTGTCTGCTGATGCAGTCAGTAACTTTAGTTCTCCATCTAATATATTCAGAAGAAAGTAATATATAAATCAAAACTCACTTGGATGCCATGAACATGTAAATATCCAGTCATCGTGACCCATTAGTAATGCATCAAAAGATACTGAATATCTATAGTCAATGGATTAATATACTATAAAAAACATAAATATATTTACTTATGTATAATATTTTCTTCTTCTACTAAAAAATTAAATATTTTATTCGTTAAAAGTATATCAATTTCACTAAGTTCATATCAATACTAAAATAACTATAAAATAAAATTTATAACTTATCATTATTTTTCAACTCATTAGATGCAGTTTCTCCTTTTTCACAAACAAAAATATGGGCTATTCTCCAAATCCTTACATATTTATCTTGACTGGCACTTGCAAGAAGCAAATCTCCTGTTTTCTGCTCAACTGTAATGTCCAAGCTTCTTACCCAATCACTATGTCCATCAAGAGAGGATATATATGTAAATACATATTTTCCATTTACAATAGAAGAAACATATACATCAATAAGATTTGATGAGCCACCTACAGTAAACAACATATTTGTAGTATTCGGTAAAACATGAAGAGACATAGATAATGGATACATATTAACACTATTAATTACCTGAATATTATCTATGAATAATTCATATGTATCTAAATCATTAATTTTCCATATCGATATCATGCCATCTGTTGCACCAATTATAATATACGAAGCAAGTGTTGCAAGAACATGAATAGGAGACTTATGCTCAAGAATAGTATATACACATTCAAACTTTCATACATAAGAATATTTTCTTTTATAAAAACAGTTCTTACACAATTTGTTTTTTTTTTCCATATTTTAACAGTAGAATCTAATGATCCAGATAAAATTCCCTCTTTTTTATCACAAAACCCCCAAAAAAAACGCACAGCTGTAACTGATCCAGTATGTCCTATGAGTGTTTCAAATATTCCATTACAATTAACGTTCTTTTATCTTTTATCAGAGACTTTTCTGTCTTTCAAAAAAACTTACAAAAGGATCGTACAAAGCAACATTTTGATGTGTTCCAAAAGCAATAAGACCTGAATAAGGACTCCAGTCTGAGACATTTGGAGATGAATTGCATCCTGAACTAATCATTGCTGCCCATAAACCTTCCTCCATGGTGATTTTGAAAAATCGTGTCGTTAAGATTTTGCCAAAAGTATTACCATGGAAACCAATATCGATATCAATCTTCAACTTCACCATATCTTTCTTAACTGTCAATTCAGCAGAAAAAGCTATTTTCTTAAAAAAAAGGAAAAAATATGATAAGGAGTACTATATTAATTCGTTCTAATGTTTTTTTTCAGATTTTTTTGAATGATTTTATTAAAAAATGCAAAGAAATAAAATTTATTATTTATAGAAAAATAAAGCAATGGACAAAGCTAATGTTATGTATTTCTATATTTTGGTTTTTCATTTTATGGTATGGAGAAGTGAGTATTTTTAAAAAAATGGTCAATCATTGTATGTGGTCTCAATGGGAGAATTGGGTAAATTTATCTATGTTATTGAATGAGTGGTTTAATGGATATAGGAAAATGGAGCACATCCTTATCGGGTTGCACTAATTGGAGACCCTCAGTTAGTTGACAAGGGAACATATAATCGTAGCTTTATATTAACTGCATTGACTAACTTCTATACGGATAAATATATGAAAAGAAATTGGAAATATTTAAATAATCAACTACATCCACAATCACTTATTTTCCTTGGAGACTTATTGGATGGTGGGAGAGATCTGGAAATGAAAAAGTACAGAATCTCTACTTTAGAAGAACAAAAAATATTAAAAAAGACTAGATGGATAAAAGAATATAGACGGTTTGATGATGTGTTTTTTCAGCCTCCAGGAGTAAAAGTAATATCTACACTTCCAGGAAACCATGATATAGGATTTTCAGATGGAGTAACACTTAAACGTTTAAACCGTTTTCGGGCATATTTTGGCGAATCCAGTTCTTCTTATACAATAGGAAACCATACTTTTGTACTTTTAGACACAATCAGCCTTTCTAATACTGTTAATGCTCAAGTTTCAAAATATACAAAGCAATTATTAGAAGATTTGAAACGTACATGTAAGTATCATTAGATATTGAGAAACAAAGGATCTAATAATCCAAGATAACCAGGATTATCCCCGTATTTTATTATCTCATGTTCCATTATTTCGTCCAGCAAACACGCCTTGCGGTCCCAACAGAGAGAAAAATACATCGATAAAATTAGAGCGTGGATTTGAATACCAAAACGTCATTCTTCCAAACTTATCCACTATTGTTCTCGAAAATGTACGGCCTATTGCTGTTTTTTCCGGTGATGATCATGATTTTTGTGAAGTCAAACATACAGTATACAAATATGATACTACGGTTATTGAAAGAAGCATTAAAAGTTTTTCTATGGCTATGGTATTATATATACAAGCTATCAGTTATCTAACCTTTTCTTACTTATAGGGTATTCGCCAGCCTGGTGTACAACTTATTTCACTATATAATCCTTCGGGAAAAAAAGCATACGAACAAACATTTCAAACAAAAATGTGCCTTTTGCCAAAGCAGTATTCTATTTTTTTATATTATTTAATGACATTTGTAATAACATCATTTCTCTTGTTTATGTACAGATATATCTTTATGGAAAAAGAGTTACAACTTCCTAAAACATATACAGACAGATATAACCAATTACCACGACATCTTCGATCAAAAGCATTATATCATCTTTTATCAGATATATTTAATATTGCTATTCTGATTCTTCCATGGTATTTATATTTACTCTTTCGATATTGAAGATTTTTCTTTATTTTTTTTTTATACATTTTATTTCATTTTTAGTTTTTTTTTTTTGATTCAGATATCATTTTGACTCTATTTTTTTCATGGACAATACCTTAGACGTTGTTGTTGAATTTTCGTACAATTCTTTATTTTTCATCTTGCAACTAATCTCTTACTAGAGGAGGACTTGAAACTTTATTTGGCCACCAACGTGTTCACCATATTAGTCTATCCTTAGCCGATCCTGCGCTTAATGGTTCTTCTCCAACTATTGCTTATTTGATACATTTTTTATCTCAAAATCTCATGCAAGATTCCCGAAAGGACTTATTTACCAAAGATAATACTGTGTATTTTTCTTACATTTCAATATTTTTCATTTTTTTACTATTTATAGACGTCCTGGCATTCTTGTTCTTATTAATAATGAAGACTGGGAGTTAAATAATCAAACACAATATATTATTCAACCCAAAGATCAAATTACATTTATTAGCACATTACATGGTGGTTAATTAAAAGAAAAAACGTTTGTTAATTTTTACACATATTCTACGTAATATACATTGTTTTCATTTTTCCTTGTTTCATTTCTTCTTAACTATTTTGTTATTTGTTATTACAAATTTTAAATTAGACAATACAAATTATAAGATTCCCCGGATTAGAGTTTCGGCGTCGAGGATAGCAGACGTCATTAAAATAAAAGTAAGGTTTAAATAGAAATATGGAACCATATGAGCGGGAATATGCTCACGGAACACGTAAAAGATATAGGGGAAATTGTATTTTAGTATAATATCTTTTTTTTTCTAATTTTTTTTAGACGATTGGGGATCAGAAAACCATAAACGTGTGCAACATACAACGGAGGAAACAGTGCTGAATCTACTAAGAAAACATGTGCTTTTGCTTGGTGATCCTGTAGTTATATACTTTTTCTGTTTTTTTGTTTAATTTTTTCCAGGTTTATGGAGAAAATATTGAATCAGTGGCACAAATCTTGATAGCAGATTTTGAGGATGAAACATTACATAATGGCATTTTGAGTACTTTTAGAGATTAGTTATTGAGCAGAATATATAAGAAATTATCTAATTGGAGATAGTATTATTGAGCTCCCAATGAAAATACCATTTTTGGCTACCGTTGTTTCACTTGCATCTACAAAAGAAGCATCTATAGGAAAATATACAGTGGAGTATATGTCAACAGCTGCACAAGCATTTCTTGATAGTGGGGAATGGAGGAATTTCAAACTAATTTTACGATTTCTTGTCTGTGCAACATCTATGATTGATGGCGATGGTGTAATGCATGTACTAAACGGATTGACACAACGTATATCCGAGATATATACAATTATATCAGATAAAGGTGTTTTTAGTAATGACGTAAATTTTCTAATGTTATGAATATATTTTCTGATAATGTAGTCTTATGCAGATGAACTGGCGTATATCTTTCTTATAACGGTGCCTTATGTAATAGCACGTTTTCCAGAAAATTCATTAGTTTTTGAAACACTTTTCTCATACATGGATCGTATTGAACCATATATGAAATACCGATCTATTGATATTTCTTTATTGCAGCCATTCATAGAAACTGATCCATCTCATGATTCAGGAGTAAAGAAAAACTATATTGAAGCTAGCATTAATATGTATAGGTCCTTGAAGATTTATGGGATCAAGTCCAATATATAAAAAATGATAGATATAATATAAATGTGTTTTTACGACCCTGGGTAAAATTTGAAACGCAATTGGCAAATACACCCAAATTCATTTTGCCATCTATTACTATACCAGAAAAGTTTTACTATACTGAAAGATGCTACTTTCCAGGGCCAGTTTTCCGTATTTTTATTAATCAGCCAATTGAAGTATCCTACGATATATTGGTAGTATTCTATTTACATTATCTAGACTGTTCCATCTTCTCAAACCATAGCAAGTTCGGTTATTAGGGATGTAGTTGAGGATATTATTGATATTATGGAGTTTAATAGAAAGGAAGCTGCACGTTTTCTTGCAGATTTATCATGTTATTTTGCACCTAATTTATTTGTTTCTGAATCATTAAATGAAATAAATAATCAAATAAATACCCTTAGTGAATGGAAATCTGAGGATATTATCTTAGAAACTATATTTGGACGGTTATTTCGACTACCTAAGCCTCTTCAGCGTCCTATATATTATCATTCTCTTTTAATAGAACTTTGTAAATTAATTCCGAAAAGATTTGCACCATCATTAGGATATACAATTAGGTATATTTATAAGGAACTTCCGCGTCTTAATGGCGAAATTTTGTATAGGTTTTGGTCATGGTTTTCTCACCATTTAAGTAATTTTAATTTCAGTTGGAAATGGGATGAATGGTAAAAATAAACTATTTTAAGTATTGGTTATTTATTTTTTTAGGGTATCTGATCTTGAACTTGATTCAACACATCCTAAAAAAGTGTTTATAAGAGAAACGATAGAAAAAGAAATCCGTTTAAGTTATTATTCTAAAATTAAGGATTCACTTCCTCAGGCATATCATATATTATTACCTGGAGAGCCTTCTGGTCCTTATTTTGACTATGATTTACCAAGTAGTTTATTTATTTTTATGACTAAATTATTTAATATTTTTAGATTCCAAATATTTTGCAGAAGTTGAAACTTTACTTGAAACAATGAAAGTAAATACAGAGCAATCAGAAACGGATGTTGCACTTGAAATTATTGAAAAGACAGCGGCTGAAAATAACGAGGAAGATCCTCAATTTGAAGCGCTTAAGGCTTTAGTACAATGTGTTTTACATTTAGGAGCAAAATCTTTTTCTAATGCTTTAAATACGATTGAGCGAAATTTGCCAGGATTGCGAGCTCGCTGCAATGCAAGTAAGAAAGCATGTCGACAAACGATTGATATTATTATGAAATTTTGGAAAGATCAACCAGGAATTGCTGTAACTCTTATAGATAAATTTTTAAATTATTCAATTATTAATATAGTATCAATTATAGAATGGGTTTTTTTGGATGTTGATATTGAATATATTAATAGAGGCTTTATTTGGGAATTAATGAAAATAGTTCTTGATAAAATAAATTCTAGAGTAATACAAACTAAAAGACATTTAAAAAATACGGATACTTTTTTGAATGATAATTCGGAAGACTTGTTGAAATATGAAAAGACTTATAAAAAAGTATTTTCAGATCAAAAGGATGTTCTTATTGCAATATTTGAAATGTTCCCAAAACTATATGATCGTATTAAGAATTTGCATGGAAAAAGTAATGGTTGTCAGGAAAATGGATTTTCTGATAATCAAGTATCATGGCAACTTCAATGGGTTAAAGGATTATTTGAAGAATTTGTTCGAAAGGTATATTTATTCACGTTAGATCATAAAAAAATAATTTTTATAGTGTCATCATGAAATATCAAATCTTTCTGAAATATTAGAACCTATTATACAAGATGAATATGCTAAAGAGATATTTGAAAAAGCAAAGAATCTAGATCGAGTTATATAATTAACATATAGACAAATAATATATCTGTAAAGTTTCTTTTTAGTTTATAACATATCAAAACCTCCATATATATTTATAGTCTGAAATAAGACAAAGGATGTATATTAGGTATGCATATGTATTATGATATATTTTAATAAATTAATTTTTTTCGATATGTATTTTTGATTTTGTATTTGTTGTTTTATTCGTTTCAGAAAAAGAATCTTTTATATTCTCTATAGCTTGTACGAAAATCTGTTCGCATTCGTTCGTTTGGTTTACTTTTGTTGACCAAATATTTGGAATATTGATACGCTGAAAATGCGGCTTTACACATTTTTCAATGAACCAATTCCGTATACGAAATTCAAGAAACTGAGAAATCTTGGGAATATCTTGTAATTTTGAGCGTGCACCAACCAATGAATGCACATTCATATCCAATCGAAAATCAGGCGAAAATGAAAAAACAAATGCTGCAATATTTGTTATATCTGACTGGTTTTCACATGGGATAAGAGAAATAGAAAGCTAAATTTTATTTCAATTATAAAATATATAATTTAAAACACTTACTGTTCCTGAAAAGCGAATAATTGAAAGTGAAAGTGCAATCGGCAAAACAGCAAATTCATACTTGGGATAATTCAGCATAAATTGTGTCTCAATACTAAGTGTTATTTCATCAATAAAATTAACATCCATTACCGCATCCTATAAATTCAATTACTTAAAAAAACCATATAGTGTTACCCACAAGACAATTAGACATATCAGTACGTGAAATAATACGACAATTACTGCAAATCGGAAAATCTTCACCAAGATTTACACCAACTACTTTAATATATCCCTGCTACCATGATTTCTATGTTTTTACTACATAAAGCATACCAGAAAACTCGGTTTACTTCTTCCATTCAAAATACCGTCCATATAAACTAACAATGCCTCTTTAAACATTCTATTGCTCCGAAATTGCATCATTATTTGTGCAATCAATACATTTAGCCAGTCCAAAGATTCAGCCGGGTGTGTCGTTAGATTACCATATATTTTTGACAAAAAATGCACAACTGTAGGAGACAATGCAGATGAATGAAGCGGTGGTTGTTTATCCCGAAGCTATATTGCATTAACTAGATATTTTCGTGTTTTTTTCCGAAACCTGTTTGCACAGGCTTGATCTTAAAGCACCTGCTTTACGCACATCTGAAAAAACAAAGAATTTGAGAAAAATACAGACAAGAATCCACACTGTAAACTGTCCAGCCTTTGAAATAAGATTTTTGTGTAAAAAAATAACTTTTCCGCACCAAAAAACCCTGCACAAAGCCAATACTGGCTGTGCCTGCTGAACCACCCAAAAACCAATCCAGCCTATACAAAAATGGAGTAATATATACGTTAATTTATAGAAATATACACGTTATTGTACTGAAATATAGAGCTAAATTATATAAATTTCAGTTTTGTGTTGTATATTCTATAGTTTCAGAATATATGCGTCTCAGAATCAAATCTGTGCAGAAAAATACACTATGTATGTCTTTTTTCCTGATATATGCGTCAAAATGCTGAATATACACGTCCAAAACCGAACTGTATGCGTTATGTATATGCCAAATTATGTGCTGCTAATAATACACTTAAGTACACAAATATACTAAAATATATACAATATACATGCACAAAAACCCTTTTTAAGCTGCTTTTTAATCTTTCTGCAGTATTCTCTTTGCTTACTTATATTATCCGTCTGTATCGCTGTCTAGACGTACTCCGTTAACCACGATGGATTTCTCGGATGAAATGAAAGAAGTATAATTTGTTGTCTATTAAATTATTTATCAATATTTCTAGAGACTTGCAAAGATCTTTGACCTAGGAAAAACCATTCTCCATTACGGATATCTCCCGCTTCTTCTATGGCTGGGTATATAATAGACCATTATTTATATAGCTAATATTTTCAGGTTATACACATAGTGTGCCACGGCCGTCTCTTATTAAGTGCCTTGTGTATTATTTATATATTCCAGTATTAATAGTTGTAGATTATTTAGTCCTTTTGCCTAAAATGTATTAAAATATAACCGTTAAATATAGTTATATATTTTTGAAAATTTTCTGTATTATATGTATTTTGTATATATTCCATAACTATTTTTCATCAAAAGCAGTTAATGTCTGTTAACGGCCAGCAATAATTACTAATAATGATCAATAATACTTAATAATTGCCATTTTGCTTTATTATTTTGTTTTATCTTGTTTATGTTTTATTTATACAAATTCTGCAATATATGACCCAGAAGAATAATTAAGCTGTGATAACAAATCATGAACATTTGTATGTGCCTGTTCTAAATTTTGAAATGTTTCTGATGAATCATTAAGTGCAGTGTTTAATGAAGTGCTAAATATTGTACATGGCAGTGTATTTAGTGGTGTGTTAGATAAAACATCTGTAGCCATATTAATCCCAGTGTCTTTATGAGATAATGTATGTGATTCAGAAAGATGTTGAATTTCTTGGTTTATCAAATCAAACAGTTCGTGCATACTGGATGAAGGCGAATCTCTGTATATTTTTTTAGTTATATGATTTGCATGTTTATCTAAAAAAGATGAATTCACTCCATCTGTTAAAGATGCTGAATCTTTGTTCAATGCAATTAATACGTCTGGTTGTGAGAGCTGTTCCTCATGCTTCAACTTATTCTGAGGATTATACGCCATTAATGATGGCCATGTTTCTGGCAATTGTGGCAATTTTAAAGACTCTTTTTCCTTCCCACGACCTTTAATACCTTTGTCAGAATAACGGTAAAGAGTAGAAAAATAGTTAAAGAGTTTCATGTCCTCTGCACTAGCCAATTGAATATTTTGAACTGATGAAAGTTTTGCATTTAACTGAAGAATAAATTTATTGTGAAATTTATTTTGATGTGCCTAAAATAGTTAACCTTGTATACAAAAACATCAAAAAAGAAAAACTTTTAAATTTCCCAACTGTGTAAATGTCTTTGTACAACCATCTAGCTGGCAAAAATATGGTCGCAAGCCCTCGTGAACCTGTTTATGAGTACGCAAATTGCCTTTTTGTGCAAAACGCTTATCGCATCCAGGATAAACACAAACAAAAGGCCGTTCCCCAGTGTGTCGTCGTTCATGTGTCTGTTTAAAGTTAACCTTTGATCTTATATTGTTATTAGTTGACAAAATTGAGAAATTGAAGGAGATCAATAGAGGTATTTCTCGTGCAGACAAAATGTAGTTCTGTACACAGAATATATAAAGAACATACACTATACATATACTTCATTATATTTCACTATATTCCCATGTATTTTCCTATTATTTTTCTCTTTAATTATTCCATTGTTTTAAACCATATTAATATATTTTCTGTGTATATGTATAAAAGATAGCACGTATCCCTCTTTTTACTTCCATATATCCTCCCTGAATTCCTCATAAGTCTAACCTTTAAATTTCCAAGTTGTGCAAACGTTTTGTTACAGTGTTGACAAACATATGGTTTTTCTCCTGAGTGGCATCGCAAATGAATCCGTAAATGTGCCTGCTGTTGAAATACTTTTCCACATTCCTGGAATGAGCATTGGTATCTTCGTCTTTCCTGTTTCTTTTCCTTTTTTTCTGTTATATTTTCTGTTTTTTCTATTATCTTTGTATTATCTTTTAACTCCGTTTCTTTTAACTCCATTTTTATATTCATATTCAAACTTATATTTAATCCTGTATTTTCATCTTCATCTATATTTTTATTTGTTTTTTCATTGGTTTTTTTGTTATCTCTGCTTATATATGTATCTATATTTTCTTCTATATTTGTTTCTATAGATCTTTCTTTCATTTTTTTCTCTGTCTGTTCTATACGATTCTGCTTTGACCGAATGGTCACCATAAGATCGTCGATATAGGAGAATTCTCGCTTCAATTCACTTGATATTCCTATATATTTGCTTGGTTTATTTCTTATATCCAATGTGCACTGTGTTTGCAGTGATTCAGTATTATGAACATTATATTGAGTATCATCCATAGTATTATATATAATATCTTGTTTTATAATTGAATCAAGACAGCAAAAAGGTGATATAGGTGTAGTATAAGTGTATAACGAAGACGTCGTTATTAGATGTTCACTGTACGATAACAATAAAGATAAATTTCTGTAAAATAGTAGTTAAATATTTAGAAAGGAACAAAGAAAAAAATGTACAAGAAAGTAGATAAATAATATGTAATTAGAATGGAATTTAGAGTTATTTGAGATTTAAATAATAATTGATACATAATTATCAGATATTTAATATAAAATAAATATATATTAAATGATAAAAATTATACACAATAGATATAATATGGTATTACGTATAGAAAGTGTAATGTAAGCCTAATAAAGATATATTAGAGATAGTTAGAAGGAACAGATAGAAATATAGAGGAATCAGAGCAATAAATTTTGAAAAAAAGGTATCAAGACTGTGTAACATATTCCCATATACGTGCACGACAATCACCAGAACCAGTAGCAAAGAGTCGGCCAGTTGGCGAGACAGCGACAGAGATAACAGAGTTTTTATGACCTTGTAAGACAAGTTGTGCGCGGCCATGATAGTCCCAAAATTGGACACCACGGTCTTTGGAACCACTAAGTACCCAATGCCCATCAGGAGAACTTGCAACGCTAAGTACGAAGTCCTATGAGAAATTAGCAATAGATTACATAAAAAGAGGGTTTATACTTTATGCCCAGTAAGAGTAGCTTTACAAAGACCATTTTTAGGGGCAGGAGAGGCCTCATTATCAGTTAATTCCCAAAGTTTAATTGTTTTATCAAGACTTCCACTAAGCAAGCCACAACCGTTTGGTGTAAAAGCGACACTGTATACACTATCTTTATGGTCTTCGAACCGTTCAACGAGATAGCCTGTTTTAGCATCCCAAACACGCACAACCTTGTCCAAGCTTCCAGCTGCAACGTAACGACTGTCAGGTGAAATAGCAACAGTAGTTACACCATCTTCAATGCTGAGTGTCAAAATACAATGTCCTGTTTCAATATCCCAGACACGAGTGGTACGATCACCACTTCCTGATGCAATAAATTTCCCATTTTGACTATAATCAAGTGAATAAATATCTTGTTCATGTCCCGTAAATAAATGTCGTACTTTCTTTTTCGCAATATCCCAGATCTATAATTGAGATGAGAGAGGAAATAAGATAAGACAAGCGTAGATATAAGTTTAAATAAAAAAGATTAATGTAAAACATGTCTTTAAAATAAATATATACATTCTTATTTGTCAAAAAAAATTGTCTACGCATTGTCATAATCATCATAAGACTTACTCGAATTCGTTTGTCTTCCGCGCCTGTCGCAAGGTACTTTCCATCTGGACTAAATGCAACACTTCTTATATACAAATCCCCCTCCCAATCAGCTAACTCATCTTGAAGAACACTAGTGTGTATTAGATGTATATAACAAACAAATAGTCTTTTAATCATCATACGTTAATCGTTTGCCTGTTTTCACATCAAAAATCAATGCCACTCGATTGCACCCCGTGGCAAGATATTCCCCATCATGACTAAACCGTATGCAGCAAACAACACTTTGATGTTCCAATGTATGAATAAGATTAATATCTAATATACGTGGTACATTTGGGTTAAATAAAACTGTCCAGTCACTGCCTTCTTTTTTTAATTCTCTGGGAACCATATCTGGATCCATATCAGCTATAGAGATAGAAGATTGCCCAAGAGGAACAGAAGGCACAGGAGGAACTGTTGCTGCCAACGCAGTAGGCGGTGCAACTGATCGTATTGGAGATGGCTGAACCGAAATAAAAGTGTTCGATGTCGTTTCGCTGCGGCCTGTTAATGGCTTATTTCGCTTTCCTAAAGGTGAAGAAGACCCAGGCAAAGTAGAATAATTCGAAGTCTTCGGCAAGTTATATGTATTACTGTCTATATTTGCATCGGTGCAAATCCGTTTATTAGAATGTTGAGGACAACTTTGCAGTGAGTGTGCATTATTTGCCGGAGGATATCCAGTATTTGGGTATGGAAGTGGGAGCGTTGACTGGCCTGTATCGAGAAGTGTGAGGCATGATTTTAGATCACCATGATTTGGTGTCCGTCCTGCTGGATGTGTATTTAACCCAATATTTGGAGGTGGAAATGGAAGGTTAGGTGGATTTGAAATCCTGGTAAGTGTTGATTGTGATGTTGGTGGTACATGAATCCCCCGTGATTCAAGTTCACGCCGTAACCGTGCAATTTCTTCATCATAACTAAACTCTTAAGGCTATTTTTGTTGCACTCTAGAGAACATACGACTGTTTCATTTTTTGGTGTGCCATCTCTAATTCATAAATCGTTTGTCGAATTGTTTGCATTTCTTGAATTTGTGAAGTAACTATTTGTAATAAGAAAATGTTCTAAATTTTTTTAAAAAAACCCCAAAAATACTGAAAAATGCAAAAAAAGAAATATAAACCACTAGGCAAAATTATCCCTTAAACTTTAAACTCCTTTTTTCCTTAATATACCCCACTGTTGCCTCTAATACTCCATATCATGATATCTTTACAGACCTTTGTGTTCATAATCATCTTTATGATTCCGAAATGTTATTGCCTCTTGTGCAATATTGTCAAACTCATTCCTAACAGCTTCCAGAAGCTCTGCCAGTCTGCCTGCTGCTGTTGAAGGTCCTACTGACCTGTGGTTATATAGATTGGACATATCGACGTTATCTACCCGTCCCTCAGTTCATATTCGCTTGCCCTTGACCTAACCCTAAGTGTTTAAACCCTAATTTTATGAAAGAACTGAAACAGTGGCTCACAGTGGCTCGAACGCTGATTTAGCGGACTTTATCATAAAGCACCTCTGTAACACATAAGGATATGCCAAATTGCAATTTTATTTGCATCTTCTTAGTACATATAATGCACAACACTGTTTATATGGTTTTTTAACATGTTATTGCAAGTCATGATCTCTACGCACTCATTGTTCCGTTACCATGGAAACAATATTTCCATGGAAACAAGTTGCCATAGAAACTGTGATTTGCAGGACTTAAGTCTGTATACAGAAAGTATAGGAATAAGAGTTAGAGCTAGGAAAAAGAGAAAGAAATACATGCAAAACATATTGTATTATGTGATTTGTATTTGAAAGACTTTTTATATATAAGTCTTTTAAAGATATTCTAACTGTTCATCAAGCAAGGATTCCCTTAACAATAATTTACAAAAAAGGTATTTTTAACATGGAAAATAGGCTCAATTGGGTAAAAATGGAATAACGAATTCTTATTGGTCAGTTCTAAGTCTATATATATGACCGTTGATCCCCAATAATTCCTTAATACGATAGATGTGTGCAACAGTAAAGATGTGTATAAAGAATAGGATTGGCGTTAGAAGATATACCTAGTTAGGTCTAGGTTTAGAATTAGTTTGAGAGTAGTTTTTTTAAGAGTTTTGTACGATAAGATTAGATTTTTGGAAGTTTTTTTATAATTGCATGTTTTTTGATGTCGTAAAAGTCTAGTAAATTTTGCAGTAATGAGGGCTCAACAAACGACTAAAAGTAATTATTTTTTTCACATTATGTTTTACTAAAACAACAAGCTATTGTTGGGGATCTTGCATGTCAGAAAAATGTAATGCTCAGGAGCTTTGAAACACAAGTGGTTGAATGTAGGTTGGCAGAGAATTTGCCTAAAACGTATGATTGTCAGAAGAGTAGTGATTTGTGGGAAATTGAATTAGAAGATACAATATTGTTTCCTGAAGGAGGAGGCCAACCGTCGGATTTAGGAACAATAATGCCTATAGATCAAACAACAGTTGTTCGTGTGCTGTATGTTTTCCGAAGAGGACTTGATGCGGTCCATCTTTGCCAATCGCCGATTCAGAAGGGAAAACGGGTTATAATTACTCTTGACTGGGATCGGCGGTAGTTTTAGGCTCATTTAATGTAATTTATTTATGATATACAGAAAAGATCATATGCAACAACATACAGGACAACATTTATTATCTGCTATTTTGGAACATGAACCATATAGAATACCTACACTTTCATGGTAGTTCTCCTTGAAAGAAGTAAGGAATGTTTTCGCTTATATAATATAAATTAGGTTTCTCGGTCCTGATATTTCATATATTGAGCTTCCTCGAAAACCAACATCTGACGAGCTTGAGCAAGTGGAGGCTAGATGTAATCAAGTAATTGCTGAAAATATGCTTGTTACAGTTGAAAATACAATGGAAACACCTAAAACGCTTCCTAATGATTATGACGCGGAAAAAGGGATTATACGAGTTATTTCTATTGGAGACTTGGACAAAAATCCGTAGAGAATACGTTAATCACATTCTTTTTCTAATATTTTAGATGTTGTGGAACACACGTTCCTAATACTGCTTACTTAAACACTTTGGTTCTTCTTCATACTACATCTATACGGTCAACAAATGTACGATTACATTTTGTCGTAGGGGAACGTGCTATTAAATTGTTTAAAAAATCTTTTTATCAAATTAAAACGTTGTCTGCTTTTTTTTCATGTAAACCGGAAGAAATTGAAGAAAAAATAGATTTATTTAGTCAGAATATGAAGAATTTGCAAAAGTCAGAGCGGTATTGGATATCTGAAGCTGGTGAATTAGAAGCAAGTCGTATTAAAAATGACATTATTCATAAAGGTGTATCTTTTGTTTGTAAAGCTAACGGTAATAATGATTATTTTAATGCAATAATTCGGAATCTTGGGAAAGATATTCAGGGTGTAGTTGTTTTTTGTTCTGGAGAAAGTCAAAAAAGCGGTCAATTAATTATCATTGGGGATCCTAAAAAAGTAGAAATAATGTCAGAAAGAGTAATGAAAGTTGTGAGTAATGTTAAAGGAGGCGGTAAATCAAGATGGCAAGGGAAAGTGTCTGTATGGAAACCAAAAGAAATAGAACAACTTCGACAAGTAGTCGAAGATTTTTATATTTGAAAGATCTATGATGTACATAACTATTATATAGGATTAATTTAATGTTTTTTTTGGTATACATTTACAATGAGTACTAAATCCATTTAAAATGTTATTAATGACAATCATATGGAGCAATTGAATATATTTAAGCATAAGTGGTATCAGAAAAGGTGGAGTATAACTTATTGTTTTTTATTTTTGTAGTTTAAAATGCGAACGGCGTCTTTAACATATATGTATGATAAACCTGACCATACAGTTGTTGTAAAAACAAGATATCTGAAATATTTGTAAGGTAAAAAATTATAAAATTAATAATTTACTGAAGAGGATTAAGAAAAATAGGCATAATTTCCGAATGGATCAAAGGACAAACCATTGTTGTACCAATAAGTAAATGTTGTAGAGCGGTATTTACCTAAAAGTGATAAATATACAACTTAATACTGTAAATAATTTACTTTACTAATTAATGTAGGTTTGATCTCAACACTTGGTATTGAAAAATCAAAGTAACGTATAAATGTACGAGGGGGATCAAGAGAAATCCAACGATAATATATTGCGGATAATCCAAGAATTATATCTTTTCCGATTATAACAGAAGAAAGAAAAACTACATATAGTCAGCACATAGAAATAAAATAAGTATATTGCACATGGAATTTGTTGTTGAATGGAGAGACAAAGTGTTAATATGATGATAAAAAATTTATCGGCCATTGGATCAAGGATTGTTCCTGAGATGCTTTTTGCATTCCATTTTCGTGAGATCCATCCATCCAACATATCAGATAGACTTGCATAAATGAAAAGAATGATAGCATATAAATTTTGTTGATGCAAAATAAAATAACCTGTTACTGGTGCAAAAATTAATCGAGAGAATGTAAGAAAATTTGGAATTGTATATATATTCTCATATATCGCGCTTTTTAAAACAGTTTTTATATTATGATTTTTTGACGTAATATAAGTAGGATACGTATGTCGAATTTTAGGTAAAGATGAATGACAAAACATGGATATATATGGAGTTTTAAAAGTTTTTCCTATCCTTAATACTGGTTTTATAGGATAATTACTGTATAAATAGGTTAATTTACATGATCTGAAATGAATATTTTACGACTAATGCTTTATATTACCTTGAACTATAATGAAATAGATATTTAGAATCAAGAAAGCATTTTTTTATTGTAAAACTTCTTAAATATGATATTTTTAGGTATTTGTCCATAATAAATTCAATATTCCTAAAAATAATTTTAATAATTTAAGTAAAAATCGATCGTAAACAAATTTAAGTATATGATTAAGATTATTTTTACCTACTTTTCTTGAAATAATTCAGAAATATATTTAATAAAAATATATTTTTAAACAAAATATTTTATAAATATGATAAAATATGATAACAAAATAAAAAATTTTGAAACCTTTTTGGATATTATATAAATTTATTGATTAATAAACCATATCATATTATACAGTATTAAAGCTTTATAAAATTACAAAGATGTACTATGAGTATATAATATTAAAATAATATAAATGAATATATTCTATACTTGTTAATAAAATTTTAGAAAATAAATTATATAGATATTAGTAAATAATTTGATATTAAATTTTCTTTTTTTCTTAAAAAATAAACAATATATTATGAATGAAAGATCCATGGTGTTGAATTAGGTAGTAAACTAGTTTCACAAAGAATTTCTTTGATTATATAAGAGCAATGATTATCTAATGACAAGACTACACCAGATTCCCAATTTCTACATAAAATTATAGGTTTTTTTGCTTTAGAGCGTATTAAAGTCCCCCTAAAGATAGAATTAGTATTTTTTTCATATATTTAATAATATATATAAAAACTATAGTCATTATGATTTTTATTTGTAAAAAATGTATTATAAATAATTAAAGTAATTTTTAAAATTAGAAGAATATATTCAATAACATTTTACACTTACCATGCAGATTCGGAAAGATTTGCAGAGCCTATATAAAAAAAATTTAGTAATGGGACACTGTTTCTTACAAGAATAATCTATGTTTTTGTAAATATATAATTTATTAAGCATAAAAGAATAGATTTACTTTATGATGCATAAGACAACCTTTATGCACACTTTTAATATCATATAAAATACTTTTTGGAAATTCTAAATTTTCCCAAAATTGCTTTTGAAAGCATATTGTGCCTGCTGATTCTTTTCCACCATTACTAGACAAAACAGTATTTATGCTTGGAAAGTGTACTTTTATAGAAGTTTTCCAAGATTGTAAATCCATATTATAAGAAGCAATTGTTTGGTCGCCTTTTAATGCACGATAGATATTAGTCATGAATGCTGATTTTAATAATCCTAAAGATGATGTCTATTAAATATTAAAAAATTTAAATAAGATATTAAATACAACTATAATGTTTATTTCTATATCATTTTTGCTAGCTTTCCCAAGTTTTTGAACTGCTCTAGCTAAAGATAAATAGCCTGTGTCTTTTAAATCAACACTATTCAATGCCCTTGCTGGTATTGAATGAACAAAATGGATATTTTTGCTCATTTTAAAATCATAACATTGCATTTTCTTAAGAATATGGTCAGGATAATTCTTAGCTTTACAATAATGAAACAAATCTCTTTCAAAATTTGTAGAAAATTCTGTAAATGCTGATTCTCTCCGAGGAAAATCATGAATATACATACTCTATTTTATTAGTTGTATTAGAAAAAATAAAAATATACATTTTCCATTACTCCAGTTTCTCCCCAGTCATAATCAACTAAATTAGCCTAATTTTGTTATTAAAACTTTACGTTAAATACATTACATTACACTTGGAATGACTACACGTAAGTATGTAGTATAAAATAAGAGCTTTTTGTTTTTTTTTTTTAGAAAAAATATAAGCCTAGAAAAAAAAATACCTGTAATTTACAATGCATGCAATTAGCGCCTTCCATAGAAGGAAAAATAGCAGAAACATTTGGAAAGCAAAGATATAGCTCATTAATAGCTTGTTTCTTGGATAAAAATTAAATTTTGTGAAAGAGTTATCAAAATCTAAACCTCTTTATCTGATTTAGCATGATGAATAAAAACAACTATTGTTTTAGATAGCTGAATTTTTGAAAGAACCCATATTGGATCGATGACAAAAGCAGATAAAACAGCTGCTTTTAAAATATCCTATTGAAGTATTTAATATATGTTTTTTAAAAATGGATAATGAGTACTTTTTGAAAAACATTCTCAATTGTTATATCATATGTTGTTTCTTTATATCCTTTTACAGCTGTAATTTTAATTGTACCATTAGGAAATGGAATATCTTCAAGACATGCTAATTCTTTGGATTCTTTGAATTTTTTGACATGTATATTGTCATTTGTCAAACAAACTCTTTTTGAAGGATAGTCATAAATATTATCCGCCTTATTGTCTGATAAACTTTCCTCTTCAGAAATATAGAAAGAATTCTCTGCAAAATTATCTTCCAATAAACCTATTTTCAAATCACATTTTTTATCTTGAGTTTCTTCATTTTTAGGATTCATTTTTATATCTTCAAATAATATATCCAAGAATTGCCAACGAAATATTCATAAGATATAATATTTTTGAAAAAAAAAACTATATTAGCTTCTTATATCTTAAAAAAATCCTATTTGTTATTTATCAAGAAATTATAAACTTTGATTTAGAACTATAAAAAAATAAAAATTAAAAAATACTTTAAAGAATCTTAAAAATTACTTCATCAATGGATAAATCAAATTTAAATCAAATTATTCTTATTGTTTTAAGTGTTAATTCGTTTAATTTGATTATCAGTTAAACGAGCTTTTATAACGATATTTTTGTAGCAAATAACTAAATATCCAACATTATATGAACAATAAAGTAAATGATAAAAATAAATTTAAATATATGTTTATAAGTTTATATTCTTTCTGATTAATCAGTCAAACAACGTTTTCTAATCTATTTAATTAATATTTTTTTATTTTTTGATGGTTTTTAATTTGGGTTTAATATCTGCTTATTTTATATTTATAAGTATTTAGATATATTAGAAAAAAATTATACACAGACAAAGAATATATGATTCCAATTGGATTAGCACGTTTTCTTAGAAAAAAATATTTTCAATATGAAGTAGCATTTGCATTAAATATGTTAACAACCACGGAAAAAATGATTGTCAGTAAGTTGTGAAAATATATATTTGGTTAACTAATTAACATGATGTTAGACCTTATTTTCATAAGTATCACTGTATTAGTTCTTATAAGTATCTATGTATATTTTCCGGAACATTTACGACAACTTACTGCTAAGGCTGCTTATTATTGGTATGGATAAATTTTAATTAAGATATTTTCCGAGAAATTTATCTGATTTTTAATAAAAAAGACCAAAGAGTTATATGATAAAGTAGAAGATTGATATTTCTATACTATGTAATATAAATTTATGATAAGCGACGTTCTTTCAAAGATGCCATGGAACTATACAAAAAATCATATACTCCAGTATAATGCTTTTCTTGAAGTTTATTCAATACAAGAACTCTGAAGTCATTTAAGCTGATTTGTAATCCTCCTTCCTATAAAATATATGAATATGCAACTTTCTTTATATTACCATTACCTCTGCCCATCGTTTCAAAGATGTATTGCTTACAGGACCTACATGCTTTTTAACGATGGTGGTAGATGCATTCTCTAGATCTCTTAAAGTTTCTGCCGACCAACGTGCAAATACAGTTCCATGTGTAATGGAAAAAACAGAACCAAAAAAAATCCCTTGCATTTCAGCCATGGATTTGAGTGTTGCAATAATTTCGCTTGGAAAAAATCAGCTTTTTTTCATTATGAACATAGTATACTCAGATAGCTGACAACCAAGAGCATTTTTATCTTGTTTATTAAATGCTCTGTTTCTCCATAAACAATTACAGAAATCCATTACAAAAGAATTAAAGTAATCAACAATATCGCGATGATATATAGATTTTATTTCACTTTTTTCATGGTAATCAAAAGCGGCTTTATATCCTACTATTAATCCACATGTTCTTGATAAACTCATTCCATTTCCTGAAAAAAAACATTGATAGATAATATGAGATGATGGTAATATAATATTTGGTAGTTTTTCTTGAACAATTAAATCTGACAAAAGCTCATAAAATGAAAGAATAGAATCATGAATACGTATATTATTTTTATGACACTGAAAAAATTATAAATGTCTAATGTACTTTATAAAAATACCTCAAGGATATTAATACATAAATTATCTATATTTTCGAGTAAAAACAAAATAGAGTCAAAAGGGTTATTTGGTATATTATTATTGGATGGAAGTTTCCAATAAGTCCTTGAATTATTAGATATTGTGATTAATAGTACACGTTTAATTATTCGTACTCATCTTTATTGATTAATATTATATATTTTATAACCCATTGTCTAGTTAGACGAGAAAAAAAATTCATTAAGTCTATACAATAATTTAAATCATTTAAATTTTGTAATTTTATAAGATGCGATAACATAATTGTAATATCTATTAAGTTATAAATTATGTTGTAAAGAAAAATAAAAAGACCTTTTTCTGATTTAATAGGTATATGTATTAAGAGATTAAAAAATGATTCCCGATATTTAAAACCATCCCATGTTTTCAATAATGTATTTAAAAAATTATCTATAGATGACAATGTTTCCTTATTCACATATTAGTTAATTGTGCAATATGATTAAAAAAACCTTAAAGAAATATGTAAATTTTTCTAAATGTTGTAAAATATCATTAATATATACATCATTATTGTTTTCCCTTAAATCTGACGATAATTTAGCTTCAAACCAAAAATTTAAACGTTCAATAGCAAATTCTATTTAATTTAATAAATTAATATTATATAATATGTTATTAAATATTTTCTATACCTGGACAGCGCAAAACTAAAAGATTTTGAAGTATTGGGCTATCTAAAATAGATACAAGTTGACCAGGAAATTCAATATCATCAATATGTTCAACAAGATCTTGTTTAGTCCGTATTTCTTCTGTAGTATATGATTCCTGATATAAAATAAATCAAGATATTTAAAAGATTTGAAAAAACCTTTTTTGAACCAAATGTTCGAATTTCAGGAATCACAAAATTCCCGAATTTTTGTCTTTTAAAACCACGATAAAAATTACCCATAATTTCATAATGTGATGTGTCATGATCCTTTTTCATTTTACTAGATGAAGATTCTTGAAGTGCATTAACTTTTGCTAACCACGATTTATTTGGGTGCTAATAAATTGTTAATACAAATTTAAATTTAAAAAAAGATCACATCAAATAATTTATCATGAACTTTTAAAAATTTGGTTACTATGATATCTGGATAATATGACTTGTAAAGTTGCAATAGAGAAAAAATGCTTTGATCATTAGGAGCCTGACGCTGAATTTCAAGACTATAATATAATTAGAAAAATAATAATTGAAAGCATTACAAACAGTTTTTCTATTCGAAATGCCTTTACATTGTTACGGCGTGTTATAAGAATTAAAATATGACAAAGATATTTCCTAAAACCATGAATTACTAAACACTAGGATTAATTCTGATAACCTAAGTGTTACAAAACCAATATAATGAAAAATAACGCCATAAAGCTGATTTAATTCATCATACCCATCTAGATAATCATAAACCATAACAATCCATTTAAGAAGCATATTCTTAAATTTATTACATAAGTCTGAAATTAAATTTATATGATGAACCTGTATAAATAAACTTGCTCTTCCTTTACCATGGCCAAGACTTCCTAATATTCTAATAGCTGTTTTTTGCTTGACTTTTTCACATGGCATCATTAAATTGATGATTGTAGTTGCATTGCTTTGACCAATATGATGGCTACGACAGATCATTGAAATACCTTTATCGATTGATATAGGATCCAGTCCAACCTTTTCAGCGATTTCTGATAGCTGTTTTATAGCATTTGAAAGTCTTTCTTTTGAAAAATCATTAGAAAAAATCTCTATTATTAATATTTATTTAGAGAATAGCTGGTTCAATTAAGAATACCTTGTTCAAGTTGTTCAATGGCTATTTTTGATGGATTTTTTTCATTTAAATCATCATAAAAAGGATTAAACGATTCTTATCAAATATTAGATTATATTTCTATTATATTATAACTAAAACCTGTATTAATTTCCATTAATTTTAAATTTTTAAAATATTTAAGTGGAACGTCTTAAAAACAATCGTATAATCTGACATAATTAAATTCAAATATACACAGAAATATATATAATCTTATTCATTTTTTTGCTATAATTTTCTATTAGTTTTTCTAAGTATATCTAATCATTTGATTTAGTATTTTATGTATATTGTAAGATTAAATAGTTAATATAAAATACAAAAAAAGTTTAAATGAAGCACTTTTTTCATTTTATGGAAAAAAATTGGAAAAAAATACTTGGTATACATGTTTTCATTTATATATTTGTTTTTCAATATCTTAAATATCTTACGATAAGCACCACAGCAGGATTACAATCTTTTATCAACTTAAAATGCTTAATATTAAACGAAAAAAAACATTTTCAAAGAAATCTAAGGTATTTTATTATTATTATACATATTTTTTATCATTTTATTGAAACAAGTAAGCTTTTGGTCAAAGAAAAAGATATTCCTTCATTAAACACATCTGTTCCAGCAAAAGTACAAAAACCTCGAAAAGTATTTGTTAAAGATAAAGTACTTAGTATTCTGTGCAAATTTTGTAGATGTTAGTAATGGTTTTATTTGTTTAGGCTGCTTTATTGTCTATTTTGGAGCAAGTAAATCGGAAATTAGATGATGAAGCTAATATTAAGCGGGAAAGAATGGTATTAAGAAGGCAGTTTTTGCTAGGAATTAAAGCTATTTAGAAGGACATAATGGCACTTAAACAGGTAAAACAAGCCAAACGAGAAACAAGAGAACTCTATAAAAAAAATAAGAAACAAAAAAAATGGGTAATACATATGGTTTCCTGAAGAACATATGTTGAAATTTATAGGAAGAAGCAGTAGCAAAAGTTAAGCAGAAAAAACGTAATACAAGATAAATCGATCGGGCTTTATAGGCTTTATAGGCTTTATAAAATAATTTAATTAACAATATTTATATTAGGCGGACATGTTTATGATATTATGTAAATATTAATTTTAAATGCAATTTCAATACAAAAAAGGTATAGGATAGACACATATGAATGAGTAGACAACTGCTTGATAAGCTATAATTTTTTTATCAAAAAATATTTACAATAATTAATCAATAGTTATCACATGAGCATGATTAAACAAATCTAAAATGCATTCTTTATGTTTTAAATTTAATCCCAATTGTTTTTCTGCCTTTATTTTTCTGTTTTTCTTTCTCATTAATTCTGAATCCCATTAGCTATAGTATTGTGAATATCAAGTATAAACCTTCCAATAGTTCTCCACTCATGAAAGCCCAAAGGTTACTTCCAGCATTTCTAGAAAGCAAATACGCAGATATAAGTATTTTTTCCGCTTGTTCGGTTTCAGAATGAATAATGAAATAATAACACAAAACTATTGAAGCGATAACTCGTAGTTGATTATTTGCGTGTTTTTCAAATGTAGAAACAACGGATAACAAACAGTTTCTAGAGTGATTAATTTTTCAGAGTACTTGAAAATTAAATAATACTTTGAATGAAGAACATCATCTCCCATGGAACCGTTAACTAAATCCCATGCAAATCGCAGTTGAGTAAAATTTGACGATTGACATAATGGCTTTATGTGATTAAGAATTTCATGTGCTCGTCTCTTGTCATGTAATTTATTTCCTTGAAAAATAAGGGCTGAATTAAGATTCCCCAGTAAACAGATTGCTTGAATAGATGCAGGTATCGAATCGTATGCTTTTAATGCTATATCTAACTGACCAGTAAATTGTGCATATGTCCCTTTTAAAAGCATGTACAACGCTTTTGTGTTATTATTAAAAGACGATGAATACTTGTCGAGATCTTGAATATACTGAACGAATGAATAAATAAACGAAGAGTGAAAACGGTATACCAACTTCAAAGGCTTTGTCAAAATCGGATCTCAACATTAATGCAAAACAATAATAAATCAAACATAATTCTCGTGTAATACTAAACCAATCCAAATTTCTATTTGTGCGCAAATTATTCGATAAAAATGAATCATATACAAGATTGTCTTTAAATCTCGTTAATAATTGACATGTATACGGTATATAAGCAAAGTGCTTACATTTTAACATCTCCAATCCTTCGTTTAGGAAAACTTGTGCTTTGGAAGAAGTATAATCTGGAAGATAACATATTCCGGCTAAAAGATGACCGTAAACGAAAAGCTGTTGTCTATTGAACCAATGGATCGCCAACTTAGAACAACCCTCTGATCCCAATGATATCTGAATTGAGTTAGTTCACTGCTCGAAAGATCCGCTAGACTACCTCAATAGCATTTTGAGGTGAATGATCCATATCGTATTGAGCAAGTGCGTCAAGAGCACTGTGTAAATCCTTCAATTCATGCACTGCTGCTTCTCTATAGCCTTGCATTATGTTTAGGAAAACACTGAAGATCATTTTGACCAAATTGAGTGTAGAAATATCCTTAAATCCCGCTTGTATCTCTGATATATGATCTAGCCTCTGCCTTGCCAGATAATACTCTTCTTGCTCAATCCTAACGTAAATTTCAAGAAGGCATGCAACTATATACACCATTTGGTCTCCCTGATTGCGAGAAACTTGCTGAATCTTTGACAGGATCGACATCCGTCCTCCACGCTCTGTATCTCGCCATTCTGCCCTTGATAAAACATCAAACTCCAAAAAACAAAAAATATAGACCCAATCGATGGCCTCCCGTCTGTCTGCATAAGAAACATCCCCCTCAAAATAAGGTGCCTTACTCTTCCGCCTCTGCTATACATTTTTTGATCATAATTTTCCCTGCTTTTCCCGATGTTTCCATAAGAATACGTACTAGCAAGTGCTGCATCGCAAATTTCATCCTCAGTTCCCCACTTTCCTCCTAAAAACCTCGTATTTTGTTATTCCCACCTCATTTCACTTACTCTTTGTGCTAAAATAACCTACAATATCTCTATAAACACCGTTCTAAAACACCCTGACGGGCTCTCCCATACCCCTTTGCTTAGAACCTCTTCTGCCTCTCCCAGATTGTCTGTTTCTTCAAAAATCACCTCTGCCATCCGTAATCTCGTCCTTATTTCGACTTTTACTGGAATCGACTCCCTCTAAACATAAGTTCTACACGTCCTCCCAGCTTCCCCTCAAATCCTACCTGCAGTACTGCCTCTAGACATCCGATTCCCGTTGTAATCAGCTTCCTGTATTCCTTGAATCCCTCTTCTCCCATGCAAATTCTCCGGATCCGCCGTGCTTCTGTAAAAAGCTCTTCTGCAACCGCCCAAAAAACACTGTGCCACTCCCCCATCCTCCTCTGAGCCTTTCCCAGCTCAGCCCCGTCTTTTCTCTGCCTTTTCCTGTATTTTTTCTATTCCCCTATGTTTGTATTTTTCTATCTCCGTGCACCACGGCCGCTCCCTACTCGCCCTGACCTAACCCTAACTTGACCGTCCGGCAACCGTTGCCCTGCAATGGTCGCATGGGCAACGCTCTCCCGGAAAACAGTTCCCATGGCAATAGTCTCTACGGCAACCTTTCATTGTTGCTTCGGCAACCCCTCGTTGCCCTGGTTACACATGTTGGCTGCCCGGGCAACAGTCACCATGGCAACTCTCTCCAGGGCAGTGGTACCAGGGCAATGGTACCCATGGAAATAGTATCCATGGAAACCCTGTTGGTCACCCGGGTAACCGTTGCCCGGCAACACCACCAGCTGCCACTCAGCTCAGCCCGCCCCATCCTCCCCGGATCCGCCGCGCAAGCTGGATGTCCTTCTGCATAATGGTGACACGCTTTGCGTGAATCGCACACAGATTCGTGTCCTCAAACAGGTGCACCAGAAACGCTGCCCATTACTACTTTCCTTGCTGCCCGCCCCACACTCACCCTCTGTCGCCTCCTGCAGGCACAGTATTGCCGTCGACTGCCAGCGCAGCCCAAAGTCTGTCGAGAAGCTCGCCACATAGTCGGTTGCTATGTCGCGGACCTTCCCCATCAGCACGCATACACCACGCATACACCGCGCATACAACCCGTGCAAACGGCAGTTTTCGGATCAGAAGATCCGTGCTTTTCTGATACCGTCGGATCTCCTTCAATGCCACTGTTCCCGGCCGATAGCGCCGCCCTTTTGCCCGCGGAACCGGGTCCCCCGCTTCCCCGTCAGCCACTCTCTACACTATATACATGTATACACTGTATACATGTATATGCTGTATACATACGCTCAATGCTTCCTGCAGGACGCTTACGACCTGTGCGTGGAGCATCGGAAGGGCGACCGGCTGATTTACGTGCAGTATTCTTTGCACGCGCCATACAGACGGGGAGAGGCGGGAGCGCGTGTATGAGCGCTGCCATGGCAACTGCCTGCCATGCGCCAGTGGGGAGTGGTAGCAGTGCATATTGTGGTCTTTGCAGCAGCAGCAGTTGCAGCATATATAAGAGGATGTGGAGCAGTGTTTGGAGGACAGAAAACGTGGCAGCAAAGCAGAAAAGGAGGGACAGCGTGTATCGTATTTTCAGTGACAGTGGGACTGTGTGGAACGCTGTTTGCTCTGTGCATGGGGGAAATGAGTGGGGAAGCAAGGTAGAAAGAAATATACAGCAAAGACAGCGGATATTGAGTGCATAGAATGAGGGAGACGCGTGGACACGAATGGAGGGTGATCGTGGGGGTGTTGGTGGTGCTCATAGTGGGGGTGCTGCCATATATGCAGATCTACGGGGCTTTCGGAGTATTTGGAGGGAGAGAGGGTAAGGGAGATGCAGTTGGGTGCATTGTATGCAGTGCATACAATGCGCATAGAGCGCGTGTACAGTGTTGCATAGAATGTATGCAGCGTATACAGCGTGTATATGCTGTATAAAGGGCGCCCAACGAGTATATGCAGCAGTGTATGTGCGGTGTATGCGGTGTGTATGCGGTGCACATGTATAGTGTATGCAGAGTGCGACTGGGGGGGGGGGGGGGGGGGGGGGGGGGGGGGGGGGGGGGGGGGGGTGGACACGGGGGTATGGAGGGAGCTGACGAAAATAGGGCGATATATGCGTGTTTTGGCGACGACGGGGGTGTTTTTGATACATATGTATGTATTTTGGAAGCTGGAAGACTACCTGTTGTATCTGCCGGCGGGGATGGCAGAGAGAACAGAGAGGGCTGAGAGGGTGCTGGAGGGTGTGGGTAGAAAGAGCGGAGAAAGGGGAAACGGATACAGCGGATACAATGAATACAATGGATACAGTGGATATATCGGGCGCTGGCTGAAGCATGTGGGATATATTGGGGTCGGGATTATGGGGACGCTATCGGGGGTTGGAGCAGGGAGAGCGGTGCACGAAACGTGGTTTGTACGGCAGAGACGGGGTGGAAGAGGGATGGGGGAGATTATACACAAAAGCTGGCGGATAAAGCGGGATATGGCAGGGAATCGCGAGTTGATCAGGCAGAAGCAGCAGGAAATCGCGGCGGCGCAGCGGCGGGGACTTGGAGGCGTACAGACTGTATACTTTCCGGGGCCCGCTGACAGTGGTAGGGAGGTCACGTGACTCTGAGGGGAGGGATGCAGGGATGGATGGAGTGGATGAGAAGAAAATACAGGAAAAAGGGTGGGTATACAGTGGAACGGGGAGGATAGAATGGGATCTGACGGGGAAGCAGAAGTGGAGCAGCTTTGGGAGGAGCTTGTGGCGCTGGAGCGGCACGAGGAGTATCTGAAAGGAGAATTGGAGACGCAGGAGCGGAAGACGAGGGAGATAGAGGCGGATAAAGGTATAATAGGATGGGCAAGACGTGCAGGAGGGTATATTTTTGGGATTTATTGTGGGTATCGGATTGTGACGAATTTTGTGGCTCTGTGGGTGGGATGGGGAGGACAGAAAGGAAAAATACAAGGAATAGCGGGAATAGCAGGCATGGGGGCCGAAGAAGGAGCAAGAGGAGGTCAGGAGAAAATGAGAGGAGCTGTGGGAGTCGAGGGAGGGTGTAGGATGTCGTCGCTTGACCCGATCCATGGACGATTAGGGGGATATATGACACGGTGGAACCCAAATCTTAACTGCGATGCATGGATACAGCAAATTGCGTTTTTGGGATCGGGAGGGATACTCTTGGCATCTATACATGGCATTTTAGACATTTTTCACAAGGTAGGACAGAGACCTTGAGCAATGTTGGGCATGGCTGGGCAGGATTGAGTGGGATTGACTGGAATTGGGTGGAATTGACTAGAATTGAGTGGAATTGAAGTGTATTGAAGGGGGTTGGGGAGAGTTGAGGGGAATTGGTGGCATGGAGTGTATCGATGCTGGTGGATGGGTATAGAGCAGGACTGGCTGAGGGGGAAGGACATGGGACTAGGGAAAAAACATAGCGAGACATTTGCTCAGAGGGGCTCTGTATAGTTGTGTATTTACGAAGCTAACGCGAGAAGGTGTCGTACTATGCACCAAGGATCCTCCCTGGGGAGCAAACGATTCTATTTTTTGCGTCAATTGCAGGGTTCTATGGCCTGTCGGCGGCAATGCTTCTTCCTCCAATGCTTCCAATCATGTATGGGTATGTATCGAATTCATCAAAACACATGGTAAACCAACATCTCTATAGAGAAGCGCTAGTTGCCTCTCTCGGCCTCTCGTTTGACCCATATCTTCTTCAATACTGGTTTTCCCTTCTTTTTTCCATTGCTGCACTGGTCACTATTCTTGCATCTATTCTTTCCTCTTTATTTTCTTTTGATCTGGACGATTCTTTTTCAGACAAACGTTATGTCTGATCTACAGGGAACACTGGCACTTCCTTTCAATCAAAGGAACCGTTTTCTTCTTCAGTCAATATTACATATAATTACATATAATTACATATAATTACATACAACTACACACAGTCATTGCACTCTCATTAACTATAATTACACACAATCATCAGGGCACAATTGCTACTATTACACATACAAACTACAACTATTACACTAAACCCACTAAATATATAAACCATTAACCCCCATCGATAGCAACTACGAAACTAATAAAAACGCTGACTGACAATAGACAATACTATATAACAGCAACAAAACACCTGTTTTCTATATGTATTTTCTTTTGCTTATCTACTACGTATCAGTTCTGTAGCTTGGTTTGGGGCACACAGTTAGGTTTCTTTTTTTTCGGTCATTTTTTCAGTCGAGAAATTAACGTGGGCTCTGGCGCACGTAGTGCACGCGCTTTAACGGCCATGAAAAAGGCCGTGCTTGCGCACTCAGGACCTCTCAACTATGCCAGAGCAGTGGCTCATACAGAGCCACAGCCGGTGCAGCAAACAGGACAAGCACCAGTGTTGATACAGCCGATCAGGGCTTCAGACCCAGTGGCTAAGACAAAAGCCGAGATAGGACCAGAAACAGAGGCAAGAACAGGTTGTATAGGAGTGGCAGGAGCAGCAGGAGCAGCAATGAGTGCAGCAGGAGCAGGAACAGGCAGTACGGGTGGTTCAGTGGGGAACAATACAAGTGCAGCGCCTATTGGAGCATCTCTCGGGGTTATGAGGGGACGGCGTGCACAGAGGTCATCAAGCAGCCCCAACAGGGCGTACAAGACGAGGTCACATCATTCTGTGCACCGTGTAGGAGCTCCGGGGGCAATACTGGCAGGAGGAGCAGGAGGAATGCCGGGAATCGAGGTGCCGGCGGTATCAGCGGTGCCAGTGGTCCCGGCAGTGCCAACAGGGCCAGCAGTGCAACAGCCGGTGCAGACAGGGGCGTCAGTGCCATTGGCGTGTGCTACGAATGAGGTTAAACAGAGTGGGTGATGGAATGATGGTTAAACAGTGTAGCATGTGGGGACGCCGCCACAGAGTGTGCAGACGGGGCAGGCAGCGGGGAGTGAGTATACGGTGGGCGGGACGGGGATTTCGAGCCATCACCGGCGTAATTCGTCGATTCATTCGAGTCGCTCGTCATTATCTCCGTGTCACCAGAATCAGACGGTTTATCCGCCCTATGCATACCATACATCGCCTTATTTTTTTGGTAATTATTGAGTCTGGCATAGTTATGGCACAGTTGTAGCGCAATTGCAGTAGATCGGAGGTTTGATACATGTCAAGGGGTTAGTTGGCGTTTAGACGGTGTGGCGGGTGTGTATAGTGTTTGATTAGTGTTTTACGGGTCTTGGGATGGTGTTTGAAATGTGTTTTTTTGTCTTTGCGCATCATATTTTCTGTGCAGCCGAGTTTGTTGTATACCAGATGCTGATGGATTGCAGTACCGCAAAATTATTCGGGGAATGCGTATAATACACCGGGAGTAGCAACGGGAGTAGCAGCATATCCTTCTCCACACGCAGGACATTCCGGATACACACAAAGGAGTCTTAGTGGGGTGTCGAATACGGGCGGGCATACGTTTAATACGGTATCTTCACCGCCAGTGGTGCCATCACAGCCTTGGCAATCGATGAACCAGCATTACGTATGTATTCAATGGATAGAAAGGTAATGGAGATGTTAACAGCATTCAGTTTTATCAAAGTGGATACGATCAAGGGGGTTTTTATCAACCTATGTACGGGATTTCGTCTCATTCGTTTATGATGCCGATGGGGTCGTATACTGGTATGCTGTACCCTTATCCGGGACAGCCGTTTCAACAGACAGCATCTTATTCTTCCCAATCAGCACAGATGGCAAAAAGTGTATCTTCAGCGACGGATTATCCAACTGCTTCGGGGTTGGGGACGTCAACGCTTGTAGACACGAATGCATGGTCTTCTCAAGCGCCTACAGATGAAACGCCTGCTTCGAATGTTGTACGACCGCAGAAACGGGTTAACGCGGCTGTTAAAATAGTGAATCCCAAAACGAATATGGAGATTTCGATTTCTCCAACACAATCTGCACTTGATACGAAAGATGTTGTAGCATCTTTGGCATTGGATGAGCCTTCTAAAAATACACATGTTTTATCTGCGTCTCAGGAGCAAAAACAAGATTCGGCAACTTTGATCGTATCTGAAAAAATGATTCAAGAAGATGATAAACAGTCTCAAAATGAAGAGAAATGTGTCAAGGAGAAAAAATATAGCACTGAGAATGCTGAAGGTGCTGAGACTGCTAAGGATGTTAAGGGTACTGAGGGTACTGAGGGTACTGAAAGTGCTAAGAGTACTGAGAATACTAAGAGTTCTGAGAGTATGGAGGATTCTAATAATATTCAAGAAGAGAATCTTTTTGTTTCGGGAGTAGAAGAAACATTACAAGTGGTACAGCCTGATTTTAATTGCGAATCGAACGCAGTAGCTAAGGAAAAAGATAAAAATGTTTTTGAAGAAAAAACGGTTGAACTAGGGAGCAGAGAAAACGATGATATACTTGAAAAAATTGAGAAAGAAGATGGTGCTGTGAATACTGACCAGGAGAAAAGTGATACGATTGAAATAATTGAAAAGAAAGATGAATTTGTTGAAATGCTTGATAAAAATAGTGATAGTATTATAACGACCGAGGGGAAAGAAGAGAGCGTATCTGAATACTGTTCTGTGTATGAAGAAACACAATTACCCGAGGAAAATGATATCTTGGGGAAAGACGTTATGGAAAAAGATATGTCTCAAGAAGATATTTTAGAAAATATTTCGGAAAATATTGGAAAAAATGATACCACAAAAGGTATTGTAGAAAATAATGATATAGAAGATATTACGGAAAAAAGTATTACGAATGATATTTTAGAAGAAAATGTGACACAAAATATTGTAGAAAATATTACGGATGATTTGGAAAAAAATACTACTGAAAATATTACTGAAAAACCTGCTTTTTATGATCTCAAATTAAATTTTGCAAAAGATAAAGAGTTAAAATCTACACATGATAAAGTAGATAATACTTTAAACAGTCAAGATTTCGATCAATCTCATGGCGATAATGCTATTAAATCTCAAAATAAGTCGTCTCAGGATCAAAATTCTATAATGAAGAAATCACCGCTATTACCTACAGAAAAAACAAAACAAAAAACGTTACCCGCGCCTCTTGATCTTTCCAAGACATCTAGAAATGATGCACGTGCGATTTCCGTTTCTACTAATTCTCTTAAGAATGCCGAGTTTATTACAGATCTTACGACTATTGTATATCCTGAAAAATTTAAACCTCCGGATAAATCTTTGAATGTAAATTCATTACCTGGGAAATTTAGATATAATGAGGATTTTTTATTACAGTTTCAAAAAGTTTTTAAAGATAAACCTGATCATAATTGGGACGAGCGTATAAGAGATGCGATTGGTGATGGGACGGATGATAAAAAGGCTTCTAAGAATAGCCTTGGTGGATTAAGTTCAAGATCAATATCTCGAAGCATTGGTGTTTCGATGACATCTATTCCTATAGGTACTTTTGGGTTAAGTAAAGCGTCTTTAAGCAAATCATCATCGAATCAGCATTGTCAGTATGTTAGTTCTCAGATGCAACAGAATCCTGATGCTTTGTTATCGAATATGGATGATTTAACGGGGCCTAATATGAAATCCATGTCTAACAAGTCCATATCATCATCTGGAGTTGCTTTGAGTGATTCCGGGAGTCCTGTTGTTTCTAGGTTTTCTTTTACTGGGTCTAATAATTCGGTTTCGTCTTCATTCCCTATGAGTGGGTCAGGAAGCCCTGTCACGCCCAAGGCGTCATCTAGAAAAGGAGGAAGTCGTCGTGGAACTGGGCTTTCACAATCAGAATCTAAAGGTGATAAATATGATCAAAAGACTGGAGCAAATACATTTACCGATCATGTGGTTCCTTTAACAATGTCTGCGAATCGATGGCAGCCGAAATTGAAATCTCAAACGGTTCAGCCAGGAGAGCATATGGATCCCGAAATGGTTCAACGGAAAGTTAAAGCGGCTCTTAATAAGCTTACTCTTGATAATTTTGATCGAATCACGGATCAGATTTTGGAGATTGCTTCTCAATCAAAAAATGAAACAGACGGACGAACGTTACGACAAATTATTCAACTTACTTTTGAAAAGGCTACTGATGAAGCAAATTTTTCAAGTATGTACGCTAGATTTTGTAGGAAGATGATGGAAACAACGAGTCCGGAGATTCGGGATGAGAAACTGCAATTAGATAAGAATGGTAGACCAATTACCGGAGGTATTCTTTTTAGAAAATATCTTCTCAACAGATGTCAAGAAAATTTTGAACGTGGATGGAAGGCTAATCTTCCTTCTAAGCCAAATGGTGACCCCAGTAATTCCCAGGAAGCTGAAATGCTTTCTGATGAGTATTATGTTCTTGTTGCAGCAAAGCGTAGAGGATTAGGTCTTATTAAATTCATTGGTGAACTTTTTAAATTGAATATGTTAACTGAAAGAATTATGCATGAATGTATAAAAAAACTTCTTGCTAATGTTGTCGATCCTGATGAAGAGGAAATCGAGAGTTTATGTAAACTTTTGGCTACTATTGGTAAAGATTTGGAAAGTACTGAAAAAGGTCATTTGCATATGAATGTATATATTGAACGTATGGATAAGATTGTTAAAACGTCGAATCTTTCTAATCGAATTAAATTTATGGTTATGGTAGGTTTTATGGATTTTTGGGTTATTTTTTTAATATAATTATAGGATATTTTGGACTTAAGAAAAACAGGATGGAAATCTAAAAATGCTGATAAAGGCCCAAAAACGATTGCAGAAATTCATGAAGATGTAAACGTGGTTTTTTCGTATCTGTAGCATTATTAATTAAAATTAGATAGCTAAAGAGAAAGCGGAAGCAGAAGCTACACGACTTGTAAATCAAAATCGTGGGTCAAGGTTAGATTTTGGACGAGCAGATAAAACTGGGCGTTCTAATATATCGTTATTCGGGATCCCTGATTGGCAAAATTCGAAGAATTTTGGTTCTACAGACAGTAAAGCGGGTGATTTATCGCGATTAGGACAGATTAGAACATCCAGTCAAAAACAATATGGACCAGGTGGTCAGCTTTCATCTTTAAGAAGTTTAAGTGAGAGTAAAAAATTTGCATTTGAACCACACGAACTTCAGAAAGAATTAAGTTATTCATCGCAAGCATCTGCAACTTCTAATGCTACAACATCAGAACAAAAATCTCCTCAAAATATGTATGAATCTATTTCGAAATTTCATAATCTAATTGCTTGATTTTAGTGTACTTTTACCGAAAACCGAATATGTTCTGCAAAACAGTCAGTATACCGGTTCCCAAGAAGCTGGTTTTAATGTAAAAAATTCTACACATAACACGTCATTGTCAGATTTATCAAAGCATAACTTTGTCGATTCTAAAGAAGATATTTTAGTTGATTCAAAAGAAAACGTAACAATGCAGACCACGTTTATTACAGATTCAAAAGAAGTGATTCAAAACATTGATTCGGATGAAGAAACTGCCTCTAAAGAGCATTTTGTTGACTCCGAAAAATATGAAACTGCACTAGAGAAATTTGCTGATTCTGAAGAATCACCCGTTGCATGATATTCAAAATAGTATTTATATGTAATCATTGACGTCATTGTACATTGTTAAAATCAATACATCAGTACTTAAGAATTGATATTAAAGAAAAATATTGTCTTATATTTTAAATTAAGATTTTTCATAAATCGCTTTCTTAAAAAAACCTTGTATCTTGTCAAATAGCTTAATATTAAGTTTTGTTTGTTGATGAAAGGTCGTGCAACTTAAAAAGTTCTTTTAAATATCTTATTAAATTTGGTTTTAGATCGTGTACGTGGTGGATCTTTAAGATATGCTGATTCTGAAAAATCAAACCTTCATTACACAAAAAAATCGGGTTTTTCACACAAAAGAAAAGTATAAAATACATTTTATGTATTTATTACGTATTTATCCTCTTCAGCGTTCTTTAGATATTCATAAACAATGGTCTCATGATCTTTTTAATCAAAAAAATGAGTTTACAACATTAAGTGAAGAAAAACAGAAAAAATTGGCTTCAAATCCTTTATTTTGTAGGCTAATGGGTATAAAGAATACACAGCCAGAGAAAGAGCTTTTAAACAATCCATTATACATGCGTATGCAGGGCGTACAACCACAGACAACGATAAAAGGCACTGCACAAGGGAAATCTTCATGGACAATTAAAGGTGCATCAGGTGCAACAACGGTGATTGTAAGCAATCTAGCAGAGGGAACTACTGCTGAAGATGTTAAAGTATTTTTGATCTGTGTTTATACATTTTTTGATACAATAGACTTCTCTTGCGTCATTAGGCCATATACAAAAGTGTTTTATTTACAAAATGAATCATGGAAAGCCACTTCAAGCAGAAGTGACGTTTTCTCTTCGGTCAGAGGCAAATACAGCAGTTGAAAAGCTAAATCATGCAATTGCAGATGGTTTTGTTATATTTTTGTTTTTTTTTTTAAGTTAATTTTGCAAAGGCCATGTTCTTACGGTTTATATTAAGGAGAATTAAGGTAGTAATAATATTGTGCTACTGTAGTCTGTAGTAAATTGTTAAAAAAAATAAATGACATGTTAAATATCCTTTTTGTCTCCGATAATGTGTTTTTATTTGATGTATATTTATTTTGCTGGCTATTTTATAATGAATGATTAACTACTTTTGAAGATTAGTATGTTTGTTGTATTTCTGCACTGAATAGTGTCTTTTTTTAATATACATAATTCTCTAAAGTTATGATGAGTGACAGATGATAAAGTCATACATCATAGTACAATGCATCTGCTAAACCTTTGACTAAGATATCACGAATTGGATTTTCGTTCAAAATACTATATGCAGTTTGGTTGTGATAAGATTGTGTGCAAAGTTTGTTAAAAATTTGTACTAAAACCTAGCAAAATTATTCGTCTAATTATTGAAAAATTTCAAAATACTTTGTTAATGCATTCATTAAATTCCTGAATAATAGAGCTTTGAGTACTTCCAATATAAAATGGTAGCCAATCATCTACTTTAATTATATTGTGATTACATGACAGTTTTCCTCCAAACAACAATGCTGACAAAGGATTTAAAAGAGTAGTATCCTTCAATGTTAAAGTATTCGAAAAATCTGTTTTTGATTTGGAGCTAAAGACATAAAGGGTACCTGGAGGAAAGATATCTTCTGATATAGGAGGCCCATAAAGATTTCTATTGCTACTTCTTGGAAAGTTAATAGTTGTTGGATGCAACATAACTAAACTATCGTTAGAAGTTCTAAGTAATCGCTTATTTGTTATAGCAGCTATATTTGGATAAAACCCTGCACATATTAATGATTTTATAAGAGGAATACAATCTGAATATTTATTTGATTCTTCATCGCCCAGTTCATGAGATAATTTTTCATTTTTGATATTAGGAACAATTTTATAATCAATTAAAATTTGTAAGATTTGTTCAGCTATATTTTCAATAGTTTGAAGAGTATTTCTATGTAAAAAATTCCTTTCAATAAAAATTGATGCTGATGCGTTACCTTCTGTATTACGGATTAAACGCCATTTTCGAAAACAATTAATAATAGTTATATGGTCACTTTTATAATCCATACTTAACCTAATACGAGCCTCACGAGATTCTTTTTGAAGTTCAATAGGTTGCAAGAAAACATTTCTTACAGTTGTACTAGCAGCAAGAATAAGAATAGGATCTAAACATTTAAAAATTGCACTATAATTTGTTATTTTTAGATAATATTCAAAGATTTAAACAAACCCCATTAAGCACATTTTTCCGAGAGATGGCTCGACAGGTCTTAATGTAATTAATTAATATTTTTTTATTTTTAAGGATGACTTACAAAGTAGCCAAAACATTACCTAAGGGTGTTAAATTTTCATTCTCATCCAAAGCATTTAAAGAATGAAGTCTTTTAAGGCCATATTCTACAGCTTCTTTTGAAGGAACTTCAATTGTTTCAGATAAAATTTTCGATATTGAATCTTTCACTCCTATTGCTTTTATTTGCAAACAGATTTCTTGCAAGTCTGATCTAAGAATCTCAGGTAATGATGCGGCTGCTAAAGCAGAGTGCCGATTTTTAGATATTAAAGCATAATAGTACCCATTTCTTACTCTTCCTGCTCTTCCTGCTCTTTGTTTTGAATTGGATTGACTAATCCATGTAGAAAGAAGACTAGTAATACGTTTAGTTTGGTCATATATTTTTTCTCGATGCTTGCATGTATCAACTACGTATACAACGTCGGGAATAGTAATAGATGTTTCTGCAATATTAGTGGCAAGAATTATTTTTCTTATTCCAGGTTCTAATTTTTCAAAAACATCATTTTGCATATATGGAATTGCTGAATGAAGCATGTAAATACGATATTTAGATTTATCTGTAAAATCAACACCTGCTTTTCCTGATATTAAAACTTTGTTTAGAGAGCTTATTTCAGAATATCCTGGAAGAAATACTAGAATAGATCCATCATTAGATGTTTTTATAATATAAGAAATTGTAGTAGCAATAAGACCATCTGAAATATTAATTTCTTTTTCGTTTATAGATAATAATCCATGATTCTGACTTGAATAATTCTTTGAAGACCAATCTATAGAAGAATTATAATCACTATTATGTTCATCTTTTATAGTCTTCTCTTTTTCTTTATAAGAATCAGAAGAAAATGCTTTTTCATTTTCAATATATAAATTCGTGTCTTTATCAAAAAGTATTGGTGCCTCTTTTCTTGAAAATGTATTTTTTAAATTCTCATATATTTCTTCTAAAAAATATGAAGATACTGGAAAGCTGCGACCAGGTATAGTTATCGAAGGTGCTTGACCATTTGGGAATTCGTCTCCAAAATATTTACAAAATAGTGTTGGATTTATTGTTGCGCTCATTAAAACAATTTTGATTGGTGGAAGTCCAAGAGATTTTCTTTCTTTGATAATTCGTTTTAAAATAACAAGTAAAAAATCTATTTGAATATTTCTTTCATGGACTTCATCTACAATAATATGACTTATTCCTTCAAGTATTGAAGATGATGAATCCTGAAGTTGTTTTAAAAGGATACCTGTGGTACAATAATTTATACTACCAATAGGTTTTGCAGGTTTGCTGTCAAATCTTACTTGGTATCCAACAGATTCTCGTAATTTTTCATTTCTTTCAAAACATACACGTTGGGCAACAGAAATTGCAGCTATTCTGCGGGGCTGAGTACATAATATATTGCATCTGGCGCCACTATTATTGAGAATTGCGTCTTCGAAAATAAATTGAGGAAGCTATTTTTATGTTAAAAGGTATAGTATGAATAATTATTTAATACTTGAGTAGTTTTGCCACTTCCTGTAGCACCTATTACTATACAAACAGGATTTTCTTTTATAAGTGTTAACAACTCATCTTTATACTGATAGATAGGAAGTTCTTGTCTTTTTTTAAATAAATCTTTTAATGATTCATTTTTTTTAAAATTTTCTAAATTTTTCAATAAAATTTCAGAACGTTGACTTAGAAATTCTGGAGATGGTTTGAAAGGTAAATAATTAAAGTTATCTTTTTTTTGAAAATATATGTCTTTCGAGACTTCGGATTTTTGAATTTTTTTTATCTGGCTAATAGTTTCATCCATAATTCTTAAGGATTTTTCAGATATATTAGCAGAAATAGGCGCTAATGGTCGTAAAAATTCTCCATTTCCCTTTTTAAGTTCTTCAATAAATTCTGTAAACAAATAAGGCATTTTTTTACAAATATCAAGTGCGTAAACAAGAAAGCATGCGTTTTCTGCATCTTTTTTACTACATTTTTTTATAAAATGCTTTATATAAAAAAAAAAAACTTACTTATACATTTGTGGAGATATCGCTATAATTTTTTCACCTGATTTCATTGAAGCAATCCAAAATGAATTTTTTATTTTGAAAACACATTCAATTTTTCCTGTTTTTTTCTTAAATCCAAAAAAATCGATAAATTGTTTAGCATTAGATGTATTTAAATTTCTCCAGTCTTTAACTAAAAGAAGGCCTTTGCTATTTTTTGAATGATGTTCTTCTGCCATTTTTTTGAAGTTAATACATGCAAGAATTTCTGCAACTTTATATTCATATGACTTTCCTATACCAATTAAGTTAGGTTCATCTGTATATATTTTCACTGTATAAAGTTTTTTTTTTTTAATTTTTGTGTATGAAGTAGATGTATCAAACTTTGGCAAAGCTAACCAACGACATGCATAATTTAAAACATCCAACTTAGAGCTAGATTCTTGACTAATTAGATGACTGTCATAATTTCCAATTTGATATTCTTCAATTATATCAAATAATAAATCCTTCTTATAAATTTCTGAAATAAGATAAAGATACGCATTTTGACATGCTTCTGTATTAGTCTCACCATGCCCTTTACCTACATAAATTTTTTCACCTATTCTTGCTTTACAAAGTGCGAAGTAAAAATAATTAGAATTTGCTTGTAAATTACTTGGTGTAATCACTAACTTTGCTTTAACATTCATAACTTTATTCAAAAACATTTCTGGATCACTAAAAATGTCACAAGATATTCCAAATTTATTTAATTCTTCTTTAGATGGGAAAGACATACTCTTCCGAATATATTCATTATTATAAAGTACAAAATTTGACTCTAGGTGGTTTTTTTTTCGATAATCTGTTTTTTTTAATAATTTATGATCAAAATCATGTTCTTTAGCTGATCTTTTTTCTTTTTTTAACGATACATTAATATCTTTAGGACTACTATATGACTTTATTACTTTCCTTCCAACAGCTGTTTGAGAAGTATTTCTAATATGTGCCCATTTTGTAGAATGATTCAAACAATTAAGACCATTTTTTGCTGCTACAAAGATACGGCTCATTGAACCTTCTTTGTCTTCTTCTTCAACTAATGGTTTTTTCCTTCTAGATCTTCTTCTTTTAGTTGCACGACTAGTTCTTCGTTTTTTTAAATTTTTTTTTAATTCTTCTTCTGCACTTCGTTTATTTGTTTTTTCTTGATAGTCTTTTGGTTCTTTTTCAGTTTTTATACTCTCTTGCATATGAAAAGACAAAATATATACTTTCAATTTTCCTTCTCTTTCCTTTATATCATTTGATATACCAAAAATTTACTTGCACTAAACATATAAAATAATAGTACTATTGATCACTGATTTATAAAAATTAGATAATTCTTTTTTGCTATTTAGTTATAAATTATAATCCATATCAAAAATAATAGGTTTTTGATATAAAATAATCTGATTTATGTTATTCTTTGTTATTTTTGTTTAAATGTAGATTTCATTCTTAGAGTGTCCCGAGTTAACTGTATTACGGTCCGTATCTTGTTTTTAAAAGATCTTAGATGAAAATACTATAAAAGTATTATTAATTTTGTACATGAAATAGATTGTTTATAGTTTCCATGATTTAATTTCTTATAAATATTTAAAATACGATTTTTATAGATGAATTATTGTTTTAATTTGTTAAGTAGTTTAAATTGATTTGCAACTCTGTTAAAACAAACTATTTAAAACAAATTTTGTATGTTTGGTTTTCATGCAATAAAATGTATATTTTTCAGTCTATATATTACCTACAAATATTGATTTTTAAAAAATTGATTGCTTTTTTGTTAATTTTATTTTTATTTTAAAAAAATGTATTTTTAATTGTTTGAACCAAATGTATATGAACAAAAATATTGTTTATTTTTGTCTTATTTTGTATAGAAAAGATGACTTAAATGTTTTGGAAGTATAATATTTTACGTTTTTTATATTCATTATCTAAAAAAACAGAAATTGTATAATTATAAAAATATTAAACTATATAAAAGCCAAACACATTAAAATCTTCTATATATGTGTTTTTTGTACTATTTTTCCTTAAGTAATTAAATAATTTGAATATCTATGTGATCGAATAAGATCGTCAACGACGCTGATCTAAAGGAAAATAGATACACACCAATTGATAAAGGATGGGGTTTTTCTGGGCAGAAAATCAACAAAATACACAGAATTCGAATGATTTAATCAATAATTCGTTTCCTAGTAAAGAATATGATGAAAAATGTCCTGTTATTAGCTCTGAAAATAGAAGTACATGTCCCTATGAACCAGAAAAAGATAAGATCAATATGTTGAACAGAATGCCGAAAAATTTGCCTCAAACAATTGCACATGGTCAGAAAATAGCTCTTCCTACAAAACGTACAATTTCTTCGATTCCTAGACACAATACCAATGAAAACTGGGAATATCCTTCTCCACAACAAATGTATCATGCAATGGTTCAAAAAGGTCATCAAGATGTACCAGAGGATGCAGTTGAGTCAATGGTAGAAATACACAACTTTTTGGTAACTTTATCTCAGTATTACAAGTGTTTTTATAGTAGATAGAATGAAAGTGCTTGGAATGAGATAAAAAAATGGGAAGAACGGCGTGGATGTTCTAATCCCAAGCTCTCTCACTTTAAAGGAAGAGCATCGAATCCTACACTTAAATCACGTATGCTATATTACATTGGGAAAATTTATCCTTCAAAATTTGGGTAGTTTTATATTGAAAAAAACGCAAAGTTATATTTAACCAAAATAGATGTGATTTACCTTTTGATACACACGATTGGTACATTTCTCGGGACGGGAAGATTGTTCGATACGTTATTGATTATTATGATGCTCCTCCCGAGCCATCAGGCGAACCTGTATTTTATTTAGATATACGGCCGGCAATTGATACGCCGACTGCAGCGTACGACAGAATCAGTGTATGGATGGTCAAAAAATGGACACAGTTGTCCAAAAAATTAAAGGAATTTTATTCTTGAATACAGAAATACAGACCCATATATTGTGCATACATTGTTTTTAGCGTCGATATTACCATTTTATGATATTTGGATATTATATATATAAACCGGTTATTTAATATAAAATTTAAATCTAGCTTTTTTCATATCGTCGATCAGGTTATTAATAGATATATTAATAAATAAAAATAGTCCATTATTTTACTTTGAATTCAATATCCATCGGTGATGGATACGCCCCTGAAAACCATATAAAACCATATAAAGACGCTCTAATACTTGAATCGACTATTTATGGGCTTATAAAACTGTTCAACTATATTTCTGGACTCGTTAATATCGATGTCGGAAAAACCAAATATATCTGTAATAATCATGCTGTCTCAAACTAATAATATACTACATTGTATTGGTTTGACTTTTGATTGAATTAACAAGCCAATCTAGTCCTTCTGCAAGCCCCTGATATGTTTAGTTTTATTTTTCATTTTCCCTTATACCCACTTCTCCCGTAATCGCACTTGTCGATATAACTGTCCAGTTTTTATTACGCATCTCCGTAAGCCCAAGTTTTTCCGATATTTCTGATGCATTCAATGCATTTGGTGCGTCCTGTTTGTTTGCAAAAACTAGTAAATCTGTATCCATAAGCTCCTTTTCCTGCATAATTGCTTGAAGCTCTTTTGCCGTCGCTGAAAGGCGATGTATATCTGTCGAATCAATCACATAGATAATTGCTTGTGTCCCTGTATAATAACAGCGCCAATAACTGCACGTATAAGCTACTGTATATGTATAAAGATGCTTACGGCCGAATTGATGTTTGTCCTCCGAGATCCTATCTTTGTTAGTCTGCATATAGCATGCATATAGCACGCATATACTACGCATATATAATGCATATATAATGTATATACAATGCATATATAACGTATATACGGCATATGTATACTGTATATACAAAGTATATAACACATATACAACACATATATAACGTATATATATTGTATATATAATGCATACATAACGTATATATAATGCATACACTGTGTATACCGTGCATCTGTATTGTTTTTTCATACCCACACATTAAATTTAATATTTTTGTACTGAACTGTCTCCATATTAAACCCGATTGCTGTTTTGTTAGTACCATTTCACTCTGCTTGCGGCTTACTCGGCACCGTTGTAATAACTTCTCCCACCTATTTTTCAGCGCATATATTATGTATATATCAACTTATTACCTGCATTTTGTACAGAATCGTTGTTTTTCCTGCTATATATGCTGTTATTCTTCTATTTTTCCTTTAAATACCACACACCTCCATCTAATCCTAGAATCAATACTCGGATCTCTTTTTGCCCCCATAAATGCGACAAAAGCTTGCCAAAAACACCGCCTAAGTCTTATCAGTACAGTTAATATAGTTATTTCTTTCAAACCCATCTGTACAGCCACTGTTGATGGTCAAGTTGGCGCTCAAATATGCTCTCTGAGTGATCTGGATCAATATTTTTAATATATTTTTCTATATACAGTGTATACGCAGTATACAGAATAGCAGCGGGCTCGATAGGTAGTATATTCGATGAACCGTAACGAAACCGGAGAAATAAAAAGATTAATATATTTAGTGGTAAAGAGAGTATATAAGCGAGCAGATAGAAACATATAGGATATTTTTGAATAGAGAGTGCAAAATAAGGTAGTTAGGGCTTTTTTTGGATGTTTTTGGGCATTTTTTGGGCTTTTTATGGGCTTTTTTAGATCTGGATTTAAAGAGTATTTGGAACAGCATTGTATTTAATTAGTTGCTCTAAATTTTTCTAAATTTTCTTGGATTTACTTTGTTACTTAGTTTTTAGTTTGGATTCTGTGGGTGCTTGCTTATTTGTTCAATATTTTCTCTGAATCGGTTGTTTTTCTTGCATTTTGACAGAAATTGCACCGCATTTCTTTCATTTGCTTGTTTTTCTTGGATTTATTTACTCATTTGGATTTACTTGATTGTTTTGGGTTTCCTGAGATTTGCTTATTTGTCCTAAATTTCCTCTATTTCTGTTCTAGATTTGCTTACTTGTTCTTTTTTTCTGGATTTACATTGTACTTTTTTTGGATTTATTTTGAATTTATTTTGAATTTGCATATTTGTATCAGTTTTTTTTTGCTTTTACTCTGGTTTTGCATTACATTTGCATAAGATCTTTTCTGGACTTGTTTTTTACTTGTTTTTAAGTATTAATTAAACTGTGCAGACTTGGGATGTGTAATAAGATACTTTTTGCACGGGGTGCAAATGGACAGGGTCAGCTAGGTTTGCCAAGCGGTGTAGATGTTTATCATTTGGCACAGGTGATGCTAGATGGGATATGTCCGATGTTTCTTTCAGCTGGTGGCAATCATACATTGATGCTTGATTCTACTGGCTGTTTGTTTGCAGCAGGCGATAATACGCTAGGGCAATGCGGAAACAATGTAGGAAAATGGGAGGGTTTTGCACAGGTAGCACAGGGGCAATGTTGGACAGCAATTGCTGCTGGATGGGAATTTTCGGTATTTGCAACAGAGAATGCTGTATGGACAAGTGGACATGGTAAATACGGAGAGCTTGGACTAGGAGAAGGCATTTTTCATGCAGTGATGCAACGGATTCCTGGATTTCCTTCAAAGAATAAGAAAATTAGTCAGTTATGTGCTGGTGTGTATCATGTTATTTGTTTGCTGGATAATGGTGAATGTTGGGGATGGGGCGATGCACGACACGGTGAGTTGGGGCCTGATTTATCTGGCTGCGTATATATGCCAACAAAGATGTGTGTGCCGAGTAATGTACGGGCTGTGGCGTGTGGGCGTGGATTTTCTGTAACATTATCAATGACTTTGGATGTTTGGGGGCGTTTGCGAGGTATACCATATAGTTTAAAGTTATCGGAAATGAAGATTGAATTGAATGACATTTTATCATTAAATGCATCATGGTCGGCTGTCTTTATTTTGATGAAAAGAGGCAATGTGGTTATGTTAGGACGTGATGATCTTGCTCAACGTTGTCCAGCTGAAATGCCTCCGTTAAAAATGCTTGCAGTAGGCAGTGAACATTGTTTAGGTATTGGAGTGGATGGGAAGGTTTACGGTTGGGGATGGAATGAGCATGGCAATGTACGCGAAGATAAAAAGGATGTTCGAGAAGTGTATCTGTTAGAGATACCTAAGGGAAATGTTAGATTTGTTGCAGCAGGCTGTGGGACCAGTTGGATTTATATTGAGACTTCTAATAAAGCAGTTAATGAAACTGAAAACACAATTGCAAATATTAAACATGTATTTTGATATTATGTGTTTTAATATTGAATATATAGGATTGACTCAGCATATATGTTTTGATATAAAATAGATATTTTAGTTGACAATGATAGATTATGGAACAATGCGTTTCAAAAAAATTAGTGCATGAATGTATTTGAATTTGAGTATATTAATATTTCTTTGGAGTTTTGCTGAAATATTACTTTGTTTTTTAAGAAGAATTTCTGCTGATTTTTTGAAGAGTTGTTTATGTTTTTAAAGCAGAGTTCATGTCGTTTTTTATATTAAGTTTGTAATATATTTGTATTTTGTGTATCTATTTTTATGCTTATTTTAACTTTAGACTTACGGTTTAAAAGTGCTGTTGAATACTGTGCAACAAAGTTGTCGTATATTAAAACCGTAAAACTACTTAATGAGATTCTGTATTTAGAAAAACATGTTTTGTAATTCGTTTTATAGATACAACTATGTTAGAATAGGCATGTAGAGATATTTATTATTTTATGAAACATGCTGTATATATTGCATTATTTGTATGTTGGATATGTTTACTGCTGCATGGTAGGTTTTTTAATAGCTATGTTTCAATTTGAACATTACTATTTTTAAATAACTGTTGATCGAGGAGTGGATCATTTTTCGATCGTTTCACCTCAGTAATGGCTCTTTTGCAGTACTTAAGAACACCTGAAATATTGTTTACTTTTGTAATAAAGTGGTCTGGTAGCCGATAGCCTGTTTCTTTATACAACATTTGCAGAATCTTGTAAAATTAGCCACAAATGCATTTTTTGGCGGATATTTACACGAAGCTTGAGTTTAAGGTCTTGAGAAAGAATCAAAGGCTTAGAACCATCATTTTTTCCACCTGTAGAGCGTAAAACTGCCTTTTGCATGGCTTTTTCGAGCATTTCTGCGTCTTTAATTGGTTCTCTACGCCCATATCTAAATGTCGTCAAAATTTTTTCTTTTTGCCTTCTAACTTACGGAACAACACTGAAACCGTTTAATGATGTATATGAAAATCTGTAGCGTTTTCTTTCTGCTATTTGAGCTTCTTTAGGTACTTTAAATACATTTTGATCTTCTGTTTTCTCTGTTGTCTTTGCAAGCTGAGAAAATCTGAAAATCTGATTAAAACCCTGTTGAGAACTTAGAAATAGATATATTGGCTTATTAATAGGCAGTGAACGCTGCCGAATTGTCTTAAAAGCATTATAAGTTAACATTTTTATTTTTAAGAGGTTACGTTAATATCGAAATTGAGTACGAATCACTTTAATAAAAATGATGATAATAAAACAACGAAATTGTCAATGGATAATACCTTATTTTTTGCATATTTTGATTTTATTTAAGATTATACCAATATTTTCTTCATTTTTCCTTTTTGTTGAGGGCAAAAATGAGCCATTACGAGGTGTTCCAGAATCAAGTAAGAGAAATTTGTTTTTATGAATTTTCATGTTGAAGAAGTAGGAAAATCTCTGTATAAATCTGAGAATGGGGTGTGGAAATGTCTTAATACTTCTAAATATATTCCTTTTTCACGTTTGAATGATGATTGGTGTGATTGTGAGGATGGATCAGATGAGCCTGGTAAATTTTGGAAAAAAAAATGAAATTTCTTAGTTATATATGACAGGGACGTCTGCATGTCCAAATGGAGTGTTTTCATGTAAAAACTTGGGACATATTTCAAAATTTATACCAACATCGTATTTGGTTTGTTTGATATGAGTATATTAATACTTTATTGATAATGATGGGTGTAGAATGATGGAATATGTGATTGTTGTGATGGATCGGACGAATATGAGGGTATTATTGAGTGTAAAAATACATGTGAAGAAGAAAATAAGAAATATAAACAAGAAATATTGAAAAAAAAATATATTTATGATAAAGGATCGAAAATTCGTCAAGAATGGATGGAAAAAGCTAATAAAATGATGCTGGATTTGAAAAAAGAGGTAAAAAAGCTTGAAATAGAGTTAAATAATGCAATTCGTGAAGACCAGATCTTGAAAAAGCAAGAAGCGAAGGAAAAATTGAAGAAAATAAAGTTTAAAAATGATACTTTTATCGTTCTCTTTAATAATAAGTTCGATAAATTGTTTGAAAAATATAACGATTTATTCATGTCTTTTATTCAGTTTGAAAAGGAAAGTTTATTTGTTATTGAAGATGTTTTAAATTACTTAAAAACCTATAAAGATTCTTCAGAATTGTCTTTAGATGATGTTATAACTTCCATAGAAGATAAAAGTCGAGATTTAACCACTAAAAGAGATACTTATGACAATTATGTAACGAATTTGAATGATGAATCTAAAAAGTTTATTAAGCTTATTGAAGAGGAATATTATTTGTTAAAGAAAAAATCCATATTTGACTCAATTGAGGAATGGTTTACACATATTTTTAATAAAGTAAAACAATATCTTGTCACACGCAAAATATTACTTAGTAATGATAATAGTGATCCACAATGTATGAGTAAATAGTTACTTTTACATAAATTACTAATAATTTAGTAAATTATGAAACTTTCGATGAATCAAATGAAAAGATACTTTTATTGAAAGAAAAATTGGAAGAAAAACAAGCAATAATGAAAAAAAATGCAGAAGGTTTCAACATTTATTATGCTGTTAAAGACGAAACGTTAAAATTTAAATTCAAAGAATACCAATATGAGTTAACTTTTCTGAAAAATGCGTATCAAATTTCCCTAAATGATAATTATCGCATCTTTCTTGGGTAAAATATCTTTAATTAATCAAGTAAAATGATAACATAATTTAGTTCTTTTTCCCACTTTGATGGTGTAAACAAATTATACTACCATAATGGAGATCAATGTTGGAATGGTCCTTCGCGCTCTGTTGTTGTAGAATTACACTGTGGTATCAAAAATGAAATTGTTTCAACTATAGAATATCAAAGATGTATGTATTTTATGAAAGTGTTTACTCCTGGTGCTTGTATTTTACCTTCATACGAAATGCCAAAAGATGAGCTGTAATATTGCTGTTTTCTGCATATAAATAGTTGTTTTCTGGGCAATTAATTTTGACGCAATATATTCTACAGTGCTGTGTCTTACTGTGCTATATTACAGCAATCTATATGTTTTAGAAAAAAAACATATTTATGATAAAAGCATTTATGGATTAATGGATTGGTAAGACTAAGGGCAAAGAAGTTCCGGTTTTCTTTTTATCTGGACATGGTTGCTAAAATGCGTGTTTTATCCACTGGATAATTGCAATATATGCATTCTGTTGGGCATAGCCTTGTTTGGATATCTATGTTGTTTTAAATTTATGTTTCAATGCACATTGATGTCTTATAAAATATGTTTTTTTATATTTCCTACATTTTGTTTTGTATCTCTGCTATATATCTGCTGTGCTTAATGTGTTGTATGCAGACTATGTGCAATGTTATGAATATTGTGTTGTTTGGGCAATATACAGCACGTGTAATTCATAATTACATGGATACAGACAGATTGCTACGTATAGTGTCTATATAATGCATATAACTTATATATATACAGTCCACATAATATGTATAGACTACGTTTATAACTTGCATCCAATGTACATATAATATAGTGCATATGTAATAGACATTTTGTATACAACTATATACACAGTATTTGTGCTATATATATACTTTATGTTCACATATATACTATACATATCTATACATATCTCTGTATGTTTATCTCTACAGATATATACGTATATACAAATATACCAGTCTTCACGTCTATTAGTAGATACTCATTTTGCTCTTTTAAACTTTTTATCTTTTATATCCATTTTGTCTACATTATATGTATAACATATACCCACAATATACATTGTATTGCTTATTATATCTATATTATTCATATTTGCGTATGTCTTGTTCTACATATATACAGTATATACAATATATACAATATGTACATACTTTATATACGCCGTTTGTTCACTACATACATGATATATGTGCTTCATTGTATCTTAGCGTGTCCTATAGGGGTATCTACAAATTGTATAGATAGTATATATATAATCTGTGCTCACTGTATGTGGTTATATACATATATACACTCGTATATCTACAGTAAACGCATTATTCACTCTATGCGTATTATACAGTGCAATCCTGTGTATTATGTCTGCTGTATATTTAATTTATCTATATTTATCTATATTCTGTATATACATATATATGTATTTTATATCTATTTTTATATCTATTATATGTCTTTTATGCTTTCTGAAACTCATTGTATCTGCTTTTAATGTATTCTATATACTCTATATATCTGCTCGTGCTTTATCCGCTTTACTGCATTGCCACTCCGTATGAACGCTGCAACACACTTGACCACCGCATCTACTGCACCCTTCTGGGGCAGCAATGCCAAAGGTAAGTTTTAATGCTTTAATTCATATATAAACATGTATTTACACACATATATATAGTTCCTACTCAGTTAAAAGCACTTGGATCTCTTGGAATGATCTTGATATGCCCGATTTTTACTCTTTGGGTTCTTACAGCATGTACATATTATGAATGTTCACTTGTATGGAGTATACGGCAGTTATTAAAGACAAAATATATAGGATTGGTGCAGCAAAGTGTTAAATGGGTGCCAAAACCCACACGGAATACGTTGATTGCATATAGTGGATGGGTAGTGTTTCAAGGAATTTTGTATAAAATTTTACCGGGAAAAACGGGATTTGGGCAAATGACGCCTGCAGGATATTGTCTTTCATACAAGGTAGAAGAGGCGGTGTTTTTTTTGCTTTTTTTTCTGCTTTTTTCCAGCTTTTTTTCGGTTTTTTTGCAATCATTGAGCTGAATTTATATTTTTTATAGTTTTTATGGGGAAAGGGGCTAAGAAATGCAATAGGTGAATGGTCTGCGGGCGTATATACTTACCCATGTATTATTCTTTGTGCTGGTACACTTTGGAGTGTTTCGTGCATCAGTAATAGTAGATTATTGGCCGAGTTTTTATGTGGCGGCGAATATTTATGGATATAGTTTGTCATTTTTTTCATTTATTAAGGCACATTTGTTTCCATCACATTCAGAAGACTGCAAGTTTAGTGGTAGTTTAATATATGATTTTTGGATGGGAATTGAGCTGAATCCGCGATTTGGGAAGTTATGGGATTTTAAACTTTTTCATAATGGGCGTCCGGGGATTATTTGTTGGACATTGATTGATATAAGTTTTGCAGCAGCACAGCGGCAGCGTATAGGTATGTTTTTTGAGAGGGTTTTATTTATTTCTTACTTTTATGTAGGATATATTACGAATTCTATGTATCTTATTATTTTTCTCCATGGTCTTTATGTTTTAGACTTTTTTTATCATGAAGACTGGTATTTACGTACAATTGATATATGTCATGATCGTTTTGGTTTTTATCTTGCATGGGGAGATACAGTGTGGCTTCCTATGATGTATACCCTTCAAGCTCAGTATTTATATCGGAATCCTGTTGATTTGCATCCATATTATGCAGTGATTATTTTAGTTTGTGGAATACTTGGTTATGTTATTTTTAGGGGAGCAAATAATCAGAAAGATCATGTACGTTTGACAGATGGGAACTGTAAGATTTGGGGAAAATCTCCTAAACTAATTCGGACAACATATACAACATTGGACGGTAAAATTCATAAATCTATATTACTATGTTCTGGTTATTGGGGTATTTTGCTGTATAAGTTAGTGCTTTGTATTTATTTTTATAGGCCTTGCACGGCAGTTTAATTATATAGGCGATCTTCTTTTAGCATTCTCTATGTGTGCTGCATGTGGCTTTAAGAAAAACGCTCTTTTAGCCTATTTTTACATTATATATATGTTTATTCTTCTTAATCATCGCGTTTATAGAACCGAGAAACGATGTTCTGCAAAATATGGTCATTATTGGAAGGAGTATTGTAAAAAAGTCCCTTACAGGCTTTTTCCGGGTATTTACTAAAATATTTCAATATACAATGTATGAAGTAGTGACTGAGATGTCTTTTAATAAATATATCCATAGTATTTATATAATAATCTGAATAAATATTTGTAAATTAAAAATAACATTTCTATATATTTAGACTTAGGGAAAATACTATACACATAACGTTAGTAAAATATATTATTCTTTTTTAAGCTTAATCATTTTAATCATTATTGATTTTTAAAATTTTGAATAAAAATCTTTCTCGAAAACATAATATTAATGATTTGTTTTAAAATAATTCACTAGCTGGTAAAATACTACTCTACCATTTATATTTAATTGATATTTGATTGAAATCCTGCTTCTAAAATTCTAAATTAATATTTAGATCTTTTTTCTCTTTTGTGATTTTATATTACAAACAACAATATAAATAAGAATATATATCACATGTATATTTTATGTATAAAATTCTAGATTTCTAACTTATCTTAATTCTTTTTTTCACTTTCGTTATATATTTGTTTTAACATTTGACGATGTTCAATAATATCTGTATCTACCGAAATGACCGCACTTAAAATACTATCTATATGCATATTGAGCTTTTTGTGTTTATGTCGAGAACTTGGTCTTATTGTTTTGTTGACATGATAAAGTCTGGATGCCAAAAGGTCAAAAGCTCCTCCTAAAGTAGCTTTAATCTTTAAAATACAACGAGATGATTTTGCAATGTCATTATCTGGATCTGCTGGATCTTGGATAGATAAAAGAAATGGCTGGGTAGACTTTGCCCATCCTTTTAATCTCTAGAAAATATATTTAGATAATATTAGATTTAGTTAAAATAAAACCTTTGAAAAATATTTTCCTCCGTTATTAATACTGATACCAACTTCATTATAATTAAATAGTTTTCCATAAAGTTCAAAAAATTCCATAAGAAGGACACCAAGATTATCTTGTTCTTTAATTTCTTTTGAGAGGAGTTTTGGATGTCTCTGTAAAAAGCTTACAACAAGACAAATAATAGAGTAACTTCCTAATCCTCCTAAAAATACTTCATTAAGACCTCTCATGTTAAGAAAATGTTTTATAAACATCACAAGGGGTTTCAACGCATAATGTTCTTTCATATATTGTTTTATAATGTTAGCTGATACTAAACCACCTGGTTTATTAAATGAAATATCAACATGAATCTGTGTTAATGTATCGATAAATTTAATAATAGGGACAGAGGCTCCTGTTATAACTTGAATATCTTTTGCAACGTTTGAACAACGTAAATAACGAGAAAGTTTATGTAAGTCTTTTCTAGTTTCATAAATCCGTGGACCTAAAGAAAGGATAACAAGATCAATATCACTAAATGTTTATTAAGTTATACTTAAATTTAAAATATTTTTTACTACCTGGTGGGAAGGTATAACATCGTATCAAAAGAACCAAATGCACAAAGTTGGACATTTTTCCAGTGCTTTTGGACGAGAGCATTTATTCTTTGGACAACAAGTTCTCGAACAAAATGCTCCTCTTTCGTAGGTGAAATAAAATTTGAGAAATCTAATATTTCACGATGAAGGCTAAATATATCAACTTAGATTTTATAGGTCAAAAGAAACATACATTCTAGAAACACTTGTTTCTTCTGAATAGTCTTTTGCCCATGGCGCCTCTATTTCACGTCGTGATCGTTTGCTGATTGGTGTATTGCCTTCTACATGTTTTCTTTTAAAAAGATTTTCCATTTTGGCTACTGTTTTTTGGAAAAAGCTTTTCCGTGAATTTGAAGGTGTAGGAGACTTTTTTTCAATTGCTTTCCATGTTTCGTCATTAAAATCAAATTTAATATAATCTTCTTCTTTTGCAAAACTATCCATCGTAATGTTTTTTTTGTAAAAAGAATATATAAAACAATTTTAAGGAATAGAAGAGGACTAAAAGGCGTTCAGTAATATGTTTCTAAGTGCTTTATAAGTCTTTATTTTTATAAATCCTTTTAACTTTGACTTTTAATAGTATTGTAGTCGTCCTAGATAGCCGGTTGGTTGTCAAGGAAACCACAAAAATATCTTGACACACTATGATAATACATTAGATGTCAGTGATTTGTTTATCGTTTTTATTGTTGCAAATTACTTGTTCTGTGTCTTAAACAGCTTCTGGCCACTTTTATTTTCAATTTATATATGATTTGTGTTTTTGCGATATGTATTATATGTAAAGCAGATACGTGATAATATCATTAATGAATCTATTATCAATGAATACAGTTTTTCTTTGAGAGATTGTAGTAATCTTTTATTTTTATTGTGTTTCTTGTGTTTTTAAACAATTTTTAAGAATGCCAAACAAGATCTGTAAAATAAGATACACCATTGCAAAAATGTTTTTAAATATGCTTTTTGCAGCTAGTAAGCCTTTTAAACTCATTCTGTTCCTCCTCAGAAAATAGATTTTTCTGCACAATAACTATAATCCCCCCTTATTCAACTAGGAGTCCTTAGAACGGCGTTTACCACCTTCTTCAAATGGTGCTTGAGCTCTTGCATGATTTAAGAGCTCCATAATAGGCTTTTCATGAACTACTTTCTAACTCAAATATAAATCCCTTTGTTCCTTTATTACACAATCCTACCATAAAACATGCTTTGTATGCTTGAAACAATTCATCACATTCTTCTAATGACCTAGATCCTTGGAGAAAACGATTTGCATACCAATGATTGAAGCATGAATCATATTTCTGCTTCATTTCATTGCATTCTGGGTTAATACTTGATGCCATTGTTGTTTTTGCTTAAAATAAGTTTTATTAAGTTGAAATTGTTGATTTGTATTGTTCAACACGGTGTATGGCAATATAATTTACGAGTTACTACAGTAACGATTTTTTATAATGATATATAATTATTATTGTAGATTGAATGATAGTTTAGATTGTATTTAAAGATATTTATGTATTTTAGTTTTTTTTAAAATATTTATTTTACACATAAATACAGAAATTTTAAACTTTAAATTCCTTTTTTTAAAAAACTTACGGAAATGTTTTAGTCTGGGAGGGTAGCAAAGTGGTTACTGCGTTGGTTTTAGGCACCAATGTCTTCGGACGCGCGGGTTCGAATCCCGTCTCTCTCACTTTCTGAAAATTTTATCCTTTTAGGGTATTAAAATGTACTTGGTTTTGTAAAGAGAGGGCTTTTTATGTTTCCGATATATTGATGAGCCCAAGAATGAGTTAACATATTGATTTTTGTAATAATTTTGTATTTTTTAAAAAATTATTTTTTTATATAAAAATCATATATTTTAATACTCATACAGAATATGTATAAAAAGTAATGTATTTTATAAATGCTGAAATCAAAAATTATTTTAACGTTCAAGTCATGTGTTATTGAATGTTGCAAAGTCTTGGTGGTGTAAGTAAAGATATGTTTGCAATAATAAATCTTGCTTGAATGTAAAATGTGATTGTGAATATAATTTCCTGCTGCATTCCAAGACTGTGTTAGTGATTTGGGTCTCTTTTGTATGATTTTGCATAAATATTTATAAAGAATATGCGACAATACTGAATACATAATTGTATCATATGTTAATTGTTATTCTAGATCTTGTTAATATTGAAAAGTTTATATTTTGGGATAAATGTAAATTTATAAATAAAGAAATATTTCCAAAAATAAATAATATTTTCTGTAAATTTCCATTTACAATGACTATTTGTAAAACTTGATATGTAAATTGACTCAACAATGGTTACTTTAGAGAATTATAAATATGTAAAAGATAGCAATAATTTAAGAAATTATGATTCAACAGAAGGTATACCCAAAAGAACACTATAAAAATTAAATATAAGAAAATTATGTATAAAAGAAAAAAGTACCTAAATTGACCGCCAGCACCGCCAGCAACTATTACTTTACCACGTATGGCTGTATTATCGATTTTTGTAGGGACTTCAACATCATTACCGGATGGACCCTGTCCAACTTGATAACTTTCTCCGAAACCCCAGCTCCATACACTTCCATCATCTTTAGTAATAGCAAGATTATGATGTGTTCCACAGTATATTTGGCTAATAATTGGAATTCCTGGTACTTTTGTTGGAATAGGTACGAACCTTGGTCTGTTTGATGCATCGTAGATAGTGTATTGAGGTAGATATGTGCGTGGAATTCCAAGCTGGTTTGCATCAAGCCTTCCCCATACAAGTAGTTCTCCCTCTTGCGTTAACGCTGCAGAATGATGTTCACCACCCGTAATACATACAATGTTATAAGGATCAAGACTTTGGACATGTGTTGGGCTAGATACAACAGCACCGTCTTCACCACCTGAACTTTCAATACCGCACTGTCCAAATTGATTCAAGCCCCATGAAAAAACCCTTCCGTCATGACTAATGGCAAAAGAATGATAAGAACCTGCACCTATGGCTTTTATTTTTTTAAGTCCAAATTCTCGGGGTACAAGTGCATTAAGACGAGTGCGCTCTACAACACGATGTCCCAATTGAAATTGCTGACCATTTCCCCATGAAAATACTGATCCATACGCTGTAAGTGCAAGCACATGATCTGTACCACATACAACAGAAACTATGTTATTAAGTTCTTTTAGATGAACCGGTTGACGAGCAATTTTAATCTGAGGAGAAAACCCAAGAATTCCATCTGAACACTGTAAACGTTATTTTTTTCTACTTATATAGTTGCATTCATACTCTGAATGATCCCCATGCGTATACCTGACCCTTATCAGTGATTGCTACACTGATACTATCTCCACATGCCATTTTTACTACTTTGACACCATCAGGCATGCCTTCAACTTTGCCTGGTACACTGTCTTTTGGATTTAACATTTGTTCATCATCACTATCCAGATCTGCTCTATTAACATCCCATGTCGTGTCTCTTCCAAGAGCTCCTTGATCATTTACTCCCCACGTATATACGTTTCCTTCATAATCAATGGCTGCTGTGTGCATACCCCCTACTGCTACATCCACAATCCCTATTGTATCATACGGCAAAAGTGGATTGAGTCTCGGGCGTTTAACAACTCGTCCTGTAGGTTCTGGTCCTAACCCTAGTTCACTCATAGAGCCTGTTCCAAATACATATACACAAAGTTTCTGTTGTTTTAATACTGGTATTTCATTTATAAATGGTACTGATGATCGGTGACTTCTCATTCCTTTTAATGCTTGTGGTCGTGTAGATATAATCGATTTTTTTCCCTTCAATTTTCCTATATCATTTATTTTTTTGGCTGCATTTAGAGTCCCTCCCTGTATCTGAGACTGTTTCTTCAGATCTCCATATGATTTCATGGTTTTTCTTAAGACTTGGTTAACTTTGGATGCTCCTTGTCTTGTTTCGCGATGATATGCCATAGATGGGCCCATTTTCTCTCAAAAAAAAAGTGAATTTAACAATTCCTACTTCTGCAATTGTTTCTTCCTATAAATCTTCTGCAAATTGTTTTCTAAATTCTTTTTTTGGCTCAATTCTCGTTATATTATTTTCCGTGTGGCTGGCCAAAATGTTAGTAAAAAAGTTATAACTGCGAAACTACGAACCCTTTGAAAGTTGTTAAAAAGTTATTAAAAACTGCAACTTTAGCTTAAAATCAAGCTAATAAATAAATTAAAAATAGTTTAAGAGCTTAAGAAAAGTTAATTAAAGTTAATTAAAAGAATTTAAGGTTTTAAGGAATTTAAATAGGTAAATATTTGTCTATTAAAATTGTTATTAATTTGAATGAAAAGTGTTGATTAATTGAAAGGCATTTTATTGAAAAAGCAGTATCAATTAGGTGACAGATTATGTCAAAAGGCTATTTTGGTGGTCGACGATCAGGAGATGATATGAGGGTACGTGGTAGATCAATCAAATTATGACAAAATGGTGTTAAAAGTATTATTAATGATTTATCAGTTTTACCCTTCGAACTACTATGGGGGATCAGCTAAGGATACATTTTTGACAGATAAACGTGAGACAAATATGCAGTCTCATGGGCAAGAAGCTTCTTTTGGTGCTTTGGATAATAAGATGGGATGGATTGCAGCGTTTGGAACAGGCGGTTATTTGAATGAACAGCCTTTACTCGAAGGTGAAGTAATAAGTGATTTTGGAGTGTTGAGTGGCAGTTTCAGAGAAGAGTCTATAGAGTTAGAGTTCTATTAAGATGGATTTTTATATGAATATGATTATTTTTTTAGATTTTTTGAATTTTGTTGATTATTATTGGCTATTAATATCTGTTATTTCACATTTGTAATTTCTAACTAACGGATCTGTAGAATTAGGTGTTAATTTTATGCATATTAAGGGAAAGGTAAATTAGGAGGGGCTTATGGTGTTTTTTAATTATGATAGACATTAGCAGTGTTAAATCCTTTGGCAAGTCTGGATGATCATATAATGGATGATAGTGATTTGGCTGGGCCAATTCTATTTTGTCTTCTTTTTGCCACTTTTCTTTTATTGGTAAAATATCAGACCAATTCTTTTTTTTTTTATACTTGATAGAGTGGTAAAAGGCATTTTGGTTATATATATGGTGTTGCGCTTCTCGGTTGTATTTCTCTTCATACAATCTTTTCTTTGATGTCCTTACGTGGCTTACACTTTTCGCGTACTGCATCAGTCCTTGGTTATTGTCTTTTACCTTTGGTTCTTACTTCTGCTTGTGGTATTCTTATATCCATGGAGTAGTTACTTTTTATTGCCAGTGGCATCGTTAATTTGCTTCTAGTGGACTTGTTGGATATATTGTTTCATCCATTGCTATTGCTTGGTGCACTTATAGTGCTAGTGCTATGTTTGTAGCAGTAAGTTATATCATATACAATATTATTATTAATCTTTTTAAACAGGCTTTTCAACTCAATGAAATGAGGTTTTTGGTCGCTTATCCTGTAGCATTGTTTTATTCTGTTTTTGCTGTTATGACTGTCTTTGCAGAGAAAAATGTCTCTCTTAAATCTTAAGTGGAGCTTGTAGGCATTCGCTTGTTGCATTTTGTTTTTAATAAAATAAAGAAGTTTCTAAGAACGTCGATTCATATACAATTGATGATTTTTTTTATTCTTATCTTTATTTCCCTGTATTTTTTCATTATTTCTTCTTACTGTATTTTACGTGATGAGTCATGATCTTTCCGAAGAGGCACAAGATACAGATGTTTTTAAAATTCTAGGTAATCTCATTGAAGAACAGAAAAAGAAGCATGCTTCACTTGTATCACAGCAAGATATATTGTCTTCTAACAAACAGGCTTTTAGTTCATCTAAAAATGAAGATTTAGTAAAAATAGATTGTTTTTCATTTTTGGGACTAAAAACTCCTTCTGATCCAGCGTCTATAAAGACATATCCTAGAGCATTACGTTATATTATTCATAGAATTTATTGGGATTCATCTTTATTGAAAAAAATTACAGAAATGATTGAAGAACAAACGAGTTATGAGGAAAAATGGTGGAATGATAGACAAGCATTGATTAAAAGCTGGGAAAGCAAAAAAGAAGTAAATAAAGTGATGTATGTTGTTATGTGTTTCAGCAAAATATTGACTAATTATTTAGTGCAAACGTAAGTGGCATTGAAAAGGTATAATATATGTGGATATATGATTTTTTAAATCAATAAGGTTTCTGATGAAAATATTGAACAAGAACTCCTTTCATATGATTTAAAAGTGCACAGAGCAATACAGGAAATGTCTAAAGCACAAGAAAAAGAATTTCAAAGGCTCGGTATACCTTTTTTTATGGATGAAAATGAAACAAATATAGAAAACAAAAAAAAAATGGTTCAGCTGCTTAAAGACTTGGTTTCCGAATAAAAAATTGTGAGTAGGATGTATAGATATGATGAAACAAAAAGATGCAACTCGTGTATTTATAAATAACCAGTATATGGACCGTGCCGTTTTGTGTATGATTGAGAATTAAAATTTGAAAGCATTTTTTGTCTTTTTTATACATAAATTATGCAGAATACTAGTGGTTTTGTCGGTAAATTCCTTTAAAGCATCTGGATGTATATGGCCGTAATGGAGCCAGGATTAAAAGTGTACCTGTGATAATAATAAACAAGTATACCATAATCATATCTTTAACGGATTCTCTTTCTACAATATGTTAAAACGTGTATCTGCTACTTTTTATGCCTACGGAAGCACACTGTAGTAATATCTGTACTTTTGATCAATTCTTCTGGGTCTTTCTGTTGTGCATTTTTGCAAATTGGAAGATTTTGTTCAAGACAATATTTTTTTGTACAGTCTTGACATGGTTTGTTTTTTGTTGTTGGATCGTTGAGGCGGAGAATTACTGAATTTCCAAAACATGTACATTTGCAATAAGAATAGATTGCCCCTATGTCCTGTTTTTATTTAATTTTTTTGATATTTTTATATGATATTTACTGATATTAATGACAAAATTAGAATAAATATTAAAATGAACATATTTCTCCTGTATTTCATGATGGAATATCTCTTCTTATTACTGTTTTATTTGATTCCTGATATTGCATAAGATTTTTGAAGGTTATCTGTGATGGTGTTTTTTAACGTTCAATATCGATCTAAGCTTGATAGATAGATTAAAAACCAGGTATTAATCAAAAATCAAAGATTTTTGGCTGAAGAGTTACTAATTATTTATCTGTAGCTTTGAAACGTCTATCTTTTTTGGTATTTTTGTTTTTTAAAGCATTTGAATCTTTCAATTTAATTAATTGTTAAATCATCTTTAAATTTCTTATAAAATTTCCAAAAATCTCTATGAAGCTTTTTAATCTCCCTGTATTGGATGTTATTCACAGATCATTTGTGATATTATTATGTGGAACAACATGTATTTTTCATTTTCTGTTTAAAATTCATGAAATACTGATTATTAAAAAAGTGTATGGTGCAGTGGGTATTGGTCATTTAATTTATAACAGAAGAAACAAGTTAAAAGCAATTGAGGATCAGATTCGCCAAGTAGGCTATGGCTGTGTATTTATATGTTTTTCTTAGTATTTTAGGGGATTTTGCCACCAACACCGGTTAAAACACCTGCACCTGAAGACAAACGTACTTAAGTAATGTCTATTGCAATGAGGATATTTCGTGGTATCACATGTCCGCTTTGTTCTGTAAAAACAGCGGATTTTGTGGGCCTTTGGTTGTTGGATGTTATTGAAGAATATGTTGCTCAGTAAGTATTTTTTCAATATTAAGGAGATATTGTTTTGGTACTGGTTCAATATTTATTTTGTGCTACTAATTTGTTTGTGCTACTAATTTGTTTGTTTTACTTAAGTATTTACTGTCTTTTCATATAAGTTGTCTGATGAGTAAATCATATTATTTTTGATAAAGGTCTATAAAAATTATGCAACTTATAGGATAATAAGCTGTTTCAAAATAACTAAATTTATGTATATTGTACGCACAAATCTGTAAAATATATAAGAACTTGATCAATGTTTTACGATGTTTTTCAAATTGGATAATATTGTGATTTTTAAATCAATAGAATATTAATAAAAGGTTGCAAAGGCTAAGGTGTTAACATTAAATAATTCTAAAGTATATTAAGACTATCTGATATAGCGGATAACTGCCGATATATGTGACAGTCGATACGATTGGTCACCCACCATTTCTATAGACAATGGGAAATGATGGAGGAAGCATTCCTAAGAGAGATGATCTTATTAAAGACTTAAAAAAGCAGGATGAGGCTGATGCTGGACAAGCAGCACAATTTCTTGCATGGCTTTATTGTAGTTTTTCAAAATTACCGCTATCCGAACCTATTGTTAGTTGTGGTTTAGGCAAACTTTATAATAAAGACGTTTTATTGGAATATCTTTTGTCATCTAAAGAAAAAAGCTCTAAGGAAAAAGGGTATCAGGAGAAAGGAACATTAGCAACAGTATCATCGCTAGAATATGGGATCTCACACATTACAACATTAAAAGATGTACGAGAACTAAAACTTAAAGCAAATCCGGCATATCAGCCATATATAGCACTTAACAGTAAGTTAATACATACTGAAAATCTTCCAAGTCGTTGGGTTTGCCCAGTAACAAAGCGGGAGATGAATGGCCATGCAAAGTTTGTTTATCTTATACGTTGTGGACATGTTTTTGATGATCAAGCATTGGTAAATATTAAAAGCAATGAATGTCTAGAAGTATGTATACGGAATATATTTTAGATATCTAATTAATGGGAAATCAGTGCGGTACAGCGTTTATAGAAGATGATATTATTCCGCTGAATCCCAAGCAGGATGATTTACCTAGATTAAGGGCGAGGTTAGCAGCTCTGAAGGCGGCTGGGTTGACACACACATTAGCATCAATGAAGTCATCGAAAAAACGTAAACGAGCGTGCTCAGGAGACGATGTTTGTCAGACTATTTCTAGCAAAACATCTGTCAAGACTGTCTCTAAGGCATCTGCTTATTCTTCGTAGGTAGATCATTCTTAGAAAGCTATATAGGTCAAAGGCTGTGATCTCGTAGGGAAAGAGTCAAAAGAAGATTGTTCAAGTCGTATTTTTGTTTTGCTTGAGTTGCTTCTGGTTAAATTGCTGGTGTTAGGCTTTCTATCGGTATGCTTATTTCCACCAAAAGATGGATCCCATGCCATCTTTATTACAGGATGCCTTTTTGGTTTAGTAGGTATCTCATATGTTACAGATCCTACTGTTAGTGTATATGGTGCAGTTTCTTGTTCACATGTTCTGTTTGGCATAATCTGCGGGTTACAGTCAACAAAGAGTTCGCTTTCTACAACAAATCGAATGGTTTCTCCTGTGTTTAAAGCAAGATCACCATCACTGTTGTGCCATATCCATTGTTGTTCATCTATATCGCTATATAGATTAGCAGTTTTTTTGCTAGAAAAATATACAATTCGCTATTTTTCCATAACAGTCCTTTTGGAATAAAAATATCGTCAAAAAACCCCAAAGAAACTTGTTATTTTTAATTAAAACATCCATTTTTCTGGAAATAAAACCTTTTATTCCTGACTGTGACATGCTTTGTATTTTCCCTATCATTACCTCCCCAATAAATGGACGAAAAACAATAAGACGGAACTTAACTAAGATCTCTTAATCTTTTTATTGATCAATGTCCTTTTTTTTAACCTGGGACATAAGCACTCCCATCACCATGTTTAATCAGTGCTTTCCCGCAATAAAGAATATCAAATAAACATATACATAGGCCAGTATTGATCATTACCTTGTAAAAATGTTAAAAAATCATATTATTAATCATATTATTAGAAAAAAAAAACAAATTATCTACTTTATTTGCAAATTTCATATTAATCTCGTCTTTTAATGCCTTTGTTGCTTGTTTTTGAAATGTATTAGGTGCAAGACAAATTGTATCTGATAATACTGTTAATAAAAATGCCATCAATGGCAATTTGGCTTTGCACACTCCAATTTGTGCACTCTGTTATTGCTATTGGAGAATATTTAAATGATATCGCTTAGTTGTGGAGAAATATAGGGTAAAATGTGTTTGATAAATATGTTTTTTAATAAAAAAAATATACAAAAATTAGTGTTTTTTTTTCTAGAAAAATAGCAAATTAGATGGTTATATATTAGTAGATAAAGTGTTTGATTGTTTTAGAAATAAGCAGTAGAAGATAGTGTTAACGTCTTCTATCTCTTCTAATAGGTGATGGACTCCTTGTAGGACTACGATCTTTTCCTTGCAAACGAAGATATTTCCTCTGACTGAGTTCAAGATCACGAAGAAGTGCAGGGCTTGGTTTTTTTGAGTGCATGAAATTGCAAAAACCGCCCCTCATACATTCAGATGTTTCATGTTGACGGCAGCAGGCTTCACGGAAATCAGTTACCGGTGACAGTTCTGCATAGACTGGCCGAGCAGCATACCAGCGTGAGTTGAGAGAGTCGACGGCTTTTTGTGCATCTTCTTCATATTTGAATCGTGCGTAGACATTTCCAATAAGGTCTGTTTATCAGACGAGAAAAATACAAGAAATCTAAGCTTACGATCTCCAACATTATCACATACAACCACCTTTTCAAGTTCTCCATATTTGCAAAATTCTGCATACATATCTTCATAAAAAGAGTCAAAATGTTGTGCGATTTGTTGTTCATTGAGTTGGTTCTGCTGATCATGTGCTGGGTTCTAATTAAAGATAAATAATTAACATTAATCATAATAGAACTCTTCTAAAATACTTGATAAAGGTTTGGACAAAGAATAGTTTGTGAATATGAAGGTTTAACATGTTTTCTTGAACAACGATCTCCATGACGACATGCTCCAATTTTGCTGTGTAAAAGGTTAATAAAAAAAGGTATTTAAGAAGGAAATTACAAGTAAAAAGAACAATTAACTTTATCTTGTTCTGTTCCATAAATACTGGCAAGAAAAGATGCCATTTTTATTTAAATTTTTTGATGTTAATGATTGTAATTTTTCGATATTTGTCAGGAAAATTAATGTAAAAATTAATAGAAATTGAGTATGAAAATAAACATATCATGATAGAGAAATTTAGAGAATAAATAGCCATTGAGGTGTATGGGGCGAGTAAGTGGTGACTTTAGACATGGGTATGAATTGTGTTAAAAAGTATAGAAAAATGATATGTAAATGATAAATATTTTATGAATGATAGCAGATATGCTGAAATAGAAAAAATATAGCTGATAAAATTGTATCATTGCCTTTAAAGGATGTAAATATAGCTTTTAATCACTATTGTATACATCTTCCGAGTCGGCATTATACTCATCAATATCTAATTCTATAGTACATCGGTTATTTCGTAAAGGATTGAATGTTGTTTTCATTTTTATACTTTTTCCTGAATAGTTAAAAACTTTTTTTTTGTATATAGAATGTGTTTTTTTCTGTAAATTTTTTATATCTTCTTCACTTTCGCTTAAATTGAATTTGGGTTTTTTTGAATTTTTGTAAGTATGTATAAATGGTTGACGGATTTTTAAGGATCTAAAACTTTTTGTTTGTTTTCTCCATGTATATTCTTGAAGAGATAGTTTAGGTGCTGGGTAAATAGGGTTTTTGGGTGCTGCATAAATAGGTTTATTAATATATTCTGCTTTCTGATTGAAAAATGGAAGTACAGGCCTCTCTTTAGGATGCTTCATATAATGTAATGTTTCACTAGAAAAAAGGAATTCAGGTGGTTTTAAATATTCTATGTACTAATTAAAAAAATACGCAAAATTATCAATGACGATACCTTTAATTTGTGGTGATGCATAATATGGTTTTTCTGCTTTTTCATAAAAATCTAATCTATTTGTATTTGGTTGAATAACAATAGAATTTGTTCTGTCTGAGAATCCGCTTTCAGAACATCTACTGCTAGATGTATGTATTGTTGATGTATGTTTCTTATAGTTTGAATTATAAGAATACCTTTCTTTGAGGGGCAGTGATGTTTTTGAATATGTCGATATATTCATATACTTTTGATTTGGTATACTTTGATTTGAATGGAATGTAAATTCTTTTAATCTTTCTGATAAAATACTTTCATTTGTTGTGCTACGAAATATAGTATTTGAACTCCTACTAGAACTAGTTTCAAATGATCTGTAAGGGTCAAAAGGCGTATCAAAATATGTATCAGGCATGTATATTAAATCAATGTATCCATCATCCGGAATAGTTCTCATTTTTGGCATTGGAATGCCTGCTGCTTTGATAGTATTTCTCCAATCCTGTATAATACCATTTTTTAAAGCTGATCTAAGAGTAACATTTCTTTCTACTCGAGTTTTTATTAATTTGTTTGACATAAATAACAATATAAGAATTATAGAAGAGTTTTCTTCATTGACCCTTCAGTATTTGTGCAACTGTTTTTTTTCAGAAATCTTTAGAAAAGTAGTTAATACTCGATTTTCAAAGTAAATATGGTTTTCATATCTTGAGATCTATTTAGGAAACATCTTCGTGTTTATGCCCTTGAAAAATATTATCAATCATGGTATAAAGTCTAAATACAGTTTAATATGGATTATGCAGTGAAAAAGAAAAGTATTATATTCTTTTATAGCAACTTAGAGTCTTAGTTTACAATTTTAATGTGAATATGATCGAAGATTGTAAGAGATGATAAATATATATTGAAATATTTAAAAGTATAAGGATTTAATTAAATATAGATATAAGTAAAAGGAAACACTGATTTAATTGGAATTATAGAAGTATATATTGCGATATGCTTGTTATAATTAAAATCTTAACTAGTATATAAATAATGAAATGCTAAAAAAACTAAAATTTCAGAAATTTGAATTTAAAAAAGCATAATATCGAAGCATTAAAAAGTCGCGTTATAAAAGACTAATATTATGAGAGATATATTTTTGTAGTTGTATAATAACAGCTATTAAGTTAAAAACTGGATGCTAAACAATATTAATAAAAATAAATTTCAAGATATGTTGAAAAGCAAGCTTTAATTCTTAATTTCTATTGATAAAAAATGCTTTAAAATTATTTATTTTTAGCGTATTATGTTTGTTTGATTTTAGTTTGCTTTAAATTCTGGAAAAAAGTTAATATCATAAATATATATGTTTAAATAAAATATACAGCAAGCCTAAGTGCTTCTTCATGTATGCCTCTGCATTTTCTACAGCATTTTGTAAAAAATATATGTATTTTGTTTCCTGTTTTTGTATTCATTATAAGTTGGAAATAGCGTGCAATAGCATAAATTTTTCCTTGGACCGTATTTAAGATATTGTATTTCGAATCAATTTTTTTAATTTTTTGATCAATAGCATATCTATTGTTGATAGCTTTAACTGTTAAGAAGAAATTTGTTAATAAAAAATAATATTTTTAAAGGATATCACCTTTTTTTAAAGCAACTTGCATAATCAAATATAAACGTTCCGATATCTTGTATTTTCTGTCCAATTCTATTCCTTTTTGAAGTAGTTTATCTGCAAAAACATAGCCATATGATAAGTATTTAGTAAGTCGAACTGAGTGTTGACTAATGTATGTTCTTACACAATTAAGAGTAATTACAATATAAAACATAAGTATTCCTATGTATCCTTCTATATTTCTAAGTCCATTTTCCTCTACTGAAAGTTTCGATCCTTTCAATTCTGTGCCGTCCAAAAGCAGTGCTGATGCTTTTGCTTTACGTGAATCAAATTTTATCCTCATTTCTTGTGTCCCATCTTCCTGTCTACTCCAATTAAAACACATATTAGTAACAAGAATATTCTTTTTCCTCTTATTTTCCTCACGACATACCTATTTAATTTGGTCCCTAAAATCCTTCCACATGGTGAAAAAAACATTATAACTTCTTCTTCAGACAAATCTGTAGAAATATTCTTAATATTCACTGTATTCGACCACATTTTTATCAATAATTATGATCAAATTTTTTAAACTAATTTTCGCTTGGTTTCTTGTTCGACTGGTTAAAATTTTAAGATAATTTCTTATAAATATAATTATAAATATAAAATTAATATAATTCAATATATTTTAACTTGAATTGTTCAAGAATAGTTAAGAATAATATATTAACGCGTTTTTGTTTTTTATTTTTTTCTTTGTTTTCAAAAAAGCACTAAAATATCCCTTAAACACTGTTTTGTTCTATTTATAGTCTATACTTTTTTATCTTTTCATTTATCTTTTTCAATATTTTTTTCAAGTTTATAATAGCTTTAAAACATTGTCAAAAATTAAATGATGATTTAAGTATTTCCATTTGCTTTGTAAATATTTAGATAATATGTTTTTATGGGCTAAAGATGTTTCAAGTGATTCTCAAAATGAAAAAAATGTATCTGAAATACTTCCATGGATCTCTACTTCTATTATTGTTGCAACAGTTACATTAACAGGTGCTATATTGATTATTCGTTCGTTTTATTCCCGGTATTTGCTGCGATACCCGACAGCAGAGAGTCTTCCTGCGTCTATGTTGAATGGTAAACGTGTATTATCAGGTTTTGTTACATCTGGTATGGTGTATATTTATTTCCAGATGTCTTATTGATGGCGTGAAAAAATAGTGGGTGATGCAGATAATTTTCGGTTTTATCATACACCAGGTGGGTTTTGTGCAGGATGGTATTGGTTACGACGTGTTCCTACAGTAAAAAAAGAGCTTAAGGATCAAACAATTCATATTCGGCTAGCAGGTGTTGATGCGCCTGAGCTGAGTCATTTTGGCAAAAAAGCACAGCCATTTGGAAAAGAAGCAATGGATTGGCTTACAACATATATTCTTCATAAGCGTGTACGAGTACGGTTGTTTAGTAGAGACCGGTATGAGCGTATTGTTGCAGCAACAGAAATACGCCGTTGGCCTTTTATTTGGATTAGAAAAGATGTAGGACTTGAAATGTTAAAAAGAGGATTGGGTATAGTAATGGTCTTGGGTATTAATTTTATTAAGTCGAGTAGCAGAAGTATATACATCACAAGGAGCGGAATATGGTGGAAAAAAGAGGGAAATGAAATATCATCATGAAGAAGAAAAGGCGAAAAAAAATAAGGTTGGAATGTGGAAGCAAAGTTCGAGATTATACGAATCACCAGAAGAATATAAACGCCGTATGCATGCATTAGCACCTAGTTTTCATAAATAAGACCAACAATTTATATTTATAATTTTATATGACTCTAAATGGAGTTAAATTTTGGTATTTTATTATATTTTGTTAATATCAAGATGTTTTAATTTTCGTTATTTTATGTTTATAATAGTATTTATAATAAAATTACATAAACTGAACTCCAAGACCTAATTGAATTCCTTTTCTGGCTCTATCAGATATTCTAGTTGCTATAGGAAGACAGAAATTCAACTCGAGACGAGCAATTGTATGACAGTATATGAGTCCTATACCGGCTGCTATTGAAGGTTTACAAATAAGTTCAGATACTGTATCTTTAAAATTTTCTTAAAAAGTATTAGAATTGCTAATAAAAGCATATTATATTTGAAACCTTCATTTAATAACAACAGTGAACTAGTGTTAACAAAGGTTTGAAGTTTTAAAGGCCAATGTTTAAATTTTGGTATTGATGTTATAATTGAAGTATTAGATGCCATATAAATATCACCTCCAATTGCATCATTTCCATCATGAGGACCTAGTCCGTTATAATAAAAACCTCTTACATTGGTTGCCCCTCCTAAATAAAATCTATCATTTACTTTTATGCTCTTTTTATCTAACCCCCATAAAATTCCCATTTTAATAGTATTATTAAGAATAATTTGTTGAATATATGAAAGTAATGTTGCTTTAGAAAATTCTGTTTCTATTTTTACAAAAGATGTATCGCTGCTTAAAATAGTAGAGCTAGCTATTTCTTGCATTGTGCGAAACAAGAAACCTGAACTTGGGAGCAATGAGTTATTACGGGTATCAATGGTTAAAGTGTGTGCAATTGAAGATTTGAATGAATTACCAGAAGACAATTTTATAGTTGGAGATGCATTAAGAGAAAGATTACCTATTTGTCTCCATATTCCATTATATGAAATATCATGAAGACCTAAATTAGATGACCAAATAAATCGTCCAATACATCCTTTTAAGAGTTCCTCATGAGATGCATAAAAATGATTATCCCGAGATATACTAAAAATAGATAGTTCAAATTGAGAATCAGGATTAGCATTAATAGGTGTAGTTAGTTTAGTTTCAAATGCAGATCGTGTGTGCGTTCCGAAGGTTATGTTGGCTTGGAGATTTTCTGCTCCACCAAATGTATTCCGAATATTTATACTGCCATAAGCGCTACCTTCACCATTACCTAAATCTGTCCCCGTTCTCATCCATAGTCTAGACTTTTCTTTTACATGAAAAATCACATCAATATCATCTTTTGCTGCAAGTGGGGAAGATGCTTGATCTATAGTTACAGAAATTTTTTCAAAAATATCAAATTTTTCAAGCCGAGAAGCAGTATTTTGAATAGAAAGTAATGCAGATGAAAGCGTTTTTTCACTTTCATTATCATTTGTTGGAAATAATATTTTCTTTAAAAAGGATTGACGAACATTATTTGCACCAATAACTCGAATTGATGAAATATTTACAGGTAATGTTGAATTTCTTTCAATCTATTAAAAAATTAGGATACTAATTTCTGAACAAAGAAAATTACAATTTCATTTAGACGAAAAATTGTTCGATTATAATCTGCTTTTTGTTTTGCTTTCATAGCAATTTTATGTTCAAGAAATGCATTTTCAAGTGAGGGTATATTTAAAGAAAAAGAAATATCTGTATTTTTGTCTTCTTGCTACGATTGGTTCTTTGAGTTTTTATTTTTTATACAATAAAGTATGAACTAACCTTTTCTTCATTTTTTACTTGTTCTTTTTCCATGTTATCTAATTCAATTGAGGCAATTATAATTTAAATTTTGTAGACTTATGTTTTTTCTTAAAAAAAGGTGTATATATTTCAATTTTTTATTTTAAGAATATTAATAAATGTTTTTTTTTATAAATGAAATTTCAATGTTTTGCATTTTGCGTCTTTCGAGTTAATCTTCGGACGTTGTTTTTAACCTTTTAACAAAAATAAATATATAGTATTTTTGCTCTTTAGTTTTTTGTTTTTGAATTCTTTATGATATGTATTTTTTGTATAAATTCTTATAAAATTATGTTTTTGAAATTTATATGAAACTTTTAAAATTAAAATTAAAAAATATTTTTTTTGATATTGTTTTTGGCAATTTAATATAAATGATTTAATTAATCATTTTTTTATATTATTAAATAATTGTTTTTTATGTTATTTTTTATAAATACTTTTATTATTTTTTTTATTTTTAACGACTTAATCTTTGAATATTAATTATATTTTTAAAATACTTTATATTAAAAATTAAACAAAATTGTTTTTATAAAGAATTTTTACATTGTAGTTTAATTTTTAACCTTTGAATTTGGATTAATAAATTAAATTCAATAGTTTATTTTAGAAAGAGGAAAAAATGGTAAATTTTAAAATAGTATAATTAAACTTATTATGTTAAAGAATATTTTTAATATTGTTTTTAATAATAAAAACATATATTTATAAAATATTTTGATAATACAAAATAAGTAAATTGGTTTTTATTTAAATATATTTAAATTTAAAGAATGAAATGTTTTAAACAATTTTATAACTATAGATAGTATTTAAGATAATTTTGAAGTGTTAAAATATTGAAAATAATGTACGTTTATTATTATTCTCTATAAATATTCTTATGCTAATTATTTTGTAAATTTTTAATAAATATAAACTGTTAGATGTTTAAACTAAAGTATCAATAAATAACAATTTAATTATAAGATATATCTAGATAATTATTTTAAATTATTTACTTCTTTAAGAAATGAATAATTTGTTAAATAATTTTAATTTATTTGGATTAAAATATTTATAATATCTTTGAATATAGATATATGTAAAAAATATGAAAAAAATAATTCCTTTTGTATCAACTTTAATTATTATTTTCTACTATTAAAATTGCATTATTCTCTCATTTTATTCGTAAATTTGATATTATATAGTACCTTTTGATTTTTTATCATTTTTAGTTTCTTTTAATATATTTATGTTTAATACGTTTTTCTTTTTAAAAAAGTTATATATTTGAATATTTATAGTAAAATTGTATCACCTTAATTAAATAGTAAAACATATTTCTAAAACTATATCTATAGAATTTAAATATATTTATCGTTTTTACGTGCTACTTATAACATAAGAAAACTTAAATTATATGGCAACAATTGACACAGGTATTTTAAAAAATTTAAAAAAAAAGATATTAACATTTCATATAGATTGGATAAATGAAATTGTACTACCAGCAAAAAAAAAATTAATATACGCATCATTTTCAAAAGATGTAGCATCATTAGAATCATCAACATCTACTCCATGTTCATTAAATAAAGTTAATCTTTTTTCTTCAACGCCACCATCTGTAATTCGTGTTATAATATTACTACGTCCTCTTTTTGAATGGGCAAATTGGATCCTTTCATTGTTAACTTGGTCCAGCAATGATTCATGGAATAGCTTTCTTTTAGTTGTATGCTGGTGGATTTTTATTTTTAATATAGAAACATTAGTAATATATGGGCCTTGGGTAGTGATTTCAGTTATGGCATTTCTATTTGTAAAAAAAAGAAGGGAATTGAGTAAGTATTTTATTATAATTGTTGTAAGATATTTAAGTTAAATAGAGCATGAACATAATAAAGCTTATGTACAGAATGATTTGGATATTGTAATAAATCAAGCAGAGTTTTTTCGAGAACGACTTTCAATTTTAATGGCGCCAATAAATGAAATAATTACTTTTTTAAATTGGTCTAGTCCACAATTATCAGTAACTATCCTTATTCGTCTTCTTTTTATTTCGCCATTCTGGATAATAATACTTCATTTTTTTATTTCACCAAGACAGATGATATTTTTTATTATTACAATGATATTTATATGGCATGCTCCATGGGTAAAAGTTATGCGAATTATTCTTTGGAGAAGTCGTTTAGTGAGAGCCATAGCAGGATATATTGTTGGTATAAATTTTATGCCTAGAGAAAGTAAAATTATGCAAGGTTTTTCTAAAAGAAAATCACAGAATGAAACAGATATTTCAGATAAAAGTGTTAAATATGCTTTTGTTTTATGGGAAAACCAACGGAAATGGATAGGTTTTGGATGGACATGTAGCATGTTTCCTCATGAACGAACACCATGGTAATTTATTTAATTATTTTTATTATTTTAAATATATTAGGACTGACGAGGATGGATATACTAGTACAAATCCAGATGCTTTTTTATTACCTAAAGACAAAATAGCTATTCGAATTGACCCTGAAACAGGTCGACAAGAGAAGTATAGGACCTATTGGGAGTGGATAGATGAATCATGGAGCATTGAACATAGTCTTAATGATTCAGGGGATAAAGATTCTGATGGTTGGATTTACACTGATAATTTATGGAAAAAAGAAAGTTCAAAAGATGATTTTAGAAAATATACCAGACGACGTAAATGGGTCCGTAATGCAGAACTATTTGAGGTTATTCACGAAATAAAAGATAATACTAAAATAGATGATAATGTTATTAATAATGGGATTGCAACTTGCTTAAAAGACAATGATTTTGATATTAAATAATAATGACATGCATAAAATATAACATTTAGTAATTAAAAGATTTTTTTTAAATTTTAATATATAAATAATGATATTGTCGTTAATTAAAATTTTCCATTTATAAAACTTTTAAACATAGCTTTGGACGCATAATAAAGAGTAGTCCATAGATTGCCAAAGTCAAGTGTGGAAAAAAATGTTTCTATGAACCCAAATGGAAACATTAAAGGTATCCATCCTATAATATTTAATATGAATTTAAATTATATTAAAAGATCACCTTGTGCTAATTCTAAAGCCCAACACTCACCAGGCATAGAATATTGGACCCTTCTCATACGTGGTAAATAATTTTGCATTCCTGGTTTATAAATCTAATAATCATTAGATAGAATAGCTCATTCAAGATTTAAACACACTGTTGGCTTAAGTTGACCAGGAGCAGATATCTTTTGTTCTCCAACCAATATAGTAAAGTAATCATTAGAAAGATGAACCCCAGAATGTCCTTCTGTTCCCACAGCTGTACCAAAAAAAATCAAATATTCAGATATAGATAGATGAAGCAGTACCATAGAACCCTATTATTTTTAATAATATTTTAATTTTTATTATTGAACAACCATAGCATTTCCTGCATTATTAAAAAACCATTTACTGTGGTCTAAAGGAAGAACACTATCCCCATATTCTTTCCTAATGGATTCTGCAAGATAATCCATTAAAGCTTTAGTATCATGTGGATGCTTTTTAATTGCTTGAACTGAAAGTTCTTGTAACTTTTTTGGAGAAAATATATAAAGTTTTGGCAAGTAAAATCTATCAAACAAACATAATAAGGCTATAAAAATACCTAAAATTATTGATTTTCTAAAAGTAAATAGCGACATTTTAGAAAATAAAAAAATGACTAATAAAATTGATTATCTCCAGAAAAAAGGAAAAAATATACCAAAACTATTTCTAAATAATCTTTTGGATATTTCTTTAAGAATTATAATTACCAAAAAATATATTTTTAAAAAAATTACGTATCGAATGTTCATATTAATAATAAAAATGGTAATATTGACTTTAATTTTAAAGTTTTTTAATAGAAGAGTAGGCACATCAATTAATAGCGTATGTTTGTTATTTTTTTTTAAAAAAAATTAAAAATTGATAGACAAATTATTATTGTTGGAACTCAGATTCTTGGACGTGCTTTTGTTCAAGCGTATAAACAAGTTGCAGCAAATGCAGCATTAAAACATGCACAGAATAATATCTATGAGTCTCATAGGGAAATACATGATACCAATACTGATATTTTGTCACAAAAAACAGGAATCACGATTCCTGAAGCATGTCAAATATTAAATATAAAAAAAACACCAATAGAGCTTTCTGATGTGATAGAGGTTTTGTGTTTATATTTGAAAATGCTTTTATTTATATTTTTCCAGAAGTATGAATATTTATATAAAATAAATGATCCAAAAAATGGAGGAAGTTTATATCTTCAAACTAAAATTTTTTGGGCTAAAGAACGATTAAAACTTGATATTTCTCAGAAAAAAGATATATAGTTTTAAAAAAATTGTTTAAAACACAGTACAATGCATAAAGTAAGAGAATATACCTTAATTTTGTTTTATATAAGTTTATTGACATATAATTTAGAATATAATTTAATGAAAATTTATATTGAGATTTAATATTAGAGTTTTAATTTACTGCATTTCATTTTATCAAAGGTTTTATGGTATATTATATTAACAACATATTTGGAGAAATATTAGTTATTTTTGTTGACATTTATTTTTATTATTCCTGAATTTTATTTGTTTAAAATATTTATTTGTAAAATCATTACTTGAATTTCAAATTTTTGGTTTTAAAAAATTAAAAATTAAATATCATTTTTATTTAATAAATTAAATTCTTTTATAATAAAATACAAGTTGTAGAATTTTATGAAAATATTTTTTGTAAACTTAAATTTTATAAATATACATGAAATGTTTTAAAATTAAACTATTTTTTAGTCTTATATAAATATAAATTTTATAAACTTTAAACATATTGTTTAATTTTTAATATTTTTTAGTTTAAAATCTGTGTTTAGAATCCATATTAATACTTTCATTATAAAATAATAACTATTATAATAAAATGTTACAACATTCAAGTTAAACATATATTTAATATTTCAACTAGTTTTTTAAAGTACAATTAATTGTTTTACGTATTTTAATTACAGTTTAAATGCTTTATTTATTAAATTTATTAATGAAATAAAACTATAAGAAATTCAAATGCTTTAAAAAATAAAGTGTATCGAAAAGAATAAAATTATTCATCATTAGAAAAATTTTCAATATGAAGTATACATTAAATTGATAAATTATCAAAAATTATTAAAAAAGTAATAAATAATTATTTTAAAAAATCTAAATGTCTAAAATAGTTACTTTTTACGATATGTAATTTAGTTTATGATTCTTAAAGATAAATTAGTAACTTTAAATAATTAATTCATTTCTATTTGTGATCTATTTGTAATATTTTTTATTGTAAAATAAATAGTTAACTTTATAAAAAATGACAAAAGGTTTATTAATTCTAAATTTTGATTCAATACAGGTTGTATTAAATCTGTTTTAAATATTTAAGTGGACTCATTTAGTTGTTTTTTATTTCATTTTAAATAAATAATATTATATAAATTTATGATTGGTAGATATATATTAAACTGCTCTTAAATTTATTGGATATTTTATAAAAAAAATGTTATTTTAAAAATCTTTCATGAAACAATTTCAAATATTTCATCCATTTCTTTTAATGAAAACTTTTTTTTATATTTCCATGTTTAGAAATTATTATTAAATTTTATATTTTTTAGAAAAATTTCCATCTTTATAAAGATAAACGAATATTAAAAAAGATAACATATTTTTATTGCAAAAAACATACTTTATTCTTCAATAATAATTTTTATTAGTTCTTTTGAATCTAACCGTTTTTTATTTTTAAATATTTTTGATTAAAATAAAGTTTTAAAACTTAACAGATAAAATGTTATAGTTTATAAAAAGAAATATCAAGAAAATATTTTAAATAAATCTCTATGTTTTCCTACTGATACATGATTCCCAATCAGTATTTTTAATATATCCAAAATAATTTAAGTGAATGATTTAAAAAAAGAATGGATGAAATAAAAACTAAGAGAATTTTTATCGGAAATCTTTCTCCAAATGTCTGTGAAGATGATTTGGATGTCTTATTATTACCCTTTGGAAAAAAAACAGCTTCTTTGGAGATTATTCGGAAATTACAAGGTAATTTTACAAGACAAATAAAATGACATTGATGGTAAAAAATAGGAGCTATTAATTGTTTTGCATATGCTTCAATGGAAATGACAGAATTATCATGGCTTCAATGCAAAAATGTTTTGAATCAGTCCATTTTTATGTCTCATCAATTACAGATTGAAGAAGCAAAACCTTCATATCAAATTTTGTAAGATAGAAATATATATATATGATTTTTTCTAAAATGAATAGGAATGCAATAGAAAAGCAGAAAAACGAACTATCTTTTATTTTACATACGAAATCAAGAAAAAAACAAACTAAAAATGTATTATGTGGTTATTTAATCAAAAATAAAGATTTGACAATTAATAAACTATTAAAAAACTCAGAAAAAAACATATCCAGAAGGTTTTTAAAATTTCGAATATTTCTATTTATATTAAAGATAAGTTTAGTAATAAAAGAAAAATACTTTTTAATCTTAAAAACAAAATAAATTTAAAGAAGTTATCTGGAAAAGCAAGTAAAAAAAATATTTTAGAGCTTACATATATGTTTGATGATACACTTGGTCAATGGATCAATGGAACATGTAACCAACTAAAATTTGATGAAAATAATCTAAAAACTAAAAATATATATTTATTAAAAGAAATAGAAGCTAATATATTTGATATATCAAAAGAAAATGATAAGCAATCTAAGCAAAATAAAGAAAAGGATTTATTAATTTTAGATAAAATATCTAATGCTACTTTAAAAAAAAGCTCAAATAGTGAAATAAAACTTAATTTATTAAATGGTAATAACTTTGATTTTTATATTTATTTTCATATAATTTTTAGAAACAAATTTAAAAGATGTTTTTGCTTCAAAAGTAAAAAAATCAGTTATCAATGTAAAAGATTTAAAATCTATATTTGGCTCAAAAAAAAATTCAGATCCACATGACATAAAAGAAAATAGTTTTTGTTTTTTTAAAAACAATGATTCAGATTTAGAAAATAAAGAAAGCATTTTTTATAGTAAAAATACAAATATTAATACAAATAATATTCATAAATCTTCTATGCAGTGTTTTATGAATAGTGATTCTACGGAATTTTCTTTATTTTTTCCTCATTTTGATAATCCAGAATTGCATTCTATGTCTATTTTTAGCAAAGTTCCTAGTATGTTTTTTCAAGAGATTGATAAGTATATTTTATGTATTTAATAATATTTATTATAATATGTTTTAGTGAAAAAATAAAAAAGAATTGGATGAATACTAGATTAGAATTTACTAAAAATTGGAAACGCAAATGGAAAGATGCTCAAAAAAAGAAGCGAAAATTAACTTATAAAAACAATTAGCATATGTATATGATGATTTTGCTATAAAAAATATGTTAAAATATATCAATGAGTTGATATAATCTCTAGAATTCAATATTATTTTATTTAAAAGATTTTATCAAAAGCAATTATATGATATTTTATTATTACCAATAAAATGAATATTTTTAAAAACATTAAGAAATATTTATTAAAATTATATATTTGAATACATATTTAAATTAATCATATTAAGTTATTATAAATCTTATGACCTTAGTACTTTTAAATATTATAATGTAATATTTAAAAAGTTAGAAAAGTATTTAATTTTCTAAAATCAATACTTATAAAAAATTATGTAAAAATGCTAAAAATTAAGCATAAAATGTAAAATTGTATTTTAAACAATTTATAATTTTTTTTAATACAAAAATGATTAGATATTTTTTTCATTTTGAAAGTACAAATATATAATTTAGAAAAAATATTGTATTGGTTACAACAAAAATATTTAATCCTCATTTGTAAATTTTTATAAAAAAATATTCTTTATAATTATTATAAATATCCTTTTTTTCTAAATTTTTTTAGTTAAAAATATAAAAATGTTTTAAGAGAAATTGAAATTTATCAAGAATTATATTTATAACATGTATTCTTTATAATATTTTTATATAAATTTATAATATACTAAAGGCTAAATAAAAAAAGATATGTAATAATCACTAATTTACTTACAATAATAAACTTAAAAATACTGAATTCTTAAATGTATTTATAAAAATTATAAAAAAATAATGCTAAAATTACAATTAATATATAAACACTAATAACTAAATACTAAAAATCTCAACATCTCTAATATTTTTCTAAATTTAATTCCTAATTTGAAAGATCATAAGTTTTACTCACATTAATAACTCATGTAACTTTAATCTCAACAAATATAAAACGAACTATATAATATATAATTTTCAATTCATTTACTTTCCTAGATATTTATTTTTTTTTTCTACCGCTGAATTCTCAATCTTTCCAGAATTTAGATTTTTATAGTAAACATTCAAAAATTTCGATAAACTTTTTTTAAAATTATCGATTTAACTTAAAACATTTATTCGCTTAACTATATACGTCATGTGAGATTTTATAATTCGAAGTTTAGTAAAGTTAAAGCTAATTAAGAAAAGTTCAAGTTTTTAACTAATAAAGTTTTATAGTCGGTATTTGAAAACTGCTTGTATATAGTTAAAAAATATTGACATTTTTATTTATATAGTTTGGCTCAAATTATTAGTTACGATATTTAATAAATGACAGTTTAGCTAAATTTCTGTATAAAGTTTTTAGAATAGTTCTTAATTAAGGAGGAATAAATTTAATTGAATTATGGGGTTTCTGCTATTCTGAGAATAGTTTTGTAATATTTTTATAGGTATTTATTGACAACACTCATGAGTTACGATGTTTGATCAAAACTTATAGAAGAACCTATGATGCAAATATATTTTTTTATTAATGAAGTTTTAAAAGTTTTAAAGTCAAAACGTTATTTAAGTATTTTGCATAATTTTTCAGTGTTTGGTTTTGTTTGTGTTGTGAAATCATCATGATTTGTATTTTTAAATGGTTATTTTAAAAATACCTAGTTTATGTTTCTGTGGTTTTGATTTAAATTCAATGTCCAAGAAAAAAACGTATCCTTCATTTAATCATGTTTTTCAGCAAGCAATATTGAAAGAAAAGCCGATAATAGATGGTTCTTATCCACTTTCATGCACGAATCAAATAAATGGCTCTCAATATATATCTACTAATCTTCAGAATAGTGATAATGCTCTTTTGTCACCTGAAACATTGAAATCTCGAATGTATTCTATAAAGACAAGAGAGTTGTGCAAAGAGTTTAAAGGAACAGAATATGCCGAAAATATCAATACATTTGAATATAAGAATATCTCAATGAATATAAACTCATCTAAGAATCAAGACTTTTTTACAAGTAAAAAACCGTTCGTTAATAGGAACTTTTCTGAAAATTTTGACACTAAAAAAAAAGTCAGATCTCATAGATATAGTGTTTCAGATCATATATCTCAAATGTCTACGTGGCAAAATAGTCTTATTTCTGAATTTGGCATGCTCCCTACATTGCCTTGTATTCCATATTTTTTAGTTCTGGATGATTCCGATGAATATTCTGATATATCTTACAATGAATCAATTATATCTATTCATGATTTACATGCGGAAACCATTGATGACAATATATCAAATCTTGTGTTTCCAGATGGGAATTTTATGGACATTCGTTCACGAATACCTTCACTTAATAGTACTGGATTTCACAAGGTTATATTTTTTTTTTTATTTAATTGTTCTTAAACTTTTAGGGAGTAACTTTGATGTCTAATGATCCAAAATATCTTAAACTTATAAATCCATCACAAGATATTGGTATTGAATCCAAAACTATAGTTCCCTTAGAATACAACAATGTTAAATCTTTTGAAACTATAGTTTCTAAAAGACGTTCTAAGTTTAAATTTCCTAAGATCAAGTTTTGCCAGAGATATAACGATAATTTTGCAAAAGCTGTAGTTCCTGCTAAACATAATAACAAAATCTTGTCTGATATTAAAACTATTTCACACTTATCTGGTATAATATTATTTATTGATTTTTTTATTATAGTCTAATCCATATTTGAAGGACATGTAAACTCAAGTCCTATTATAAATTCAGACCCTAATATTAGATCAGACTCCATGGTCCTAAAGAAAAAAGCAAAAGAGAGTTTCCTGCCCAATTCTACTATTAAACAAAATAAAACTAGTATTAAAAATTATAACTTTTTCAGAAAATTCATTTTTAAAAGTTTTAAAAAAACAAAAAAGTTTAAAAATGAAGGAACTCAAACTTACATTTCAATGTTCAATGGTTTTTTATCTAGAGAATCACAGACTTTAAAAGGATTTCCTAAGGATTTTTTTCTTCAAGAAAAAAATGCTAATTCGTTTAAAAATTTAAATATTTATAAATCTGAGTCCATGCCTTCAAACCTAGGAATAAACTATGCAAATATTGAAAAACAATCTTCAGTAATATCTGGGTATCTTGCAAATCTATCTTATCAAAAGGAAATGCATTCTAATAAAAAAATGCCATTAAAAGCTAATACTTCTAATAAAAATGCATCAACAGAAGCTAACATTTCTGATTATTATATTCCATCTAAACCATCAACATGTTTTTGTACATGTACATGTCTATGTGAAACATGTTGTGGATTTTCAAAAACTAAACATGTTCTTAGAAGAAGACCGTCTAGTATTGTTTTTGTAGAAATTGCTGCTTCAAGAAAACCCGAGAAATATTCGGATATATTAGATTTTGATGAAGATTTTGATGATAAAATAGCTACAGCCATGAGCAAGACTTATATTTCTGATACCTCTCCAGATGCAAATTAATTTGAAATACAATATTGTTTTTAAATTTAATGATTTAGAATTAAACAAATTAAACATAATTTTAAGTTAAAACTTTAATCATATTTTTGGAATTATATTGAGTAATAATCATTAATAATTATATTTCTATAATTATAAAATAATATTGAATTTGAATTAAAATTATATGGTAATCAGGATATTTATAAATATGAATTAATAGTAGTTATTGGTTATTTCAAATATTTTGGGCTAAAGTTGTATTTTTGTAATATTCTATAAATCGTAATTGGATTACAACTATATTTTTGAACTATATTCAAATAATCTTATTTTTAAATTAAACATTGTGATATTTTTAAATGGAAAAGTGTTATTTGCTATTATTGTTAATGTATAGATTAAACAGAGTTATAATTTTTTCACCAATATTAAGTTTTTTAGCACAGTTTTTCTATAATTTAAAATCATCTACATACTTGAATTCTTCTAGCATGCTTAAATATAAAAATCTTTTGTATGTTATTTTTATATATGTTTATATATTTTTTAATATTTTTTAATATTTTTTAATTTAATTTTAAAAATTAATAAATTTGAGGAAATTCAAAATTAAAAAATATACTAAATTATCAATCTACATTTCATATTTGCAGATTTTAGTTAGAGAAATAAATGTAAAATATTTAAATTATTTTATGATGTAAATTGATTATTTATTATAATTATCTAATTTCTGAATTTTTTACTAAAACATAAATTTAATATTTTTAAATGGTTTTTATAAATATAATATTATGCACTATTGATTCTAATTTTGATGTGTTGAATTAAATATAATTTAATCTTAAGTACTTTTTTGTTTTATAAATTATAATTATTTTTCTTATTTAACCTAAAATCTTTTATATTTATTTATTTATTTATTCATATTTAGTAGGACTTATTTTGTATTGTTTAATTAATTATTTGGTTTTTAAAGTTTTTATTTTTTAATTATAAAATTTATAAAAATCTTTTTCGGTTTTATTTTTCCACGAAGTGTCTTATGTATATTCGTAAAGAATTTTTAAAAAAATCTAAATTTAAAAATGGATAATACTCTAGGAAATTTAGATTTTATTGAATCAAAAGGACATCAGTCTTGCATTCGGTTTTCAATTCCATTAAATGTGACGTTAGATGGTGGATTTTTAACAACACATAATCTTTATCAAACTCCTCAAGATTGTAAATATATAATAGTCCATCAATTAATGGTAGGCTTATAAAATTGGATAATAAAACGAAAAATATATAATTAATTTCTAGTTCGAAAAGAAAATGGCTCCATTTTATAAAGGCTTACCAGAATTTGATTCATCTTGGTCGAATAAAAAACTTGCTCAAGTTGTTCGTCAACATCTTGCAATACCATTTAAAAATACAATATATCTTTCTACAAGGAAATTTCCAGGTGGATTCTATCTAAAGTATCTCTCTGATGTTCTTAAATCAAATAAACATAAATCTTTTCAGCCATATACTTTTCGCTTCAGATCAATTATTTCATTATTTCATCATTTCTTTTCGACATTATATAAGCTTTTTACTCCACCATTAGAAGTTTCTTTATACCGAAATAGCAAAGAATGTCTCATATGTTTTCTTTATTATCCAAAACTTAATTATACGCGATGCTGCAATAAACCTATTTGTTCAGAATGTTTTGTTCAAATTAAACAAACGGATTCGCATTCTCCATGTAGTTTGAATACTGATTTGGAAAATACACCTCTATATAAAGGGTCAATTAATTGCCCATTTTGTCTTGAGAAAGATTTTGGTATTGTTTATTTATCTTCTACACAAGAACATATTACTAAATCATCAATTATATCTTCTATTATTAATAAAAAGAAAGTGCATGATATTTGTCAAAAATACTCATCAACACATCCATATGTTGTTACTTCGAATATGATTAGAGCTGATTGGTTTTCTCAATTTATTGATACTCAACAAAAGGAGTCTGATAGAGAAGAAAATGAAATCTTTTTGGATACCTTAACATTCTCAGATATAGGATGTCAAACATCAAATTTACCAGAAAATAATACCTGTGAACAAACAATTTTACAAACTTCTAAAAATATATTATATACAGATGTAGTACGACTAAATTTAAAAAATACAACATATCTTGATTATGTTACTGCAATACGTAAAAAAGATTTAACTCTTAATGAGAGCTTAAATCGTCCTATTATAACGCTTTATGATGGCACTACTTTAAGTTTAGCTGATCTTGCAAAAGATAAAAGAATTCTTGATTTTACTATAATGCCTAATTTATCAGAAAAAGTAGAATAAATTTTAATATTTAGTTTTATACTAGTCTGTTAATTTTATTGCAAATTCAATATAGAGAACAATATAAATAAATAAAATATTTTTTAAAATAAAATGATTCTAAATTATAAAAGTAATTTTAAATTATATAATTTTTTTGCAAATATTTTTATAAGTATATAGCATAATTATTATTATCTCTATTGCAGTGTTAACTTTTATTTTTGGTTATTTTATTTTTGAATATTTAAATATTATATATTGAAATTCATATTACCAATACTAAGAAACAATTTAAAATTTATTTAAAAATGTTGCATTTTATTAAAAATATTCTTAATATATAAAAGAATTTAAAAATAAAATTTCTTACATTTTAAAATAGCTATAAATACATTTTAATAAGAAAAAATATTAACTTTTTTAAATTATTATTTCGTATATAAATAGCTTAAATATAATTTTAATATTCCATAAAAATATCACAAACATTATTATTTTGAATATAAATTATAAAATAAAAATCTCAATTTTATTAAAATTATTATATATCTTTATAGAAAAATAAAATTTTAAACAATTAAAAGTCAAATATAATAACACTATTTTTTCTATTTTTTAATTTTAATCAATAAATTATGTTATCTAAGGTATTTTTATAAATAAAATAGTACATACAAAGGAAATAAATACATTTTATAAAATTTTAAAATATAACTGTTTAATATATTTTAATTCTTTCTAATACTAAAAAAATAATTTAGAATTTTAATACTAAAAAATTAAATATATAATTAAAAAATATAAATTCAGAAATTATAAAATAAATCTAATTTTTTTAAAAGTAAAAATACATATAAAATAATATTTTTTATAAATTCCAAATTAAAATTGATATTTTAAAATTTAAATTATGTTTAAATCTTTTCGAATATATTAGTCAAATTTGATTATTATTATTATTAAATTTAATTTAAATCTTAATTTAAAAGTTTTCAGAATATTTATCATTCTATTACATATATATAAGAGTCTAATATATTCTATATCATTTACACATTCAATATCATTCAATATTTGTTATTATATCTTGAAACAAATTTTAATTATTTAAAAAAATAGTTCAATTTTATTAAACTTTTAAAATTGTTAACATAAAATTAATTTATATTTTTAATTATATTTTATTTTTTATTTTACTTTTTAACAAAATACTGAAAGTATTAAATTCTTATAACGTAAACTTTTTTAATTAAAATGTATGAAGTTAAAAAGCAAAAATCTAAGGATTATGAAAAGGATAAAAAGAAGATTATTTCGGATAAACCTAGTTCTTTAAAATATGAGCTAACGAGTAGACTTTATGTTTTCAAAAATTAAACATTAAATTGTCTATAGATTTTCAAAGTCTTTTTAGTTCCCGATATGTTATACTTTGTGCATTATATGTAAGCACAGGTGGGCTACTTTTTGGATATGGCATGTCTGCTAATCTTTTTTTAATTGTTAATAATTGATCTAGATCAAGGTGTAATATCTATTGTACTTGTTATGCCTCATTTTCTTAAAAAATTTCCTGAACTAGCAATTGCAGAGTCATCAATATATCATGGAGTACCATACCCTTCTACATCATCGCCCAATGCTGGTTTTTATAAAGGTCTTATGACTGCTTTAATAGAACTTGGCGCTTTTCTTGGTGCTTTAAATCAAGGCTGGATCGCTGATAAGTTTTCCAGGAAATATTCAATATTTTGGGCAGTATTTGTTTTTACAGTTGGTGCAATTGTTCAAACTGTATCTTCAGACTATGCAACACTTTCTATAGCAAGATTTATAGGTGGAGTTGGTGTCGGAATGTTAAGTATGGCAGCACCTCTTTATATGGCTGAAATATCACCTCCTGAAATTCGAGGGCTTTTACTCGTTCTTGAAGAATTGAGTATTGTTTCTGGAATTGTTATTGCATTTTGGATAACTTATGGAACAAGGCATTTCTTACTAAATATTTTCTATTAAATTTAAAATAATTAATAGATTTATTGATTCAACATGGTCTTTTCGTTTTCCTTTTTTGATTCAAATATTACCTAGTTTAGTGCTTGGTTTAGGTGTTCTTTTTTTACCGTTTTCTCCTCGTTGGCTTGCATTTAAAGGTCGTGATCAAGAATCTTTACGTTCTCTTAGCAAGCTGCGACAACTTCCTGAATCAGATCCATCTATTCAAAAAGAATGGATTGAAATTCGCGTAGAAGCAAAATTTCAAAAAGAAGTAAGTGAACTTCGACATCCTAAATTAAAAGATAATCGCATCTCTACAATGATAAAATTAGAAATAGCAACATGGTGTGATTTATTTAAACGAGGATGCTGGAGAAGAACTACAGTTAGCATAGGCATAATGTTTTTTCAACAAGTATTTTCTTAAAATTTCCATTATATAATTATTAATGTTATTTCAGTTTGTTGGTATTAATGCTTTAATATATTATTCTCCCACTTTATTTAAGACTCTTGGTTTGGATTATGATATGCAATTATTAATGTCTGGTATTTTAAATGTTACTCAGCTATTTGGCGTTGCCATTAGTATATATACTATGGATAGATTAGGGAGACGTCCTTTACTTTTAATTGGTAGTATTTTAATGTTTATTTCTCAATTAAGTATAGCCATTATCGTTGGAATATATAGTCATAATTGGCCTATTTATAAAATACAAGGTTGGGTTGGAGTTGCATTATTACGTATTATGTCCATACACATTTATTGATTTTCCTAATTTTTTAAGTATTTTACATGTTATCATTCGGTTCAACATGGGGACCTGTTCCGTAAATAATCAAAAATTTCCTATTAGAAGTTTAATATTATTTAGTTGGGTATTACCTGCAGAAATATTCCCATCTTCTCTTCGAGCAAAGGGTGTAGCTATATCAACATGTAGCAATTGGTTCAATAATTTTATAATAGGATTAATTACAATTCCATTGGTAGAAAAAACCAATTATGGTGCATATTTATTTTTTTCAGTTTTTTGTCTTCTTTCAGCAATTTTTACATGGTTTCTTGTTCCGGAAACAAATAGGCGTACTCTTGAAGAAATGGATCTAGTATTTCATGATAATTATGGATTTGATGATGAAAAAAGAAGAAAAAAAATTGAAAGGGAATTTGGAATAAAATCGTTTACATAATAGTCTTAATATTTTTTAATTTTGCATAATACCATTAATATATATTATTTTACTATTATTGATTTTTACATTTAAGATTATTGCAAGATTTTGAAATTATTTCTGAATCAATATATTCTTAACTTTGGTTATGAATTGATTTTAAATTTAAACTTTAGAATTTGGATATAATGTAATTTTTTGGTTATACTTTTATATAAAAAAATATATAATTTTTATTATTAGTTTTAAACTTATATAAAAAAAAAATGTTATTGAGTTTTTAAAAAAACAGTTTTTAAAAATAAATCCTTTATCTATAATTTTTATAATTATATAAGATGATATAAAAAGAACATTCTACAAAAATTTAAAAAATTAGTAATAAAAATAACATATAATAAATCTTAAAAAAAAGGATAATCAAATAAATAATTATGATTAAGAATCAATAAATAAATACAATATATAAAAAATATAATAAAATTTTAATTTTATATTTAAGAGTTTTAAAAAATAAAATTATACACTTAATATCTGAAAATTAAAAAAATAAAATATTAAAAAAATTAAAATATTAAACCTTTAATATAAAAAACATAAAAAAATATAAAATATAAAGAGGAATATTAATACACCTATTCAAATAAATTAAAATTTATTATAGATCATTATAGATCAAATTTGTACAGATTTTTAATAAAATATAAATTTAAATTTTTAAAAAGTTATTTTAAATTATAATTTATAATTTTTCAATTTAAAATATAAAATTATTTTCAAAATATGGAGGTTGTAAAATATTTCTAATTACACTATTTTGAAAATCTTTAAATATTTTTATAAAAAAAAATTTTTTAACTAAATCAACATAAATCTTAAAATAAATATCATCTATTTAGATTCTATCTATTTTGAGATTTCATATTTAAAAATTAACTTTTTTAAAAATAAAATTCTTACAAAAAGAATAAACTTTGTTGATATTTTAACTTGATATATGAAAATTACTATGCTTATTGCATTTATTAACATAGCATATAGTTTTGAAAAAGGTGATAATATTGTTTGGTTTTTACTTTATTTTTAATTTATTTTTAGATTCTTTTGATAAAAAATTAGTTTTAAATTCATTAAGGTATAAAACTCTGACAAACATATACCACTAAAATTTTTTATCTAGTGATGATTATTTTTATGCTTTAATATTAAAAAACAAACTAAATGAATGTGAAAAACTTCTAAAAGAATTTTGTGCGAACTTAACTGGAATAGACTCAGATTTAAGAAAAAAAATTCCTATATTGGAAAATACATGTCAAAGTGGAAAAGAATCTAAAATATGTCAAGGCTTGGAAAATAGGATCAAAATTAAGTGCCAAGATTTAAAAACGAATATCAATCAATTGAAAAAAGTATCTAAAGATAATAATATTTGTGCTACATATCATCCTCAATGTTTATTTTTGGAAGCTTCATGTGGTGATTCCGGCCTTACTTTTGACTGTGTCAATCTATTGAATACATGTTATCAAAATAAACGCAATGAAGCAGCAACAGAAGTTCTTTTAAGAGCATTTAAAGGAAAAGTGAATGAATATACTTCTTGCTGGCAAGACACATATAAGGTATGTCGAGAATTAAGTAAAGAAAGCGATGAATTAATGCAAAAATGTTTTTATCCTCAAAGTATTTGTGCAGATTTGAAACATTTATCAACATCAAAATGTTATTACCTTGGAATAACACTTAATAAAGTATACACAACCACTGGTTTTACTAAAAATATATGCAGCTATCTTAAACAATGTTATTTTTATGGACCAAATTGTCAGTATTCTATACAATCAGACTGCGAAAAGCTAAAAAATGATTGTAAAAATCAAAATATAACATACATATTATATGATAATTTTCTTGATCCAACAATGCCTGATATTCCTATAAGGGAGAAAATTGATATAGATCAATTCCATAGTGAACTATTGGATGCTGGTATTTTAATTGGAAAGCCTAAAGAGAAACACTTGTACGATATATTAGCATTACTTCCTCATAAGATTGATGAAAATTTTTTAACTACTTGTACAGAATTACTAAAAAAGAATTGCGGTTTTTATTATCTAAGATCTGATGTGAACGAAGCATGTCTACTCCTTACTAAGCATGCTGACAGATGTCAATGGTTTAAAGAATATTTAGATAAAAAGGTTTTAAATATTAAAGAAAAACTTAAAACTTATGGGCTTTTGGATAACACGGTTATTTGGGATGATCTTCCATCTTATATTAAAGAAGATGTCTCTACAGAATTAGTATCAGATTGTTTTTATTTTGAAATATATAATAGTGAAATTTCATCTGGTTGTTATAATGTAAGAAGGTTGCACTATAAACTTGGACGCTATGCTGCTGCAAATAAATTATTGGAAAACAAGTTACGTGGAAAACTTAGTCATTCTAAAAATAACAAAGAATGTTGGGAAACATTAATAAAAGAATGTCAAGTTCTTAAAAATCAAAGTATAGAATTATTTTCATATTGTGTACAACCAAAAAAAGCTTGTGCAGAAATCAAAGAAGATATTAAAAGGAAAGGGGATAATTTACTATTCGTTTTATCTGAAAAACGAGATTATCCCCAAGAAAAGGATTGTATCAAACTGCAAGAAAATTGCGATAAATTATTAGATGATTTTTCCAAGATTTCTAATCCATGTAAAACATTAAAAAAAAACTGCATTTATATGAAAACAATGAGTGATCTTAAAAATGCTTTATTAGATCAAAAAACAAATATTTTTACAAGTATTGATACTTGTATAACATCTTTAAAATCTAAATGTAATGAGTGGTTTAAAAAGAACAGAAAGTTTGCTATTATATGTCTTCAAATAAACGAATCTTGCCAAATGATGGTTGATGATACATATAAACATTGTAAAATACTTAAATCTAAAATAACAGATGCCGACGTAGTTTGGAGTGCTAAAGATCAATCCAAAAGGGAGAATATTTGTTCTTTTTGGGAGCCATATTGTAACAAACTGACACCAAGCTGTAATAATTTAATGAAAAGTAACCGTCAAAGTTTTAGCGTTTGTACAAATCTTGCTAATGAATGTAAACCGTTTCGTGAAGAAAGGTCTAAGGAAAATGCATTAACCTATGAATTAAGGGGTAGTTTGACTAATAAAGATACATGTCTCTCTATGCTAACTGAACTTTGTATACGATTAAATAAGTCTCAAAATACTACATATGCTCATTTTTGTAAAGACAATCCTAATACAAGTAATGATGAAAAGGATAGAAATGCTAGACTTAATCTTTGTAATAAGCTTATTTCTCATTTTCAAAAATATTGTGATATATTAGCAAAAAAACTAACAAATGAAGCAAATGATTTAGAAAAAGATATTGATAACTTTAAAAAAATTAAAAAATTAGCAGAAGAAGCGATAAAAAATTCTGCCTTACTCTTAATACTTTCAGAAAATAAAGGAAACGCATTTAATGTAAAAAATAATACAATAAGTTTTAAATTGGTACGTCGGAAAGATAATTCATCTGTTCTTACAACAAAAGCTGAAATACTTGCTTTTGAAACAGCTGCAGAAACTCTAGAACTGTACCAAGAATTATTAAGAAAATGCAATCGTTTATTAATAGAAGCAGAATTTAAAGAAGATTGTTTAACTTCTAAAAACTCAAGTGAAAAGGTGCAAAAGATATGTAATGCATTAAGTCCATTAAAACTAATTCCTCGTGTGATAACAACAGAAAATATATCAACAACAACGACAACAACAACAATAACAACGACGACGACAACAACGACGACGACGACAACAACAACGACAACAACAGAACTGAAAGTCGAGACAAAAACAGAAACAAATTTATGTGTTAATCAATCAATATTAGATACTACAATGCAAGAGTCGATAAATACCAAAGAAAAGACAACTATAGATTCAAATACAACACTAATAACTTTGACAAAAACTATATTTGTAGGAGAAAGTAAAGAATGCACATTAATCCGTACAATAGATACTCAAATAACACATACCTTGATATATACAACAAAAATAGTCTCTAAATCAATAGTAACATCAACAGTTACAACGGTATCAACACGATGGTGTACAATAATACAGCATACAATAAAAACAGGAGAAGAAAGAAAAAAAGAGCATAAAGATGAGGAAGATGAGAGAATAATAATACCAAATGGAGAAATAAAAGTTAAAACTATAAATGTTTTAAAATGGGTTGTGATGACTATGATAATTTTAATAATCTAAAAAAGACTAAAAAGCATGATAATGATAATTTATATTGGTTTATGATAATTTAAATAATAATGTAAAAGGCAGATGAAAAGAATGATAAAAATAATTGCAACAATCATAGTTATTTAAATAATAATTTAGGAAAATAGGCAAATAAAAAAAATATAAAAAAGAACATGTATATCTAAAAAAAGAATAAGTGAAATAAAATCTTAAAATAAAAAATAGGAATTAAAAATATAACTTTTTGTACTAATTTTCCATATATTATGAACTAGATTAGTATATATTCATCATTTTTTATCATATATCTAATATTTGCATTTTTTACGATCTATTATCATCAATTCATTTTGGTTTACCCCAGATTACTTTACAGAACAACTGGTACTACAAATCAGAAAAAAGATAAAATATTTTAGAACTTTAAGACTAGGTAATTTTTATTAGATGTTTTACCTTTGCTTTTTCTTATATTAAAATATCTTTATTACAATTATAAGAAGCATTTTGAAATATATTTATTAAAGTATTTTTATCACCTAAATATTTATTTTAAGAATATTTAATAAAAATATTTAAAACAATTATTTATAAAATAATATAAATCATTATATAAAAATATTTTGGATTTTAATTGTATATAAATTTAAAAATCTAAAGTATAAAATAATTCATGAAAAAATACAAAAAAATTTTAAATAAAAATTACCAATTACAAAAATAAATATTACCTTAATTTTAAAAATATTTATAAATTTTAAAAGTCACAAATAATATTTTTAAAGAAAATTAAAAGAATATTTAAACAAAAATTAAAATTTTCTTAAATGACTAAATAGAAAAAATTGTTTTTCATCTAAAAATCTAAACAATATTTTAAACATAAACTAAATCAAGATCTAAAATTGAAAATAAAATTCAATTTTAGATCATATTAAAATTTTTCGTAATTCTGATAAAACGTTTCGAGAATACCTAAAAAATCATAAAGAACTATATCACGCTAATGTTAGAATCAAAATTAATATTAAAAAATGTAAATTGAAATCTAAATAATCTATTAATACATTATTATTATAAGACTATATATAAAATATTAACCTTTATTAGAAGTGATATATAAAAAATCAATAAAAATTTTTAATCATTAATACTAATTTTTTATATATTCATAATGAAATAAACACTAGAGGGAACTTAATAATTTTAAATATCTAAAGATTTAAAAAAATAAAAATTAATAAATTTTTTATTAAAGTTTAATTTTAAAAAATAATTTGAAGAGATAGATGAAAATAAAAATTACCGATTCGGAAAAAACAATTGTAATCTTAAAAAAGTATACAAATTTGTGTTAAAAACAGTAGAATAAATAATTAGAAAATTACCATTATTGGAAAAATTTACAAATATTAACATGAGATTTATCGCATTTAGCAATCTTTCAAAGAATCAGGCAAATGTGGTAAACTTAATATTTAAAAAATGGTTTAAATAAAAAAATTCCTTTTTCTGAATTTTTTATTAATTATATCATTTTAAGTGAAATAAGGAATTACCAAAAATTTTATAACTAATTTTAACTAAATAACTTAAATTAACATTTTAAAAACAAATCTGCAAGAATAAAGGAATAACTATCTCACATAAAAAATAAACAACTATGGTATATTTAGAAATAATATTATCTCTGTTATTTCTTATCGAGTAGTTTCTTATATACAAATAATTCGGTATCAGCATATCTTTTTTATTTACGTTTTTAAATCAACAATATAATTCAGAACTTAATTCCTTTATTTTCCTTCTTTATGTTTCTGTTTATGGAAATATGCATTTTATTACTTGTTGTTGCTATAAAAAGGGTTTTTTCAGAGAACGAGGATTCTTTAGGTAACTTTTTTTTTTTTTATTTAATTTTAATTTCTTAGATCTTATTCAAACATTTTCTCCTCTGCATGATGAAGATCCATTACTTTCATACGAAGTTACTACTGAAGAATATCATCATCAATTAAGCAAAAAGTTGCATAATTTAGAACTTAAAGAACTAAAAAATAGTAATGAATATTTATATTACCTTGCTACTTTTTTAACTTTCAACGATTTTAATAACAATTGCATAGCAAAATTAAAAAAAGTCTGCAATAGTGATGTAAAAATGTTGAATAGTCATATTCATTATATTTGTAATAATCTTCAATTACTATGTACTTCTTCAAATACTCAAATGTCTAATGCGATAAAAAAAATTAAAGATTTTTTGGATGAAACAAATTATCATAATCGGTGTAGCAAGCTGCAAACAGATTGTTTTTTCTTAGAACAATATAGTCCAGAAGATCTTTCTGCAAAATGCAATAAACTAAAAGAAAATTGTTATAATAAGGCCCGTATGGAAGTAGCGGAAGGAATTATGCATAGATTTTTAAAAGGGACACATAGTAGCACTTGTTTACAAAAATTCAAAGAAAAGTGTCTATTATTTAGTCATCAAAGCCCAGAGTTATTTAGTTTGTGTATTAGTGGTTCCAATGTTTGTGAAAAATTTATTTCAGAAACTAAAACAAACTGTCAAAATTTTCAAATTCAGTTTTTATCAAAACATAAAGAAATAACACGAGAAAACTGCATAGTTTGGCTAAAAAAATGCTATTATAACGTTTTGAATTGTCGAAATATTTATCATATGTGCCGTTTGTTTCAAACAAATTGTGCAGAAAATGGTTTTTTTTCCAATTTTGACAGTAATTATAATCTTAATCTTCTTGAAAGCCCGTTTATCGATATTGATGAAGATACAATTCAATACAGCCATAAAAGGTTAAGTCAATTAGGTATTTATGTTGATAAAATGCCATCACTTCCGAATGAAGTAATTGCTAGCATTTTAATTCAAGATGTTTCTACACAAATCTCTAAATGTAAAAAAGAATTAAATGAAAAATGTCCTTTAGCGGAATATTTAGATGTTTTTAAAGAAATATGCAGTAAAACTAATAATAAAAATGATATTTGTCGAAGCATATATGATAAAACTAAGCAGCATTTTGGATCTTATTCAAAAGAATTCAGTGATAATAATTTGTCGATTTCACAAAAATCTTTTTCAAAAGAAAAGTGTATAGAATATTTACCATTATGTTATTTTTTTAACGAATATTTTGATGTCTGGGTCCAAAGTGATTTATGTAAAACAATACGACTTGCCTGTTATCAAGCAGATTTGGAAATGGAAGCTGATATGATTTTAATAAGGAAATTAAATGAAAAAATAAGTTCAAGAGATCGTTGGTCTTCAAGTTTTAACCTAACTAAGAATTGCACAAAGCGTCTTTCTCTAGTATGTAAAGAAGTTATGTATAGCAATTATCATGTATTATATAGATGTCTGCATCTACAAGAAACGTGTACAAAATTAGCATCCTTCGTTCAGGAGAAGTGCGATAAATTGCGTAATACTCTAAAAAATATAAACAATAATTTTACACTCACTTCTTGTGGAAAGCAAAAAGAAGAATGCAATAGTTTGAAATTATGCTCAGGAAAGACTATAAGTTTATGTCAAAACCTCACAGCATATTGCAGAAATAAAGATGAACTTGAAAATCTGAAACTAAAAATACTAAAAAATGATACTGTTTTTTTACAAAGTCAAACTGTTTGTTTTGGTTATCTTACAGACTATTGTTTAAAAAACAGCTCACATTATACTTATGGGTGTACTAATGCATCAAAGATATGTAAAGAAATACTTAGAAGTGTTGAGGATGATTGCAAAAAATTATTACAGTATGTGAATGCTTATAAAACACTTCTTAATGGAGTATCTTATATTACATATAATCGTTGTTTTCATTTCAAATATTATTGTGTTTTATATATAGGGGGTTGTCCTTATTTGCGTGATCTCTGTAGTAATATTACTATAATATGTAGTAGTATATCAAAGGCAAGTGAGAATTTTAATGCATTAGCTAAGGTACTTGGGGGAATATCTAATGTTTCTGAATGTGAAGAAAAAATGAAAAAATGTAAAAATTCAGCAATCGAAAAGGAAAGGCAACTATGTGACGGCTCTATTCAATGTGAAGCTTTAATATCATATTTAGAAAAAATGTGTGATACACTCGCATTAAAAGTATCTCTATATTATCATACTAAACCTCATTCTAGCACGGAGTGTAAAAAACTAGAATCTTTATGTTCATCTATAGGGTCTTCTTGTACTGGGGTTAACAGTAGAGTTTCTTATATATGCACTAAGCTTGCTATTAAATGCAAGTTACCACAGCCACCACCACCAGTACCACCACAACCACCACAACCGCCGCCGCCACCACTGCCGCAACCACATCCACAACCACAGCCACCAGAACCACCAGAACCACCACCAAAACCACCAAAACCACCAAAACCACCAAAACCACAACCGCCACCACCATCGCCACCAGAACCACAACCTCCACCACCAAAGCCACAACCACAGCCGCCATCGCCACCAAAACCACTACCGCCACCACCAGAGCCACCAAAACCATCAGAACCAGATCCATCAAGACCAAAGCCAAAACCAAAACCGACAAATTCAACTACAAGCTTAACTACAAGTTTACCGACTGCAGATTCATCAACTGCAGCTCCACCAACTACATTGGATACAGACACATCTTCACGTACATCTTCACATACATCAACTGCACGTACATCAACATCTACACGTTTAAGACCTAGACCAACAATATCACCTGGTGGTGGGCGAGGAAAAGGATATGGAATCAGAATACAAAGACTACAGATAGTAGAATTAATTTGGGCAACTATGGGAATAATATTAGGACTGTGGATAATTATTTAAGATTAAAACAATGCATATTTATTAATATTCATGTGAAGCATTTTTGACGATAATTATGTAAAACTAATGATTATTTATGAGATTTATTTAAATATTTTTGGAAAATATAGAAATTATTATTTTATGGGTATCAGGCTAACTAATGAATCATAATTTTAGGCATTAATATTTAATGGTTAATCATAATTTAAAAGACTATTTTTTCATTTTACAATCCATCTCTGGTAGAGCTATGGGACATATAAATACGACTGAATACATTGGATATATTTATTTATTTATTCTTTAAAACTATTATCTCTTTTAAAAAGCATCCTTTTTGTAAATTAACCTAACTTTTCGACAATCAAAATTTAGATTTTAAAGATAAACATTTTCCTATACTAAAAAACTATTTTGTATAATAAAGCAGAATATCTTTAACACTCTTAAAAAGATAATATCAATATAAGAATAAGAAATTGAAAAATATCATGAATTTAATATAAAATTCAAAGTATATAAAAAATTAAAAAGCTTAATAAATATCTAAATTTCTAAGACAAAGTAATTTAAGAATACACAAATTTAGAAATAAAACTATAAGCCGTAAATTTAAATTGAAAATGAATTTCTTAAAACTAGTCAAATTGTATAAAATTTGTTAGTGCAAAAAATATCCAAAAAACATGTATAAATAACTAAAAAAAATAATCTTAAAATCAAAAACTAATGAAATACTTGAAAACATCAATATTTTTTAAAAAATAATTATCATTACTTGAAAAATATTTTTGCAATTTAAATTCTAAAAACAAAAAGTATGAAAAAATACAAGAACTGTATAGTTTTGAATTTAGATTTTGACATGATAAAACTAAATACAAAAAATAAGTAAAAAATAAAGATATGTAAAATAGTTTTAGACAAAAAATAAAATTGGAATAAAAAAATCTAAAATAACGATATTTTTTATACATAAAAATATTTACATAAAAATATTGAATCAAGGAAAACGAAAAATACGATAATCTTAAAAATGAGATTATAGCTAGCTTTAATATAACTAGAAAATCTATTAATAATATTAACACATGTATATTGAATGAAGAATTTTATTTAAAAAAAAACCATTATAACTGTCATGTTCGATATATACTCTACAGAAAATTTTCTGATTTTTCTAATATTTATGATGATATAAACAAACAATGTTATAAAGAATTCCTACATAGTTTTCCCATATTTTTTTAATTGCCTTGATTTCTCGTTTATATCCTTTTATATTCTACTTTTTATCTATTCAGGTTTTACGATTACCCCACATTTACCCCGCATAAATTTAAATACGTGTAGTAAAGCACGTATCACGATAATTGGACACACTAAAAGATATACTTCAGCACACACTATACCTGTTTCATCACAGAATTTACTTGAAAACTCTATAATTAATTAGAAATAATTTAATATTCAAATTTAAAGACATGGCTTTAGCACCTAACATGTAACCGAAACACGTTAATGGAAACCCAAACTCAAACCATACACCACAGCGCAGCCCACCTCCGTCAGGCACGGCTTGGCGCGGGCGGTGGCGCGGGCGGTTAAGCGGCAGGCAAAAGCGGCGCAAAAAGCTAGTGTATATGAAGAAGAGGATTATCTTTTGGCTTTGATTTTAAAAGAGGATTCTAAAAATGAACAAAAATGCAAAGAAGAACTGGAAAAATATTGTAAGGCATTAAAAGATTCAAATCTGAATAAAGAAGAAATACATGAAAAATTAAAAGATCTATGCAAAAATGATGCCCCAGAAAGAACGTGCAAAGAATTGAAAACTAAAGTTCAAAATAAATGTAATAAACTCGTAACAAAACTTGATGGTATATTGAAAAAGCCAAATTCAGGGTTGACGGATGGAGATTGTAAAGAGAATGAACAAGAATGTCTATTCTTGGAGGGAGCATGTCCTAGTGATCTTACAGAGAATTGTAACAAACTAAGGAATCTATGTTACCAAAGAAAGCGTGACAAAGTAGCAAAAGAAGTTCTTTTGAGGGCACATCGTAGTAATCTCAATGAAACAGATATATGCAAAAAAAAACTTAAAGAAGTTTGCCCGGAATTAGAGAGAGAAAGTGATGAGTTGATGGAATTATGTCTCAATCAGAAAAAAACATGCAATGATCTTGTAGCTGAAGGAAAAAACAAGTGTGATGCTCTCAAAAAAGATGTTCAAGGAGTGCTCGATGAAAAAAACAAATTGGAAGAAAAATGTTTGTTATTACTTAAACAATGTTATTTTTACGTTGCAAACTGTGAGGAAAAAGATATGATTAAATGCATTGAGTTAGAAGAAAAATGTTATGAAAAAAATATTGTTTATATACCACCAGGACCTGATTTTGATCCAACTAAACCTGAGCCTCCAATAATAGAGGAAATAGGGCTTGAAGAGCTTTATAAAGAAGCAGGAGAAGAAGGGGTTCTTATTGAGAAACCAATAACAGCAGATACGACTTCTCTTTTATCATTGTTGACTGAAAATGTTAATAAAGGAAAGATTAAAGAAAAATGTGATGAATTACTTGAACGTAAATGCAAAGATCCAGAAAAGCACAACATTTTTGAGGATTTATGCGGAAAAGGTAAAGCTAATGAAAATGGAACTCAAAAATGTGAGGAACTAGAAAAAGATATTGAAAAGATTTGTAAAATTCTTACACCAACTATTCTCAAAAATCGTCTTTTTGATAAAACAAATAAACATAGCGGAATTATTGGGTGGGGAGAGCTACCAACATTTCTTAGTGATGAGGACTGTGCAAGATTAGAATCTTATTGTTTTTATTATAAAGAAAGATGCCCAGATGGCAAACAATCCTGTATGAATGTGAGAGCAGCGTGTTATAAGAGAGGACTTGATGCACGGGCAAATAAAGTGCTGCAAAAAAATATGCATGGGTTATTGCGTGGTTCAAATCAAAGTTGGCTTAAGGAATTTCAACGAAAATTAATAAAAGTGTGTAAAAAACTGAAAGAAGAAAATAAAGGAAGTTTCTCAAACGATGAATTGTTTATTTTGTGTGTACAGCCAGCAAAAGCAGCACGATTACTTACACATGACCATCAAATGAGGACTGTTTTCCTACGTAAACAATTGGATCAAAAGCGAGATTTTCCAACAGACAAAGACTGCAAAGAATTAGGGAGAAAATGTCAAGATTTAGGAAAGGATTCAAAAGAAATTACATGGCCATGTCATACACTGGAGCAGCAATGCAATCGTTTAGGGACTACAGAAATTTTAAAACAGGTTTTACTGGATGAACATAAGGATACTTTGAAAGATCAAAAAAGTTGTGTAAAATATTTGAAAGAAAAGTGTAATAAATGGTCTAGAAGAGGTGATGACCGTTTTTCTCTTGTATGTGTTTTTCTGGAAAGTACGTGTAAGCTGATGGTAGAAGACGTACAAAATAGATGCAAAGTATTCAAAGAAAATACACAAGCATCAAATATCACGGACGTTTTTGAAGATAACACAAGAATAGAATCATTAGCAAGTTTTTGTCCCTTTTGGAGTTCATACTGTCATAGATTCGGACCTAATTGCCCTGATCTTAAAAAAGAGGCTACTTTTTGTACAAAGCTCGAAAAACATTGTGAACCATTTTACAAAAGAAAGGCCTTGGAAGACGCTCTCAAAGTAGAGCTTCGAGGAAAATTAGGTGGTCAAGATAAATGTGAATCTGCATTAGAAAAATATTGCACAGTAGCAGGAAACGTAAATAATGCATCAATCAGAAGTTTATGCAAAGATAATGCCGAAAGTAAAACTAAAAAGGCTGATGATAAAGATATTAGAAAGAATCTTTGTCTAAAATTAGTGGAAGAAGTGAAAGAACAATGTAAAACATTACCGGAAGAACTAAAACAACTGGAAAAAGACTTAGAAGACGACTTTAAAGTATTTAAAGAACTTAAAGAACAAGCAAAAGAAGCAATGAACAAGTCCAATCTTGTTTTATCATTCGTTAAAAAAGATGAAAATAATGCATCGAAAAATAGTAGCAAAAACAAGGATAAGAATACCGTTTCAAACGGACTTCAAGATACCACAGAACCTGTGAAAATACTACGGAGAGGAGTTAAGGATGTATCCGTAACAGAATTAGAAGCTAAAGCATTTGATTTGGTAGCAGAAGTATTTGGAAGATATGTAGACTTGAAAGAAAGATGTAATAAATTGGAATCAGATTGCGGAATTAAGGAGGATTGCAAGGATTTAGAAGGAGTATGTGGAAAGATACAAGGAGTATGTTCGAAATTAAAACCACTGAAAGTGAAGTCGCACGAAATAGTCACAGAAAGTACAACAACGACCACAACGACCACAACAACCGTTACCGATCCGAAGGCAACAGAATGCAAATCCTTACAGACAACAGACACATGGGTTACACAGACATCGACACACACAAGCACGTCTACCATCACATCTACGATTACATCAAAAATAACACTCACATCAACGAGGCGTTGCAAACCAACCAAGTGTACGACAGGGGATGATGCAGAGGACGTGAAGCCGAGTGAGGGATTGAAGATGAGTGGGTGGAGCGTGATGAGGGGGGTGATATTAGCAATGATGATTTCGTTCATGATTTAGAAAGCAAATGAGCAAGATTTAATGATGAGCATGTATATTTAGTAAATAAACGAGCAGGGTAGGACAGGAAAGAGTAAAGTAGATTGAGTCATCTCTTCAGCATCAATTGAAAGTGCATTACATATGAAATCGCGTGTTCCCTATCTAATTGATCACTATTCTTTGTTTAAATAGCCTTTATTTCTCGTTTATGTCCTTTTATATTCTACTTTTTATCTATTCAAGTTTTACGATTACCCCACATTTACCCCACACAAATTTAAAATATCGTGAAAGCAGCCAATTACACGTTAAAGCGGACACCTCTTAAATATATTTGCACACATAATGCCTGCCTATCACAGTTATCTCAGTTTTTACTTGAACACCCTTAAAATTAATTAGAAATAATTTAATATTCAAATTTGAAGACATGGCTTTAACACCTAACATGCAACCGAAACACGTTAATGGAAACCCAAACTCAACCACACACCACAGCGCAGCCCACCCCCGTCAGGCACGGCTTGGCGCGGGCGGTGGCGCGGGCGGTTAAGCGGCGGGCTGCAGCACAGAAGGATGAGGTTGAGGAAGAATATGTTTTAGCTTTACTTCTGAAAGGGTCTGCCTTGGAAGAAAATCAATGCAAAAAAGACCTAAAAAAGTACTGTGATAACATGAAGAAAGTAGATAAAAGTTTTAGTGTTTATCCAAAATTAGAAGAAATTTGCAAAAATAACGGTGAAGAAAAATGTACAGGACTGAAAACCAAAGTTGATGCAAAGAAAACTGCTTTCAAAGCAAAACTCGATGGAGCATCTAAAAAAGAAATTTCACAGTTAACAGAAACGGATTGTTCGAATCAAAAAGAATGTTTATTTTTAGAGGAGGCGTACTCTAATGATCTTAAAGAAAACTGTAATACATTGAGAAATAAATGTTATCAAAAAAAACGCGAAGAAGTGGCAGAAAAAGCTCTTTTAAGAGCGCTTAATGGTGATCTTAAAGATAAAGACATGTGCAAAAGAAAAATTGAAAATGTTTGTCTTTTGTTAGTCCAAGAAAGTAACGAATTAATGCAAAAATGTTTTAGTACAGATTCTCTATGCACATCTCTAGTAGAATTAGCAAAAAAAAAGTGTACTGCTCTGAAAACAGAGATAGAAAAAGTATTAAAATCTGATGGAGAGTTAAAAAAAGAAGGGTATTCTTTACTTGAAGAATGTTATTTTCACGGTAAGAACTGTGAAACAGAAAAACCAGATTGTGATGGCTTGAAAAAGAAATGTAAAGATACAGGGATAACTTATACACCACCAGGCTCGGATTTTGATCCTACAAAACCAGAAGCTACACTGGCGGAAAAAATAGGTTTGGAAGAACTTTACAAAGAAGCGGCAAGACAAGGAGTTGTAATTCAAAGAGCACTGGAAAGAGATATTGTTGATCTATTAGTGTTTCTATCAGGGAAGAATTCTTTTGATGAAGCTCAATGCAAGAATGTACTCGATAATAAATGTAATTCTATTCAATATCTAGCAAAAGGTCTAAAAGATTTATGTAAAAATAAAAACAATTATACAAATAAATGTAAAGAATTTAAAGAAGAATTTCAAGAAACAAAGGGCTCTCTGGAAGTAAAGTTTAGAAGCAATTTATTTGAAAAAGAAATTAAATTATGGAGTGAATTACCGAAATTCCTTACAGAAAATGATTGTGTAGGGTTACAATCAGACTGTTTTTATTTTGAAGGCCAAACAGATTTTGAAAAAATATGTAAGAATGTTAAAGCAGCGTGTTATAAAAAAGGCCTTGATGCATTAGCAAACCAAGCATTACAAGACAAAATGAGAGGGAAATTCCATAATAGAAACGATACATGGTTTGAAACACTTCAAAAAGATTTGGTAAAGACATGTGTAGATTTCAAAGGGGAGAGCGATGAATTATTCGTTTTATGTGTAAAACCAACAGAAGGAGCTCTTACAGTATTAACGGATTTACATACGAGGACAAACTTGTTGCAAGGAGATTTAAATGAAAGACGAGATTTTCCTACGAGACAAGATTGCGAGGAATTACTGAAGAAATGTCAAGATTTAGAACAAGATTCAGAAGAAATCAAATGGCCCTGTCGTACGTTGAAACACCATTGTAATAGGCTGGAGATTGCAGGACAATTGGAAGAGAGGTTGTTGGAAGAAAAAGTGAAGGATTTGGACAAGTTCGATTCATGTTTAAAAAATCTGAGAGAACAATGCCATGAATGGACTAGAAGAGGAAGAGCGCAGTTTGCTCTCGCATGCGTAGCACAGAATATTACATGCAAGATTCTTACAGAAAGTATAGATTCTAAGTGTACTACATTGAAGGCACGTATGAAAACAAGTGATGTTATAAAAACTGCAAAAGAAGAAAAAACAATGGAAGAAACATGTGATTCTTGGGAGCCTTATTGCAGAAAATTCATGTCAAGCTGCAAGGATTTAGAAAACACTGGAAAGGATGATGGATGTGAAAAACTTAAAGAAAACTGCAAGCCGTATCGTGCACAAAGGGATCGCGAAGATGCAGCTATGCTTAAATTTAAGGGGAATCTTGATAAGAAAAACAGTTGTATAACGGTTCTTGATCAATATTGTACACAATGGGCGAATGCAACCAACGGACTTGAAACTTTGTGCAAAAAAAAAGGTGAAGAGGACAAAAACGTTAGAAATAAACTCTGCAAAAAGCTGATTGAACGAATGAAAGAAAAATGCAAAGGACTATCAGAAAAACTTGAAAAGGTTAAAAACGAAATAGAAGGGAAAAATAAAGAATATGAAAAGATTAAAGGAAAAGCAGAAGAAGCAATGGAAAAAGCAAATCTTGTTTTATCAAAAGTGAAAGAATCCGATAATAAATCTGTGAATAAATCCGTACCTAGTGAACCTAAAGGAGAAGAAAACAAGGTAGGGTTTAAACTTGTAAGAAGAGATACAAAGTTGCAAGTAACAGAAAAAGAGTTACATGCATTTGATTTGGTATCACAAGCGTTCAGTTTATATGTAGAGTTGAAGGAGATATGCCATCACTCACTGAAAGATTGTGATTTCAAAAAAGAGTGTAAATGTGAGGATCCATGTGAAAAGATACAAGGAATATGTTCGAAATTAGAGCCACTGAAAGTCAAACCATATGAGGCAACAACTAAAAACATAACAACCACAACTACGACCACAACGACGACGACAACAACCGTTAAAGACGCAAAGGCAACAGAGTGCCAATCTCTGCAGACGACAGACACATGGGTCACAAAGACGTCTACGCATACCAGCACGTCTACAACTACGTCTACGGTCACATCGAGAATAACGTTGACCTCAACGAGGCGGTGTAAGCCTACGAAGTGCACCACCGGAGACGATCCAGAGGATGTCAAGCCAAGTGAAGGTTTGAGAATGAATGGATGGAGTATAATGAAGGGGGTGTTACTAGCAATGATGATTTCAGTTATGATTTAAAAAGCAAATGGGCAGGATTTAATAATGGGCATGTATATTTAACAGATAAGGAGGCAGGATAGGACAGGAAAGAGTAAAGTAGATTGAGTCATCTCTTCAGCATCAATTGAAAGTGCATTACACATGAAATCACGTGTTCCCTAGCCAGTTGTCCCCTATTCTCTAGCTGAGTAATCTTTTTTTATTGTCTAAAGTTTTTTACATTCTATTTTTCATTTATTCAAGTTTTATATTTATATCGCGTTTACCCCACATTTTACCCCACACAAATTTAAAATATCGCGAAGTTGCCAACTACACGTTAAAGAAAGCGGGCACCTTTAAATGTATTTGGTACACACTGCTTCTCTGACAAGTTTTATCACTAAGTTTACTTGAACTCTCTTAAAATTAAGAATAATTTAATACTCAAATTTGAAGACATGGCTCTAACATCTCACGTCCAATCAAAATACGCTAACGGAAACCCAAACTCAGCCACACACCACAGCGCAAACCCACCCCCGTCAGGCACAGCTTGGCGCGGGCGGTGGCGCGGGCGGTTAAGCGGCGGGCTGCAGCAGCGCAAGGGACTAGTGTATATGATGATGAGGATTATCTTTTTGCTTTAATTGCAGGAAAAGATTATGACGACACTCAAAAATGCAAAACTAAGCTAGAAGAATATTGCAAAGAATTTGAAAATTTGGATAAAGAAAAAATACATAAAAAATTTAAAAGCTTTTGTGAAAATGGGAAAGCAGAAGAAAAATGTACCAAATTAAAAAACAAAGTTAAGGAAAAATGCACTACATTTAAAACAAATCTTCAAACAGCAGCTGGAAAAGGAATTTCAGATTTGACAGATAAAGATTGTAAAGAGAATGAACAACAATGCCTATTTTTGGAGGGAGCATGCTCTGATCTTACAGAGAATTGCAATAAATTAAGGAATAACTGTTATCAAAAGAAACGAAATGAAGTAGCAGAAAAAGTTCTTTTAAGGGCACTCAGTGATGATCTTAAAGATGCAAAGACATGTAAAGAAAAAATTAAGGATGTTTGTCGTACATTGGGTCAAGAAAGTAACGAGTTGATGCAAAGATGTTTTGATACAGACTCTTTATGCACATCTCTAGTAGCATTAGCAGAAAAAAAGTGTACTTCTCTGAAAACAGAAATAGGAAGAGTACTAACTACTAATAACGAATTAGAAAAAAAAGGACATTCTTTGCTTAAACAATGCCACTTTTATGGACAAAATTGCAAAGATTCAGATAAACCAGAATGTGAAAAACTCGTAAATAAAGCTAAAAAAAAAAAGATTATCTACAAAGGACCAGGTTCAGATTTTGATCCTACAAGACCAGAGGCTACACTGGCAGAAAAAATAAGTCTGGAAGAACTTTATAAGGAAACGGCAAGACAAGGAGTTCTGATCAGAAGAGCACCAGAAAGAGATATTCTTGACATATTAGTGTTTCTCTCAGGGAGTAAACCTTTTGATGAAACTCCATGTAAGGAAGTACTCAATAGTAAATGTAACTCTATTCAATATCTAACGCAAGGTCTAAAAGATTTATGTGGAAATAAAAGCGATTATCTAGCTAAATGTAAAAAGTTTAAAGAGGAATTTGATAAAGAGAAAAACATTCTTACTAGAAAACTTAAAAGTAAACTATTTGAAGATGAAATCACGTTATGGGGTGAATTACCAAGACTCCTTACTGAAAATGACTGCACAAGATTACAGTCAGATTGTTTTTATTTTGAAGGTCAAACGGATTTTGGAAAAATATGTAAGAATGTTAAGGCAGCGTGTTATAAAAGAGGCCTTGATGCAATAGCAAACCAAGCATTACAAGACAAAATGCGAGGGAAATTCCATTATACAAATGATACATGGCTTGAAACACTTCAAAAGGAGTTAGTAAATGTGTGTGTGAATTTAAAAGGAACAAGTGATGAATTATTTGTATTATGTGTGAAACCAAAAGACGGTGTCATTACATTATTAGATGATTTGGATATGAAGACAAACTTGTTACAGGAAAATTTGAATGAAAAACGAGATTTTCCTACGAAGCAGGATTGCAGGGAATTGCTAAAGAAGTGCAACGATCTAAAACAAGACTTTGAGGAACTTGAATGGCCCTGTCATACTCTGGAGCACCATTGCAATAGGCTGGAGATTGCAGGACAATTGGAAGAGAAGTTATTAGAGGAAAAAACAGAAAATTTGGACAAGTTCGATTCATGTTTAAAAAATCTAAAAAAACAATGCCATGAATGGAGTAGAAAAGGAAGAATGCAGTTTGCTCTCGCATGTGTAGCACAGAATATTACTTGCAAGATTCTTACAGAAAGCGTAGGGTCTAAGTGTACTACATTGGAAGCGCGCATCGAAGCAAGTAAGGTTGTAGATCAAACAAAGAATAATGGCAAAAAAGAGTCAGCTTGCAACTCATGGGCACCCTATTGTACCAAGTTTATGTCAAGTTGTCAGAATCTAACTGCTAGTGATGGAAAATGTAAGGAGCTTAACAAGGAGTGTAAATCATTCATTGAAAGGAAGGAATTGGAAGAAAAAGTAGCCTATGAATTAAGGGGTAATTTAGAAACAGAAGAAAAATGCAAAAAGACTCTTGACACGTACTGTACACAATGGAGGAATGCAACTAATCATCTTAGCACTTTGTGCACAGATAAAGAAGCTGGTAAAGAAGATAAAGATGTTAGAGAAGAACTCTGCAAGAAACTAGTAAAACGAGTAAAGAAGCGATGTCCTGAATTAAAAAAAGAACTCATAGAGGCCAGTAAAGAGTTGGAGGAAAAAGCTAACGAATATGAGGATATCAAAAAAAAAGCAAAAGATGCAATGGAAAAAGCGAATCTTGTTTTATCAAAAGTAAAGACAGAAAACAATAAATCGGAAAACGATGTTGTGCCTAGTGCACCAGCCGTACCTAGTGGAACAAAAGACACGAAGTTGTTTAGACTTGTAAGAAGAGATGCAACAATGAAAGTAACAGAAGACGAAGCGAAAGCATTTGATTTGGTTGCACAAGCATTTGGACTCTACGTAGAATTGAGAGAGATATGCCATGATTTACTAAAAGGATGTGGATTTAAAAAGGAATGTGATTGTGAAAATCAATGTGAGAAAATAGAAAACACATGTAAAAAATTGAAACCACTGGAAGTAAAACCATACGAAGCAACAACTAAAAATGTAACAACAACAACCACAACCACAACGACAACAACAACAACCGTTAAAGACACAAAGACAACAGAGTGCCAGTCTCTACAGACGACAGACACGTGGGTCACAAAGACGTCAACGCACACTAGCACTTCTACGACTACATCTACAGTCACATCGAGAATAACACTCACCTCGACAAGGCGGTGTAAGCCTACGAAGTGTACGACAGGAGAGGAAGATGAAGCGGGTGAGGTGAAGCC